AATATTTACATGTCCCACTTCTGTGTACTTTGTAGGAAAAGTTCTCGAAAAAAAGTGCTTTACGGTGATCCTTGTCTTCGGTTCGGAATACCCAAAATCAACAAATTTTATTGATTTCTTTAAAAAATAGATAACTTTAGGTAATGAACGATATATCAAAAAAATATACATTTTTGACAAAATGTTAGAAAAACCATTTAGAGAAAAGACGAGTTAAAAAATAATCTGCTCCCTTTGAAACCATCTGACATTGTCATAAAATTAGGGTAAAGTTGCAAAAATATGTATTTTTTTGAGTTTAAAATATTAAAGAACATTCAGTACCTTTCAGTACATTTTGATTTAACAAATTTTGTGAATGTTAAAATTTATTTTAATTCTAAAATTTTGCATATTGTTTTTTAATCCTTCCAAACGAAAAGTCTTGCTGGAACTAACATTTTTTCTGAAGTATTTATTTTTCATACTTTTATGTATAAAAGTATAACAAAGTTTAGAATTTCTGAAAATCCCAACTCCTACGATGTATTGATATAAAGCTTTGAGGCGATGTCGTCCATAATATAAATAAATTAATGGAAATAAATAACAGATCTGATAAAGCCGTAAAAGATCGGAAACTAAAGTACATACAACACATATGTATTTAATTTGTTCATTTATAATACATATACATATAATATTTTTATTATTTATAATTATTCCATGTAATGGAACCATCGTCCCAAACCAAGGCAAACTGATTCAATTACATATGTAATTTCAAAAAAAAAACAAAATCCTTACAAAAAAGTAGAGAACTCTTCCTGTATCCGCAGGAACTGTCACCAAACAGATGACTTCTAATCCCGACAACATCCCGAAAGCTAAGCTGAGATTCGTGTTTTGAAAAGAACTTTAATTACTTGTATGTTCGTTGAATTATTCAAGCGTGACGTGACGGCTCAGGACGGTGAGGATTACGACACTCTCACAGGAGACAGCTATCCCTCAGAAGACGTCTGGCGCGTCAGAAATCCAGGATTAAACATATGTAGATCAGGGAAGCGGATCCCTGCCAGGGGGGCTGATTTTTTTTTGTGTTTGCCATCGTGGCCTGCAGCTTGAGTAACCGCAGGGGCAGGGGCGCCTCGGAAAAAAAAATGCATCACAATTCGAATGGAAGGACAATGCCTGGCAGCACATCCTTATGAGATTAAAAATGCAAATCAGCTCAAGGCAGCCGCAAGGAAAAGATGACGTGTCCAAGGACAAGGAATGACGCTGCACTCGCCCGAAGTCGGAGTCGGAGTCGGAGTCGGAGTGGGGGGGATATTGTAATTGTTGTCTGTCAGAAGAGGATGACTGCGGTGTGGTGGCCTGCCCAGAAACATGACAGCTTCATGCGTCCTCCTGCCTCACGGGGCAGCTGCGCCTGCGCCTCGGCCGACGGGCCTCATGTCTTGGCGGTTGCATGAAAATTTTCTGCAGATTTGCCTTGATTTTCATTAGCATTTGCCGTTCCTTCCATTCTCTCTGGTTTTTTGTTTGTCCTCATGGAGGATATTTTTTGGATATTTTTTACAGCCGCTTGCATGATTTGACATAATTTTGATGAATGACCCTGGGGCTGGGTTCGAGATTGTTGGCATAGCTGCTGACAGGCGGCGAGAACTTCATTTCGTCAAGGTGGCAGGGTATTGCGAATGAGTTTGGAAGAAGTTTCCATTCAAGAAAGTGGAATTAAAACAGGTTTTTTAGTTAAAAACTAATAGAACCACTTCGTCTAACTCTCGTCTTTTGAATCTATTGAATTCTAACCAAACATATACCTATATCCTTCTAATAAAATCCAAAACAAATACTCTTAATGAAACATAAAAATTAACAAAGCCTCGCAAACAATTCCAATACTGATTCCATTTTGAGGGTCACATTCCAGGACTCTGTAAGACAATGGCGCCAAAGGGTTAAAGGTGTAAACATTTGACAAAAGTGTCACATCAAGGATACGTTGTAAGCCCGGCCACAGCTGTCCCTGGCTGGAGGTCCTGGCACCGGTGGTAGAACCCAAGAGCAGAGCTGTCGGACACCTACTCCTTTGTTATGCTAAAATACCAGCTTGGCAGTGGCCCGAGATTCATATTTGATATGAAAGGCAGAGGAAAGTCTGGATTGCAAGTGTCTGGCTGCGTTTCTTGGTGTGACAGCTGTCAGAATGCTAATAAGTCATATTCAATATTTACGAGTGCCTCCTCGTGCATGCCAGGCCGGGATTAGGGGCTTCAATTGAACTCACTGATTGAGTGATTGATGGCTGGGCAGGCCGGGAAAGGATAAAGCAAACAGACATGTGGGCAGGGCTCATTAGAAGTACCAGCATATTGTTAAGGATGAGTTTCCATCAGATAGACTAACTAAACCCCAACTTAAAGCCCTTAGCCAGGTGCCTAGCCACCATTCCCAGGCAACTTGTTAATTAGTGCAACCAGCAGAGCAACAAATTGATTGATTCCCATCCCAGCCCCCATCCCAGGGATAACCCAAGGAGCAGACGAACTGCAAGTAGATGCTATAATCCTGTTAGGCAAAACTTTGGCCAGGACTCGAGGATGAACTTCCCACCATCTGCACAAAATGCGCAATTTTCGGCTTGACTGGGCACATGAAACAGATTCGAGACGAGAGGAGGGCCGTGTCAACCTTAATTGAAAAAATAAAAGTAAAACGAAGGCAACAGGGCCGCATCCTTGCAGCCTCCTGCCGCATCCTTTCGCCGCTTCCCGTTTTCGGTGGCGGCTGTTCACTTACAGGACAACGCACCTTTTCTTCCCGTGCGATTTTCACGAAATTGCGCTGCTCAATTACAGCAATCCTTGCTCCTGTTTGGTGTTTTGAATTTTCATCTCGTCTCATTTTCACTGTTGACTTGGCCAGGACAATTGCTGCGAAGGAGCACCCCTTTTGGGATCGTACTACGTTTCAAATTAAAACCCATTTAATGCACTACAAGAAAGCAAACAGCTATGGAAGCTCCTTTGAATAAACAAAAGGATATTTTGTAAGGAGGCGCAGGCCTGCGTCGTAACCCATTTTGTATCTTGTCTCATCGGAGGCCCTCCGTGATTTATTCTCTGGCCTTTATGAGCCAGAGTGGCTCTATAATGAATCCTAATTCTCGTGTTCAACAATTCAGTGCATCATAAATTTTAAATTAACCCCAATTCCACTCGGCATCCACTCCTGGGCCAGCTATCAGAGGAGCAAAGGGTTGTCCAGAACGCAAATATTTACGTCTTTCCCCAGTGTGGAAAATGAAAGGCAAGCTTCGCCTCGCCCAGCTCTTTCAATTAGCCTTTCGGCTTGGCTAGTGCCAACAGGTAAGGACTAGGCCCGAAAACCAGTTCAGGCAATTAGAGTTGGCCTAAAAAGCCTTTCACAGATGTGGCTTTAGCGGGTGAAGGGAGCCAACTTAAAGACGGTAAAGGGGTTTCTTTATAAAGAATGCTAAACTAATTAAAATGTAGACTAAGAGCTTGGTTAAATAGTAAACTATAAGACATATAACAAGGGTAAGTGGGGGACGATCTATAGGTTTCTATTAAAGATTTTACATAGATATATAATGGAGTATGTGGATGGAATAGGATCCTATAGGTTAGATCCTAGGGTTAAGTCCTAAACTAAAACACTTATATGATTGACTAATGTTATTAGAACTATAAGATATATTTAACTGATCTGGAAGAGTAAAGATTTTTGGACAAAATCCTATTTTAAACAAAAGCAAAATAATGAAAACGACAATGAAGTCGATCCCCTGAAACAGTTGCCCTCCAGCTGAGATCCTCAAGAAGCCACACAGCTAGCACCGACAGAGCATATGCAAAATGCCATCTTAAGAGTCCTCCATTGAAGCAGACATGGGTTAGTCTAGCCACTCTTTGTGGTCATAGCCAAATCGAGGTTAATCAAACTAGGTCGAAGTCCAAGGAGGTCCAAGGAGGGGGACTTTTAGAAAATTGCATCGTAAATGTCAACAAATGATGCAAAACTTGATGGTGTGGCCTGAGATGGGTTTGCCTTGGTGGGTTGCTTTTTATGACTGGCTGGAATCGTTTCTAGAGGATGGTGCTAGAGGATAGTGCTGCTAGTGCTGGCAAGGACAATGACAATGCAACAGACTGTCCGGTAGGTCGTAAAACTTCCTTAGGGACAATACCACAACCAGCAGGATGTCTCGCAGATGGGTGCTGAGCACGTACTCATGACCTAAGCCCGAAACTACTTTTTGTTTCATTTTTGCATTATGACAGCCTCTAGAGCCGGCCTCTAGACGACCTGGCGACCCGGCAAGGTGTGCCGCAGCCACACAATGAGTGTGGTGGTGGGGGAAGGACATCGATTGCTCGTAAATTGCAAATGAAATGAGCCAAAACGAATTCCAATGCGGCGAAAGAAAGCCGGGGATTTTCAAGACTCCAATAGAGAGAGAGTTCGAGATCAAGGAGATTCTCCATAGTACTCTGGACTAATTAACAACCAATGATGACATTAGAGGCGATTTTAAAAAAGAGTCCTAGCGAAATGGAAAAAAAGGATATAAAAAGAGGAGGCCTCGGAGCGAAAAAACATCTGCTGGGCGAACAAAAAGCAAAGCCACTGCCAAATCTGAGGCCAGAAAGTGTTGCAGGACCACCCGTTAATGTCCTGCTGCGTCGGCTAGGCAATTGAGATGTCCTGCTGGTGCTGCCTTGGCTGCCTTTCTCTTCCAATCCGATTATGGACTTTGCTTTCGCCTCCCCTCAACGCGCCGAGTATCAACATTAATTTATGGTCCAACCGATTAGAACCCCAAAATAGAAGCCACTGATGAAGGACTGGAATGCCGTTGGAGGGGGAATCTAATCGAGCTTACCTCCAAAGAGAAGAAGGTATTCATTTTATTAGTTGTGGAATAAGTGCAGATTTCTTAATTTAATTCTCTCATTCCCACAACTAAAAATAAATAATTCCACTAATTGTTATCAAGTCTCCAGTGAGTCATTTATTGAAAGCCAGCCACTTGAAACACCTGGCTGGCGACTTCCTGGACGGGCCACTCAGCAAATGGGCTCCACCGGCAGAACGCCGTTGACCAGGCCCAGAATGATAGCCGTTATCTCGTACCAGGCCACATTGGCCAGCACCACGTTCATGGGGGGCACGATGAGCTCCTCCATGAACTGGCTGACCTCGGCGGGGTTGTCGTTGACCAGGATGTCCAGGTACTCCTTGACCAGCTCGTTGACGAACTTCGAGTACAGGCGGCTGTCCATGATTCCTGTGGTCTGGGACTTGGCCTCCCCCAGCTCCCAGTCCACCTTCCAGCTCTGCACATGCACACCGCTGGTGGCCGTGGTGGGGCGGATGATGAAGCTGCCGTGGGCCCGGAAGTCGATCAGCTCCAGATCGAACGCCCCGTCGCCCCACAACGAGAACCTGTCTCCGAAGAGTCCGGCCAAGAGGTTCAGCTTGTAGTTGGAGCTCTTCAGGGATATCTTGGGGAACTTGATGTCGAACTTGATGGTGTGCCGGATGTTGCTCCATTCCAGCTGGGATATCTCGTACCCATCCAGGCCCTCCACAACAAGGTCGGTGAAGTTACCATTGCAACTGTTCGAGGGGACTCATTAGAGGAAAGGTTGGGGACAACTAGAGTGGTTATTACCCAAAGTTCTCAGTGTTGATGGCGATTTCCTGATAGGCGACCTGGGCGGGAGCCAAGACGGGAACACCCCTGTCGGGATAGCCACAACGCATCTGCAAGCGGATGAACTCCGTCAGCTCGCGGAGCTCATCGTCGAAGAGCGTAGCGGTGCCCAGGGAGCAGCAGAGGAGAAGCGCGGCAATTACACAAGAAGCTCTCATGGCGAAGACTAACCAGAAACTGGCGCAGAGTCGACAGCTCAAAAGTACCACCTTGCCAATCAGGAGAAGCGATTAGCCACTCAAGTAACCAAAATCGATAAGATTGGATTAGGCCAGGTGCTTGGAAGATAGGCAGGGCTGTTCCTAATTCCATGTCGAAGAATGAAGATTTAAAACTCCATTTTTGCCAAGCCATTAGTCTCTTCCAAGAGGCCTCTCTACCAAATACAACCCTTTAGAGATTTAGTCTAGCCATCTAGTTCTAACACTCCAACTAGATTAGAGATTAGAGAACCCTAATCAGACTCTAATACCTCTAATCCCCAAAAGTAGACCAACTCCTCAATGTGTATGGAAGCTTTTATTAAAATTTAATCAGCTGATGCACTTAGGCCCAGGGATCGGCAGCAGGATCGCAGTCCACCACGATCGGATCGTCCTCGCTCTCGCCATCGCTGCTGGAGAGGATCAGGTCGACGAGGGTCCAGAAGTCGTTGCCCTTGAGCATCTTGTTCACGCGGGGCACAATGGTGTCCTCGATGGTGTCGGAAATGGTCTGCTGGTTGTTGTTGATGGCCTTCACCACGATGTTCTCCAGCTGGCTGTTGATGACGCGGTTGATCTTGCCGTTGCCCATGAATCCGGTGATGTCCGACTCGACGGACTCCAGGGAGATGGTGGTCTTCAGCGAGGTGATCTTGGCGGATCCCCACAGCATGGGCAGCTTGTACTTCAAAGTGCCGGCGATGCGCAGGTTCACCAAGTCGAACAGGAGCTCGCCTGAGCCCTCGTACTCGACGGACAGACCCAGCTGGCGCAGGGCGTCGATCAGGGTGTCGGTGCTGTACTTCTGGGCGGTGGTGTCGATGTTGGAGAACAGGAAGTCGAAGGTCACCTTGCTGGTGATCACGTTCAGCTTGAACTTCTGGATCTTGAAGTCATCCAGGCCGGCGATCTTCAGGCGGAAGACGTGGTTGAGGGTCTCGAAGATGCCCTTCTTGAAGTCCAGGTCGAGCTCGTTGACGCGGAGGGGAGCCAGCACCGGGATGCCGTACTGGGGCCAGCCGCACTCCATGTTCTTCTGGAGCTTGCGGATGAAGCGACGTGCCTGCCAGGACACAATGAACTGGGGGGCAACTAGGGAGGCGGCAATACTTTGGGTTAGTTTATCATTTAAGGTCTCTTGAGATCTAGAGATCCTGGCAACTCAACCCCCATCTCACCTTCAACTCCCTCCTCGGGGACAAAGAGATCAATGTCGCCATTCTGATCAGCCAACTCGAGGAGACGCTGCTCCACGCGGTTGGGCAAAGTGCCGGCGGCGCAAACGGCCACCAAGCAGGCCAAGACTACCAGGAAACGCATTGTTGGTTGTGGCTACAAGTAACTAGACTCGCTACTGAACTGGCCAGCCCCTGGCCCGGACTCTTATATACCGACAGCCGTCCGGGGCGATAAGGCGGAAAGGCAGCAGATACTGCGGAGATAGCGGAGCAGGAGTGGAGGCTAATTAAAACGCTGACCGGGGGCTCGCTTGATTTGCTTTTTATTGGCTATAGGCTATTGCTGTTTTAGGCGGAGACCTAGTCTATCTTCTTGGGCTCCACGGCCAGCCAGGGGGCGGGAGTGGGGTTGCAGGAGCCGGTGGTGGCGCTGAGCAGACTGAACAGGTACCAGATCTTGTGACCCGTGAGGTGGTCGTTCACCAGCGGCACAAAGATCTCCTCGATCAGGGAGCTGATGGCGGCCTGGTGGCCGTTGATGAAGGCCGGCACCTCCTTGTCGACCATGTCGTTGATGAACTCGTTGATCCTGCCGTTGCCCATCAGGCCGCCGATGTTGGAGGAGACGCCGCCCAAGGACACGGCGCACTCGAACTTGTAGATCTTGATGGAGCCAAAGATGAAGGGCATCTTGTACTTGAACTCGCCGGAAATGGAGAGATTCTCGAGGCTGAAGCTCAGGGGACCAGAGCTCTCGTAGCGCACTGAGAGACCCAGTTGCTTGAGCAGATCCACCAGGGTGTCGGTGTCGAGGAAGTGGGCGCTGGCCGAGATCTTCTTGAAGACAAAGTGGAACTTGACCTTCTTGCTGAAGGTGTAGCTGACCTTCAGCTTCTTGATCTCCAAATCCTCGAGACCGTCGAGACGGAAGCGCAGGAACTGCAACAGGGTACTGATATTGCGAATGAGTGTGTGGAGTTCGGTCATGGGATCTCGAGGGACTTACTCAACCACCGACTCGGCCAAGTGGATACGCAGGTCAGCGTTGGTGTAGGGGGCCAGGGGGGGGATTCCGTACTGGGGCCAGCCGCAGGGCATCTGGTTGATGAGGCCGTTGATGGCCTTCTTGGCCGATCCGTTCAGAATCAGGCCATAGGTATCCGGCTTGGCAGCTGTTCATGAATCGCACAAAAGTTAGCCCACGGATGAGGCGTGATTTGGGGTCAGCCAACTTACGATTACGCTCGACCAGCTGGTTCCACTGGTCCTCGGTCAAGAGCTCCACATCGTAGGCCGCTACGCCGGCCAAAAGGGCCACAAAAACACATACGATAGCTTTCATTGTATAGCCACCTGGTTGCCAGTCCCGGCGGTCAGTGGGCTTTTATAGCAAAATTCGGGGCGCCGAGACCGGGGGCGGGACGCGGAACGAGTCACTCACTTACAGTCAGTCGATTGTACACGAGGTAATCGCTGTGACAGATTAGGAGAACTCTGGACGATTTGCGATACTGCGATGGCTCCCGATTTACCGCGAAGGAATCCAATCACTCATGTTTGGTTTAAAAAAAGCCAGAAGCACTTGTCCAGCTGGAGTGGCTTGTTTTGGCCTAATCTCGACCGGCAATTGGGCAATCGAGTGTCAATAGCGTTTAGCGAATATATATGGCCTATCATCATGGGCTGGGAAATAGGCAAATGCCCGACTACCGGCCAACAGAACTGCGTCAAAAACAATGCAGGTGTCCGCGGATTACTGGCTGATTCCTATCGCTCGATTGGGGGTACATACTATAGGGCGTTGGCATTCTCCAAAGCCACCCAGACTAGCCAGCTGCTCTTCAAAACCTTAGACAGACTTGCAAGGTGATTTATGGTGCCTCCGATTAGGGTTTATAGTGGTTTTTGTTGGGCTAGGAACTTCTGGTCTCATAACTCATCTAGAGTGTATCAGCGGGTCACCAGTGGGTCTGCTGAGTTGCAATTTGTTTATGGAAAACACCAGCCGTAAGTCCTTTAAATAACCATTCCGATTATCAGCCATAAATCACTCAAGTCCACTTGAAAGTATTTTGATTGTAAATCAAACCCCTGAGTAGCTAGATCCTGAGAACCGCTTCAACTATTTTAATCCCAAGAATGGCCTTTGGTTGGAATTCCGCTACTGAAATACTAAAGTTTGTTAGGAATGATACTAAGGTCACTAAAGAGACACACCCCAAGCAGACTTTGATCTCGGCAGGAAGGCAATGTTATTGTTTGAGTGAAAACTATCTACTTTTACGATACCCCTTTGGAGATCAGATCATTTCCTCGGGATAAGTGCTCTGATTTATATAACTAATCATTAAAATTAAAAACTGTCCGAAAGGGGAAACCGTGGCCACTGGCCAGATAAGACAGCAATAAGCCCCCGATCGGAAGGTGGCTAATCAAATGGTGCTCGGGTGGGTGCTAGGGTGCGAAGCTCCCTTATCGCCACTCCACCTGGACGAGGTCTATAAAAAGCGGAGCATTCGGCCGGACGGTCGAGTAGTATAAAAGCGGTACTACGATCACTTTGGTAGGACTCACCAGTCGAAAGCAATATGAAATACTTTGTGGCCCTGTTGGCTTTTGTGGCCGTTGCCAGTGCGGGTACCGTCGGCGTACCCATCGGTGAGTCTCCCTCGAAATGAATCCCAGGGCCAGAGATTACCTCCTCCGTTGTTTGATTCCGGTAGATAACCACTCGATCGCCAGCACCGTGGTGGATCTCATTGAGGGGCTCAAGGAGCAGATGCCATGCGGCTTCACTGGCCTGGGCATCCCGCCGCTGGCTCCTCTCAGAATCGACCACAAGAACATCGACATCGACACCGAGGCCATCAAGGCCGAGGGCACCATCGACCACTTCCGTCTCAACGGACTGAACGAGTTCGACATCGATGAGATGAAGATCAACGCCCTCACCAGCAAGGTCACCTACAAGTTCACCTTCCGCGACGTGAACGTCGACACCCAGTACGACCTGAAGGTCCTGCTGAAGAAGTACGGTTTCACTATCAACCTCATCGGCGCCGGCCACGCCAAGTTCGCCATCAAGGATATGGTCATCTGGGGCACCCTCAAGTACTCCCTGGGCGTCATCAGTGGCAACCTGAAGCTCAAGTCCCTCGAGGTGCGCACCCACCTCGGCGAGGTTGACTCCGAGATCGAGGGCATCCTCGGCGACGGTACCATCAACGAGAAGATGAACGAGTACCTGGCCGAGGCCGTCGAGCTGGCCATCAACGAGAACGAGGACCTCATCACCGACACCATCGAGAGCATCGCCCTGCCCGTGGTCAACAACATCCTGGACGATGTCAGCATCGCCGACGTCATTGCTGGCGGCACCGGCGGCGAGGGTGGCGAGAAGGAGGTCTGCATTCCTCCAGAGTTCGATTGGTAATCACTAAATGGTTAATTAAACTACAATTTTTGAATCAAAATCAAAGTTATTTTGGACTTTTTTGGTTGGGGGGATCTGGGCTTCTTGAGGTTGTCTTGCCTATTGCTATATCTTGGCTATTAATTGATATTTTTACAACCTCTTTAGAATTTACAGCACTCATCATCGCCTATCTAGCGAACTAATCTCAAGTTGGCTCTTATCGGTTATAAAACATTTTGGCAAATTAAAAGAAGATTAGAATACAATACTTAGTTGATAAGGTTAGTCTATCAGCTCCCAAAAGTAGGCTACACAATAAGCTTCAAAGATTAAGGATATTCGTGCTTGATTTACAAACTTTTAGATATAATATCTATATACATAAATGTATATTATTTGTGTAATACATTACAATATACATATGTCTATCTATCTTTTGCAAAATATTCCCAGAATTTGTTTTCAAATCATCCAATTTTTTTCTTTGTGTAGAGATAGTCTATCTCCTCGACTGATGCCTATATAAGAGCCCTGGATGGCTGAACTTTCTTTAGTAGTTTTTGCTAGCTGAACGGCTCAAGTTGCTTGTAGTGTCCAAAAATGAGGTCCGAATTAGTGGTTGTACTTATCTTGGCTGTGGCCAGCTGCAAAGGTGCGGAGATTGCTGAGCCTCTGGCAGGTAATATTAGTTTCAAAATAAAACAAGACACAGCTCTAATGAAGCCTTCTCCAACCACCCTTTCCAGCCCAGGATCGGTCTTTCTCCAGCGTGCTTTTGGAATTCATTGACGAGGATTTGAGGTCGTTCCTGCAAACCGGCGGAGGAGGTGTCCCCGTTCTGGCTCCCCTGAAAGCCTCCCACAAGTCCCTCGACATCAGCAGCGGAGAGTTCAAAATCAAGGGCGAGGTGGAGGACTTTGTGCTGCAGGGACTCGATGGCTACGAAATTGTGATCATGAACCTGGATCTGTTCAGGAGCCGCCTCACCTTTGAACTGAACTTCCCCAGCGTGAACATCACCACCCAGTACAAGGCCGATGTGGGCAGCGGCTACAGCATCCAGCGATCTGGTGGCGCCTTCTTCGCCCTCGAAAACCTGAACATTCAGGGCAGGATCAGCTACTCCCTGGGCGTCATCTCCAACAACCTGCGAGTGAAGAACATTCTGGTGTACCCCTCGGTGGGCAACGTCAAGTCGGAGATCGAGAACCTCTCCAAATACCGCATCCTCAACCGCAAGCTCAACGAAATCGTCGAGGAGTTCGTCAGCCTGACCATCAACGACAACACCGACTACGCCGCCAACTGGGTGGACGAGCTGCTCACCCCCGTCTGCAACGACCTCATCGGTGACCGTACCCTGAGTGATCTCATCGCCATTATTACGGGAAACTAACCCAGCCCGACAAATAATTCAAATTTCCCCAAAAACATATTGCCACAAATTCCAATAAAGACAAAGAAATTACCTAATTTTGGCTCAGACCATAAAGTGTTTTTGGCCAGAAACGTGTGTACCATCATAAACCATGTGCAAACTTTATTTGAGCTGCCCACCAGCGGCTGGAAAACACACTAATCACCCCGGCCATTTGGTTAATCTAATCGTTAAGATTAGGCTTATAATAGCATTTCCTCTGCCTTTACGATAATTGATTAGTTGAAATAAATACTCGAGTTTTATTGAGAAAAGCCGCTAAGGGAGTCTTGGGGCATGCATATATTTTTGAATTTTTAGTTTTCTAATAAAAAAGAAAAGAAAAAACTTGGATATGATCTTTCGGTTTGGTCCTTTGTTTTAATACAGCATACTTTTGGGAGCAAGTATGGAATAATAACCATAGCATACTTTCAGGGTTGGCTTCTACAGCAACTATACTTTTATAGCAAGTATGGAATAATAACCATAGCATACTTTCAGGGTTGCCATTTACAGCAACTAGCCAGAAGCCAAAAAGTATGCTAAGAATATTAAAATAAGATATTTAATTAAGAGTCATATTTAATTAATATTTTTAGAGTACAAAAATATACATTTTTAAGATATAAATTATTATTAGAAATACTTAAACTAATCGTGTAAAAATTATCTTAAAAAATAAGCATATATGGATGTCCACCTGAGCCAAACCCAAAGATAGGAAAACCCCTTCTTCTTATCATTCCCTTACACAGGGTCGATGAACTAATAGTCGCACTCTAACCAAGCTTATGCAATGTTTGTTACAATATTCTTGTTTTAGCAATATCGTTATCACACCCCTGATACGATTGTGTGAGGGCGGGAGACACTGTTTATAGACAAACTGATAATGGAATCAGGCGAGGCCTTTACCACCCAGGCAGCTAGACAGACCTTGACTTGAACCGAAAAAAGTATAAGTATACATGTATATAGAACACTACACCGACATGATTATGATTATGATTATGATGCTAAGAGAATAGCCACCCAATACGCAATAGCTATTATCAGCCGAGGGATCTGAGAGCCGCACGAGAATTCCTGGCCAGAGACTCAGCTCTGATCTGGTAATCGGAATAAAGCTCGTCTATATTTCAGGGATTAGTTCGAGACTGACTTTCGTTCGATTCAGAGGCTGCGCTTGAAAATGCTGACAAAATACTTGGGATTCCTCTTGCTGGCCCAGGTAGGGAAGGCGATAAGAACTATAGAGTATATACGTTCGACTTATCAGCTTTTACTTTCAAGCTCGTGCTAGCGGCGCCCAGCCAACCCAGTCAGGAGTCGGTGGATCTCAACGATCCAGTCCAAAGGGATCTGCAACAGAAGGCCAAGCTGGAGACAGTCCATCTGTATGATTCGCTGTTCCGCTCCCAAATCGCCTACTTCACAGAGGTCAGGTCCCACCTGAGCCCTCAGACGAAGAGGTTCCGTGACATAACCCTCTACTTGACCCGTCTCAACCAAGCCATAGCCCAGGAAGGTCTGGAGGCCAAGGAAAAAATCTGGTTCGACGTTTTCGAAGAGGTATTACATACCAATGACCCTAAAATATTTATTAAAACTTAGCAACTTATATATTATTTTAGTTCAAGGAATCTCCTCTGCTGCTGAACCGGGAATCCGAGACGAACCTCAGCGATGTGCAGTACAAGCTCCTGCTGACTGGAAAGAAGCTACAGGACATATCCTCACAGTTCCTGGCGGATGTCGGAGGTTACGTTTGGAATATGGCCAAGTTTAGTGGCAAAGTCGTTGAGAATCACATAGACGGTCTGGCGAAAGCCTCCCAGACCTAGTTTTTATTTCCAAAGAAAATTAATAAACGGCGAAACTGTTTCTTTAAGTAATTAATCGATCAATTTTCCACCCACACACCCACTTCACAGCCTTGATACTTGAACGGTTTTCCGGTGATTTAAATACACTATATAATTGTGTATATATTTTGGATAAAGTAACGTATGATCCAAAAAGGTAATACCCCTTTGAAGCTAAATATTCATTATTTAAAAGAAGGGATGCCCAACAAGTACAAGTAATCAGCTTAACCTTATCAACGTTAAAGATTAAAGATTAGTCCAGATTATTTTGTTATAATTATTAAATCAGAAATATGCAGATTAATATTTATGAAACGCACTGCCAGCCAAGGGAGAGGCCTGCCTTTCAATGAAGAGATACATTTCCAGAGACTCGTCATGATTTTGTTATTCATTCTCCAGGCAGGGACCATTTTAGGACATATTATGACTTAATTACCGCATTGCAAAAATTCCCTCTCGCATTGACATTTATTTTGTTTCAACTTTTCCGGCCGGACGAGAACTTGAATAAACTCAAGCCCCAACAGCCCCCACCCAGAGTTGTGCAATTGCAGTTTAAATAGCAAATGCAAGCAAAGTGCAAGATATTTTTAATGCAAAATGCGTTAAAAATAAGCGAGAGGTGGAAGGGGAAGGGGAAGGGTGAGCCAGCAGACGATGTGCATACCAGTTGCACATGTGTCGCTTTAGAATCTAAAAGATACAAAAGATTCCACTCAAAATCAACATTTTCTCCCTTCTTAAAAATATTCACATAATTTTAAAGTATCTGGTAGATAAATAGATACATTAAACGAACAATTGGGACAACTATTTCATCTCAAAGTAATTACTTTCTCTAATTTTTTTTCGGTGTAACATTTGCAGCCCCAATGGCATCAACATGTCACGCTCTCGAGCGTATCGACGCACAACAACAATTTCCACTTCCGATTGGCACACAGACTAAAAGCCATATCAAAAAAAAAAAAAAAAAAAACACACTGATATGCGACTGCGGCAAACAACTCCCTCAAAAATTCGCTTGTCAATATTATTTTACAATTAAAAGCAAATAAACACACTTGCCGAAAGCACAGCCCCAATAAAGACAGAAGCCAACTAGCCGCAGATAAGATGCCGAAAGCAGAGTTTTAAGGGGTTACTTTGGTTAAATGGCAGGGAAAATGATGATTTTTATGATCAATGATGAGATGATTTTGTAATTTGTACAAGATTTCTAGAATATGGTACAGAAACTCTTTAGATTATCCTCCTTGTTTCTATATATCTGAACTGGTTTTTTTTTCAAAAATATATTTTCAAAACCCGATTTCTCGAGAATTTCTCAACAGATCTTGATGCCGTTTTAGACACTTCTTCGAGATACAATAATCGAGTCTACTAATCTAGTAATGTGGGAATTTAAGTTAAAGCTATAGTTTATTTTGAAATTATATATTTTTTAGAAAGTTCTTAGCTTTTTTCGTAATAATATTTATAAAAATGATAATTCTTTTAGATACTTTAGGTAATGGTCTTAGCGAAATAGACATTTTTCTTTATTTTCTTCTTCAAAGATATTCCATTTATTCCAAATATTTGTCGAATTATTTTTTAAAAAGTCAGTAAAAAATTAAAAAGTCATTCTTTAAATAATTAAAAATAAGAACTAATCGTCGCATTTCCGCGAAAGTATCGTAAGCTTCTTTTTATCGAAATTGAGATTTAAATGACAAATTATTATAAAATAGGCCCTATAGTTTCGGTATAATTCCAGATTTAATTATATTCTTTCCATTACCCTTCTAACAAACTTCTTTTAGCTTCAAGCTTCAAGTGAAGCTTTAACTTAAAATAACTTCGACCTAAAATACTTTTGACATTTTTGAAACCGTGAAACCTATGTACCCCCTTCAAGAGAAGGAAGGCTATCATATAGTTGATTCAATAAACTTGCCGTATAATTATATATTTATGAATATAATAAAACTAAAGTAAACAAATAATACCACAGTAATGTTTTCTAATAAAGAGATAATAATGTTGTGGTTTTTTTTAAAGAAAAGTATGGGTTTGCTTTGAAAAGTCCAAAGGAAAAGCATCTTAAAATGAGGAGGATAATTAATATTATTCTGGTAATTAATATTACAGAACAATAAAAAACAAAGAATAATTTAAATCCAATTATATAATAATTAAACAACAAACAACATAACAAAATAAAACGAATTTAAATTAGAATTTAATTAGTAAAGAGCTAATCTCCTTAGAAATAAAACTAAAATAAAATCGCAATTAATGAAAATTAGAGAATTAGAGAAGAAGAAACAGGTAGAATAAATATTCCCATCTAAGGCATGGGTGGACCGGCGAGAAAGTCGTTGGGGCTAATTGCAATTGCTTTAATGGGGAGAACCGCGGTCGCCACCCATTTCAGATAAGAGAGGAAATTTGTTTTTCCCTGCCTCCCATGCCTCCCATGCCCTCCCATGCCTCCGGCGGAATTTCAGAGTTGATTGTTTTGGTTTGTAGGGCCGACTACTATTACTTTCGTATTTATAGTACAAACAAACAGAGAGACGGCACACGCACTGCCTTTGTGTTTGCTTAATGCGCATTCCAGGTAAGTTATTCAAGTCCAGTGGTTATTGAACTGGCCGCAGTGCCATTATCAATATTCAGAGATAATGCGTGGAGGTATAATGATTTCGATCTTATAGGTAAATACTGCCAGAGAATAGCCCTCTATTGTTGCTAAAAATGTCGAAAATGTTTACGACAGTATCGACAGAACTGGAATGACAAACATTAATAATTCATTTCTTTAAATTCTGTGAGTATTTGATTATAAACCCTTAAATCTTAATGGCATTTATTTTAATTTAGAGTGAAATTCATTGGATTAATTGAACTACTGCGGTTCAGGGTTAATATCATTTTAGTTCGCCTGAGGAAAGGGGTTAATAGACAAAGTTCCCCATTTCTTTTAAATGCGTTTGACCTTCCCGATTGGCGGGCACCGTTACCGATACCTTCAAATATGAATTCTGAAACGGGAAAACGACAATAGGAATCAAACAATGCTGATATTGAAAGATATCTTCCGATATAGACGAAGTTTGTATACTCTTTCAGATACCTATTGGTATACCCATTACGAGGAACTCTCAAGAACTCTTAGTATAACCTTATACCCTCAGTTATAGGGTAGAATCATCCATCACGATGACGGTTGACAGTCGAATAGTCTCTGGTTGGGACATTATCCGATCTGGTACGGTTAGGGGTCAATGCCAATAAGAAAGTCGCGTGCAAAACGCTTTACGAGATCTCGTATTCTCGTTCTCGGGTTTCGTTTCTGGTTGGAGGATAGGCCTGTTCCAGAGCAACAAAACCAAGACAGAGCCCCTGAAAATGTTGTTTACATTTTTGGTGAATGTTTTGTTGTTGGTGTTGTTGGTGGTGCTTCTGCTGCTTCTTCTGCTCCTCGACAAGAGATTTTCTAATAAACCATTTTGGAAACCGGTTTCTAGTATGATTTCGTGAACGGTCTCAGTTTTGGTGGCTGCCACATGAGGATGACGCAAAAGCAGAAGAGGAAGAGGGCATCAAATTTCATGCCCCACACAAACACACACACACACAACACACACATTATACATACACTGGAAATTGGGCAGAAAAGCATGTTTTAAACAAAAAACAAAGCTCTTTCTTTTGAGGAACAACACTTTCAATGGCCCCTCTTGGTCCGCTCGGTCCGGTTGAATGGGCATTTTGGTAACAATAATCCTAGCACGGGGGTTGCTCGATTGTTGCCTCATAGATTTTCGGTCAGAGATTAGCATAAAGCACTCCAAACAATGGCAACCACAAGTCCAGACGCTGGCCGCCCTGGACCCTGGACCCATATAACAAATAACAATGGAGGTGTGGATCAGATTCCCAGCAATAAACTCGTTTAATCAAAGGATGTTCCAGCCCCATCCCCGAGCCATGAAATTCAATGAGGTCTCCTGGGTGTCCCTAGGTCAAAGTTATTGTAGTACCCAGAAATCCAGAGTCTATAGCCTATATAGTACTCACCTTCAATGCAAACAACATGATCCCGAATCGACTGGGCTATCTGGGCATCGGCCAAAGGTAGCAGATCAATCAGCTCGTATATGGCATAGATCGATGGATGGACGCTCTCGAAGCGCTGGATCTCCTGGCGAATGGCCAGCGAGTTGCTGATCAGGGGCTGCGGTGGCTGAGCCACCAATATGGATGAGCCCGTCGCCACGGTGGGTATGGTGTGGTTGTGGCGCGATTGTGATTGCGATTGGGATTGGGATTGCGGGGGCGGATGCTGGATCTGTATCTGGTTTTGTAGCTGATTCTGTAGCTGTTGGGGATGCGGATGCGCCAGTGAGTGGGGATGGTAATTGCTCATGTTGGAGCGGGGGCGATGGCAGTGGCGATGATACCGAGAGTTAGCTAACGTTTTTAATTAACTTGAATTGCCGACGAGCACAAACGTAAACGTAACACACGCACTCACAACACACACAACACACACAAAACTAATATAAACGCTACACAGATGCGATGGCACAATTTTCCCGAACGAAGACGCGCAACATTTTCCAATAACAACCAACAACAAATCGGGGCAATAGAACGCTGGCGCGGCAACTTGGAGTCGTAGTTCACAGTTCGTGGTGTCAGTCAGAGCATTGCTTTTGGCTATTGGCTCAATTCAATTCAATTCAATTCACCAAATCGATTATACACCTGTACAAACAATCAAAACACCTTTTCAAAATAAATTATTACGTTGACAGCGCCCCGTAAGCACACATTGGAAGTGTCATTCGATTTCCGCAAATTGTTTGTTACGCAGCCGCCGATCCGAGCTTCCGTCCAATGCGCTACGATTTAATATTTTATACAGCTCTTTTAAATTCCAAGTTTTTACGTCTGCGATAGGGTTGTTCAATATCAAATATATCAATACATCAAAATAAAAATATATCGATATATGAACGTACTTTTCGCCAACTACATTTCACATTTTACTTGACTTCAGTTTCTTCGGTTTACAGCACTGACAGCCTGCCTGGTTCCTGCATTCGCTTGGTCTATTGAGCGATATTGCTTTTAAGTAATTTTAACTTTCCAGGGGCACATATATTATTTTTCATTTCATTACCTTCTAAAAACTTATGATAAAAAAAAGACTTGTTTCCAATTTTACCGGAAATACAATTGTTCTTTTTTTCGAATTCTCTTTATTTAACACGGTGAGGTTTGTGACTTTGCTGAATTTTCTTTTGCTTGAAAATTTGCAGTCTTTTTATTTTTTAAGAAAAAGACTTTCCTTTGTATAACTAGCCGCACAGAAATTTATAAATATAAAATTTTTTTTTTACAAAACAATCAGATGCAGTTTTTAACTGGAAATTTGAAATAATTCACGTTCTTATCGATAATTTTTCATACAGGTTCCACTTTTGCCCACCGCTAGCGCTGCGGATTCCATAACCTGTAAACAAATAAATACACTTCCCGGTGCTTTCCTTGCATAACTATTTATAATAACTTGTCTAAAATGGCTCAAAGTAGGCTCGAAAAGATTGGGACTATCTTCACAAGGTTCGCATTGGCATGAAGTAATTGAACTTTTCTGACGCCACCCTTTTTCAGAGTTCAGGGACTTCTCCGAGGCGGCGCCATGAAAGCGGAGGATAAACCCATTTGGTACGATGTTTACGCCGCATTTCCTCCCAAGGCGGAACCCCGTTTCGACAGGGTGGCACCCCAGATCCCAGTAAAAAAAATATTTTACGTCGAAGATGTGGTTCGAGCGTAAGTCCCTCTTATGATTCTGGCGCTCCGAGTCTTTAATCTATGGTCTCTGCAGAAAGCTCCATAGGGAAAATAAGCCCCAGGAAACGATATCCCTGCTTGACAACCGACGTAGCTCCCAGTCGCAACAGTTCGTTCAGATCTATCAGAACTTAAAGACGCAAGGAGCGTTGGACGACCAGAAAATTTACGAAACTGCTTTGGACTTGTTGGCGGAGCAGCGTCAGCAGTCGAGATTGGCGGCCACCCCAGAGGAAGTTGCTCAAGAGATCGACACCGAAACGAAGTCCCAGCTGTTGAGTGACTTTAAGGAAGCAAGCGAGAGCCAAGCTTCAAAATCTTCCTCCGTGCCGCCTACGCCCAAGTCCAAAAGGGACGCGGGAGTCGGCATTAACATAGACAGTTTGTTCAAGGATTAGACAATATATTTTTTTCAACTAATAATAAACATGTGTACTTTAAAATGGAACACGTCTCAAACGGCCAGAGCATCGTTCTGTGACTCGTGGCTGAGCTGTGTCTGTAGATTGGACAGCTTGTTTTTAAGCACCTGTACGCCCATTACCACAATATTTTCGGGCTTGAGCGCACCAGAAGATTCTACATTGAAAAAGAACTTGTTTGGCTTGGCCTCCCAATTGTAGGGCGCTTCGTATTGGTCGTCCTCCAGCTCGGTGTGTTCACTCTTTGGCCACTCGTCTGGTTTGGGGTACAACGTGTGGCGCATAGAGTTATCCGGGTCGTATTCAAAGCAAACACCAGCCGTAGGATTCCACTTGGCATGTTCCTTGCCGAATCCTTTCTTGGCGTAGGCTCGCAGCTTCAGCTCCTGTCCCTTGCGCAGCTTTATGATCAGAATCTCGTCATTGCTCTCCCCATACTCGTTGTCCTCCTCTCCCTGATTTCGCGACGTCACTGGCAACACCTTGGCGTTGCTCGATTTGAGATCGGCGGTGGTCACGTGGCGCGTCTGCTCCTCGTTGCACTTTACGTCCAGGGTAAACTCTACGCTGCACTCGGGACAAAAGTCCAGGCAGATGCAATCACGAGTGTACTGTAAACGCTCCACGACGTCGTCGGAGATGAGCGGAATTAAGCCGATGCGGTGCGCCAGGAACTCATCCGACAGTACTGTGGAATTGGCCTCCAGTTGCACCCAGTCAATGGCCAGCGTCGGCGTCTCGGCGATAAAAACTCGTCGCAGGCTATTCGCCACACTTAACTCCGTGTCCTCCAGGACGAACTTAACGTTGTCATCGGTAAGCTCGGTTATTTGCACTGACGGCTGATTGGCATAGGGCATATCGTTTGTTTTTTGTTTTCAATGAAAAATTGGGAAAAAATATTGAGAATGCCGCTTTCTGGCTAGGGATGAGAAAAATATCTATTTTTATCAAAACATCGATTGGGCCACGGTATTGATATCGATCAGAAACAATGTGACCAGACTGCCAGACGAAAAAAATACTGTTATTTGTTATATATTTTAATTAAAAACGTATGTTCCAATTTGAATTCTTTTAAATATTATTAACTCTAAAATAAGCTTCTTTCTCCGAAAAAAATATTGTCAGGGGTCCAAAATGAGAAAAAAAGGCATTTTTTACAAACAAATACATTTTATAGCCACAAGATTTACATTACATAAAATTTTAGTCAAATTACCATAAAAGGCAGAGCTTCTTCTAGTGTTGTCTGTTGTAGGGACAGCCAGCTGAAGTATTAGCTTAATTAAGCTCGAACTTCACACACGATCCAATAGTTGCTTTAGCTCTCCACCAGAAAACGTTTCGATAAGCCTCTGGTCTTTGATTAATTAAAGCCATGGGTCCAATTGAGCTGATTTTCTCCAACCTTATCCGGTTGGTCCCGATATAAAAGCTTTTCAAAGACCATCCACACTTTGAAATAATCAACAAAGTCTTAAGTCCATCCGCATCGTGCTTACCGATTCAAGAATTAAAAAAGCCCTTAAACAACTGAAAAAAAAATGTTTTTAAATGCATATATAAATAAGAATTAGTGACTCTTTCCACAAATCATACCATTTTTTAAATGTTGCTTTCGAATGCTTCTTATTTGTGGGTATTAGCCATGCATTATTGAGGTAGGAATTCATACTCCATAAATGGGTTATAAAAGTGGAAACTCTTTCTTGTGGATTTCCTCGTTGGAATATAGGGATTGGAAATCTTTATACGCCTTCTTGGTGTAGACGCTATAAACGGATTGGAAATAACAATACTCAATCTTGTCGGTTTCGACGTTTTTGGACTTCTCGTTGAATACTCAAAGGGATTCGGTATAATTATAGGTCTCCTCGTCGGTTGTGTCGTTTTTGATTTTTTAGTTGTCTTTTTAGAACTATTAAAAGGATTTGCGATAATTATTGGCTCCCTTGTTGTTTTAGTTGCTCCTTTTTTCGTCGTCCTTGTGGCACTCATGAATGGATTTGGGATAACTAATGGTTTTCTCGTTGTCTTTGACGTTGTAGTTCTTCTCGTTGTCCTAGTATAATCTTCATAGTCCATAAACGGATTTGAAAAATGAAACCTCTCTCTTGTTGTTTCCATATAGTGATTGGAGACAACTAATAGTGGTCTTTGGGAAGATGCCTGAAAGGCTCCAAAAGGATTCGGGAGAACAATTGACTTTCTCGTTGGATTTTTAGTTGTTCGAGTGACACTCACAAAAGGATTTGGGATGATTATTGGGCTTCTTGTTGTTTTTGACGTTGTTGTCCGTCTTGTCGTGCTATCCAAATCTTGATAGTCCATAAACGGGTGAGGAAAGTGAAGCCTTTCCCTTGTTGTTTCCATATAGGGATTGGAAACACTTATAAGCCATCTGGTTGTAGACGCCTTAGGATACTCAAATGGATTCGGGACAACTATTGGTTCTCTTGTTGCCTTCCTCGTTGTGGTTTTTGACGTCGTCCATACAGAAACTTCAAATGGATTTGGTATAATTATAGGCTTTCTCGTGGTCTTACTCGTTTTTGAGTTTTCAGTGGTTTTTTTAGAAGCCTCAAAGGGATTTGGTATAATTATTGGCTCTCTCGTTGTTCTTGTCACACTTAAAAATGGATTTGGGATAACTATTGGGCTTCTCGTTGTTTCTGACGTTGTTGTTTCACTTGTCGTCCTAGTATAGTCTTCATAGTCCATAAACGGATTTAAAAAATGAAACCGCTCTCTTGTTGTTCCCATATAGGGATTGGAAACACTTACTACCTTTCTTGTTGTAGATTCCGTAAGAGCCTCAAAAGGATTCTGGATAATTAATGGCTCTCTAGTAGATTTCGTCGCTCCTCTTGTCGTTAGACTCACAAACGGATTCGGGAGGACTATTGGCTCTCGTGTGGTCCTCGCTGTTGTGATTTTCACAGTTGTTAACCTAGAATCTTCAAAAGGATTGGAAATAATTAAAGGTTCCCTCGTTAGTTTTGCTGTTGTTTCGAAAATTTCAAACGGGTTTGGAATATCTAAGGACTTTCTTGTAGTTTTCAAAGTTTCAACTGTTTTCTCAAACGGATTGGGAACAACTAGCGCCTCTCTGGTAGTGTCTTCTTCCTTCATGCTGGTAGTATCCTCAAACGGATTGGGAATCAATAGTTCCTCTCTCGTTGATCCAGTCGACGTTGATGTAGAATTCTCGAAAGGATTTGGAACAACCAATGGCTTCCTTGTGGTTTTCAGCGTAGTCGCTGTGGGATCGAAAGGATTAGGAACAACTAGCGCCTCTCTGGTAGTGTCTTCTTCCTTCATGCTGGTAGTATCCTCAAACGGATTGGGAATCAATAGTTCCTCTCTCGTTGATCCAGTCGACGTTGATGTAGAATTCTCGAAAGGATTTGGAACAACCAATGGCTTCCTTGTGGTTTTCAGCGTAGTCGCTGTGGGATCGAAAGGATTAGGAACAACTAGCGCCTCTCTGGTAGTGTCTTCTTCCTTCATGCTGGTAGTATCCTCAAACGGATTGGGAATCAATAGTTCCTCTCTCGTTGATCCAGTCGACGTTGATGTGGAATTCTCGAAAGGATTTGGAACAACCAATGGCTTCCTTGTGGTTTTCAGCGTAGTCGCTGTGGGATCGAAAGGATTGGGAACCACTAGCGCCTCTCTGGTAGTGTCTTCTTCCTTCATGCTGGTAGTATCCTCAAACGGATTGGGAATCAATAGTTCCTCTCTCGTTGATCCAGTCGACGTTGATGTGAAATTCTCGAAAGGATTTGGAACAACCAATGGCTTCCTTGTGGTTTTCAGCGTAGTCGCTGTGGGATCGAAAGGATTGGGAACCACTAGCGCCTCTCTGGTAGTGTCTTCTTCCTTCATGCTGGTAGTATCCTCAAACGGATTGGGAATCAATAGTTCCTCTCTCGTTGATCCAGTCGACGTTGATGTGGAATTCTCGAAAGGATTTGGAACAACCAATGGCTTCCTTGTGGTTTTCAGCGTAGTCGCTGTGGGATCGAAAGGATTGGGAACCACTAGCGCCTCTCTGGTAGTGTCTTCTTCCTTCATGCTGGTAGTATCCTCAAACGGATTGGGAATCAATAGTTCCTCTCTCGTTGATCCAGTCGACGTTGATGTGGAATTCTCGAAAGGATTTGGAACAACCAATGGCTTCCTTGTGGTTTTCAGCGTAGTCGCTGTGGGATCGAAAGGATTGGGAACCACTAGCGCCTCTCTGGTAGTGTCTTCTTCCTTCATGCTGGTAGTATCCTCAAACGGATTGGGAATCAATAGTTCCTCTCTCGTTGATCCAGTCGACGTTGATGTGGAATTCTCGAAAGGATTTGGAACAACCAATGGCTTCCTTGTGGTTTTCAGCGTAGTCGCTGTGGGATCGAAAGGATTGGGAACCACTAGCGCCTCTCTGGTAGTGTCTTCTTCCTTCATGCTGGTAGTATCCTCAAACGGATTGGGAATCAATAGTTCCTCTCTCGTTGATCCAGTCGACGTTGATGTGGAATTCTCGAAAGGATTTGGAACAACCAATGGCTTCCTTGTGGTTTTCAGCGTAGTCGCTGTGGGATCGAAAGGATTGGGAACCACTAGCGCCTCTCTGGTAGTGTCTTCTTCCTTCATGCTGGTAGTATCCTCAAACGGATTGGGAATCAATAGTTCCTCTCTCGTTGATCCAGTCGACGTTGATGTGGAATTCTCGAAAGGATTTGGAACAACCAATGGCTTCCTTGTGGTTTTCAGCGTAGTCGCTGTGGGATCGAAAGGATTGGGAACCACTAGCGCCTCTCTGGTAGTGTCTTCTTCCTTCATGCTGGTAGTATCCTCAAACGGATTGGGAATCAATAGTTCCTCTCTCGTTGATCCAGTCGACGTTGATGTGGAATTCTCGAAAGGATTTGGAACAACCAATGGCTTCCTTGTGGTTTTCAGCGTAGTCGCTGTGGGATCGAAAGGATTGGGAACAACTAGCGCCTCTCTGGTAGTGTCTTCTTCCTTCATGCTGGTAGTATCCTCAAACGGATTGGGAATCAATAGTTCCTCTCTCGTTGAGCCAGTCGACGTTGATGTGGAATTCTCGAAAGGATTTGGAACAACCAATGGCTTCCTTGTGGTTTTCAGCGTAGTCGCTGTGGGATCGAAAGGATTGGGAACCACTAGCGCCTCTCTGGTAGTGTCTTCTTCCTTCATGCTGGTAGTATCCTCAAACGGATTGGGAATCAATAGTTCCTCTCTCGTTGATCCAGTCGACGTTGATGTGGAATTCTCGAAAGGATTTGGAACAACCAATGGCTTCCTTGTGGTTTTCAGCGTAGTCGCTGTGGGATCGAAAGGATTGGGAACCACTAGCGCCTCTCTGGTAGTGTCTTCTTCCTTCATGCTGGTAGTATCCTCAAACGGATTGGGTATCAATAGTTCCTCTCTCGTTGATCCAGTCGACGTTGATGTAGAATTCTCGAAAGGATTTGGCACAACCAATGGCTTCCTTGTGGTTTTCATCGTAGTCGCTGTGGGATCGAAAGGATTAGGAACCACTAACGCCTCTCTGGTTGTGTCTTCTTCCTTCATGCTGGTAGTATCCTCAAACGGATTGGGAATCAATAGTTCCTCTCTCGTTGATCCAGTCGACGTTGATGTGGAATTCTCGAAAGGATTTGGAACAACCAATGGCTTCCTTGTGGTTTTCAGCGTAGTCGCTGTGGGATCGAAAGGATTGGGAACCACTAGCGCCTCTCTGGTAGTGTCTTCTTCCTTCATGCTGGTAGTATCCTCAAACGGATTGGGAATCAATAGTTCATCTCTCGTTGATCCAGTCGACGTTGATGTGGAATTCTCGAAAGGATTTGGAACAACCAATGGCTTCCTTGTGGTTTTCAGCGTAGTCGCTGTGGGATCGAAAGGATTGGGAACCACTAGCGCCTCTCTGGTAGTGTCTTCTTCCTTCATGCTGGTAGTATCCTCAAACGGATTGGGAATCAATAGTTCCTCTCTCGTTGAGCCAGTCGACGTTGATGTGGAATTCTCGAAAGGATTTGGAACAACCAATGGCTTCCTTGTGGTTTTCAGCGTAGTCGCTGTGGGATCGAAAGGATTAGGAACAACTAGCGCCTCTCTGGTTGTGTCTTCTTCCTTCATGCTGGTAGTATCCTCAAACGGATTGGGAATCAATAGTTCCTCTCTCGTTGATCCAGTCGACGTTGATGTGGAATTCTCGAAAGGATTTGGAACAACCAATGGCTTCCTTGTGGTTTTCAGCGTAGTCGCTGTGGGATCGAAAGGATTAGGAACAACTAGCGCCTCTCTGGTTGTGTCTTCTTCCTTCATGCTGGTAGTATCCTCAAACGGATTGGGAATCAATAGTTCCTCTCTCGTTGATCCAGTCGACGTTGATGTGGAATTCTCGAAAGGATTTGGAACAACCAATGGCTTCCTTGTGGTTTTCAGCGTAGTCGCTGTGGGATCGAAAGGATTGGGAACCACTAGCGCCTCTCTGGTAGTGTCTTCTTCCTTCATGCTGGTAGTATCCTCAAACGGATTGGGAATCAATAGTTCCTCTCTCGTTGATCCAGTCGACGTTGATGTGGAATTCTCGAAAGGATTTGGAACAACCAATGGCTTCCTTGTGGTTTTCAGCGTAGTCGCTGTGGGATCGAAAGGATTGGGAACCACTAGCGCCTCTCTGGTAGTGTCTTCTTCCTTCATGCTGGTAGTATCCTCAAACGGATTGGGAATCAATAGTTCCTCTCTCGTTGATCCAGTAGATGTTGATGTAGAACTCTCGAAAGGATTTGGAACAACCAATGGCTTCCTTGTGGTTTTCATCGTAGTCGCTGTGGGATCGAAAGGATTAGGAACCACTAACGCCTCTCTGGTTGTGTCTTCTTCCTTCATGCTGGTAGTATCCTCAAACGGATTGGGAATCAATAGTTCCTCTCTCGTTGATCCAGTCGACGTTGATGTAGAATTCTCGAAAGGATTTGGAACAACCAATGGCTTCCTTGTGGTTTTCAGCGTAGTCGCTGTGGGATCGAAAGGATTAGGAACAACTAGCGCCTCTCTGGTAGTGTCTTCTTCCTTCATGCTGGTAGTATCCTCAAACGGATTGGGAATCAATAGTTCCTCTCTCGTTGATCCAGTCGACGTTGATGTAGAATTCTCGAAAGGATTTGGAACAACCAATGGCTTCCTTGTGGTTTTCAGCGTAGTCGCTGTGGGATCGAAAGGATTGGGAACCACTAGCGCCTCTCTGGTAGTGTCTTCTTCCTTCATGCTGGTAGTATCCTCAAACGGATTGGGAATCAATAGTTCCTCTCTCGTTGATCCAGTCGACGTTGATGTAGAATTCTCGAAAGGATTTGGAACAACCAATGGCTTCCTTGTGGTTTTCAGCGTAGTCGCTGTGGGATCGAAAGGATTGGGAACCACTAGCGCCTCTCTGGTAGTGTCTTCTTCCTTCATGCTGGTAGTATCCTCAAACGGATTGGGAATCAATAGTTCCTCTCTCGTTGATCCAGTCGACGTTGATGTAGAATTCTCGAAAGGATTTGGAACAACCAATGGCTTCCTTGTGGTTTTCAGCGTAGTCGCTGTGGGATCGAAAGGATTAGGAACAACTAGCGCCTCTCTGGTTGTGTCTTCTTCCTTCATGCTGGTAGTATCCTCAAACGGATTGGGAACAACTAGCGCCTCTCTAGTAGTGTCTTCTTCCTTCATGCTGGTAGTATCCTCAAACGGATTGGGAATCAATAGTTCCTCTCTCGTTGAGCCAGTCGATGTTGATGTATAATTCTCGAAAGGATTTGGAACAACCAATGGCTTCCTTGTGGTTTTCAGCGTAGTCGCTGTGGGATCGAAAGGATTAGGAACAACTAGCGCCTCTCTGGTTGTGTCTTCTTCCTTCATGCTGGTAGTATCCTCAAACGGATTGATATGCCCCGGGTTGTTTATTTCCTGCTTCTTGTTGGTGTAAGGATTGGGAACAACTAGCGCCTCTCTAGTAGTGTCTTCTTCCTTCATGCTGGTAGTATCCTCAAACGGATTGGGAATCAATAGTTCCTCTCTCGTTGATCCAGTCGACGTTGATGTAGAATTCTCGAAAGGATTTGGAACAACCAATGGCTTCCTTGTGGTTTTCATCGTAGTCGCTGTGGGATCGAAAGGATTAGGAACAACTAGCGCCTCTCTGGTTGTGTCTTCTTCCTTCATGCTGGTAGTATCCTCAAACGGATTGGGAACAACTAGCGCCTCTCTAGTAGTGTCTTCTTCCTTCATGCTGGTAGTATCCTCAAACGGATTGGGAATCAATAGTTCCTCTCTCGTTGATCCAGTCGACGTTGATGTAGAATTCTCGAAAGGATTTGGAACAACCAATGGCTTCCTTGTGGTTTCCATCGTAGTCGCTGTGGGATCGAAAGGATTAGGAACAACTAGCGCCTCTCTGGTTGTGTCTTCTTCCTTCATGCTGGTAGTATCCTCAAACGGATTGGGAACCACTAACGCCTCTCTGGTAGTGTCTTCTTCCTTCATGCTGGTAGTATCCTCAAACGGATTGGGAACCACTAACGCCTCTCTGGTACTGTCTTCTTCCTTCATGCTGGTAGTATCCTCAAACGGATTGGGAATCAATAGTTCCTCTCTCGTTGATCCAGTCGACGTTGATGTAGAATTCTCGAAAGGATTTGGAACAACCAATGGCTTCCTTGTGGTTTTCAGCGTAGTCGCTGTGGGATCGAAAGGATTAGGAACAACTAGCGCCTCTCTGGTTGTGTCTTCTTCCTTCATGCTGGTAGTATCCTCAAACGGATTGGGTATCAATAGTTCCTCTCTCGTTGATCCAGTCGACGTTGATGTAGAATTCTCGAAAGGATTTGGAACAACCAATGGCTTCCTTGTGGTTTTCATCGTAGTCGCTGTGGGATCGAAAGGATTAGGAACCACTAACGCCTCTCTGGTTGTGTCTTCTTCCTTCATGCTGGTAGTATCCTCAAACGGATTGGGAATCAATAGTTCCTCTCTCGTTGATCCAGTCGACGTTGATGTAGAATTCTCGAAAGGATTTGGAACAACCAATGGCTTCCTTGTGGTTTTCATCGTAGTCGCTGTCGGATTGAACGGATTAGGAACAACTAGCGCCTCTCTGGTTGTGTCTTCTTCCTTCATGCTGGTAGTATCCTCAAACGGATTGGGAACCACTAACGCCTCTCTGGTAGTGTCTTCTTCCTTCATGCTGGTAGTATCCTCAAACGGATTGGGAACCACTAACGCCTCTCTGGTAGTGTCTTCTTCCTTCATGCTGGTAGTATCCTCAAACGGATTGGGAATCAATAGTTCCTCTCTCGTTGATCCAGTCGACGTTGATGTAGAATTCTCGAAAGGATTTGGAACAACCAATGGCTTCCTTGTGGTTTTCAGCGTAGTCGCTGTGGGATCGAAAGGATTAGGAACAACTAGCGCCTCTCTGGTTGTGTCTTCTTCCTTCATGCTGGTAGTATCCTCAAACGGATTGGGAATCAATAGTTCCTCTCTCGTTGATCCAGTCGACGTTGATGTAGAATTCTCGAAAGGATTTGGAACAACCAATGGCTTCCTTGTGGTTTTCAGCGTAGTCGCTGTGGGATCGAAAGGATTAGGAACAACTAGCGCCTCTCTGGTTGTGTCTTCTTCCTTCATGCTGGTAGTATCCTCAAACGGATTGGGTATCAATAGTTCCTCTCTCGTTGATCCAGTCGACGTTGATGTAGAATTCTCGAAAGGATTTGGAACAACCAATGGCTTCCTTGTGGTTTTCAGCGTAGTCGCTGTGGGATCGAAAGGATTAGGAACCACTAACGCCTCTCTGGTTGTGTCTTCTTCCTTCATGCTGGTAGTATCCTCAAACGGATTGGGAATCAATAGTTCCTCTCTCGTTGATCCAGTCGACGTTGATGTAGAATTCTCGAAAGGATTTGGAACAACCAATGGCTTCCTTGTGGTTTTCATCGTAGTCGCTGTGGGATCGAAAGGATTAGGAACAACTAGCGCCTCTCTGGTTGTGTCTTCTTCCTTCATGCTGGTAGTATCCTCAAACGGATTGGGAACCACTAACGCCTCTCTGGTAGTGTCTTCTTCCTTCATGCTGGTAGTATCCTCAAACGGATTGGGAACCACTAACGCCTCTCTGGTAGTGTCTTCTTCCTTCATGCTGGTAGTATCCTCAAACGGATTAGGAACCACTAACGCCTCTCTGGTTGTGTCTTCTTCCTTCATGCTGGTAGTATCCTCAAACGGATTGGGAATCAATAGTTCCTCTCTCGTTGATCCAGTCGACGTTGATGTAGAATTCTCGAAAGGATTTGGAACAACCAATGGCTTCCTTGTGGTTTTCAGCGTAGTCGCTGTGGGATCGAAAGGATTAGGAACAACTAGCGCCTCTCTGGTTGTGTCTTCTTCCTTCATGCTGGTAGTATCCTCAAACGGATTGGGAATCAATAGTTCCTCTCTCGTTGATCCAGTCGACGTTGATGTAGAATTCTCGAAAGGATTTGGAACAACCAATGGCTTCCTTGTGGTTTTCAGCGTAGTCGCTGTGGGATCGAAAGGATTAGGAACAACTAGCGCCTCTCTGGTTGTGTCTTCTTCCTTCATGCTGGTAGTATCCTCAAACGGATTGGGTATCAATAGTTCCTCTCTCGTTGATCCAGTCGACGTTGATGTAGAATTCTCGAAAGGATTTGGAACAACCAATGGCTTCCTTGTGGTTTTCAGCGTAGTCGCTGTGGGATCGAAAGGATTAGGAACAACTAGCGCCTCTCTGGTTGTGTCTTCTTCCTTCATGCTGGTAGTATCCTCAAACGGATTGGGAATCAATAGTTCCTCTCTCGTTGATCCAGTAGATGTTGATGTAGAACTCTCGAAAGGATTTGGAACAACCAATGGCTTCCTTGTGGTTTTCATCGTAGTCGCTGTGGGATCGAAAGGATTAGGAACCACTAACGCCTCTCTGGTTGTGTCTTCTTCCTTCATGCTGGTAGTATCCTCAAACGGATTGGGAATCAATAGTTCCTCTCTCGTTGATCCAGTCGACGTTGATGTAGAATTCTCGAAAGGATTTGGAACAACCAATGGCTTCCTTGTGGTTTTCAGCGTAGTCGCTGTGGGATCGAAAGGATTAGGAACAACTAGCGCCTCTCTGGTTGTGTCTTCTTCCTTCATGCTGGTAGTATCCTCAAACGGATTGGGTATCAATAGTTCCTCTCTCGTTGATCCAGTCGACGTTGATGTAGAATTCTCGAAAGGATTTGGAACAACCAATGGCTTCCTTGTGGTTTTCATCGTAGTCGCTGTGGGATCGAAAGGATTAGGAACCACTAACGCCTCTCTGGTTGTGTCTTCTTCCTTCATGCTGGTAGTATCCTCAAACGGATTGGGAATCAATAGTTCCTCTCTCGTTGATCCAGTCGACGTTGATGTAGAATTCTCGAAAGGATTTGGAACAACCAATGGCTTCCTTGTGGTTTTCATCGTAGTCGCTGTCGGATTGAACGGATTAGGAACCACTAACGCCTCTCTGGTTGTGTCTTCTTCCTTCATGCTGGTAGTATCCTCAAACGGATTGGGAATCAATAGTTCCTCTCTCGTTGATCCTGTAGATGTTGATGTAGAATTCTCGAAAGGATTTGGAACAACCAATGGCTTCCTTGTGGTTTTCAGCGTAGTCGCTGTCGGATTGAACGGATTGGGAACAACCAGAGCCTCTCTGGTAGTGTCCTGCATGTTAATCCCAGTTGAATCTTCAAATGGGTTTGGAATTATGAGTTCCTTCCTTGTTGTTCCCACTGTTGTTGATGTGGAGTCTCCAAATGGATTAGGTACTTCAATTTTATTTCGTGTTGATTTTGTCAATGATGCTGTTGTATCCGTAAATGGATTTGTTACTACTAATGACTCCCTTGTAGATTCGGTTTTTTGTGTAGTAGAATCTTTAAATGGATTGGGAATTTGTAACTCCTCCCGTGTCGTTTTCTTTGTTGTTGTCGTAGTTGTAGTCTCCTTGTTTGGGTTTGCAAGACTCAATTCTTCCCGTGTTGTTTTATCCAGTTGGGGCTCAGACTTTCTTGTTGTTTTATCCTTGTTCGGATTTGAAATAAATAATTCTGCTCTGGTAGTTCTTCTACTTGTAGTCCTTTTAGTTGAAGTCTCTTTATTGGGATTTGAAATAACTATTTCTTCTCTGGTTGTTCTTCTACTTGTAGTCCTTTTAGTTGAAGTTTCTTTATTCGGATTTGAAATAAATAATTCTTCTCTGGTTGTTCTTCTACTTGTAGTCCTTTTGGTTGTAGTCTCTTTATTGGGATTGGACATATTTATTTCCTTTCTTGTAGTTTTTCGGCCTGTTTCTGTTGAAGTTTCTTTATTCGGATTGGGTAAATCTATTTCCTTTCTTGTAGTTTTTCTTCTTGTAGACGTTTCTTTATTGGGATTGTATATATCTATTCTCTTTCTTGTGGTTTTGGCTGCTGGGGAACCGGGTATTTTTTTTTCCTGCAACGTACCCACCGACAATTCTTCTGTTGCCTCCCTTTTAAATTTCCAAAAAGGTATTACAAAACTCCCATTGGGATTAGAGTTAGCTATCGACCCTGGTGAAGTTTGGGATTTTATGGTAGCCGAAATCTGAGCTGATGATTCTTTTGGATCTGAAGCGTGTTTGCGTTCTGGGTCTGGGGCGGTTTCTTCTCTAAGCTTTGCAAAAGATTCGTGTATATCGGAAGTTCGGTCTTCGGCTGCAGCTGGCTCATCCAAATATAAACATACGTAGAAGATTACCAATAGTAGAAAAAAATGCACCAGTATCACAAAAATTATAATCATTTGTAAAAATTTTGTTTCCATTCTAAAAAGCAAATATAACGATAATTTATTAAAGTTGTACAAAAAAATTAAAAATCAGAGCACCCTTAACATTCATGATAATTTCCGAAAAAAAAAAAAAACTGGGAAGATAAAGAATTTTTTGGACCGTGAATGGACTTATTTATTACAAAGGTAACAATAGGATTTCTAACAATAATTTATAGCTAATAATAAAAAATGTTAATTTTATATAAAAGGTTCTACATAATTCTTTATTTTTTTAACACTTCTTTCCGCAGGTCGAATGTTTAGGTGTTGGCCAAAGATGGTAAATTCCATGTTTCCTACTTGTAAGCCAAAGACGCATTCGCTCTTTGGTATGGACCTTATACGATGGTCAATACCAAGAAGCTTTAGGATGTTTTTTGTGTCCATTACGCATATGCCACATAGTCCTTCCAGCGTTTTGCATTTAGATTGAATAACGGTCAACAACGCGCCATGCAGATCCATTTTAACCAATTGCTTGCTGAATTCCTCGTACCGCGAATCGTGGACTTGGGGAACCTGATCGCCTTCTCTCAATCCCAAGTGCTCTCGAACATATCCCTTCCAAAGATTATTAAGTGGCAGTGCATCTTCATACTTCATCTGTTTTGTAGGTAGCGTGTTTAAGCCCAACTGGGCATATTCCCGCCGGTTCAAAGTCGTTGATTTGTGGGCTCTCCGCTTCCGCGTGTGCTGCTTCTTCATCTTTGTACCATCCAGCATTGTGATGTGGTCCGAGATGATGTTAACATTGCATCTCTGGTGGGGCACAACCAGATCTGTGATAAACTCCGTTAAGTTCGCTGTCGCGTGGTCCATATTAAAACAAATAAATAAAACAAAACAGTGTGACCATTTTCAAATCAGCTGTGTCAATCGGACAAAATCAGCTGTGTTTTGAAAACACGGATTTGAGAAGCTGTTAAAGTTGTTGCTTTCACTTGTTAAAACTAATAGAAATAAACAGAATAGTCACAAAATCGCCACAACTTTATAAGAAAGATCAATATGGGAATTGTTGGAATGTTCCTGGAATACTTATCAAACGAAATCAATCGTTGTGATCACGCTCACAAGAGGCAGGGGATATGTCGGACAAGAATTCTATCTTTCTTGTTTAAGAAAGCTTGAATCTTGTTTATCTCGTTCATTTTTGTTACTAAGAGCTTGAATTTTCCCGCCAATCCTTGATCCTTTTTGTTCAAGTAATACTACTTAAAGTCTGGTCCTACAAAAATATTTGAAAGATGGGCAACTCTGTTCGTGCGGACTTGCTTTTTTAATATTTTTGAGAATGTTGCGTTTGTTAAATAAACGTTTTTATTGCAAATTTGCAACAAAAACCAAAGTCAAGTCCGACAAGTTGAACTTCAAGCAACTTACGCACCCTACCAAGGTTCCACAGACCCCATTAAAGACCGCCTTCCCGGATACCTCTGCCAACAAAATAGAACTTGACCCAAAGAGCATTCAATTGCTGGAGCGCCTGTCTTTGGTAGATCTGGACAGCGATCGAGCTTTGGAAACCCTTCAAAGCAGCATCCAGTTTGCTGACAAGATTATCCACATCCAAACCGATAAAGTGCGACCACTTTATACGGTTTTGGAGCTGCAGCAACTCCAATTACGCAACGACCAAGTGACAGAGGGCGACTGTCGTGCTAAAGTGCTGAGCAACGCCAAAGTTACGGACGAGGACTACTTCATCTCACCACCAGGCAACATTCCTCTCGAGCAATGAATCGTATTCAGCGTTGCTTTAAGTCCCTGTCCTCCGCTGGCTTCATTCGGATCCTGGATGATCATCAACTGGAACTGTTTTCACATGGGATAGCTTACTCTAAACTTCTTCAGCAGCAATGGTTAAATCTGCGTCCACTAGCCGCACATCTTGGGAGCACCCACAAATCTAGTTCAGACTCCAACCCACATCGTTTTGCCTTTACTCGCAGCCCACAGTTTCTTACCAATTTTAAGAAGCTTCTTGAAGACCATCCCAGAAAGGCTAAATGCCCTACATTGATCAAACATCAACAGAGTTCGTGTGTCCTCAACGATAATTCCCTGTTTAGAGTTAAGTCGCCGGGTACGGTGTTAACCACAGACTTCCTGGTAGAACCCTACCGCGCCCTGGAACACTTCTACAACATGCAACGCGAGAGCAAGATCTGGTGGATGCGGCTCTCTTCGGACCCCAGTAGGTTTAGCATTGTGCCCTGCCATTTGCCAGATGAGCTCGACTCTAAATCGTATCAGGCCATTGATATCACATCCAAATATGGAGAAGCGGGCGAAGTTATCGTGGAGAAACTGAGTCTCGTTAAGATGGAAGACAATGAAGGGTTCATTTTGCCCGATGCGCGAACTGGCGAGCGAGTTATCCCAACGGTGATACGATCTACGATTGATCTGGAAACGGCTACCATTGGTAATTACTATTAAAACTTTAAGAGATAAGTTAATTCATTATTTTTTTCCGTTAGCATTGCTCTTGGATGGCTGCGATCATAGGCGAGAAACTCAATCTCTGTTACTAAACCGTATTCTGGCACCTTATCAGTGCGGAATTGCCTGCCTTGATGAGGATTCAAGTCTATCGGATGACTTGAGGGATCTATGCCTGCACTTGACGAACGTAATCAGCCAAAGCGGGCTCCGCCTCTGCCAAGGAAGTGACTTTGAATTAACAAAAGAGTCTTCAAAGCTTCGATCAGATTACCTGACAGAATCGGATAAGCTAGGAGTGCCTTATACCTTAATGTTAAGCAACAAAACATTAAAAAATGGATTGCTGCAGCTGCGCAGCCGGGACACGATGATAGCGGAAACAATACACATAAGCGATGTACCAGACTATTTATTGAATATATTCAGAAAAGATTAAATTATAATTTTACATAAAATCGCAGAGGTACTGGCGAACATTAAAGCCCACTACCTTTCCGATCTGAAGAACAAACTCCAAACCCACGGTGCACTCCAGCCGAGCTGAGCCGTCCATGATGTTCTGCTCGCCGGATACAAAGCTAAGCAGTTTGAGATGGACCAAGGTTGAGATCTGGGATAGAAGGTTGCACGTTAAACCCACTTTCTCCTCTAGAATAGCATAGAAAATAGCCAGAAGACGGTCAATACTAAAGGACTTGGGGCCTACAAATGTTGACATCTTCTCTACGGTCTGCAAAAGAACTCAATTTTAATTGTGGTGAGAATAATGGACTAAGGAACCCACCTTTGCTCTGGCATTAACCGTCTGCATTCGCTTGCGCTGTTTCCCGTGGTGCTTGACGAAAAGACGTTTGTCTTGATTCGCGGCATTGTGACTGGCTAGAAACGCAGCAATCAGCAAATACTTGGCATAGTACGGCAGCTCCAGGGACTGGGCCATCTTACGAACGCTTTGATCCTCCAAGTTAGTGGAGCCTTCCGGCTGGTCCAGTGGCTTTTCGATGCGCATGTAGATTTGCGTAAGAGCCGACCTGAGAGGACCTGCGATATGTCGCCAAAGGCGGGATATGTCGGTAGCCTCCACACTGCCATCCAAAACAGGCTCCAAATAGATTGAAAAGCATTTCCTCGCAGTTAATTGAAGTTCTGGTAAATCACGACAAGCTTTGTAAAAAACGCTGAGGAATATGTTCATATAGTTATTGTAGAAATCCTCGGTCATGACCTCCTTGAATATCTCCAGACGATGGGGTTCTTTTGCATATTTTTTTATTAAATTACCACGCATCTGCGAAAAATCAGATACGAGGATCCGCTGAGTCTCTCCCTTGTTATACTGGGCCAAATGCAGTACGATCACATCACTCAGACCAGTTTTGTTGTAGAACTTCTCAAAGGGCAATTGCGACATGAGAATAACACATAGATTAAGTTTGGTTAGCTGTTGCAACCGAAGAAGAACGGGCAATACATTGGCGTCCATGTCTCGGAGGCGTTCTGCATTATCCACGGCAATGAGGAAACCCTCTGAAAGTCCCTCTGGATCGTCGTGCCACCGGCGCAGCTGCTCCACAAAATCCAGCATGTTGTCGGCTTTTATGGGGCCTTGTCCTGAAGCTAACGAATCCAACAAGTTCTCCAGCATAATCTTCGTGGTGTAGCACTCGATGGCGTTCAAGTGGGCTGTCCTCACCTTCTGCCTTCTGCTGCATTCTTTAAGAAACTCGCGCGTTATAGTTGTTTTTCCTGTTCCACTGTGTCCGAACAGGTAGATGGCCGAAGGATAAATGTCTTCGCAGTCTCCTATCAGGTCCCCCAATGTTTCAATAGTCGCTTCCCGGCAGGGAAACAGCGGCTCCAATGCCGTGCAAACTTCTGCCATTTCGGATTTGTAGCTTCGGAATGTTTACAAGCTGCTGGGCGCGAATTGTGTTTTGATTTGTGTGACCGTATTTCGTCTTCGGTGCATTTCCTGATGGTTGCCACATGGTCAACTATCGCTAATGCGTTGCTGCCGATGGCGGCGACGGTACAAGCCCATCACTAACGCCGATACTTTTGCTTCACTTTGGGTTATTAAATTGTGCATTTTACTTTTCGGTAAAGTTTTTAACACGGTTTTTCCTTACCTGTGCAGGAAAACCTGAGATCTTCCATCCCTCCAACGCTAGCTTAATCGTGTAGACGGCCCAGAGTCCGCGATTAAACCTAGATAGAAGCTCCGCCTGCGAAACAACGCCCACTCGAACGGAAAACTCCGGCGAACCGAAGAAACTACGTGTGGTTGGATATTGACATCATTTTGCATTCCAAGTGCATTTAGCTGCCACGATGGCTGAGACATTTACGTTTGGAACTTCCCTAGCGTCCATTACATGCCACGCCTGGAACAAGGACCGCACGCGTAAGTGGCACTCCGGTTGTTCCCAATTACTCATCGATTGTGACTCACTTGCTTTGTACCCCTGCAGAGATTGCTTTATCGCCGAACAACCATGAGATCCACATATACAGCCGCGATGGCAACGACTGGAAGCTGGCGGATGTGCTCAACCAGCATGATCTGCGGGTTATGGGCATAGACTGGGCCAAGAACACCAACCGCATCGTAAGCTGTGCCGCCGACCGAAACGCCTATGTGTGGTCGCAGGGTGAGGACGGAAAGTGGAAACCGACGCTAGTGCTGCTGCGCATCAATCGGGCGGCTACTTGTGTCAAATGGTCGCCATCAGAAAATAAGTTCGCTGTGGGATCTGGAGCCCGGCTCATTTCTGTGTGCTACTTTGAGTCGGAAAATGACTGGTGGGTGTCCAAGCACATTAAGAAGCCCATTCGATCGACGGTTACTTCGTTGGACTGGCACCCCAACAATGTTCTTTTGGTGGCCGGATCAACGGACTACAAAGTGCGGGTGTTCTCTGCCTTCATTAAGGACATCGAGGAGCCGCCAACGCCAACACCGTGGGGCAACCGAAAACCGCTTGGTCAGCTAATGGCGGAATTCCGTAACTCGCAAACCTCCGGTGGCGGATGGATTAACAGTGTTAGCTTCTCCAGCGATGGCAACAAAGTATGCTGGGTAGGTCACGATAGTTGCGTCAATATTGCCGATGCAACCAACGGGAATGCTGTAGTTCGCTGTCGTACCGGCTACCTGCCTTTCCTCTCCTGCGAGTGGGTGTCGCCCTCCTCCGTTGTTGTGGCCGGATACAGCTGTGTCCCGCTTCTCTACAGTCTTACTGCGGATGGGAAGCTGGTGCTAAGCGGCAAATTGGACAAGTCGCAGAAGCGGGAAGCCAGCGGCATTACCGCCATGCGCATATTCCAGTCGATGGATCGCAACATGCGTACTGAAAACACGGACACGGTGGTGGACTCTATTCATCAGAACGCCATCACAAGTGTACGACTTTACGCCGGGGACAAGGCGTGCGCCAACAAAGTGTCCACTTCTGGTGTCGACGGACAGTTGGTCATCTGGACCGTTGAGCAGGGTGGTATCAATGGAGGAATGCGCAACCTTCAGATCTAGGGTGTCTGGATTCTAGAGTAACGTGTTATTGTCTGTTAGCGAGTGTGTTGGCCTGGCCAGGTGCGCAGTATTTGCCAAAATGTTTTTCAAAATCGCTTTTCCCCATTGTTTTGTACCGTGCGAGAAAGCATTTTTACATAAATTAACTGGAGAGATTGTTCTTTTCTTCCACTTCCATAATGGTTCCGAAAGTCTGTGTGTATGTTTTAATGTGTTTCGCCTTTATAGCAAACTGAATAAAATGTTTTTATTCTTAACATTTAGAAAAATCTTTGAATATCTAAATTAATTGTCTGATTTGTCGAAAACTTGAAAACTAATTTGAATTTGTTTGAAGAACTTCTGTTAATGAATTTATATGCATAAACATTTAGAAGTTCGTGAAAATCGACGCATAAACCTATTGGCTGAAAACAAAGTGTGACCGTATTTAGAAAATCAAATCAGAACGTTGGGCAACACAATGTTTACTAAATGACCGCGCGTATAACAAAAACTGTATTTAAATTTAATTTAATAAGAAATTATGCAGCTATGCTTAATGCGAAGCTATGCCAGCAGAGCCAACCGGGAGCACTATGCCAGCAGTAGCATCAAGATCTTTCGTAAATTAAAACCATCAAACGCAAGGGTAAACAAACCGGATCAACCGGCAAATCTGGAGACACCAGCAGAGTATGCCGAAAATTTGGTAAAAGTACAGATGATCTCGAGGAATCTACATGCTCAACTCTTTCCTCAATGTCCAAGGAGCACTTCCGAGCAGCAGGTTGCCTCAGGGAAACTCTACCAAAAAGAACTGCGCCGCCATGGAGTCGATTTTGAGAACAGTACTTCGGTGCAGGACGTCCATTTAAGGCTTCCATCGCTCAGGGGCAGGGACATTGAGGAGCACTTTCACAATATAGCCAAGGAGCAAGTAGAGCCGTACGAGAATCTGTTGATGCCCCTAGTGAAGTGCGAGAAGCTTCCAAACAGGCCGAAACGGTGGGAACTTTTCGCTGGCTGGACTGCCTACGATCCTGTTGATGGTGCACCCACTCCAGTGGATCACCCACTGGAGAAGGGGTTAATATTTGATGTGGAGGTGTGCGTTAATGAAGGACCAACACCTGTTTTAGCCACCGCAGTCAGCTCGGAGCGATGGTACTCCTGGGTTAGCCCAAAGCTTACCAAACACCGTCTGAAAATCGTAGACACGGAACCCCTAGATATAGACAAAGACTCTGAGCGACCTCATTATAGGCCCGACGAGCTAATACCTTTGGGAACTGACGGGCCCGGTCTGGTGGTTGGACATAACGTCTCCTATGACAGAGCCCGACTTAAGGAGCAGTATTTGATCGAAGACACGGGAACCCGCTTTTTGGACACCATGTCGCTGCACGTGTGTGTTAGTGGGGTGACCAGCTACCAACGAGCCATGCTGACGTCAAAAAAAGAGCCCGCTCCCGAGGACCTAGGCTGGCTGGATAAAAGCTCACTAAACAGCTTAGTGGAGGTGCATCGCCTTTATTGCGGTGGTAGTCCGCTTTCGAAAGAGCCCAGAAACATCTTTGTTGAGGGAACACTGGAACAAGTGCGTCAACACTTTCAATCGCTGGTCAACTATTGTGCCGGCGATGTAGAAGCTACCCATCGTGTGCTTCGGGTTTTGTATCCTTTGTATGCAGAACGCTTTCCACATCCTGCATCCTTAGCGGGAATGTTGGAAATGGGCTCTGCCTATTTGCCAGTCAACTCAAACTGGGAACGTTATATACGAGAATCGCAGCTGACCTACGAGGATCTTAACATTGAGGCGAAACACCATTTGGGCCGTCGAGCAGAGGAAGCCTGCTCCCTGCTTCTGGACGAACAGTACCGTAAAAATCTCTGGTTATGGGACGAAGACTGGTCCGTTCAAGAGCTGAAGCTAAAACAGCCGCCCAAGCAAAAACCTTTGCCAACAGAGGAGCAGCCCGATAACGGCTCTTCAGCTGAGCAGCGTCGCCTGCAGACCAAATTTCAGTACCTGTACGATCAGAGGAGTCTACTACCGGCACGGCGGCCCTTGCTTCCAGGATATCCTTTATGGTATCGTAAGCTCTGCCAAAAGCCACCAAAAAATAGTAGCCCCGATGACGAAGTTTTAGAAAGTGAAGAGGAACCGTGGTCTCCTGGACCTACCGAGATCAGCACCGGCATGCAAATAGCTCCAAAGCTGTTGTCCCTTTGCTGGGAGGGGTATCCACTACACTACGAAAGAGAACACGGCTGGGGCTTCCTAGTTCCTTTTCGCAGCGAAGGATTGGGGAATGAACGGCTGCCCATTGAGCAACTATTAGAACGTTGCGCAGTTCCGGAGTATGCTCGTCAAAATGCGTCAAAAAGGGAGAGCGAATTCGCAATGGATATGCTTTCCGATCAACTGCAATACCATTTAGGCAAACAAGACTACAAAAAGAAACTCTCGCAAAAACAGCAGCGTTTGGAGACGCAGTATCAAGGTAGGAACTTCGACACATGTAAGAATGACCACACATTGACCACACTATTACTTTTCGCAGGCTCTGGAGTGTGGTGCAACAAAGTTTTAGATGATTGCTGCTTTTTTCTTAAACTACCGCACAAAAATGGGCCTAGCTTCCGGGTGGGCAACCCATTGTCGAGGGACTTCCTCAACAAGTTTTCGGAGAACATTCTCAGCAGCGGTGATCCCTCATGTAATGCAGCGGCTCGCGTTATCGAGATAGCTCGCATGATGTCCTATTGGCGCAACAATAGAGATCGCATAACAGGCCAGATGGTAGTCTGGTTGGAGCCTGAACAGTTGCCACCGGATGTGGCCAAGATCAGAGCCTATGGAGCCATTTGTCCCCAAGTTGTAACCTGCGGCACATTGACACGTCGTGCTATGGAGCCTACTTGGATGACTGCATCCAACTCCCGGCCGGATCGTTTGGGATCTGAGCTGCGTTCAATGGTACAGGCACCGCCCGGTTACAAATTGGTGGGTGCCGATGTGGACTCACAAGAACTGTGGATAGCTTCAGTCCTGGGCGATGCTTATGCCTGCGGTGAGCACGGAGCCACGCCCCTTGGCTGGATGACCCTAAGTGGAAGCAAGTCGAATGGCAGCGACATGCACTCAATCACCGCCAAGGCAGTTGGCATTTCACGCGATCACGCCAAAGTAATCAACTACGCCCGTATATACGGAGCTGGACAGCAGTTTGCCGAGACTTTGCTCCGCCAGTTTAATCCCACCTTCAGTGCTTCAGAGGCCAAGGCCAAGGCAATGAAGATGTTTGCCATCACCAAGGGTAAACGGGAGTATCGCCTCCGCGAAGAGTTCCATGATGAACTGGAGGACAGAGCGTAAGTGGCATCTACCAACTGCTACAATTATTTTTTAAGTATTTACGTTAAAAAATTATTTTCGTATAGTTACAGCAGTTACGAGGCTTCGCGATTGGCCATTCAGCGAAATCGGACCATAGCCGAGGTTTTTCATCGCCCCATCTGGCGGGGCGGCACCGAAAGTGCTATGTTCAATCGACTGGAAGACATTGCCACGCAACGGCATCCACAAACACCGTTCCTAGGAGGTCGTCTGAGCCGCGCCTTGGAAGCTGATTCAGATCCGAAGCAGGAGCAGCGGTTCCTGCCCACTCGCATCAACTGGGTTGTGCAAAGTGGAGCCGTGGACTTTCTGCACCTGATGCTGGTCAGTATGCGATGGCTCATGGGGTCCCATGTGCGCTTCTGTCTGAGCTTCCACGATGAGCTGCGCTACCTGGTTAAGGAGGAAGTGGCCTACAAAGCGGCACTGGCCATGCACATCACGAATCTAATGACCCGGTCCTATTGTGTATCTCGGATCGGCCTCAAAGACCTTCCCATGTCGGTGGCCTTTTTTTCATCCGTTGAGGTGGACACTGTTTTGCGGAAAGAGTGTACAATGGACTGCAAAACTCCCTCCAATCCGCACGGCCTTCACATCGGGTATGGGATTAAACCTGGTCAGAGCCTGAGCATCGCTGAGGCAATAGATAGCGCAGGTGGCAACGATGTCAGTAAGTGGCCATGGATCAGGCAGGGATCTACCCGACGAGTTTAAGCTACATACTGACAATAAAATGTGTTATTTAATTTTAAAATCCTTGCATAAGTCTTATTTTAGTTGCTATTCTAAGTTTTTTTTGGCAGGAATTTCTTCCAATAAAACTGCAGATTTAATCTAATTCAAATCACCTAAAAATATATATTTTTTGTCGCCATAATACTTAACATACAAGATAAAGAGAATGTTGCAACACGAAGCCAGGAAACAAGCGGCCGCTTCCACCGGCTAAACAGTTTATAGGTTTTGGGCCAGCGACTCGATCTCGTTAAGAAAGTAGAGCATGTCCGATTCCTCCAGGCAGGAGTTTTGCAGAACCAACCGGAAGAAGTTCGGCAGCTGGCGGAGCGGCTGGTAGGTGATCATCATGGAACCCTTCTTGATCATTCCCTCCTTGACTTTGGGAGCCACTTTGTGCAGGCGATCGTAGAACTCACGGTTGCGTTCCATTTGTCGCAGGCTAGGAGGCACGTACCAAAAGCTGATATTGGTGCACTCCGGCTGGTCAAGGACCAGCTCAAAGCCCGGACGTTCCCTAACCTTGGCGGTGAAGAACTCGGCCATGCGGAAGACCTTGTCGACGTGCGCCTCCAATCCTTGGCTGCCCTTGGCCTTCCACATAAACCAGAACTTGAAGACATCCGCCCGCCGGCCGCACTGAATATGTTTGTCACCCGTGTCGAAGGACGTGTCGTAGAATTTGTCCTTCTGAAATAGATACGTGGCATTGGTCGAGTGACACTGGGCCAGTATTTGCTGGTGGGGTGTCAGGAAGGTGGAGCACTGCTGGGATGCGGCCAGCAGCTTATGGGGATTCCAGGTCACGGAATCAGCCCTAAAAATCAAAAAATTTATGAATTAAAATTCAAATGACTTTATATTATTGCACCCACCGTTCGATTCCATTGAGTAAGTGTCGATGCTTTTTGGACATAAGAGCTCCACCACCCCAGGCAGCATCTACGTGCATCCACATGTTGTATTTTTTGCACAGATCCGAGATCCCCACTAGATCATCAAAAGCACCCAGCACGGTGGTTCCTGCTGTTGCAGAGACCATCAGAGGCTGGCAGTTGTTCTCCAGGCACACTTTAATTTGCGCCTCCAAGTCCTCCACTCGCATCTTTCCCACCTCGTTGGTGGCTATTTTTCGCACATGCTCGCTCCCGAAGCCCATGAACATGGCCAGTTTTTCCACAGAGTAGTGGGCGTCTTCGGAAGTGAAAATGATCAGGGGTTTGGCATTGAAGAGTCCATTTTTCTGTAATGGAATAGGGAAATTCAGTATTGTTTTTTGTTAGCTTATAATCGTGACTCATTCCAGCTTTCTGGATCAGTTCGTTTAACCGTAAGCGGTTCACCAACTTCCGGTTAACTGAAAACGACTGGGGGAGCTGAAGGGGATCCAAATGGATAGTTACCTTGGACTCGGGTGTGTATTTGTAGCGGGCACAGCTGATTGCGTAACCGTTGGCGATGGAGCCGCCAGGACAGAATATTCCATCCCCCTGGCCGCCGTTGGGAAAGCCCACGATTCGCCGCATCTCTGCCAGCACCTGCTCCTCCATCAATGTAAAAAGCGGTGCCACTTCGTAGGTATAAACACTGGGATTGAGAGCATCGGTGAGCCACTGACCCACTAGGGCATATGGATCCACACCCGAATACAGCTGATTGATGAAATATGGATGGCCTGTCTTCACCGAGAACCGGATCGTTTCCCTGAGCAGCTCACGAAGCTTATCCTGCGACTCCCCTTTCTCGCGCAACTGGAAGTCGAAGAGCTGTCGCAGCTCGGCGGGCTCGTGCCACTCGACGACCTTGGAGGAGCGATTGGTGCCCTGAAACACAGCCAGCTTGATGATCTCATCGATGCAGGCCCGGATAAATCCATCGAACTGGGCGGCCGGATGGCTGGCCACAAAGCCTGACAAACTGTCTTTAGACTCCAGGTCGTTGTTATTATTATTGTTGCCGTTGGTGGCAATACCTCCGTTGGTGGCTAACATTCTGCGGGCGTTCTCGAAATCGACTGCGACAGTATCAGCCGATGACGACGTGGTCGCCACCAATGTGTTAACGCTTGCCAAATCATCGCCACTTGTACTGTAAGGCTTAAATATAGATTCCTTAAAGTGATGTGTGGGATAGTTCTTGCTGGCCAGCATTTTCTTGGCTCTTGGGTAATGTTTATACTGTAAATGTCTTGGCGAACGCTTCTATACGATGTATGGTGGTGTCTGGTATTGCTGTGGTTCCTGGTCCTGTCGCAGCTACTTGGCGGGTGGCTGCGGATTGCACTTGACAATGATTCTGAATGATCCGCTGGCGAACTGAATGAACTGGCGCTGTTGTTGCTGCTTTTATAAAAGCTTGCCGACTTCCACAATTCAAAATCCGAAACCGAATGCCACTTACATAAAGACAATGCCGCTCGAGAACCGACAGCGATTGTCGTCGGATTGACTCGGTTGAATTCTGGTTCTGGTTGTGGTCGGACCTGGGGGGGAAAGTATCGCCCAGCAGGCCACCTGCCGCACTGGTGTCAGTCATCGGTTGAGGGCCTTTCACTGAAAAGGGATTTCCCTGGCCCATTCATCGTTCCACAGCGATATTCTTGAGAGGCGAGAGGCTGCCGATTACCGAGAGGTAATTGGCTAATTGATATGCTCATGTAATACAATTATGTAGGAATATGCAGCGACAACGCCATGATTATGCGCAGAGGTCTCCGGTCTACGGTCCTCATCCATGGGATTCGTTGCGGTTGCGGCGGTGTTTCTCTCTCATTAGCGGCAATCAAATGCATTAAATGCAAATTCATTGAATAATTCTTGGCCAATTGTTGTGCAAATTGCGCAACTGAAACGTGATATCGGGAAAATGATAAAAAGGTGCTGCTGCTTCAGGCGAGAATCGGTTGGTGTAGGTCGCTTAGACTCTGATAATTGCCACCCAAAATGTTGGTCAAGTTTGAAGAAAAACGAAAGCCACTCTACACCAATGGCCTATGATCTTGGGCATTGGCCTTGAGTGCATTGAATCTCTATAAATAAAATCGCATATTCAGCGGAAATTCCGCAAATGTCTTCAGTGATAGATTAATACACGTTTTGTATCTAGAATGTATGCGATTTCTTTAGTGATTTATTCTCTTTAAGGATCGTGGTTTATTCACCTTGACAACCAACCAGCACGTGCTAGTAAGATCCAAATATAAACGATAAACAACATTTTTTTGGGTTGAGCCTTCGGTACTTTACCGGATGACACATCTGCTGGGACGGTATTGGATGCACCCATAACTCCGCCAATAACTTTTGATAAGGGGCTGGACACACGCATTCCCCGTGTCCAGAATATGTATATAAATAATTGAAAAACAAAAAACCAGTTTCGCCGAGAAGCCGAAAAATTCAGGAAGCATTTTCGAGTCGATGACGTCTCGGACGTTAGAAAAAAGCGAAAGGCAAAAGTTGTTTCATACGCGAACTGTATTCATCTTAATTAATTGCACAAAAATGCACTGAGACAGCGATTAGATTAGCCCCGTCCGTCTACAGCCGCTCTAGTTGTCGAGCCCCGACGGGGTTCTCTTTCCTACCGAAGCTAATTATCACAATATGTAATTAGCGGATACAATTATGCTGGATAGAGACAGTCTGGGTCTGCCAGATGTTGTAGACTACAAATCCGAGTCAGTTGCTGGCTACTGGTGGTTAGTTCAAGGTCGTTCAGCCTATCAAAGATACCCAGAAGTCTTAGCAGGCCAAAGACCTCCAAAAAGACCTCATAAAAACTAATAACATTTACTATTAATAAAAAAAAAACCTACTAAAAATGTTGAGGAAGTCTCATTTGGAGCTCCTAATGGAGTACCGTGATGCAGGAAAAGACATCTCCAACTGTCTAACAATATTGTTATATTTTATTGTTTTACGTTCTACAATCAATACAATGTTCTCAATATTTACAAATATTTATAATAATAATTATATAATAACATAATTTCCTTTTTGCATTTTTTTTGTTTGTTTTTGTGAGTTTTCCTTGTGGTGTGTTTCCTTTGTAAATGAGAGTGTACTTTTTTTAATGAGTTTCTAATAATAAAAATCCTCAGATCCAACTCGGTCCATATTCTCATACATACATGTATGCCAACTAGAATACATAACTGTCTGTGCCTACGTATATATGTATCTTACGTTCCATTCTTATATAGCTGCGGTACCCTCAACAATGAATCATACGGATCATAGTTTGTTAGTCCTATCACATCGCCAGGCAATTTAAATTATTCTTGGTTTGTACTTGGGTAAAGAAACATCGTACCTTTATCTGTTTTCAAATATAAATCACAATAACATGAGAATCTAAATACCATAGATGGCTCCTTCAGTTACTCACCTGAATTGTTATAGAAGTTTGCGCTCAGACTAGGTTTTGGTGGAAGTTTGGGAGTGCCCTCTAAGCTGCTGGTTATCGGAAAGAACTCTTTGGGGGACGAACGCGATTGCGATTGATTCGAGTGCTGGTGCTGGGGATGGTGGTGAGGAAGATGCTGCGCTGCATGATGCTGGTGGTGGGTGTAGATCGCCGAATGGGTCTGCTGCTGTCGCATTCGCAATTGATGCGCATAGCTGCTCGACGTGCTCTCCACCGGATGGCTGGGAATGTTGGGCGACATGGGTGTGGCGGGAGTTGATGTGTGTGGCGACGTGGTGGTTGATGAGCTCAGGGCAGGCGAGATTGACTGTGGCGGCTGGTCGTCCATCGCCGCACTTTGCGACACCGTCACCAAGGTAGTGTTGGGCATACCCATTGCCACTGGCTCCGTTTGTTGGCCAGCGGCCGCAGCCCGTTTCTCAATCGCAGAGTTCCGCCGAATCATAATACTGCTTGTGTTGGGCAAGAGCAAACTACTTTTTCCCACAAATTCTTTGCCCTGACCATGGCTGTGACGCAAGTAGCTAATGCCCATGGAATGGTTGAGCCGTGGTGGTATTGGCGGGGGACTCAGTTCGCCATCACGCGGGGGTAACTGTCGAAGAATCAACACATTTTTTTTTAGATAAAATATACTATTTTTATAAAAAAGGAATCACTTACTGTTGGTGCGTCTGGCGCCTGTCGCTTCTGGGCCATATCCGCGCAACTATCCGTGCGCTCTTTGCGGCGCGGCGGTAATGGAGGCGGCACCGCCCGATATTCCAAAGTTGAAGCCGCAGGGACATTGACGTGGGGTGAGATGGGCACTGCTCCGGTGTGACCCTGATTGGCGCTATTGTAATAGAATCCGCCCGTCTGGGGGCTAACTTCCTCTGCAGCAAGGTTACCTCCAGCCATTCCCATTAGTGTCACAGTACTAGCGATACTGTGCGTTGGGCTGTATTGCATTCGTCCGTGGAATGGGGAGCGGTTTCCAGTCTCATGACGCGGGCTGACCACCAGCTTTGGCAGAGGAGAGGGCGGGGCATCCGAATCAGCGAAAGTATTGCTGTCCGGCAGCGATTGCAGTTGCAAGTGTTCAGGCAGCGACGGACTGAACGCATCCATGGCGGACGCATTGGCCAGACTAGGATTGTTAGACCACACGTGGGCCGCTGGTTTGCGGGGGAGATGCGGTGCCGGCACTGCAACCTCCCCATTATTGTTGTCCACCGGTGCCATCCTCGTATGTAGAGGCGTGCCGCTCCAGCTACTTACAGTACTCCCGCTCCGATCCGGTATTATGACTGGCGCGAAAACCGAGAACGCATTAGGATTGTGCTGTGGGCTATGGTCTGCTGCGGCGAGAGTTCCAGTTGCAGCATTGGTCGACGTTGCCATTGGATCTACTGTGCTCGAAGCCTGGGCAGATGGGGCAGCGGCTGTGGCTATTGTGGTGGCCGTGGTCGATGCTAATGCGGCCGCAGATGAAGTGCTGTTTACCTTGTTGCTGCTGCTGGTTTGATTCTGGCGGCGAGGTTTGATGCCCGGCGATTTAAGCGGAATGTGCGGCCATTTACGAGGCTGTAGAAATAATGCAGAATTAGGATTAGGAGGATTAGGATTTAAGAATAAATTATTATATATGAATTACTCACAAACTTCGGCACCGTTTTGCAGCCCCTTGGCTCGATGCGCATGCTCTCGTTGTAGAGATAGTCGGACATCTGTTTGTCGGACAGACCATTGAACGGATCTAGTTGCTCGAAGAATTGTCGAATACTGGACTCCTCGTTCAGACAGTATGGTTGATTTTGGTACTGTTGGATTTCCCCGATAATCTCGGCCACTTTCCGTCTCTTCGAGAAGTTAATTAGTTCCGTATTGGCTAGTAGATCGGGATTGCCTTCCTCCAAGTGGAGTATATTGGTCAGGTAGCGACCGAAGAATGGCACACAAGGGGGATTAATAGACCGCAATCGTTCTTGGTACTTCTTCAGATGATCATCACTTAGCTCGCGACACTCATCCAAAAACTTTCTGTATCGCTCTGGCAATCCCTGGAATGTCCATTTAAGTCTATAAACCGATGCTGTACCCATGGCTGCGACAATTGAGAGGATTCCATTGAAGTTGTTAAGCTCCAGCATCACCATCATCACTTCGATAGCCCGCTGCATGATGGCCAAACGTTCTTCGTAGTTTTCCGCCTCGGTGATGGACTTCTCTATCCAGCGGGTCACGTTGGTTGTGTGTTTCATGATTTTTAGTAAGTTGGGGCTCTTCACCTCCTTGTCCTTTTTAGTCCACGGAGAGCCCACGAGCTCGGAGGGCTTTACATTCTTGTACATCTCGAACTCCAACAATGTAAGCTGTCGAGCCAGTTCGAGGGGATGTAAAGTAAGAAGGGTGATCTCATCATTTGGGACGCTGAGATGATGCTCAATGGGTGGTGGATCGTGCCCGTAGGCGTAGACAATCTTTTTATTGCTTTTTTCCTGTTCGTTCTGTAAAAGAATTTAATTATTTAAAATATTTATCATCTCAGAAAGTGAGTGATTGTGAGGCGTTACCTTTCGTTGAACAATCTTGAGTACAGAGTCAACCCATTTGCGCATAGACTTGCCGTTCACATGCTCCAGAAAGTTAAGGAGTTTCTCCAGCAGCATTGGATCCTTCTCAAAATCGTAAAAGTGATGATCAACCCAGTGGCGAAGTACGTTCAGTACCCTGAACTGCACTGGCTGGACGTATTCCTTGCGGTAGCGCTTCCAGTCCTCACGCTGCGAATTCTTATGCTCCTTATCGCCGCAACCGCCGCCGATTCCTCCAGTTCCCGTTATGCCAGCATCCTGATACACCAGACTGGGATCGGGTATGTTAAAACGCTCCACCAACAGCTGCAGGAGCTGTTGAGGCGAGCAGAAGTATCGATATGTGGTAAGGAAGGTACGCACAAAGGTCGGATCCGCGTAGATGTGATAGGTGAGCCGCTCAATCAATTTACACAGCGTCGCACCCTTAATCATCGGAACCCCAGCACTCTCCCGATCCTCAAGTACAATGTTATCACCGCTATCCGGCACTGCAAATTTATAAATTTCCGGACTAGGCATTCGCAATGGATGCTTTCTTTCAATGTCCTGCAGTATGCTGTCCAGTATTCGATCCAGCATTGACTTTGTGTTCACCATCAGCAGGTCCGCCATCCAATCATGCTTGTGTTGTGCGTTTTTAGCGGTCAATACTAGGGCCGGCTGCATTCGAGTGACCAACTCGAAACTGTTCTTGAGGTCATCACTGTCCGCCCGGTCAATGATTTCCACCCGCCTCATGAAGAATTTCTCTTTTAGCCGGTAATCGTAGGCAGTAGCGCCCGCTGATGGTGTCTGTTTTTTCGTATTTGCCTTGCACAACACCATTAGGCCATCGAAAAGGAAGACCTTGCGCTCGCTCCATATTCTCTTGCCAGATCCCAGCTTGCTCAGCGAGTCCTCTGCAATTATTAATTTAATTATTTCATCAATGTGTGTTAACTATTTCATTAATGAACGGAACACTTACCACGAATAAATTCATTGCAGTTCTGTCCCACGTCTTTATCGTCCCAGTGCTCCACCTTCAGTTGGAGTTCCCTGGTCCGTTCGATGGCAAGCTGTCGACGCACACGTCCACTAACTGGGACCATGCGTTCCTTGGACAGGCCGGCCATCACCTTTTCGAGATCGCAGTGAAGCGGATGCAGCAGGCCTTGGACCTGTTCGAAGCTCTCGATGTCGTCCTGCGACGAGCTGAGATCTTTGAGATGCTTAATGTAGTCGAAATAAACAAAGGCGTGGCAAACAGGAACCAATAGCAGCTTGGGCAAATAGTATTTGACGGCATCCCGAAAGCCGTGTCCGGCGGATATAAGTGACGATGCCTAGATTAAAACGAATAAATATTAGGTTTTTGTCGGGAGGAGTACAGAAGTAACTTACTCCTGGCTTGGATAACAGATTACTGAGTGCATCTCGCGACGCTTGAGATGTAACGTCATGCGCATACTTCTTGTACACATCGAACTCCTCAGCCTCTGCCAGCTCTTCAAAACAGCTGCCAACGCAGGGAGCGTTCTGTTCCTGCGACATCTCGATCACGTCTTCCAGGGAGCCAAGCAGTGTTACCGTCACTTCGTAGATATCCATGATGTTGGAGAATATCGGATCCAGCTCCCGAGGATCCGAAACGATCTTAACCAGTTCCTCGCGGAAGACGCGTATGATCATGTGCAGATCTCGCTGATACTGCTTTTCATCGTGAATCAGTTCCTTGACCGTCTCTTCGTAAGTGGCACTGGCTCGTTGCGCCGGCAGCGACAGCGGGCTGGGTAGAATGTGGGCCTCGCTCTGGTTAAACATGTCCATGAGAACACGATCAGCGTTCATTACAACCTCGATGTCCTCCTTGGTAATTTCGCAATGTGCGATTTTAATAACATAGTCACCAGCCATTTTGAGAATGTCAGCAGAAATGTATTCGAGAACGGCCACAAGGAAAGCTGAAACCGAGCTATCGATCTTATACTGCAACACGTCCTTCTGGAGAAGCGTGTGAACCCGCTCTGTGGGCAGGACAGATTTCCGCTTCTTGGAATTGATAACCTCCTTGGCCTCGGCGAGGGCCCATTGATCTATAGGGGCTGGAAACGATTTGTTGACCTTTTCCTCCACGTCCTGAACGGAGTGGGGCAACGGCTTTGCGCATAACATTGCCAGTAGACGGAGGCAAAGCTTCTCCACATAAAGAAGGGCATCTTCCTTGGCGGTGACGCGCGGATGAACCTGCTCCAAAACCTTTTTCAAAGACGGTGTAAAAAGATTACGCCAGCGGGCCGCGTTCTCTCCCTTGGTAAAGTCGTAGCCATCGCATTCTTGCAAAGCAGACCCTCCAACGCCCCCACCCCCACCACCAGAGCCCCCGCTACCACCACCAGCGCCAATTCCGATTCCGCCACCGTAGCTGATGGTATGGTGATGGTGGTGTGCATGGCCGCTGGGTCCGGAGAACATTCTATTCCGTAGGTGCCTCCCCTGCTGCTTCTGCTGCTCCTTCTTTAGCTCCTCCTCCCGCTCAACGCCCGTTGTTTGTATTTGTCAAGCGACGACCGGAGCAGCAAGCTCCAAAGCTCTAGAGCGTTCTGCGGCGCCACTGCGAGCGTCGCATTGTGTTCACTCAATGATTCGCGTTGTTTTTTCGTTTTTCGTTTCTTTGCGATTCGCTTGTGCACTTTCAGTATAGTTATAATATGTATCTTCAATATTTTTCTCTTTCAGTATAGTACGGTATGGTATGTTATCGGTATATGTTATCGGTGATTATAGTATTTATTTGGTATTTATTTTTTTATGGTATAAAATACAAAGACTTATCGATAACAATTATTCTCGATTAAAATATACATTTTTCAACACTTTTTTTTATACAAATTACACACTTGTAAAAAGCTCTTGTAAAAAAGCTTTAACTTGAGCGGAAAAATGGTCCAAATTTGAAAATTAGATTCCTATCAAATATAATAATTTAAAAACAGTTGATCATCGCATTTTAATGGGCCATCTTTCAATTTAACCCCGATATTGATTGTGATTGTCTCTCTGGCGGTCAACACATCGGGTCAAAGTGCGGCGAAAGCTGTTTGCGCCATTCGAGCCAGGTCGTGTGTGGATGGAGATGCGTTTCGGACCGGAAGCACTCATTAAGTGCCAACCGGTGCCAAAGGAGGCCAAAAAGGCCAACGAGGGCAATCAATCATTTTATTAAATCATTTTACTTTAGTATTGGGTGGTAGTCTTTATACTCATGATGTATGCAAATATGCATGGATGTCCGTACATATGAACGACCACTGGTTCTGGCCCGCCCTTCTTTTAAATTAGGACTACCATGACTTTAATGTTCCCCAGTAGTTTAGTAACAGAGATTAAGTTTCTCGTCTATGATCGCAGCCATCCAAGAGCAATGCTAAAAGAAAAAAAAATATTTAATTAACTTATCTCTTAATTTTTTAATAGTAATTACCTATGGTAGCCGTTTTTAGATCAATCGCAGATCGTTGGGATAACATGCTCGCCAGTTCCCTGATATCGAAGAGAGTCGCATCCATCAGATTTTGCTCTCGCGTTGCATGTTGTAGAAGTGTTCCAGGGCGCGGTAGGGTTCTACCAGGAAGTCTGTGTTTAACACTGTACCCGGCGACTTAATTCTAAACAGGGAATAATCGTAGAGGACATACGAAGTCTTTTGATGTTTGATCAATGCACTTAGCCTTTCTGGAATGGTCACGAAGCTTCTAAAAACTTCATTTCGTTTAATCGCTATCCCAAACTAACTAATTTCGGAATTAATATTCAGCACGATGGGCATTATAGTTTTTCTGAGAATGATTTTATTGGTAAAGAAGCTCAGTTTCAACTGGGTACATTGATATTGTTAAGATGATGAATTATTTGAAACAAATAAAAAAACAGATCAATAAAAAATACATTATCAAATTTTAATTTTAAGTTATAATCTTTTAATTTTTAGGTATAATCTGAATTTCGGTTAGTTCTGTTTTATTAGTCGTAAGGCCAAAAGTTATATTTATTATTTCATATGCAATATAGGGGGAATTTATTGAAATTGAAGAAGATTGAAGAGGCGGATTTACATGAGTTTCTGAAACATTCCACAAAATTTGATTAATCCAGGGAAGGTGGTCCAAAACGTGGGTATAGTTGGTTGACGAACCCTTTGCACCACATGCTGTTCCAAACGACACTATGGCCATGACTTCCGATAAACAAGGACCATAATATCGATGATGCCTTATTATTGGGCCCCCAGAATCTCCTTGGCATGCTTCGGCGTTACTTTTATAGCCAGTGATACTGCCAGTGGTTTTATTATTTTTCTCATTAGAGCCCTTCAAGTCATTAGTATATTGCATCGGAGCCTTCCTTAATACAGCGCTAGGATTCGTTTGTGAATAATGCTCTCCTCCAAATCCGAATAAATATAAAATATCGCTCTGTTTAATAGGGTTTTTAGGTGACGGTATGCAGGCCGGTTTGATATTCCTAGTAAACTCAACGGTTTCATTAAGCAGGAGCAAAATTATATCATTTGAGTAGTTTGAATTATTGTAATTATTTTTGAATACATCCTTGATTTCATAACGCTTATTCTTCCCTCTTTCGGTGCCACTTTCGGTGCTCTTACAAACTCCGAGGCGAACATAAACATCTCTGCACAGAAAAAAATTATCAGAACAAATAGTTTTGTACTTTTGAAATGAACAATACTTTTTCTTTCAGAAAAACTTTTATACTCATTATAAACGTACTTGTGTGTTGAATTTGGAAAGCAGTGGGCTGCCGAAAGAACAAATTTGTTGTTAACCAAAATTCCACCACACACATAAGTTTTATCATTTATTTTTGGTTCGATTAACGCCATGAATGGTGCCTCTCCAGGTCGTACCACTGTTCCTTTATGTACTGCCTCTATTTTTGGGCAGATAAATGAGTCGCTAGCGAATTTCTCGCAAACTTTAAGTTCCATACATATGTAACGATAAAATTAAAAATTTTTAAAATTTTAAAAAGGAATTTTTTTTTCTGCCTAATTTAAAGATTTTACAAAACAAAAATGGAATGGTAAAAAAATGTGATTTCGTTTATAAAATATAAGATTTATAATCACTTAAGCATCGTTTTGTTTATAAGAAATTTACCTCTTTCAGCTGTCGAAGTTGCCTCGAAGGACGGGCAGCACACATACGATCCGTGGGAATTATTACAGAATTCGACATAATTTCTTTCGGCGTAGGTGCATTGACCAAACGGAAGACATTTTGTGAAATGAGGGCATTCTTGAGTTGCTTGTGTTGCTACCCAAATATATATTGACCAAATAACTATACAATATTTTATTGTCATTTTAGAATTTAATTGAATGCGAAATTGAAAATTTTTAAAATTTACGGTTTTTGCGGGACACGGCCGCTTTGCAAAAGACTCGATGGCAGACTAACGTTAGGACGCATGAGTACACAAATAATGGAGCCAGAATCGGCGGGTCAATAATGGAACTAAATGAATCAATTAATTAAACCAATTCCCAATTGATTTTCTGTATGGGCAATTTAAGAAAATAGTAAACCAGTTCCAAAAATAAATTTGTGAATGGCAAAAACGATTTTTATCCTATTTTAGCACATTTCAAGGCTTTTTTATATTTAATATTTCGAATGAAAAACATTTGATTTGTTTGGCGTATTTATACGCAATCTCTTTATTAGATGTTTAACAAGGGGAAAAGATTTCAAAATATGCGAAAAGTTGACAAGTCCCGGGGGACTAACAATCACATCGGGTATAAATTATCAAAGTGTCATTATTCTGATTCGAAAATTTAATAATATTAAACAAATATCAACAGCTTTTGAAATTACCTGTATTCAAAATTGTAATCCTTATACTCTAGAGTCTAGACTTTAGACCATAAGCGTAGCAAAACCTTCATTTATGGATATTACCCGAGAGAGAAGCGAGCACCGACGTTTACGTCTTTCCCCTGTTCGAATAGATGCTGAATATGTAACGACTCTTCGTAAAAAGTGGAGCGACTATATTTTGAACCTTTCCAAAACCCCCACTGAGTTGAAACTTGCTAATGAGCGGGCCAATCGTGACCTTCAAATGTCCCGAAGCAACCAAGAAGAAACCAATTCCAAGAGCAACCATAAGAAGGCATTGGAAAACTTAATCGTCAGTCCGAAATCCCTCCGACCCTTAACGGCCCTCTACAATTCTCCCCGAACAACAAGCCGGATGAAGAAGGCCCTGCAACAAATGGGTGCATCTAGGTCACAATCTCGAGTGGAATTTCATTTTCATCTCTGTCCCCAATGTGGCTTTGTAAAGTGCCAACTGTCAAAGGAGGAACATGCGGAGCAGCTCCGTAGGCGGCTAAAAAAACTATTGTTACAGTATCCAAGTTTAATTCCAAAAAATTGTAAGTTAGGTAAAAATTGGAAGGCCTGAATATAATTATACAAAGCCTAGCTGGTATTTTGAGGGAACAGAATACTTCCTTGGCTTTCGTCTAATTATAATAATGCTCAATATTTATAAAATTTATTTAAGAGAATATTATCTAGTTTCATTTGTGGGGGAATTCTACATCTCTAGAAGACTTAGCTTTTTGCACTTTCGCACTTTTTTCTCGATAGGTTAGGTTAGGTAAAGACGAATGTCGGTTTTCCCTAGAGAAGCTCCAAGACACTTAGACTGTGTGCGGTCCACTGTGATATTGTATATGGAACTACTTCCCTTTTCCCAAGAAGCTTGTTCTAGCAATTTTAGTATCATATTTGTATCTATTTCTGACACATCCGAGATGTCAGTTAGAAATCTGTCACCTAGACCTGGGCAGAGGCATAGAAGATGCTTGACAGTTTCGACGTTACATCTGCGCCAGTAGTCGTTGTGGGGTGAATTCTGTATTCTGTATGAATTATTTTAGATATTTATTTTATTAAATAAATATTTATTTAGATATTTATTTTACCCATTATCCTGTTAAACCAACCAAAAAATATTTTTAATATTTTATTCCAAAGTTATGAAGGGGTATTAGCTAACAATGACATTTAAAACAAACAATTAAATTAAAAACACTAACTTAATTAGAGAAAATATTGTTTACCTAAGTATAATAAATTCAATAAAATGTTTTACTTTTCCTTAAATTCGAAATTAAAACGTATAATCTACTGTTTTCAATAAGAAACAAAAATCTTTAATAGGAAAATGTTTGGGGAAAAATCACAGAAGCACAAAAATAAATGTATCAAATCAAAGATTTAAACTTATAATGAGTATTCCAAAGATATGGCTACTGCTAGATGCCATTTTTTGTTTGAGGCGGTACACATATAGTATGTGAATACATTTCAAAAATGTGTACTAAAAACATAATTTAATATATGGCAAAATTTGATCAATTTCTTCTTTTAGGTGTACCACAGAAACTGTAAGGGATGCAGCCTATGTTTGTTCTGGACTTTGGTTCAGTAGAGCCTAAAGGTTATGGAGCAGTTAAAACAATTCATGAAAAAAATGAGAAATTGTCGGACGGTGTTATTAATTAAACCCTCCGTACCTGAGGGATTTTCTTAATAAACTCCGCGCCAAAAATCGGAATTTTAAATGTGCTTCACATTTAAGTTTAAAAGAAATTCAAACGGCAAGGTAACCAAAGCAAAAATCAATATATTAAAACATTTCAATTTATAATATTTTTAATATTAACACATATATTATCGTTTATTATTTTTTGTAGCAAATGAAAATATTTTTTTCAAAGTTCAGCAGCAATTGTAATGTGAGTAGAGCTTAAAACATGCGTTTCGGTCAGTAACGTTTTTTTTTGTAAGGGTGATTCGTCGATGGGTCAATTTTCATGTATATGAAGTTCATCTTCATTGTTCAACTTGTTGGAATTTGATGAAATTCGAAATTTAGGCATAGGAATTTTTTTTCCATGGGTCTCCGAAACATTCCACACAACTTTAGTAATCCAGGGAAGGTAGTGCAAAACATTGGTATATTTGGATTGCGAAGCATTTGCTCCACAATTAGTACCTTCAGACACCACGGCCATGACTTCCGCTAAACAAGGATCATAATATTGATGCTGTCTTATTAATGGGCCTCCAGAATCTCCTTCACATGCATCGGAGTTATTATTGTGGCCAGTAACAATAATAGTGCCCATTTTCCTAAAAGAGCCCTCAATGGGAATAATCTTCATTCTACCCTTCAGTAATACATCGCTAAGTTTATGTAATTGATTTTCCACTTCTGCGAATCCGTATAAATATAAATGGTCGCTCGGCTTGATAGGCTCTTCAGGTGAGGGTAGGCATGCTGGTTTGATATTCTTAGTAAACTTTACGGTTTCATTGAGCAGTAGCAAAATTATATCATTTGTGTTTGTCATACCCTCGTAATTATATGTGAAGTTTTCCATCACTTCATAACGCTTACTTTTATCACTTTCAGTGCGATTATGAACTCCGAGTCGAACGAAATATTTTCTGTAAAGAACAAAGTATATTAGAATATACCAAAAATATACTGATTATAAACGTACAATTCCGTCGTATTTTCATATCGGTCTTGTAGAACGCAGTGGGCTGCTGTGAGAACATATTTGTTGTGCACCAAGGCTCCACCGCACTGATGTTCAAACGTATCATTTATCTGGGCTTCGATTATCGCCATGTATGGGGCTTCGCCACGTAGTGCCTCAATACCGGCACGCATTGTCGGCTCTTTTGGACAGATCGACTCGTTTTTGCTGAATTTTTCGCATTCTTTAAATGTCATACATATGTTACAATACACATAAAAAGTATAAAAATTCAGAATAAATTTTTTTATTTTCAATTTAAAGTTATTTCCAAACAAACCAAGAAAGGATGGCTACAGTCGAGTTTCCCGAATATATTGTACCCGGTACTTATCTCTTCCACCCACACTTTAACTATCCTTTATAGTTTAATCTTAAACCCTTTACATGGTGGTGATGCAGATCTGCATCATACCGTTTAAATTCAATTATTTATCAAACTGCGTTACAAAACTTTCGTTCAGCAACTTTCGTTTTTTATATAAAAAGTGTTGATCACTCAGAATTCTGTCCAATACTCAACAGGTGATTACTTTTTCCGCCAATTTGGTGAATGTGGTAATCTGAATTGGTTGTGCAGTTTCTGATCCAAAATATAAAAAAAACAAAAAAAAAATGTATAGTTGATTCAATTAATGATTAAAAACAGGTAAATATTATATTTAGTTGTATATTATTGTATATTATTATTGTTTTTGTGTTTGTTGCATTAATCAATCAATCATTACAATCATTAATCAAATCATTAATTTCGCTTAGTTTTAAAAATTCGTTTTTTTTTGCTTTTTGTAAAAAAAATTAAGAAAAACCAACCTTAAAAAAAAATAAAAAGAAGTGTATTTTTTATTTTCACTTATCTACCAAAAAAAAAAAAATCAAGAAAATCGGAGTTATTGCCATGTAAAAGGTTAACGGTAAACTAACGGTTACTAAAAAAATTTTTGTTGGAAAAGGGCTTGGAAAAAATGTGAAACAAACTTGAACTGCGCATTACTGAGCACTATAGGAGACTCCAGGGCAAATCCTATAGGTCTATCCTCTATAGTCTCTGAGATCTACGCGTTCAAAAGGGCTGACTAACTTGGCTATATCGACTCGACTGATGGTGCTGATTTAGGCATAAAATAAAATAAGTTGAGAAACTGGATAAAAACTGCTTGAAAAAATGGCAATCATGTGTGTATGTAAAAGTGGACACCAATGAAAGTTAAAGGCTAAAGAATTTTTATGTAATTAAAGGTTGTTTGCCCCTTTACCTCTTTTAGAAGTCGAAGATGCCTCGAAGGACGGGCAGCACACATACGATCCGCGCGAATTTTTACAGAATTCGACATCATTTTTCATGGCGTAGCTGCATCTACCAAACGGAACACATCTTGTGGAATAAGGGCATAATTGAGTTGTTTGGGTTGCTACCCAAATATATATTGACCAAATTACAATACAATATTTTATTGTCATTTTAAATGAATTAGGATTTAAAAATGTCGCTTTTTCGTTACAAGTCCGGTTTGCCAGAGGCTCAATGGCAGACTAACTTGAGAGCGCATGAAGACAGAAATAATGAAACCAGAATGGCAGAGCTAATATTGAATTGAATCCACCCAATACCAACATACAGAATGATAAAATCAATTAATCAATCAATTTGTAAATCAATCTTTTGAAACTTTTAATAAATTCACAATTGATTTCTATATATTGGTCCATAAATTTTGTTATGTTTGGTCAAAAAGTCATATATTGTCATAAATTTTGGTCAAAAAGTGCGCAACGCAGTGAAGGAGACAACTCCGATTCTATAAAGTATGGATTTATATTTATTCTCGATCAGGAACACCCAACATCCAACTTTTGATTGGTTTTTCCTTTAATCGGATGGCTCAATTGATGATTTTTATATTGGTTGCTCTTTTTTATATGATTCATACTAATGCCTCTCTGAGGTAAAAATATCTATATAATATATATAATGTTTCAAAAACTTAAAGAATAGGAGGGTTAGGCATTATAAAAGATTTGTGAACAATGAATTTTTGATTCGTTATTTTATATCCCTCAACCAGCATGGTTTCTTGCCTGGAAGGCCACAACTTATTTAGCCGTCTTCTCTAAGCACTGCAGAGAAGCCTTTGAGAGCCGTTGCCAGGTTAGTGTCATTTACACACACTTTTTTGAAAATCCGTTGATTTCACGCTACCGTACTGGCTAAGTTATACAAATTTCTCCATGCTAAGTTGGTTTGAATCAAATCTGATAGACCGACCATGCCATCTCAAGTCCCTTCATCGCATCCTCTAGTCTTCCACAAGGCAGCGTCTTGGGGCCGCTCCTATTTATTATTTTCACCAATGATATCCCTTCCTACTTTCTTCATGCCAACTACTTGTCGTATGCGGATGAATTCTGCCTCTAAGGCAGTGGTCGGCATAGCCCCTGGAATTGGGCATAGAAAATTTCTCTGCCCGAGCTCCGTCGAACGTTGGAACGTCATACTCAGATCCTATTTTCTGCTGTTCGTAACTAATATTAATGCATTAAAATCATAGCAATGTATTGAGTGCCGACCACTGCTCTTAGGTTTCTGTACCCTCTGCCCTCCTACTAGAGCCATTGCTTCTCCTCAATGTTTGCACGTTGGAGTGTTTGCATCGACGTACATACACTGGCAGCTTTGACGTTTATCAATAATATAGTTTCAGGTAACATTGATTGCCCTATTTTACTGGGATATATTAATTTAAATGTTCCTCAAAGGAATCTTCGTACCTTTTCCCTCTTCTTGTATCTACCATCGTATCAAGTCCAATTACCTTTTAAATGAGCCGATTGAGCTTTAAGAGGCTTGCTAATGTGGCAAGCCTTATTTAGTAGTATATAAGTTGTTATTTTGTAGCCATATATCATTTGACGAAATAAATATATAAAAGCTTTACAGAGAGCTCAAAATAAAAAATAGCGGAATCGAACAGTTTGCTAATATCCAATGCAACCTTATTTAAAAGTCTTTATCCTAGGACATATTCCTGCTTTTAGGAATTAATATTTATATATGGTCTTAGTAGGTCCATTAGTTCAGAAAAAAACTATACGATATGCATCATTATTACGGTATGCGGAGTTTATAAACGGTATTTATGCCACAAATTAAGACAAGCCTTTGGAACTGTCAGAGAGTCAATGCTATGAAGAGTACCTGAAATATTACTTTTTAACCATCCCTTATGAAAATGCCTTAATCTACCTAAATGAGAAACGGGAACTAATCTTTTATTAAACAAACCCTTAAATATCTGTAATTTGAAACTCAAATTAATAGACCCAAATTTTTAATTTTTTTTTCCTGCCAGACTTTATTAATAACGAATGAAAGTTTACAGCAAGTTTAGTACATTGATATTGCTACGTTGATTAATTTATGGAAAGTAGCATAAATAATAAACTGATCAATTTAAAATGAATTCCAAAAGTTCAGCAGCAATTGCAATGTTAGCAGTAAGAGCTTACATAATTACAAGCTGAGTTTCGGTTAGTTACGTTTTTTTAGTAGGGTCGATTCGTCGATGGGTCAATTTTCATGTATATAACATTCATATTCATTGTTCACCTTGTTGGGATTCACTGAAATTCGAAATGTAGGCTTAGGAGGTTCTTTTTCATGGGTCTCCGAAACATTCCACACAACTTTAGTAATCCAGGGAAGATAGCGCAAAACATTGGTATAATTGGTTTGCGAAGCAATTGCTCCACAATCAGTACCTTCAGACACCACGGCCATGACTTCCGCTAAACAAGGACCATAATATTGATGCTGCCTTATTAATGGGCCTCCAGAATCTCCTTGACATGCATCGTTGCGCTTTTCGTAGCCAGTAACAATAATAGTGTCCATTTTCCTAATAGAGCCCTCAGTGGAAATAACCTTCATTCTACCCTTCAATAATACATCGCTAACGGCGTGTATGTTATTTTTCTTTCCTCCAAATCCGTATAAATATATATGGTCGCTCGGTTTGATAGGATCTTCAGGTGAGGGTAGGCATGCTGGTTTGATATTCTCAGTATACTTAACGGTTTCATTGAGCAATAGCAAAATTATATCATTTGTGTTTGTTATACCCTTGTAATTATATGTGAAGTTTTCCATCACTTCATAACGCTTACTTTTATCACTTTCAGTGCGATTATGAACTCCGAGTCGAACAAAATATTTGCTGTAAAGAACAAAGTTGATTAGAATATATCAAAAAACGTAGTTATAAACGTACAATTCCGGCGTATTTTCATCTCGGGCTTGTAGAACGCAGTGGGCTGCTGAGAGAACATATTTGTTGTGCACCAAGGCTCCACCGCACTGATGTACAAACGTATCATTTTTCTTTGCTTCAATTATCGCCATGTATGGGGCTTCGCCACGTAGTGCCTCTTTGCCGTTATTCATTACACCCTCTTTTGGACAGATGGACTTGTTTTTGCTGAATTTTTCGCATTCTTTAAGTGTCATAAATATGTAACAATATAAATAAAAGCTTAAAAAAGTTGATACAACCTTGCATTTAATAACCGGATATACAATCATAACGATCGGCCGACTATTTTATGTGTGCCACATAATTTATGTGTCAAATTTTATGTGTGCGTCTGATTTGAATGAGTCATACGTATTTATATCAACCAAAAGTTGTTGCTCTAATTATATAATTGCTGTAATTGCTTATATAATTAAACATTTGCCAAAAGTCTATTCACATATTCTCTAAAAAGGAAACAACTCCATTAAATTTTATAAATTCTTTAAATTCAAACCTCACTCACTTGATGTTTTTTTTTTGACTGGGCCTTACAAAACTAAATCAAATAAATCGAATTTAAAAAAAAAAAAGGAAAAAGTGTTTATTTACTTTATTGCACCAAAGAAACCCGTCTCTCAAGTCCCTAGCAAAAGTTATCTTCATTATGATGTTTTTTGTCGCCTAATAGGATTTTTGTTGCCAATTATCCTGGTAAGTTGGATTGTTGTTATTTTCTTACAAAACTGTTTAATTTTTGTCATACGGTGGGTTTTCTCAGTTATATTTTTTTTCACATACATTTCCATAAAAAATAACAGCATAAAAGTATTTTAAAAACTGGATAAAAACTAATACTATTACAATGATGTGTATATATTAAATTGGGTATAAGTCTAAAAAGTTGAGGTCTAGTTTTCTTATTTTATTCAATATTTATGATATGTATAATAAATCTAATTATAATTAAATAATTATTAAATTATAATTTTTATATCAATTTATATTAATTATAATATAATTTTCTTTTGTGGCCATTTGCAGTTCGAATTAGTAGCATCGATATTTATAAGAAATATACCTTTTTGGACAGTAAAAGTTGCCTTAAAGTTCGGGCAGCACACATAAGTGCCTTTAGTATTGTTACAGCTTTCAGCCAAATTATTTCTGGCGAAGGCGCATTTATCAAACGGCACACATTTTGTAAAAGGATAATTGCATTCTTGAATAGCTATAGCTACTGGGTATACCAAAAAATATATTGACCAAATCACAAAGGTATATTTTATTGTCATTTTGAAAGAAGTAAGGATGTTAAAGGAAAAAAGTTGTGAAATTTTCCGTTTTTTCGAGAGACGACCGCTTTACAAAAGACTCAATTAAAAACTAATTTAAAAACGCTGGAAGATAGAAAAAGTGAAGCCAAAAAGACAAGTCAATAATTCAAATGAATGAACCGACTAATCAACCCAATTCGCACAATACAGGCAATATACATGTTTTATAATTTCCCAGCAACTCACGCATCATATGGCCCATCCGCTTTAGGAAAAGATCAATGATGCTTATCTGCCTCAATAGGCAGGACTACGCCATGTGCGTTTGCCCGTCCATCCGTCTGTCTGTATGAACTCAAAGACTATTAGAGCTATGGGATTTTGCAAGAAGACTCGTATAATAACCACGCAGTTCATGTACACCTAAGAAAAAAACAGAGTCGGAGAGGTTTGGGGCCCGCATGGGATTTTCCAATGCCTTATTTTGGTTGTTTAGAAACTGTTGGTATTGGGTGTTAAAGTCAGTATCCAAATTTAAATCTAAAAAAAAATATGGTAAAAACTGAATGAAATCATCTTTTGAATGAAATCAGAATACTCATATGCCTTTTTTTAGTTATAATAATGCTCAATTAGACTTATTATAAAATTTATTTGGGAATTCATTATCTTTCTAATAGTGTGCCTCGCTGTTTCTTTTGTGGGGGCGCATCCTCTGTCTTTCCTTTGATCCCAACGTCACTAAGCTTTCCTCCCTTGCGCTGTAGCTGCTTTTCAATAATCCGAGCATTGTTCGCATAACTATCGGCAATTTCACGCTAAAAAATAAAAAAAAATTATCGAGTTTTTAAATTGTTCTTATTATAAAAAGATATCCAAAAATGTACCGCTTCGATTTCATCCTCTTCCTCGTCGATGGTGGATACCGTAACCGAACTGAACTTGCCCATGTTCTTAGTGTGCCTTGTGACCATAACCTTCTTTCCACTGGCATCAACAATGCCGGAATCTTCCCCTACGGCTGCCGTACCTGCTTGTGTGGAAGATGAAGTTTTGCTCTTAGCTTCGGAGCTGGTGCTTAGAATTTTAGCTAGGGGCTTATCCCCTTTGTTTCGCATGAGGGCATTGAACATTACAAACGTCACATTAGAGTCTGGGCTATGGCGATAGTAAAGTGGCAAATTGCAGCTTCGACACTGAAACGAAATTAATCATTTTATTAAAAAACTAACTCAACTTAAACTTAGAATATGATAGCTTGATAAGTACCTTGTAGCGATACTGTTTTTCAATGGCATTCCCTCTGCTCTTGCGCTTGATATAGATCATCCTCGGCGTGGGATTGTATGTCAGTTTGTTGGCGTGCTCAGTAGCATTTATTACACGTGCATTGTCAATTTCTCGTAGCGGAAGCTGCTCTAAGGAACAGTCTTAAACGAGAAAGAAATATACATAAATATGTGTAATATTTTCTTGGGCGAAGCAAGCTTACCTAAAATCAAAGCCATCTTATTGCACAAGCAGTAATAAATGTTAAGCGGTTTTTCCTCATTGTACTCTTCCTGATCTTTCGTATCGGAGCATATGATACTACGAGAAACTACTTTAGGCATAGTATTTTCTATTTATTGTTTATCTTTCCTTTTCACAAAATTGTTAAATTGTAAATAAACTAGCAATGTGACCAAGTTTTAAATTCCTAAAACCCTTATGTGTACTAAATAAAGAAAGTATCAGATTATCAAACAAATGGGGAAATATAATACTAAATATACCAAAAAAAATACTTTTGAAAACGTAGCCCAACACTGCATTAGTTTAAAATAAACAATAAACATGTGTGATAACGATAAGCCTTCTGCAGAGGATATAGCTACAATGTGCTACAGTAAATATAGGTCCCTGCCTAAAACTGGAAAACCCACCTCCAACCAGTGGACGGTTTTAGCTGGAATCGTAGAGTCAAACCTGCAAACGAAGAGCAATCAAGTGGTGGCCATTGGTTTGGGCACCAAAAGCATTGGCCATACAAAACTTTGCGATAATGGATTCATTCTGAACGATTCCCATGCTGAAGTCTTAGCACGACGAGCATTTCAAAGGTATTTGTACCACGAATTAAGGCAAGACCGAATCTTTCATTGGAACTGTAATAGTCAATGTTATGACCTAGACGAGAACGTTGAATATCACTTTATGAGCACTCAGACGCCCTGCGGAGATGCCTGCATCGTGGTTGAAGAGGAGCCTGAGAAGCAAACGAAGCGGCCGCGACTCTCTGAAGAATCTGATTATATATTCACTGGAGCTAAACTAATGAGCAACGACATGGAATCTAAGGAAGCATTATTCGATGCTATGCAGCAGACACCAGGAGCTCTGAGGACCAAACCTGGTCGTGGAGATCGCACCTTATCCATGTCTTGTAGCGATAAATTATCTAGGTGGAATGTACTCGGGGTCCAAGGAGCACTGCTAGATTCTCTGATATCCAAACCAATCTACTTTAGTACCCTCAACTTTTGCTGTCCTGATGCGCACTTGGAATCTTTACGAAGAGCCATTTATGAACGATGGGAGAGCCGGAACTTTAGTCACCGCAGATTTCAGCCTCAAAAACCAACCATTCGCATTATCCCTGATCTTTCTTTTGAGTTTACTCAGTGTGCTGAACGGCAGCCCTCGCCCAATGGGTTGGTTTGGTCTCTACTGCCGGAGAACAAGAAGTGAGTTACATTATATTCTTCCGTTTTAGACTTGCCTAATACATAATATTATTATCCATAGGCCCTATGAAATATCTGTAAATGGCAAACGTCAAGGGCTGACCAAAAAGGTGATAAATACTCCACAAGCTGCCTTGGAAATAAGCAAGTATAAGCTATTTCTAACATTTATCGACTGCGTTACCTCCAACCCTGATCTGAGCGAAAAGTTTCGCACAAAAGGTACCAATCTCGACGAAACAACATATGGAACATGTAAAAGCTGGGCAACAGTTTACCAAGCGGCATGGCTTCAATTAAAAGATGAATACTTTCTTAACTGGACCACAAAGCCAAGTCACCTACTGAATTTTGCAAAAAAAAATATCGAAAAAAGTTAACTTGTTGAAGAAAAACTTGTTTGTATATAATTGTAATGCAATTATTGTATATTAATTTTGTATATAATTATCCACCCACTCTTTGTGATATAGTTCTAGAAAGAAATTTTGTTTTATCAGCCTTTTATGAATAAAAATCATTTTTCTCATATGCAACATCTAAGCGTGTTATATTTAGTTTTTAATACCATAATAATATATACTAATTGTCATTTTGCAAACGTTTAACGAACAAACAATCCAACAGGCGTACATTTACAAATAAGTTTATATTTAAAGCTAGACATAAACAGATGTGAATAAGGATGCGAATGCGCATAAAGTAGGTATGCTTTCTGGGGGTAGTACGATCTAAATACGAAGTTTTAACAGTGGGATATGCAGGTCCAGGTCGAGGCGTAGTACCATACAGGTACACTGTTTGTTGGGGGATGTGATGTGTGGGTGCAAACAGCTAAACGAGCGACTCGAATCTATAAGACCATCCCATTTGAAACGACTGATTCCAAGGAACTTAATGACCACCGATCTCGCGCAGCTCACGCTTTCCCAGCGGCAACGGGGGACGGAAGTTGTTGATGACCTTGCCGTTGAATTCGTTGCATGGGCACTCCTCCTTCACGTCGTAGGCATTGAGGTTGCGCATGGCATTCAGCTGGTCATCGGATACCTCGATGGGGGTCTTGAACACGATCCAAATGACCGACTCCGAGCATGGGGGCGTGGTCAGGGAACCCTCGTATGTCCAGTAGGTATGCACGTCGGGAAGCAGTTTGCTAGGATCGCAGCCGCCGGGCAGAGTCACACGATCTCCCTTGTGAAGGACAAACTGCAGCAGGCTGCTAACTTTGTCCAACTCAGCATGATGGTTTCCGGCCTGCAGGAATACTCCCAGCACTGCTAAGCCGTCGGGAGCGGCAGCAGCCTCTCCGAAAGTCTTGTATTTGGTGGTGTTCCAGTGCACCAGGTGGAGCTCTCCGGCGTACGACACTCCGTCGACGGTGTGCTCAGAGCCCTTGGAGTCTGTGCAACCCCAATGACAGTGGAATTGCTCCAGCTTGAAGATCTGATCGCCCAATGGTCCGCCAGTGAGTTCGGACTCGTTGCCATTCACATCCACCCGCCAGCAGTAGCCTGTAAAACAATTAAATTAATTAACTAACAAATTTTATCTATGATCCTTAAAAATATTATTTAAGAAATGGTAAAATTTGTAAGACATTCTTGTTACGAAAACTAATCATAGTTATCTTTTTTAACAAAGTAATGCATAGGTACATGACTTACCAGGATTGACCAGGCTTTTGGTGTGATCCGGCACATACTTCCACTTGAGGGGGGCTACCTTCAACTCGCTGCCCTTCTTGGCGCTGGAGGGGGTGATATCAACGGGGGACTGGCGATGTCCCGATGCCTGGGGGTAGTCCTTGGCCCAGTGGGCAGGTCCTAAAAGAATTCAATGAACAGAGAGGGGCTAAATATAAATCCAGTAATGACAGTTTGTGTTTGCCAAAGGTACTTTAAGTGTTAATCCAACGATAAGAAACAATAAATCAAGTAAAATCAATCACTTCAATATTGGAAAGCACTCCAGAGACGCTAATTATGGGTCATTAGGGGGACAAATGAAATCTTGATGGAAAAGACAATAAAGGAAAGACTCCATTATTTTTCCGACCGGAGGAATATTCATTTATTTATCAATAAGACAAAAGGAAACCCTTCGACTTTCTTTACATTAATGAACTCTGTGTATAATTGTAATTTATTTACCATCATTAAGATTTAAGGATGAAGAATCATATAATAGAGTACATAATTTATTTACTGAAACATTGAGTCAACGGCTCTTTGTTTTATTAAAATGTCGTGGGGCTAATCGTTTGCTCAACTGGCAGTCATAATATTTGCATAGAAATTTTTTATCTGACCAACCGGCTGTGACAACACAAGTATTTGCTTTTCTACTGTGTACTGCAGTTTACGTTTTTGTACATAGGTTGGTTCGTGTATGCGTATTATTTTTAATTACTGGCTCGCTGGCGGTGGGTTGCAAAGTCAGAGCAAATATTGACACAGAACCACGTCACGTGCCAGTAAAATCACTCCGAAGACCGCAGGCCAAGTCATGTGATAGGTTCGTTGCAGACGCACGCTCCAGATAAACCGCATGGTTTCAGTTTCGAGAGGAGCGGGGGCAAAGGCGTTGAATCGTTTGTCCAAACCAAACCAACAAATAGCTTATAAATGTTCTAGGGTTGCGATGGTAGTACCTGGCAAAAGACTGCCATGACACCCCGAAGGTAACAAGCGTTCTTATCTAACTTGAAGACACCGGCAAAGCCTTTTTTGTCATATGATAAATTACCGAGCTCAAGGCGTCAAATTCTCTGTAGCTATAGCTCTGTCATTTCGCTAAAGTCCCCCCAAAGTCCTCTATAAAATTGATAATAAATAAAAGTCAGGTGAAATGCATTTATCAAAGCCCAAATCAAAGTCCTCCATTTTCTTCTTGATGACAAACATGGTGTGCCACACATTCATATACATAAGAGTTTCTATAAGTATCCCTAAATCAAAGATCGGTCGTATGAAAGTCACGTATGTATACGCCGCGTTGGGCATACAAAGCAGTTGATGCACGATCCTTTTATAACTTCCCAGGCAAGTGCAAATATCCGGCCATATTTATTATTTGCAATCATATATTTCTTTGCATATACATATATTTTTCTACATATTTGAGTTCAAAACTGGATGAGGTATTCTCACACACATTGACTTAAGATTTTAATATGAATTTCTGTACGCTTCTTAGTAGATACTATTTGTTTTTGTTTACCTAACAAGTTTGTTACTGGAGTTAGCTATAAATGCTTATTATCAACTGGCGGCATTTTTGCAACAACTGTCACAAGTGCGCTAAGGCTTTGAAGGTGAAGGAAAGTGTCGCACTTGTTTCAACAGAAACGAACAAAAGCGAGGAAATGAAAAGCCTCATGTTGGTAACTTGATACTCCCAGCAGGCTGATCAAATGGAGCTTTATTAGAGCTCTATTTTTACATTTTACGAACTGCAAATTTATTATTTGCACACTTCTCAGTTAATCGCATCATCGTTTTGCAGTTTATTTCATCCAATTTAGATCACAACGAACACAAAGCAAGCCTGCGATTGTTGTTTTAATTTTATGATAAAATCTAAGCGATTCATTTGAATTACGGCAAATGAATTACCTGGAGCCCAGTGGAGCAGCTGTCTGGGAGAACTCGATCCGGAAACAAGCTCGATGGGGAACTTTCGTTAGAGTTTCAATAGAAAAATTGAGCTAAAAAGCGCGACTCATCAAAGAATAAAAAAGATATTCGCATAGAATATATTTTTAACACAAAAGCATTTCGCCATAAAAGTAAAGACAGAGCTAAAAATTCAACACGAGAGTCAATTAAAAAAATACTCGTTACGACTGTTCCAAAAAAGCTTTTAAAAAAATAAGCAATTAGCATTTACGAATTTACGAGCTAAGCGATTCTAAGCGAGCCTTGCATGATAATTTCAACCGGAATCATCGGAACTGGACGGAGGCATCGGTTTGTTGCGTGTTTTTTTCCTGCGACGATCGTAAGGAAGTGCTCAGAAAACTGGTTTGGGAAAGTACACTCCACCTCCAAACGTCCCGTATTCGAAATTATATATGAGTCAGTCTGGTGACATATAGCAGCACTGATGGGTCAAGTGTCTTTGCTTTTTATGGGCCCTCGATTGACCTGGCTAGCTAGGGAACGATCCAGGCCCACTGTCGCCACTATTTATGTGACCCACCTTGGCTGGAGGAAGCCCCAGAAGTACCCACAGCCCTTGGGCTGCCTCGGCTGGGCCTAGGCGAAGGCGTTTATCTAACTAGAAAGCAATCGACTTCCCCGTCCAACCCTTCAATCACCTGCAAAAACTTTTTGCTTGTAATTATTTGTTTGCATGTGAAATGGTGACAATAAACCGACAATGAAATAATTGAATTGTCGTAACTCAAGGAAACCGACTCAGTACGTTTCTTAATGGCCATCGCAGCTTTTAGTTGAAAATGTTTGGTCACGTCCATTTTTCGTAAAAAGTGTACTTATATTTATGGATGCTAAGTGAAATGGATTTTATTTCCCAAAAATTTTCCAACCCATAAATTGGCGTCTTTTTTTAAGAAGAAAAACCGCACATATAAAGATATCAAGATGGATATATATATTTATAAATACGATTCCCGTCAGAATCATTTTATTAGCACGTTCAATAAAATATCTGGATGGGCAAGTCAACTGTAGTAGTATCTATAGAGCCGGCCAAAAATAATATCAAGCTGGCGATATCTCGCACGTTCCTTGCGTGAGAAATTGTTTTCGTAGTTCTATTTTTTATTCCTCCCCATCCCCTAATAAATATTGGCTTTAATGGCGGGGGTCTGGATTTGATCTGACGATTATATGGCAAATAAAAACCGTATTCAATTGATAGACATTAATAAAATTGAACTTTGATGTGCGACTAGAGAGCTCTTCCATACGAAGTACCAGTAGAATCAGTTATGCCTTAAGTAATTTTGATCCAACTTTGAAAACTGATAAGACAAGGAAAAATTTAATTTCGGTACATTAAAAATCCATCGATCACGTTAACAGTGCCAATTTCATGATATGGGGAATTCACTTTGTTTTTTTGCGAAAACAGCGACAAAACAAATACTTTTTATCTATCTAAGATAACTTGGTCATGGTTTTATAGAGATTTCGGGCTTTTTAAGTTGTGTTTAAGTCAGTTTATATAGGATTATGGCTCAGCTGATAGATGGGAAACCGATTTCGGAACACTTTATGGACCTCTCACACATCAACACGCGAGTTGTAATCTGAAATGCCCAGATGGAAGCGTGGCGGTTACCATTCAGACAGTTTTGACAGGGCCAGGGGTGAGAAGCAACCTGAGCGATTGATAAGGATGGCTGGCTGCACCGATCGCACAATCTCTTCTAAAAATATATATGTATATTTACGACTGGGAAGTATGTATCGCTGGGCCATTCTAGGATCGTCTTTTAAGTAGGCGCCCACTGATAAGGCTCTTCTTGCGTTGGAAAGTTACCAATCAGTATCAGCATCGAATCAATCAGAGCAATCACGACCAGTTAAGCAAACCAATTGATATTGTCAAAAATTGTAGATTTTTGATTTTCCAATTGAAATGATATGGACTGGGGGCCAGCATGTCCCAATCGATATACATATTCTATTAATGCTATGCATCACTCACACATCAATAACATGAATATTACGTATACGTCCGAAGCCTTTGGCAAAGTGGTGACGGTGGAACCGGTCTGCGGTGTGTCCTTAGCCGCCGAAGAACATGCACTTGACAAGCAAATGAACCTGCCCTCAAGGCAGAAGAGACAGAGCGCGGTAGAGGTCTTGCAGAAAGAGACAAAGACAATCGATCGCTCGAGAACGCGATCGCAATCGCGCATGCGAATACAAGTTCGAACCCGTTTGACTGTTTCAGCGACTGGTTGTTGGGAAGCACCCGCCCTGCTAAAAGCCAAATCACGAGACACAGCTCGTGCGAAACTCCCCGAGTTAAAACTTAATTAATATTCCCATTATTCATGAGTGTCCAAGTCTAGTGACGGGGCTGTTTACGCTCGTTCGGTTTGCCTATGAGGCGTAAAATCGAAGTGCAGGCCGTTCGAATGCATTGTGTAATCATTGGTGGATCTCACTTCGGAAGTAAGCCCCTGCAGTTGGCTTTCGGTTTTATTTTTTCGTTGCGTCAATTGTCCAAACCCTTTAAGATAACACAAGTCTTACACTGGCTGCGATTGCTTTAAGTGTTGAGTTATCTGACTAATTGGCTATTTATTGGAGTTTACTCACACATTGTTCTAAATAACCGGATTTTATTGGGTTAGGCCGCTCGATCCCTACGACTGTGTGTATCTTGAAATATCTTATCGCTTAACAGCTCTATTATAGACCTCTGTCTGATTCGGGAATGTGACGTTTTTCTCAGATAGATCAGGTTCGTCATGGAAGAACAATAAGCGAATAAATTCCTGCGGTAATATCTAAAGATAACAGATGTTTTCCTATAAAACATTCTCTCAGCGAGCAAACATTGTTGAAATTCCACATCGCGGAAGATCACTACTTTCCTCACGCCCCCTAGGCTAAAACGATGGAGAAAAGGTTGCAAATACTGGATATTGTGACACGCATGCGCAGCGTGCATATGACTCAAAAATGGACATAAAAGCAGACGGCGATGTCTGATTAGACGAAGGCCAGACGTCCCAAGAGAAGCGGTTTCTCCGCTTTGCCGTAAACAACATAAACAAACCCACTGCGGGAACCTGATTCGGCGGAGGCTGCCCGAAAAAAATTCAAAACAAACAAACGAAGAGCTCTCCAGCTCCCACAACCGCTTCGAGGCTTACCGTTCTCCTCGGTGTAACCCCAGTGGTGGCTCATCTTGGATATTTGGTGGGTATTAGAGGATATCAGAGAACTGGACACGGGAGGACCTTAACTCGCGGACTATGGCACGCGTCTGGGTTCGCTGGGGATCGGTCTGCTCGCTTTATAGAGAACCGGGAATCGAGAATAGCAGTACCGGAGAACCGCGGAATCACTTGGCTGGGGAACGGAACGATGACTGCTTGGATAGTCCGCTGATTGTAGACTGCCGGACTCGACCAGCGGCGCTGACTTGAAACCTGACAGCGACGTCGTCGTCGTCGGCGGCGGCGGCGGCGGCAGTACGCACCTTACGAGCGGTGGGCAGAATCAAAAATAATAAAAAAGAGAGCGACGGCGAAAGAGAGTAAGAAAGAGGCGAGAAGTGAGCGTGAAAGCCAGTGAAATAAACTACTGTTTAACCTAAAATCCGTGGGTTGCTCTGGGAGGGGCAGGGAACTACCCTGGGGCGGCTCAGGGGGACGGGCCAACAGCCGCCCGGCTGCGGCGTCATTGGAGCCGTTGACAGTGCTACTGGGTTCAATAGTTTGCCGCCGTTCACCAGCCAGTCGTACATGAGTGCGGTACTATGGGGCGAATACGTAATTAGTTCGCATTCGCAGAGCGTCCAACACCCAGGTCTGTTTATTTTTGCACTACCTGGCCGTTTGACCTTGACTCCGCACCGAGTGCTAGACCGGGTCTGAGTCGGTGGACAGAAAGAGGAAATGGAACTGCGCTCGAGAACGGAAAGTGTTAATCGATTATTGCTAAGCACGATCGATCAATTATAGGGTGTTTCTAATAGATTCTCGATCATGAGAAGTTATGCAAAAACCACAAAAATATTCGTACCTTTTTTCTTAATTTGTTATAGCAATGAAAGCAAAGGTTCTTGAATAAAACTTTTAAACGCTGAAGCTTAGTGTTCCACTGTGCATTTACTTTTCTAAATTACTCCATACATGCCTTAATTTTTATTTTTTTTTTCGGTTTTGTTGTCGAACTTTTGTGCATTGTTTTTGTTGCTGCTGACTTAAAGCGTGATCGCGATCGCGCGCTCGACAGCACATCCACATCTATATATTCATACCTCGGTATGTATGAGGAATGGGGGATGAGCAAGGGTGACACGCTAATCGTAGCACTTTTCTGGGGAGCTGCGCCCACAGAGAGCTTTCTCGCGGGCAATGGATTGGGCCGGAAAAGCGGTCGCGGAGGAGGGTCAGGCCAGTTGAGAAGGGCCAGAGGGATCCGTCATTTCCATCAACGCGCTGCTCATGTTATTCCATTAGTCCATTAGGCACTGCACAGTCACCGAGTAGCACGAAGCCACTTCAGCGAGTTAAGCTCAAAATTTGTCACTAATTTCAATTCTGCGACGCTTTTGTTTCACTTTTTTCTAAAATGGACAATAGAATAAATTGGTTACATGGATCCACAAGCTAACACTATCCATTGTTGTGGGTAAACTTTGTTTTTCTTTCCAAATTCGATCGCTATCGCCTAGCCCCTCTGCGGCCACCACTGCGTATGCGCAACCAATTTGGCTTGTGTTTGTGCTTGGATTAAGTCTTATCGCACTTTTCTCAATGTGCTCTGCTTGCTTTTCAATTATCTGCATATTATATTTACTTTACAATATTATGATTATTTTACAGAGGTCTACTTGGCCATATCCCCCCCTCGGCCCGCTCTGAATCGACCCACCTCACGTGCAGTTTGTAATCGTTTGCTTCCGCCTTTTTTCATTCCCCTCGCCGTTTTGCAAAATGGAAATGGGAATGGAAATGAAAATGGGAATGTATAATATCTGGATAGATTTGATTTAAGCTCCCGCGCTGACAGCCCACTTGAAGGTCGCGTAATTATTGTTAATGGGAATTAACAGAACAACAGCAATCATTAAAGTCTTTTAGGGAAGAAGTAAAATGTTTTTGTATCGTTAAATAGGGAAGAATTTAGGTATATCTTGACATTTTGAATTATAGTTTCCCACCAACTAAATAAATAATAAATACAATTTCAGTACTATTTTAAAGGTTTTATACATTTTTAGAGTTATTTAAAATCAGAGACTACAATGTTATAAGTTGTGTGGTATTTTTAGAAATGCAAATTACAATTTTAAAATTCATTTAATAATTTTTTCTCTTTTATAGATACCAAGAGTTAATGTTTTTTCCATTAAAAGTAAGCAAAAAATGAATATTTTAAGTTCCTTTTTAATATGGCTTGAAAGATTCTTTCGGAAAAGCTTCACCAAAATGCTATTATGAACATATTTACTTCAAACCGATTATTTTTTAACAGATTTGAAGAAGGATCGCTGATGGATTTTAAATATTATTTATTAATATGTCCTTAGATTTTTCTTCAGGCTCGGATATGCTCCGAAAAAAACATAAACAGTAGTTTCTCAGAATATGTAAATATTTACCTGAAAGTCGGGAGATTAGTATAATCTTGATAATCTTAATCTCAGGAAGTAACCATTTCTATCATTACCAACGTACATATTTGCAATGAAAGTGTATTTCAGACAGTTCAACCAACTTTTCAAGGTAATTGAAACAAATTTTAAACTCATTTGGTGGACAATATTTTGGGTTACCTAATAACGTATCCTGATAAACAAAACATAGAGGGTTTTTTAAACATTTACGATTGTTTGTCTTTTTTTATTCTTTTTTATTGGTAGATGTTTATTTCTTGCGGTATTTCTGGGTTAGAAACACGCGTGGCTAAGGATTTGCTTTTATTTTGTTTTGGAAGCAGTTGTTTACTATAATAATTCCTCATTTATTATGTGTATTCTAGGATTATAAAGTAACTGACTGCGTGGTTGTCAAAGATCTTGAACTCCAGTTTATGGCTAGCTGAAGAGGGATTGAATAAGATTTTGTGGAGAATTATAAGGTAAAGCTGCACGCATAGTATAATATATCTCTGTAGAAAAATTGGACTTCTATCAGAATTAATCCCTCAATTAGCACCTGCTGTTGTGATTTTTCGCAAATCGAATCAGAAATCGAGAGCGTGATTAAGTTTCCACGAAAATTGACATATTAACAAGATTTATTAGCGTATGGCTTAGAATTTCCAACTCACACATTTAACACTTGGGTCAGGGGGAGACTTCTTTCCCTGCATTCTTCGCCATACAAAGCCCCATTGATTCCAACCCGATCATCTCAGTTTCGGGCAGTTTGTAGTGTGTCCGTGTTAATCGAATTGTTTAACCAGCAAACAAACAAAGTAGCACGAAAAATATGGTGTCATGTGGATAGGGATCCAAAATTTGCACAAAGCCAAGCTTCCTACATGTCTTGGAATATTCCAATGTTTTCTTTTCTTTGAGAAAGAAAAGTTTTATTTCTTTTCTACCCATCAGTAACTGAAATTCTACCTGTTACTGAAAGTCCACCCATTAGGTCTAGAAATTTGATAAAATCGAAAATTCTCTAGTTTAGAAGTTCAAGTACCTTTTTTTTCTTAATTTGACGGTCAAAAATTGAGTGAAAAAATACATTTTCGTTTTTAGAAGCCGTTTTTGTGGAAAAACTCAGTTTGTTTCGACTCTGTTGGTTTGTGGATCTACCCATGCTACTTAATACTATACTGCTTCTATTTACTTGCCCAAGATTACCCAAGAAGATACCCAAGACTTACTTTAAACTGCCCTACCAAATAATATCTTGATTATTTAAAACAAAAATTAAAATGTTCTTAGAAACATTTAAAAGTAATAAAACTTTAAAAATAAACCCTGCATAGGTGTGCTTTCTTTATTTCTTAAAAATTTTATTATTTATCAGATGCGGTCGTAAGGATACCCCATGAATAAAATATAGCTTCACCAAAATAAATTGTTTATCGTCGCAATTCAGCATAAGAGCATGGAGCTCTTAACATCATTTGAATGAATTCGGCGCACATATCTCGGGTACAATAAAAATGCCATAAATCTGGGTCCCAAACGACTAGCCAAACGACTATGACACCAAAAATTCGAACCACTTAATTTTCATTGTATTATTTTTAACATCTCGCGATGTTTTTCGAATTTAAATCAAATTTAAGAACGTGCGACAAAAGATATAAAAATGGTGTATATAGTGCTACAGATTGGCACACATCTATAATAAAATGATCAGATCCGAAGTGACAATATACCTTGATCTTGATGTTAAAATGGAAAAGGTTCGAGAAAACCCCAAATCAATAAACTAATGTCAAAATTTTGGTAATACATTAATATTGTATATTTGAAATATATATTCATATAAGTATATTTTGATTTAAATTAACACTAGCAATATACAGGCTGCAAAATATGCTTGTTTAATCAGTATTTAGGCTACTCATTAACCGGTAAAAGGGAATAATGACGATGTGGTTACACCAGGGAAAACAAATCCAAATTCGTAACTGAAGGAAACTATACACACGCACACATTAAAGCCTTATATAGCATATACATAGCTATGTATGTATATAGATAAAAACAACAACATTCTCCTTTAAACCTAATAAACATTACATTTCGACTATGTATTGTTTATAAATATAATAAAAATATATACTCGCTTGTAAGATTAAGTGCCAACAAAACAACAAAGCCGAGGGAACCGAGGAGTGCTCATGGAACAATGATTTAAGAGGGGGGAGATTGGGGACGATCGAACTATTAACATGGCCGAGTCAGCTAGCCAGGTGGCTCTGTCTCCTCCTTGACTATTTAGCGCTCATAATATTAAATACTGGACCGATACGCATAAAGACACGCCTAAGGACACTTCGCAATTCGGGCTTGAGGTCAAAGCACATCATTTCGCAGAGCAGGCTATAATAGTTGGACACATGGGTGGCAAACTGCAATAAAAATAAACATTCTAATTATTTGTCGCTAAATATTGTCATCAAAGCTTACCCTTGCATCGGACATTTTAAGAAGACGCGTCAGGATGAGCAGGAGGAGCGACGTCCAGGCATCGCGGTGTGCCTCGCTCTGCAGGCTTAGGTAGTAGCCCAGCGCCTCCTTGCACACTTGCACCAACTCCTTCTCGATACCCGGCCAGTCGCTGCGTCGGTTCTCATCGCCATACATCTTGAAAAAGATGCGCAGGACACAGGCGAGTGAGGATGTCTCCTGTTTCAGCAGATTGGGCTTCACCGACCCCTTGAACCCGGCTCGCCAGAGCAGGCTGCGCTGCTCCTGGTCAGCGTTGAAGCGTTTGGCAAAGCGGTGCGACTGCATCAGGCAATCGGCCAGGGTCAGTAGCTGCCGTGTGCGTAGATAGCCGTACATGCCCTGTTCCTCGCGCTGGCAGTCGAGAAGCTGCGACTGCGAACCATTCCTCCCACCTGTAAGATCGGCTGCCGCCTGGGCCAGTGTCTCGGCGTCTTCCTTGCGCGACGTGGCTGGAAAGAACACTATGTTGTCCACTGTCTGGATTAGCTCCAGCTGCACCACGCACCGAATATGCAGGGCCTCAAAGTGATTATGCTCCTGGGGTTGGCTGTTACTGGAATGTGCCTTAGGCCGCCAGCTGAGCAGCTCCTGCGGTAGCGTGGCGTTGAAGATGTCCAGAATGCATTGGCATGTCTTGTCCCATGTGGACTCATTGAACTTGAAGCCATTCGAAATAACCAAGTTTTCTAAACAGTTCGTTCCAGACCTAGCCAACTGCTCGTTGCTCTGCTGAACACACCAATGGAGTTGCGCGAAGAGCTCCTCCAGCAACAGGTGTCCCAGGACGTCAAAGTATTGCGTGAAAACGTCGATGATGGCGTACAAAGCATGGTTGCATGTGGTCGTCATCCACTCGGACTTCTCGGTGACGTGTTCAGGTAGCTTCATGTTGTCGAAGATACGGAAGATCACATTGAACAGGTCCTTCCACCAGTTTGGCTTGAAACTCTCCCCATAGGTCTTCACAATCTCGAACAGCACGGTCAAGGCGCGAGTTCGCACGTCTAGCTTGCACCGGTTGACCACACAGGAGAGCGAGAACAGCATAGGGAACCAGCCGCGTACCCACACCCGATCCTCCTCGGCCACCGAGGCGTCGTTCTCCATTCCGGCGTGCTCCGCAAATAGCTGCGGAGCCTCGTGGACGCACTGGGCGCAGGTGCGAACCAGGCGAATAGATTCCATGCTGGTGTCCGGAAAACGAGCGGTAGCAAACTCCGAGAGACACTTTACAGCATCCTGGAAAGAGTCCACCATAATGGCGAACTGTCGCTGATACAAATCGCCGATTATCTTGCCCGTGGTCTGAAAGGCCAGCTCCACAATTGGCTCTTCGTGATCTCCCGCTGCCAGGTGGAAGATGCTGAAGATATTCTTCCAGCCGGAACGTATGTTGTGAGCCTGCGAGTTTACCATCTGGGCGATGCAGCGAACCACCATGTCGCGAATCGCCGGGGAAGCGTTTTTCTTCATAATGTGCTCGAAGGGTCGCAGGAAGTCCTTTTGAAATCGAAAGTTACTGAACTCGCCCTTCTCCATGAACTTCATCGAAAGCTGACGCAGTGAGTCCAGAGCAAAGAACGCGATCTCCTCGTTATTGTTACAGCCGACTGTGTTGAAGTGTTCTCCGAGGACCTGCCATATGCGCGACCACTGCAGACGGATACGCTCCATATTGTAGTAACTGATCTCCACGATTTTCTGCAGCGAAAACATTCGCGGTTGCTGCTGCTGCAGTTCATCCACCGAAACTTGACACAGGGCCTTCACAAAGTCCACTATGGCATCTCCATCCAGTCGCATCGATCCCGTGAAGATGCGGTCCACGGCCACCACCACACTCTGGCTGCTCGTCTCCCCGATGTGTTCCTTCACACTGGGGTTCAGCGAGTCCTTCAGGGTAGTCTGCGCCCCAGAAAGAAACTGCGGCCGCACGCCCGTGCCGATAAGCTGGGCCAGCTCCAGTTGGCTGATGCACTTAACAATGTCCAGCCAACTACTGCCCAAGTAGTTACCGTCCGTGTGCGCGACCATGATCAGAGTTTTGATTGTATCGATATTTTTGGCCTTCATCTCGTTTATAGGGGAGTTAGCGTTAAGGAGCGTGAACCTGGCCAAGGCCTGTACGTAAGCATCTCGTTCCAGGGACATATGAAAAATGCAAGCGATGCGGATAGCACAGCGTATTCCATCCAGGCACAGCGTTGCTATCTCAGGGTCGTCGCAGTCCTGCAGTCCCACCGAAAAGGCGGCAAGGAAAGGCGTCCAGGCCATCTTGAACATGGGGCGCACGTGCTCCAGATGCTTGGCCGAGGTGAATGGGGACTTCACGTGCGAGACCGACTGCATCAGGTTGGTGGCCGTCAGCGAAATAACCTCCATCTCCATATTCCACAGCAGCTTACGACGTTTCTCCGTGATGAATGCCTGCTTTCCTGTGGGCTTCGGCTGCTGCAGCATACCGGAATTATTCTTCATTTTAATTTCGTGCTCAGCGATCTCGTCGTAGATGGAGGACAAATACTCCTCGGGTAGGTCCGCTTTGCTGTCGCTGATACCGCGGTTCATCTTAATATATTGCTCTTTGGTCATCTTGTGCTTCACCTGCGGCGAGTGGAGGTCCGTGGTCAACATGATGATGCTGAAGGCCAACACGTAGACTGTGTCGGCGCTCTGGAATAGTTGGTTTTGGGGATTGCACTCGCAATACCTGCTGGCAAACTTCTCCATTAGACGATCGATTTTTTGGGCCTCTCCCGGGAGCCGGAACTCCTCAAGCAGGATTCTTAGGGCGGCCACCACCTCTAACTGGCGAAAATCGAAGGCGTCGATGTAAGCGCACATTACCTCCTTGGAATGTTCGTCGTTCTCTCCCAGGTAGTTTCCTATCACGGTCTTGTCCAGCCGTTCGTCCTCGTGCAGCCACCGGGCGATGTCCTGACAGGTCGAGCCCAACAATTGTTTTTCCTGCAGGAACTGCACACCCTTTTGCGGCTTGCGGTTGAATAGTTCGATTCCCGTTTCCATGACCTCTTTACGCATTTTTCGCTCCTCCAGAGCCTCCGGCAGGTCCTGAAATTGCTCCTGATTAGAGTTTAAGCTGTGACTGGAGCCGCTGTGAGTTGTTTGGATGGTGGTGTCTGCCTGATCGTGATCTGTTGCTGTGGGCGATTGCACTTGCAGGGCTGGAGCGGGCATGTTGGGATTGACGTAAAGATCCTTGCTCCATTCGACCATACACTTTAAAATGGATACGAGGCACTCCAAGCCACGAATGCGCATGGACTTTTCCTGAATGGGATTGGCGCCCAGTTCAAGGGCTTGACGCCCTTGTGCAATCTTCGAGAGATCATTGACAAGCCTCTCAAACAGGTTAGCCGCCGAGAAGTCACAATCGTAGTTAACGTAGATGTCCACCACCGACTGGGCATCCGCGCAGATGCGAGTAAGCGCCTGGATAACCATCCACTTATGCTCGAAACTGCTGGAGTTGGCTTCCAAAATGTTAAGAAAGATTTCCTTGAAGAATACTTCGATCTGGCGCTTTAGATGCACCTTGAAGTTCGACAACAGAGCTACGAATATCGATAGCGACAGTTCGAATACTTCAGGTACCAGGCTCACTCCGTTGTTGGACAGTGCCACGCACAGATACTGCTTGATGGCCATAATGAACATCTCGTTAGATCGGAAAACAGGTCCAGCGTTCTGCAGGATTAGCAACAACAGGTGAAGCGATAGCACCTTGGAGCGCAGCTCGTGGGACTTGGGGTCTGGATGTCCTTCCGGCAAAGGCTTCATCGATAGCTTGCACAGCGCTCGAAACACGAGAAAAGCGTCCTTTTGGAGAATGTGGGTAAACTTGGCGGTGACCACGGCATCGTTTTCGCTGTGCAACTCTACACTGTCGTGGTCGGAATGTGAGGATTCATTTCCGTTAGCCGCAGGCTCCCCTTCTCCACCAGACTCCACGTCCTTCATAGCCTCGTTGTAGGCGGCTGAAAAATAAATAGGAAAATAATTATTCTATTCATAACGAGTATGTAGCGGCTGAGCAGGTGCGGCTGTTCATGCTGCACCTTATCAGGGCAATTGCGGGGCTGAGTCATAAGACTTACAGCGTTGAGGCAATTCTCTACAACGTACACGCATGGCTAAGCCATTTTTCGTTGATTGAAACCCACCTGTTATGATCTCCGCCAGTAGTTCAGAGGCGATGACTTCGTCAGGATCGGCGGATGTCTCGTCTGAACTACCACCACCCGTACTTCCATTGCAGTCTTCCGAGTGAATGCTTCCATTTATGGGATTGGGCGGTGGCGGCATTTCATACACCTGATTCTCCATCCGGGCAAAGATCACATTCAACATCTGCGTGAGGGTGGCGCGGGCGGTGGTCTGGTTGACCAGGTTCTTGCTGGACAAATATATGTCATAGCAGGTGCGAACCGCCTGCAGAAGCGTGAATTCATGGATCTCTACGTGCTGCGAAGTGACGACCGTCAGCAGAGCTTTTATGATTTGCAGCTGCACGCCCTCATCTGTCTGGGGGCCACTAAAGCACCCGTATATCGTAACTACAATGCGGTCGATGAGCAAGTGGCCGGGATTCGCAGAGTCTTGAATGGAGCCCGTCAAGTGGCCCGTAGGCGATCAGCTTCTGCAGGCAGTCCAGGGCAGTTACCACAATCCGTGGCGACCGGCTCTTACACGCCAGCTCAAAAGGTAGGAAGTAGGTCTCCGCATTAATAATGCTCGCCGCATCATTTTTGGGCAACGGGAGGGCGGCACAGGGCAGTTCATTGCCTTCGGCAATCTGGCCAGCGCTAATTAGCTCTGCCTTGATCTGCTCTAGCGCCGAGTCGCAGGACTTTTTCAGCTGCGAGTGGTGGGAGCGCCGTATGTCCTTGTCGGCAAGGATCTTTTCGAGAGCACGCACGATGAACATTTCCTTGGTCTTCGTGGAGTTGGTGCTTAGCATATTGGGCGGCTGCCTCCAACGGTTAAGTTTTGATTGCTCCTCCTTCGACACCACTTCACTGCCCTTTTCACCGCTCCTATATCTTGACACCCCACTCCTCCCTTGAACGGAAACGACAGCAACGAAACTTTCGCTGCTGCCTTTTGATAGTGGCTCTCCGCTGGCCTCGGCCCTTCCAGTGGCTGACGTGTGGCAGACTTTTTGGACAAATTGTCAACTCGTTGACTCGTCGTGTTACTTGCGTGCTGTGTACGATCGCATGTTGCAAATGTTTCACTTTTTCCACATTAAAATATGCTTCAAAATACAATGCGAAAAAACGTCATCAGCAGTGTGACAGCGGTCAGGAAAAATACCAAAATATACCCGACCAGTGTTGAAAAGTGACACAATTTTAGACCTTTTTTTTTAGTTCAATAGAAAATTTAAAAATACCTTATTTTAATCAATTTAGATCAAATCTGTAAACTTGAATTTAGACTTTAATTTTGATTTTTAGCCTTTAACTTTGAAAAAATTTAAAAACAGGCATCCTTTTTTTTATAATTTTAATCAATTACTATTTTTTCCATTTAATAAAAATTTTTCCATTCAATAAAAACTAACAACTAAATAATTTAAAAAAAAAGCTACAAAAAAATTATTCATCTTATTCATATAATTATTCATATAAATCATTTAATACAACCGGCTGATTTAACCCGTAAAAACGGGTGGGTTACTCGTTCAAAAAACTATTTTCAAAAACTAAACGATATTAGCCCTTTGAATCTAAGGCTCAGATACACCAAAAATGATTTTTTTAAGAAACAATTTTTTTACATTTATTTATAATGTAAGCGATTATTCGAAATTAGGAAATACTTAATAAATAGATATATATACTTCACAATATTTACAAAGTGTCTTTGATATTAGTCTTAAAATATATAAGTTAAGTAGAAAACCTTGCCGATATTGTGAGCCCAAGTGCCCGCCGTCGTGAGAAAAACTAATTCTCGTATTGGTTAGAGATTCATAGTTCAGGTAAATACTGTCCAAAATGCTCGATGAAATTTTTACAGGTGAGATGTGGGAAGGGATGCCGGGAAACGGAGACATTAGCCTTCTCCGACGAAGGGAATCTTGTGCTCAGTCTTTTCGATATGCGAACCCGCCACGCAAGCCATCTCTCATACGAAATTGGGGCCGTCAAGGCTTTGTTGAACAGATGATTCCCTTGACGTTGATTGCGATTTGGCTTGTTTATCGAACTTGAGGAAAATGTCCTCGAGCGTGCACTCGTTCACCGAGTAGTCCGCTACGATGTGGCCTAGCCGCTCGGTTAGGTTGTCTTCAGTTATCTTGAACACGTGCGACCAAAGGACTATACTCTCCTGGGTGCCCACAAAGTAAGTGAGCGTGCCCGCATGATTCTCCCGCAGTTCTAAGCCCTCGAACTGATCCTTCAGTGTGCTCGTAATTATATTCACATTCTCGTCCGATTCGGTGTCCTCCTGCATTTTAAGTTTAATGGTGAACCCACTCAATCGCTTTAATGCGCATATGTTGTTTAAGCACTTGAATTTTCCATGAGCCATGATAGCCAGCCGGTTGCACAGCTCCTCGCACTCATCCATGCTGCAAAAAAAAAGATATTCAAACATCTATTGCATTACCTAGTATAGATCTTACCTATGCGATGTGAGAACCACGGTTCGATCTTGGTTCTGGAAGTCCTTGATGCACTGCCATAAAAACCGTCTTGAAATTGGATCAACGCCAGTGGTTGGTTCGTCAAGCAGCACTAGTGTTGGGGCTCCGATCATGGCCATGGCAGCCAGCAGCTTGCGCTTCGTTCCGCCCGAGTAGTGACGCACCTGCACTTGCTGGTACTTGGTTAGATGCATTTTCTCCAACCAGAACTTTACGTTCTCTGTGGCACTGTTTGCACCCTCGCCACCGCTGCTCAAGCCCCTTAGTAGAGCCATGTAGTAGAGACATTGCTCGGCTGTCATAAACTTGTTCAGGGCATCGTATTGGGGACAGTATCCAAACCGCTGTCGGTATGCTACTTCATCCTTAATATCAATGCCGTCGATGAATATGCTGCCCCCGTCAATGGCCAGATTGGCGGAGATCATTTGGAATGTACTTGTTTTTCCGGCTCCGTTCACGCCAAGCAGACCGAAGCACTCGCCCCGAGCCGTCGCAAAGCTCAGACCATTCACTGCCGATACTTGTTTATAGCTTTTTCGCAAATCGCTTACAATCAGCGGGTAGTCCTGCTTTTGCGGACCCATCAGACTCTTTACACGCTCCTCCTCCTTAGCACAGTCGTCCAATTGCAAAGATGGAGAGTTGGGACTGATGCTGGTGCGTTTGAGCTTATTGGCGTTGTACAGGCAGCCGGTGTGCCAAATAGCTAATCGTTGAGCGAGATAGCGACGGTAATACTTGTGTTCAAGCACAATGGTAAAGAGCGCCATAACCAAGGCACACACAACAACAGCATAGACAAAGAAGATGTCTTCAGAGATTAGGTTCTGAATCTTTCCCGCACGTCGTCGCGTAATGAAGTTCTCATTGATTATGCGCAACTGGTGGTTCAAGTTAAAGTCCGGTAGGAAACACAGGAAAGCAATCATGGTCTCGTGCTGTTTAATGGCTGCTGCATTGCTGGACGTGATCAGGGGAATTATGGCTATAAAATAAAATAAGCAACTGGAATACGTTGGCTATAATATGCAGGTAAATATAAACAATACCTGACACAATCAGCATAAGGAGTAGGTAGGTGGATATCGTCGAAATAGATTTAAAGTTATTCCCCAGCGTGTACAGAATGGGTAGGTAACTGCAGCCATAGAAGAAAATGCTCATTACGATTACCCGCAACTCCGGGGTCGAGTAAAGCTCCGGTGGCATCAACAGTTGTTGCAGAAGCATTAGGAGAGAACAGACAAATGTCAGGACCAACACATCAAATGCAAATGTGAAAAACCAAAACTTGAAGCGGGACATTGCCTGTAGCTGGCGAAATCCGTTGGCGTACTCGCGGAAAGGCAACGAGATGAAATAGAACATGAAGAAGAACATGCCCACCGACACGATCACTGCATAGTACTCCAGCCGGGTGGGACTCACTTCGCTGACAAAGCGTCGAATTGGCACGTAGGTTGTATCGATGTCAGACTCTGGTCGGCTAAGTTTCAGCATGCTGGAGTCCACCAGATTGAGAAGATCAACGGAGCTGTGGTAACGATTTCCAGAAAAGAAAATCTCGATCGCCGGACTGTCCTCGGTGCTACGGTCCATGTCTATGATGCCCACCACACTTTGCAGAAAATCTGCCAGATTTTCACGTTGCAAATCAAGACTCTCTAAAGTTTATATAAAAAATTAAAATAAAATAATTTAAAAAAAAAACAAAATTCAATTTTAAACTCACCATTTTTCACATCATTGTTTCCCCGCGTCTGCAATGTTTTCGCCGTCAATCCGTTCTGCTCAATCTGTCGGCGTATTTGCTGTTCCACATCGGGGTAGTGCAGTTTCGGGTTATGAATATAGACGATTCCACTTTGCATCTGGCTGAGCTTCAGGGGCAGCGACTCTTCATTCTCCACCACAGACATGGCGTGCATTGCAAACAGAGCTCCCAGAACGCAAACGAGCGGAATGCTCAACTAGTTGAGACAAACCCGGAAATTGGATATATAGCATTAGATATATAGCTTGGGTATAGCAGAAGTAGTGACCAGCACTGAAACCTTACCATTATCAACGAATAAAGCCATTCATTTCGCAGAAAGGTCCATTTTTTATAGAATACCGCCAGCCAAAGTTGCCCCAAGCTGGGCGCTATATGCTGACCAGGAAGACGCTTGTATGGTTGGGATAACAAAGGAGCGTCATTTCGAGAGCCATCGGGTGTGTCCACCTGATCTTGTTCACCAGCACATCTGCCAATTCGATTAGAGACAAGGTTATTAAAGTAATGGAGTTTTCATGATTGAATCTCACTTTAGGAAAACATCTTCCAAGGAGGTGTCTGTCATGGAGATGGTGTTTATGCCTAAAGAGGTCGCTTTTAACTCCAGCTTGTGTAACATCTCATGGAATCTGCTCTTGAACGCATACGGCAGACATACATACACAGTTGGCTTGACCACATTCTACACCAAAATAATTGTTTTAAGTATGGATGGCAATTAGAGCACAAACCCCTTCAAATCTTACCAGCACTCGAGCAGTTGGTACATAGGTATGGATTAACTGCAGAATTTCATTCTCACGCAACGTAAAGTCGTTTACTTCCAGCTTCAAACGATAGCCAATGTCCGATCTGCGCTTAAGTTCTAAGGTCGATCCGGAACACTGTAGCTTGCCATTGGCCAGGATGCAAATGGTATCTCCAAGAACCTCGGCCTCTTCCATGTAGTGCGTTGTCACCAAAATAGCCTTCTCCTTGCGCAGAAGTAGCAGAATGTCCCACAGATCCCGTCGCGAGTTAATGTCAAGACCGGATGACGGTTCGTCCAGAATAACAATTCTGAAAATATAAGTATATTTTTAAATTTCTATTAAAACGCGCTTATAAATTGTTCCTACTTTGTGTTTCCGGCGATGGCAATTCCCAGCGATAGGCGTCGCTTCATACCCCCCGACAAATTACGACCAAACTCGTCTCGTTTAACACCCAAGCCTAACTTGATTAGCTTTGTGTCTGCCCATTCGCTGGCTTCTCGGCGACTTGCTCCGCGAAGTTGAGCGAAGAATTCGAGGTGCTGGTGACAGGTCATGTAACTCATAAACACACTATGCTGCGGGCAGAAGCCAATAAGGTGGCGATAAGAAGCCACATCCCGTTCACTGCACACAATTATTTTTCCCGAGTCCTTTGGCACCAGTCCTACAAAACAATAATTCAGTTGTATACTTTATAGAGTATTCATACTCGCAATAGTTACCCATTATCATGTTCATCATAGTGGTCTTGCCAGCGCCGTTGTGTCCGAGCAATACAGTGATCTCCTTGTTGTTGATTGTCATATTCAAGTTATCCGAAATAAGCGTTTCCCGGTTTCCTGTTCTGAACTTTTTGCACAATTCGGTGATGATGATAGCTTGAGCTCCCCGAGGAGCGGTTGTATATTCATTGCGTTGTCGTTTTTGGTATGTCTTGGGCTGAAAGTAAAAACCAAGACATTATTTTTAATCGTAACTGAAACCGTGATAACAGCAAGAATGTAAACAAACCACAGTAAAAACAAACCATGACTTTACTTGCTTTAGAAACTATAAGATAACCATAAGGCGCAAATATGTACATACGTCCAGGAAAAAGAAAATGGATCGCTTAAGCCCACCAGGTCCGGGAAACACACTGCCAAGGTAATTGTAAAGCAGGGCATACATTATCGATTGGAAAATGAGAACGCAATAAATCCAAAACATGCGACTAGATCCATCTTTAATTTCACGGAATAGTTCCGCCCCGCCAAATTGGCGATCTAAAAGATAACAAATGCATTCAATTAGAATAGAGAATGATGAATTACTGGACGCCCTTACGTTTATTAGAGAACGTCTGGAAAACATCCAATCCTTCCAGAAACGCATTCGTGCTGAAGATGACGTAGGCCAACGAGGAGGCCCAACTCTGAACAAAACTGAAAACATATGGAATGATGAGCAACACCAGGCCTCCAATTTTGGCGTAGAAAACTGCAAAAAAAAAAGGATTTCCAATAAAAAAATATGGAAATATAAGGCATTCTGAAATAATGTCTTACCTGAGTGAAAGCAAACAGATATGAGGTATGCGTACGACATGGTAGCCAATATGTAAAGCAAATAAAGTATGGCCACATACGTAAAACAGATCTGATTGAGAGCTTCGTATAAATATGCCACAATCAAAACAAATAGCAAAAACGCTGCGTAGAAACCAAAGCGAATGAGGAAAAAGGTGAGGCCATTGAGAAAACTCATGGGTGTAACCAGATTGAGGAACTCCTTCAGACCGTTTTGTTTCTCCTCCACAAAGGGCACAACGAAAGTACTCAGCAGAACCACATTGAAGATGATGCTGCACAGGGTTCCAAAGTAGGTTAGCCGATGGCTGTCCATACTGACAACCTCCAGGTTGGGCATGGAGCTCACCCATACCTCATAATTTGTTGCCAAATTTTGATATTTAAAGTATTGCTTGTCAAGTATATTTTGCAAGGTCAAGAAACCAGCCCGTATGTAATCATCATCATCTGAATGCAAAACAGGAAACAAAGAAGGGTGTGGTTGAATGGCGAACAATGAATTGCAGGGGAATTGCAGGACTCACCTTTTTGGTGATTGATCTCCTCATCGTTTACGAAGCGCTTTTTGGGCGACAACCGCATATGACTCGCACTTAAGCTGTAACTAAAATTTCCAGTAACGGAGCCGGGAGTCGGCAAATTATTAAAGTTAATAGCAAAGCAACTGCCCCGGCACTGTAGTTCCAGTTCCATTTGCATGTCCTCACTATTGCTGTATGGTCGGTAATCTAATGGGAATAGAGTATATTATTAAGGGAATAATATCATTTGACTACGCAATTTACGTACGTTCCTGGGCTATCCCCAAATCCTGCCGCACCAGATCCAACAGGTTCTCCACATCCTGTGTTTGTGGGGCATAGTATATGTAGTCATCGTCATTGGCTGGGAAGTACAATTGTTTAAGAGCCAACTAAGGGGAAGACAAATGATTAGCGCCTAATAGTGGTCATGGGGCCACAGCCGATAACACTTTATGTATGTGTAAAATTACAATCGTACAAAGTACACACAGAAGAGATAGCTGGTCTACTCACTTCATTCTTTGATTCGAATTCCTCCAACTGGTACCTCACTGGCTTAACAGTCCAGTGCAAGTAACCCCACAACAATGCTCCGCATCCAACCAGGATGCAGATCAGCGGTATAATGTTGCATCGCAAGTATAATAGGTTCTTCCGCAGAAAAACAAAGAACAACGGACTCCAACTGCAAGCCATAGTCGACGTTCGGCGGCCACTTTCTCCACAGATTGTTGTTGCTTTTCTTCACTTTTTTTTTCGGCCAAGCGCCCCCTTCAAAATTGGTGATGTGCCGAATGTTGTGGGTAAAATTCATCAAATCGCACGTAGCAACCGCCCATAAAATTCCCCACCTTTTAGGGGAGGTCGATGCATCTGTATGTGTGGCGTTTGTAAAATTACGAATCAACAATGGAGGGGTGGGCGATTCTATTGGGGAACACAGTTGTACATGTTTGGGCGATAACCATGTCGATGCATCGATAGTATCGATTCGATACTATCGTCATAAGCAAAAAACAGTGTTGTAAAATTCGTTCTTCAGTATTGAGAAACGCCTTTTGTCAGCACGGATTGTTTGTTGCTTCTCAATCCGGCACGTGCATTTTTTGTTTATAATCTAATTTTGTTCAATTTCCCACGCTTTTGAGTAATGGCCGGCAACTTTGAGCTGCTCAGCGAGCAGGGCTTACGTCTGGACGGCAGGCGGCCTCATGAATTGCGGCACATACAGTGCAAACTGGGTGTTTTCGAACAACCCGACGGCAGTGCCTACATGGAACAAGGAAACACCAAAGTGCTGGCGGCCGTCTACGGACCCCACCAGGCAAAGGGCAAAAAGACCGAGACCAATGACTTGGTCATCAACTGTCAGTACAGCCAAGCCACCTTCTCCACGGCCGAACGTAAAAATAGACCGCGCGGCGACAGAAAATCCCAAGAGTTTAAGATGTACCTGCAGCAGGCACTAAGTGCGGCCATTAAATCGGAGCTGTACCCCAGATCCCAGATAGACGTCTACGTGGAGGTACTACAGGCTGACGGAGCCAATTATGCAGTCGCCCTTAATGCAGCCACCTTGGCACTGATCGATGCCGGCATCTGCCTTAACGAACTGATAGTGGCCTGCACAGCATCGCTGAGCAAGAATAACATCCCACTTACGGATATCTCCCAAATTGAGGAAGCTTCCGGCGGGCCAAAACTGACAGTGGCTGCGTTACCCACCGCCCAGAAGATTGCCTTCCTTGAAATGAGCGAACGATTCCATATTGACCATTTGGAAACCGTTATTGAGACGGCACTGGCCGGATGTAGAGAGATTCGAGATATCCTTGAGGGTGTAGTCAAGGAGCACCTGTTACACATGGGTAGTGCGGCCGATTGGGGTCGAGTATGTTAAAATAAAAAAGTGATCTTTTCAAATTAAGAATATTTGTTTTAAATCGAGGGTATTAACAGTTAACATAAAACATATCCTTTAGCTTTTGTTTGCAGCCTCTTGTGGGGGCTGCCAAGCCTCCAGAAGATCCTTTAATCGCTCCTTGCGGTTTTCTAACTGCAGCTTTTCAATTAGACTGCTGAGTTGCTCGCCGCCTTTGAGGAACCCGTCGAGATTGTGCATGGTGCCGCCCTGAATTCTGTGGTCCGTGATCCGGTCCTGGACAAAGTTGTATGTGCGAATTTTCTCATTGCGGTTAAGGCTTCCCTGTTGCGCCTTCTTAGTGGCCTTTGTACTTGCTTCGGCGCTTTCCAGTTGCCGCTGAACTAGCCGGGAACGCAGCCGGCTCATCGCTAGCTCGCGGTTCTTCAGCTGTGAACGCTCGGATTGTGCTTCCACGGCCATGCCGGTGGGCAAGTGGACAATCCTCACCGCCGAATCTGTGGTATTTACGTGCTGCCCACCTGCCCCACTGGCTCTTTTGGTCTCAATTTTCAAGTCTTTGTCTGCGATATGCACTTGTACGTCGGCAGGCCGAGGAATCACAGTGATCGAAGCTGTACTGGTGTGCATGCGGCCGGACTTCTCAGTTGCAGGAACTCGCTGAACACGGTGGACACCGGCCTCATGGCGCAGCCAGGTAAAGGCATCGTCTCCGCTCACCATGATGCTGGCATGCCTTATGCCTCCAATATCGGTCGTCTCGTGGGCAAACTCCTCGTACTCCCAGCCTTTATGCTCGAAAGTAGCTTGTGTACATCTCGTATAGCTCCTGGGCGAATAACATAGCCTCCTGACCCCCGGCTCCAGCATTTAGTCCAAAGATAAGGGCAGGATAAACTTCATCGTCGGCCATGGCGAGCAGTTCCCTCAGAAGGGTTTGCTCCTGCTTGCTCAGTAAGTCGGAATAGATGGCATTCTCCTCCTGCATTAGCAATCGCATATCCTCGTCCTTTTCCAACTCCATATCCTGAGCGCTGGTTATATTGCGTTCTAGGACGCGCCGCTGCTCCAAGGCTGTCACCACGCCTTCCAGTTGCGCAAGGCGAGCATAAGCTTTGTTGTTTCCCCCGGCAGTTACTCGCAGACCATAGTACTCCTGGCGAAGGGACTCCAAATACCCCTGCATTCTCTCGTTTTGAAAACTAAGCTGATGGGTGCTGGCCCAGCGGCGCGCCAGGTATCCCAAGCGAGGGCTTAAAAGTTGGCGCACCAACATTTCAGCCAGTTATATGAAAATCAGTTCGGCAGGAAAATTAAATACTGAATTTCCGTGACCGCACCGATAACGATAAAAAATACCTTCCGGCACAACAAGAAATACCACAAAATACTTTTCTACTGATTCCCAACACTGGATACTAAGCAAGTGCTGGAATGCGTCGAATTTAGTGTTGTGGGTCGCAGGTGTCACCACATACAACTATTTGCAAAAAAGGAAATATTAAGATAAAAGAATTCTGGTAAAATATGTTAGTTTCCTACTTCCGAATCGTTATGATAAGCTAATAAACTGTGGTACAAAAAGAAGCTCCATTATTCGGACAATCGCACAAAGGTCTGCTTGTGGAATGCGAATCACACTGTCTGTGCTGGTTGTGTGTGCGTGTGTGTGTGTTTGTTTCTCTTCTGATTGATGGAAAATAAGCTGGAAACAAAAGTAGCAACAACACCCGAGCAGAGTGCAGCAATTAAGTTTAATTAAGATATCCAATTGAGCTGAGTGCTGCCTCAAAAGTGCATTTATTAACGAGAAGAAATCAGAAGTAACGAAATGCCACCGCTAAAAACCTACCAGATACACCACGAATACAATGCAAATTGTCACAATGGCAATCCAAGTCCCAATCAGAATGCGAACGCGAATGCAAATCCCACCAGCGGCGACTGTGACTTCTATGGCGCGTCGACGGGAGCGGTCCTGGGAGCAGCCGCCATCGCCGCCCAGCGCACAAACCTTCCCTCCTATTGCAATGCCCAGTATCCGTTCAAGGTGCTATCCAATCTCAACCAGCTTCGCGAGCAGGGACGCTTCTGTGATGTGGAGATCATCGCCGGGGAGGCCACCTTCAGTGCCCACCGCGCAGTTCTGAGCGCAGCCAGCGCCTACTTCGAGGCCATGTTCCGCCCCGAGCTCGGCCTAAACGAAGTCAAGCAGAAGTCGGTGGTGCTGCACACAATCGACGGTGACATACTTCACATCCTGCTTGACTTTATCTACACAGGTCGCTGCGAGATAACGCAGGTGGGTTGCAACACCTGGTCGATCTCTGCTGAGATTCCAATAAACATTTGAATTGTTTTCAGTCCAATGTCCAAGAGCTTCTTGCCGCCGCTGACATGCTGCAGCTTAACGAGGTGGTAAGTATTTTATCTTATTTAATTGTAATTTATCGGATCCTAATGTTATAGTATAGTTAGTTTGTAAATAATGTTATAGACCTTAATCCCTTGTTTTTATTTTTTAGGTCGATGGTTGTTGCGAGTTTCTTTGTCGAGAGCTGCATGCCTCTAATGCGCTAGGTATTTTACGGTTTGCTGAAGCCCACAACTGCGAGTCGTTGGCCAAGAGTGCATTGAACTTTGTCCACGCCAATTTCCCAGCGGTAAGTGGTACTTGAAAGGCTTAGCTGAACAATCTCTTTTCTTTCTGGCCAAAGACAGTTATTGAATAGCGTTTGAACTGAAAACTGAAGCCCTGATGATTATTTTTAATTAAAAATTATTCTTTTATTTACTTTCAAAAAGATAACTCTGGAGGATGAGTTTCTGGAAACTCCACAGTCATTGCTATCGCAGTTGCTTAACTCCGAGCTGCTGCGTGTGGACTCCGAATCCCAAGTTTTCCAGGCGGCTCTGCGCTGGATCAAGCATGATGTAACGCAACGGCGGCGCTACGTTTTCGACATCCTCTCCCACGTGCGCATGGCATTGGTGCCAGTGAAGGTGATCGACAAGGCTCTAAAAGATGACTGTCGGGACATGTCCGTGAAAATTGCTCTTCGTTCGATTTGCCGGGATATTGCGTCAAAGCGGGGACAGCTGGTGCCACTGCGTGTCTGTCCCCGCCAGTTGGCCAAGAAAAATATTTATATCATTGGCGGTTCTCATCGGGATACGCCGCGCACTTGGAACTCGGCCGACTGCATCTTCGAAACGGTGGCAAAGTTCGACATATTCCGGCGCGAGTGGACCCAGACAGCATCGATGGAAGTGGGGCGCATATTGCCGGGCGTCTCGGCCCTAAACGGAAAGATCTATGTGGTGGGGGGCGAGCGCGGCTCCCAGATCCTGGCAAACGGAGAGGTCTATGACCCACAAAACGACGTCTGGCATCCCATAGCTCCCATGATCGTGCCTCGCTGCGAGTTCGGTCTTTGCACAATGGGCGGAAACCTCTTTGCAGTTGGCGGTTGGGTTGGAGACGACATTGGCGGCTCTATGGAGTGCTACGATCCAGATCAGGACCTGTGGGAGTTAATTGGCAACATGCCGCAACCGCGCTTCAGCATGGGAGTGGTCAGCTTCGAGGGACTGATTTACATTGTGGGAGGATGCACAACAACAACCCGTCACTTGCCGGACCTTATAAGGTATGGGGTTGCTTTGCATCTCTTCCTCAGGGATATCATTTATAAGCCTACTTATTGCAGCTACAATCCAGTTACCAAGGAGTGGACGCAGCTGGCCCGCATGAAAACGGCCCGCTGCCAAATGGGCGTTGCCGTCTTAGATAGGTACCTCTATGTGGTGGGTGGGAGCAGTATTAGCCAAGACATTCTCAGCTCAGTTGAGCGCTACAGCTTCGATGAAGATAAGTGGTCCATGGTTTGTGCGTTGAACGTGCCCCGAGCCATTCCTGCAGTAGCCGCTGCCGACGGACTTCTCTACGTGGCTGGAGGAGACCAGGTAAGTGGCACATTCACAATCATAATATGCAATTGTTGACTGAAATGGTTTCATCCCCTTTAGCCCTGTGAGGTGAACTTCTATCGCGCTCAAGTGACCATTAACGCTGTCGAGTGCTACGATCCGCTGTCAGACACCTGGAAAAACTGTCCCGATCTACCTGTTAGCCGCTCGGAGGCTGGGGCAGTGGTCGTCTAAGACGGCCAGTACATAATCTCAGTTCGGTTTAAGCATAACCCCCTAAACGTAATAACTCTTTAGCTCTACGCCATTGTATACGTTACACAAGCATCACAAATATGTCCTATTCCCTTCGAATAACTTGAATGTAGTGGTCTCTTGCCAAAGATATGTAAGTGAATTGTTAAGATTAATGTTATTTGAGAAGCGTAGCGCAGCTATTTACCAGGTAGTACACATGCTAATCTTATTAGTAGTTAGCAAGAACGAAAACAGTCAGCCTTTCAGATTGTTCCGTAGTTGAAGTTATCCTTTAAAAAAGCGAAACCAAACACCGGCGGCAAAGAATTCAACTGCTTATTTTATAGGAACGTATCGTAATTGCTGAAACTTATTTGAATCGATTGTTTGTTGTTTTTTTTTTTTACAAATTATGTGTTTTTACTTCGGTTGCGCCCTTGGGAAGAGCGTTCATCCACACGATTCTGCAACGGAATGGATTTTTATGTACCAAAAAATGTTAAAACAAAATAAATACAATCAAAAACACGAAAACTGTATTAATATAATAGGTGTATTATCAAAATAAACGACTTATCTAACAACATCGACTTGTGTTTGCATTTTTAAATGGGAAAATCATAGAAGTGGATTTGATTTCAGATTTGAGCAGAATCGATCCACAAATCGTTAACGACACTCCGCTTAAGAATCGGATAATTATTCGCAAAGATATAGCCTTCGAGGTGGGGGTATACTGACAACCAATGCATTTCCCACATTTTGAAGGGAATCCCCCACAAAATTTAAGAATAAATCGAAGAAATATTTTGTTTCCGTAACAAAGACCGGCCTTACATCTAGAAATCCTGATATGAAACAAAATCAAATTGTTTGTAAACCGTAAAAATCTTTAATAAAATGAAGATAATTATAATGAATATAATGTTTGCGTGAAAAATGTGAAAAATTTGATTTGGTAAAATTTAGGTGGGAGGTAAGGCAGCTGAAGGTACTAAACCCTAGTTAGTAAACCATTCAGCCGTTGAGGGCATCGCCAGTTATTAATCGCCGCCCGTGTCTCGCCGCTTGATTAAACTGACCTTTCTGTTGGTTCTGTTGTGCAAGAGGCGTCTGCCGTAAATCCTTGTCTACCGATTGAGAGCGCAGGTGCTCTCTGTTTTTAACACAGCTAAGAGGTGTGCGCTTTTGGGCAGATAGCGGTGTATCGTTTGACTTGGACATCAAGCTCGGCCCTCCGATCACCGGCGATTCCTGATCAACAAAGATTTTTGGCTTGTTGGCTCGGGCCGGCTTTTTTGGTGGAATCCTACGCTTGTGGCCCAAACGGACGCGCTCCAAATGTTTATTGGATGGCAAGAAAGAATCTTCTAAATTAGGTTCGTTGGGCGGGAAGGCAAACGAAGCCATGCTACTATCAGTACTAAGATTAAGCGTCAGCGTTTCAAGAATTTGTTCCAGCATCTGAGCCTCTCGCGCCTCCTCCTCTTCGTCGTCGCAGAAGATGATCGGGGTACGATCTACTCCGACACTCGGAGAACGGGGATCAACGTGTAGCTGTGGTGGAGTGGTCTGCAGCTTAGCTTCGCAAGGCATGGTCTCCTCTTCATCGTATGGCAAAGACACTATTTCTAGGGAGCTGTTATTGTGCTCCATTGGTGGGGTTCCAAAGCTATCGCAGCTTTCGTCCGCATTGACCGAATCTATAGGAGTAGACAGGGTGGCCGGATCTTCTGTGCGGGATGATGGGGCTCGCGTGTCAACAAATAGGTCGGCAAAGGTGTCATCCATATTTAGAGACCGCACCTCGTCTAGCACCAAAGGTGTCCGGTTTAGCTGCGGCGATCGAGGATCATTAAGGGAGAATCCTTTTAGAAGACGCTTGCGAAACTGAGAAAAGGCGTTCTCACTTTGAACTACGGGATTCGCATCCCTAAAATCCTGAACTGTTGGCTCGGTCTGCAAGAACTGTGTAAAAATTGTTAGAAACTTAAGCCCATATGAAAACTCCATCGTTAATTACGTTCAGGGGTGTGCGACAAACATTGGGAGAGCGGGGATCAAGTGGATTTAGCTGATCCCTAGTTGGCGTCATTTCCAAATTCTCCTTTTTCTGGCTGGCCAGGCGCATTTTGTTTAGAGTTGGGGTATCCGGCAGATATTCACCCTCCATTTTAGTAGCTTTGGACCCCATTTTGGCCTGTGTAGTTTTTCTGCGCAACTGTTTGTTCCTAAATAAAATAAAATTCGTTGCCGCGCAAGTACTTCAAAATAGCGTCTCTAGAGGTGGAAAAACGCCGATGTTTTAGGAAACATCGATATTTGGCTCCGATATTTTTCAAGATTTTAAAACCAACGCAAAAAATACCACACCAACAAAGAAACAATCTTAACTACTTTAAAACTAAAGTTTTTATGATATTTTTAAACCAAAGTATTAGACCAAAGTTAACGTTTTCAACCATAAAACAAAATTGATTTTTGACTGAAAACTAAAAACCAGTTTGACCCCCAACAAAAAATATCAGAAGCTACAGTGTTTTGCAGTAAAAAATAGTTCCATATTCTGGGGGAAAATGGTTAGGGATTTTCGGAGACCAGCGCCAACGGTCATACTTGTTTTATTAAGACGCGACGGAGCACCGATTTTGCCCTTTAATTTTTCTTAAACGAAAATGGCCTGAAATTTGGCCTCAAAAGTGCAACACAAGAAGCGAAGCATTAAGTAAGTGAACCAAATGGCGAAAAACCAAGGAAAACTGTACAATTACCCCCCAAAACTAGATAGTTAGAGGTAATGCGCGTGTGTATGTGTGAGAAAGAAAAGTGACTGGATGGGGAACCTGAGAAAATTAGGGATAAATAAAAAACAGTAAATGAAAACGAGAAATAAAGCGCGATTTAAGTATTTCACTCCAGAAAATAAGTTTCGACGTTTCTACGCAGTAGTTATATACTAGATAGGTGTGTGTGGGCACCGCAAGCAGCAGTAAATCTCCTGTGTGTATGTATGTGTGGTTTTTTTTTTTAATATGGCCATCTCCTTTTCGCTCACTACAAGGCTTGGTATTTTGCCGACATTTTTGTTTATTTTAATGCGAAGCTGTAAGAAGCGGTGGTAAACCCAAAGAAAGAGAATAACTTGTTTGTGGTCGTTAGCGCCTCCTCAAAGTGGGTTAAAATGCTTTTAGGCGTTTTATGCAAGGATTATTGTTTTATTTGCCAATTGTAGCGCAAAAAGTAAACAAATTGTATACACACTGGCCGCCAGAGCGCATGTCGTGTAGACTTTCTCTCTTGCTCCCAATTGCTTCTATGTGTTTATGAGTGTGTGTGTGTGCCCGTGAGCTTGTGTGGGTATACGCTGAAAACAACAAAATTTCATTCATTCCTCATTTCTGAGAAAAAACTACACGCCATCTGCAATTGCTCCTTGGTGTGCGTGCCTGTGTGTGTGTGTATACTACGGGTTAAGGTAATTGCAGATATATAGGACCCTGGCAAACGCAATTGTGCAACATGTTTCCACAGCCATCTGCCTCCGCCTGGGCGTGGCATCGCCCAAGTCAGGTGCCAAAAGCCTACACCCCGGGTTTCGTGGCGTAGCTCGCCTATTCTTATTTTCTTTCCAGCCGCATTCCAGAGTTCAACATTCTTGCTGTTCCCCGGCATTTGATTGCCGTCATTGGCCGCGATTTTCACACATTCCACGGGAAGTCTCAAGACATATGTACATACATACACTTGTCTTTAGCTTTCGCACACTATTGATTTCAATCAACGCTTCTCTCTTCGCTCTCCAAAGTCCATCTCTCGTGTGCTCATTTGTCAATTAAGCACCGCGTCTGTTTGTCGGGCAATTTATGTGTACTATGTATGTATGAATCGTGATGTATGTGTGCCCTGCTGCATCCGTGTGGGTAAATTCCATTTCCTGTTTATAATATTGCGGCACACACGCCCGCCATCAACCCTCCTTCCAGGCCACTGAACGCATGGCGTCTTCCTTAGCTTCTTCCCGACGATGTCTGTCTGCAGTAGAGTGGGGACGCCGCTCTCCTCTCGCACAGTGGAATGTGCTGGGTCTTAAATATTTCTCTAAAAGGATTTTTAGATCTCCGAAATTTAAATTATATTGGGTAAATTTAATTTAAAAAATAAACTACAGGTAATTAAAAAATGGTCTTTATTCGAAAAATCGACTCTGCTTCCTTGGGCCATTTGAGGTCAAAAGTTACTGTACGTGACCAAAATATATTTCACATTTTTTCCTAGCTGACAAATATGGCACTAATCTTATATATTTACAATTCATAAGTAGGACATTGTCTTCACAAAACGGACTTCCGGTTACTTTCGCTCTTATCCGAATATGCTCACGATCATTGAATTTCGGTTTCATTGCGTCTCACTTTTCGTAACCACTGTGCCATCGTACCTCCAACCGCTGCTTAGGAACGACGTGGAAGTGGAACACGAATGCGACGCGCTCCGCTCTCATTCCCATTCCAAATTCCAGATTCCCAGCCTGATCCGGCTGTCAGTGCCTGTTGTTTTTGCTGTTGTCGTTAGCGGCTTCGGTGTGTTGAGTACAGTACGTGCCACTTCCTTTACATTCAGAAAAATAAAAATTGCTCACCGACACACACTGACAGGCACAGACACACCTAAAGCATACATAAAGAGACCGACCGGCCAGACAGACACCGAATGTATGCTGTATTGAAGCGCAGGGATGGGCGATTGGGTGTGGGGGATGGTGGATGGTGGAAGGAAAGGGGCTGGAGGAGCGGCAGGTTAGGGGAGCGACTGTTTTTCTTGGCGTCTGCGCCGTGTACCGAGTTTGTTTTTTTATGCTGCCCGTGGTCTTGCATAGTTCTTGTACAGTTGCAAAGACACACACTGGAACACCTTTGTGTGTGTGTGTGTGTGTATGAAGTCAAAACAGTGAAAACGAGTTTGATGTGGTGCCCGATATGGCAACACTGCCAGAGTTCGACTCCACCTCGCCTCCTGTGCCCACCGCCATCCGCCGCTTATTAGAAGAAAAATGCCGCAGCGCGTTTATTCGGTGCGGTGATGTCGATTTTACGTAAGAAGGCCGTCGAACTCAACATAGAAAGAGAGTGGTCGCGAGACGCGCGCGAAAGAGGGAGCAGGCAATAAAAAAAATACTTGGAGAGAGCTTTTGTGTGTGTGTGTGCGTGTCTAATGATTACCGTTACAATTTGCATGTTGTCTAGTCGGATGTCTCGCGACCCAGACTGGGCGACCCAGCAGAAATTGGCGAAAATTCTTCGGCCTGACCTTTCATCACATGTGTGTGTAAAAATGTGTATGTATTGGGTTTAGTTTATTGGGATTAAGAGGTTAGAAATTCTTAAAATTAATTAATTACAAAAATTAAAATTTATTTAAATTGGGACTTTGGTTACTCAAGGTTTTAATTCTTAAAGTGGGCTTAGCTCTACTTAGTCTTATAGGAAGTAGCACTGGTTCATGCCTTAAAATCTTTATATCTTAAGGGTTTAGGACTATTCTTTTGACGGTAGCTGTTCACTTTTCATGTAGTTGCGTGTCATGCAGATATATATGTACATATGTAAGTTGGCTTTGGTTCAATGTCCTAACCGCACACAACAAGTGCAACAATTGAAGCAACACCGCAAAAGGGGGAAAATTGCGAGGCCCTTGCCGGCCCGGCCCAGAGCCAGGGAGGCAGGGAGAATGCACAAGTGCAGAAGCGTAGCGACCAAGATGGCAACGGAATGAGGACAGGTCCTAGGGCAATTTATTAACGTTTCCCCCCCACCCCCACCCCACTCCCCACTCGTCTCGTTCGTTGTACAGTTGAACCCGTGACACCCAACTGCCGAGCTGGCCTCAAGGTGGATTAAGAAAGACGACAGCTCTCTAGATTCAACTTCCGAATCAAAGTATCGCTGCATTCCAACATTGTAACCCAGAAAACGTTGCGCCAGGTTGTTGTTGTTGCTGCTGCAAGTGCTTTTTGTCGCCGTTTGTGACGTCAATTTGTTTTAAATGGTGTCGACGGCCCACTTTACGGGCGGACTGCCTGCCTACCGGAAACGAGTAGTTGTGGTGGGGCTTCGTGGATGCACAGACTCACTTCCACAGCCCGTATATTACTTGTATGCTACATACTTTTAGATGGAATTCAGATTTATTTTCATAATAAGTATTACAACTAAAAAAAAAAGATAGATTTCGAAATCCTACAAAGTCAAACATATCCTTACTGGTTTATTTTTGGCGCGCTTCTAGAGCTCGTTTCAAGAAAGAAATTCGTCGGGGAATGGAATGTTGTTTACGTGCGCGCCTGCGCATCAACCTTCGGCCAGTTCCATGAAATTCGCTTCGCCAGCCAGAAGATGTCGTCTGAACTCCATCCTGTTCGTCCCGTTTGGCCGGCTACCCTGCCCCCCAGCACCCGCCTTGCGCCACTGCGTTGGCGGTTTCTACCACCGCCCTGCGTCACTTCTTGTTTGTGTGATTTTTGCCCCGCCAAGCTACCTTGTGGTAGAATCGGCGGGGCGGAGGCGTGACAGTAACATGTTGATCCTATATCGTGCGAGATCTTCGGGCAAACACAAAAACAAAAGCGGAGTTCACCACAAGCTCCAAAGCCATGCCGCATTGTTGTTATTTTGCCGCAACTAGTCGGTAAGTGGGGAGGATGGGGTCGAGAGACGAGAGAAAGAGCCGTTGCAGTTTCTGCAAATCCTCCAATTCATCCAGCTCCAGAGATATTTTTTTCCTCTCTTCGGTCTTTTGGAATTTTCGTATCTTGTTCTCCTCTCTGAGTACAAATCTCCCACGCCGCAAGAGCGTAAGAGAGAGATGTCTAGAAAAGTACAGCGTGATTTTGGGAGAAAAAATAAACACACAGGGTGCACTGCACTATTCCTCGTGAGTGGATAACTTTAAAATTTATTTTTTCCGCAATACTAGTATAATTAAAAAAAAAAAAAATAAATTATTTTTTTAATGCGTACTAGTATTACTATAAGTATTTTAGGCGCTTCTTTCCACGACATGTTGCAACCGAACTGCTCCATCGAGCTCCAACATGTTGCGTACGAGGTAGTTGAGGTCGTGTTGAACGTGAAATACTCTGAGAAAATATCGTATATTTTCAACAACCCTCATTATTTCTCAACAAACAGCAACAAACTTTCGAAGCGTGAGCAGCTCACGGACGAACGAAGAGCAGTGGTGGAGTAGAGATTTCGCCGAACGCGCCACATATCCGTTAATCTCGTTTGCTTTCAAAACAAACACTTCCCAGACTACTCGTGTGCCGCTGTAATGTGATTTTTACGTGATTTTAATTTACCGAAATTCGCAATCAATTAAAAATGGCAAAAAAATAAAATAAAAGTACTCCAGTGAAATGGTGAAGTAACCTAAGAAGCCATCATTTGAAAAGTGGTTGGACGTAGGCGTGGAGTATATGCTTGACTATTGAGACGCATAAAGCATTTTTCTTGTTTTTTGTTGGTAGCTTGTGCAAAAATTCTTAGAATTCTCGACAACATTCCCGCGCACACACGCAGACATGCACAAATGTGATATATACAACCGCGAGCATATATTCGTGGTAGGGGAAAAATTCTCACAAAAAGAGATGAAGTGGAGTGAGGGCAGCGTAGGAGTGTGAGTGTGTGTGACTGAGAGCATAAACACACCTCAAACGGTTCGTGTCTATGCTAAACGTGCTCTTCTTCTCTCTCCCTCTTTAATGTAAAACTTGTGGGACTTGTTTTTGCACTTTTTGCGAATGCGAATCATAAAAACCGGTACATTTTTGAAAATGCACGCTGAAGAGAGAGCATGCCAGCCAGAGCGAGAGTGCGTTATAGTTGGAGCTCCTGTCCTGTTCGTGTGCCGGAATTTTTCTTTAACCACATTTTTCACACACTGCTTTTCTTACAGTTTTCTAAACACACATACACACACACTCACGAGAGAAGAGCCAACGAACTCGTGCAGCGACGCCCAAGAATGAAACAGCACAAGGCAACATGAAAATTACAAGAGAAGCTACAACAACAACAACAACGACAGCAACAACAAACTTTCCAAAGAAGTTGTAGAAATCTGCAAGCTAAAGAAGAACAAGCGTCCCAGCAGTCCAGCAGCCCAGCCAGCGCCAACAGTATTTTATTAGCGGGTGTTGTTGTTGTCATGTATGTATGCACATTTTTTGTCGCTCATATTAATTTATAGTTGCAGTTATTGTTGTTGTAATTATTGTGGTGCTTTGTATGTTGTCTTGTTTTTGTTGTTTTCATTTTATTTCCGTAATTTGTTCTAAACGATCACTTGTGAATTATTGCGAAAGTGCGGCCATTGATCTTGACCTACACACCAGTCGAATCTTAATATATTTTCGCCAAAATTTATAATAAAATTATATTTTGGTTGACCTTAATGCTATTTTTATGACCGCACTTGTGTGTACATGCATAAGATCTGCAGAGCGGTGGAGGATTTAATTTTTATAACGGAAATTTTAATAAGCTGCCCGCTTTTACTTCTGACGATGGGGCGAGAGAAAGAGAGGGCGAGAAGGAGAGAGAGTGCAGTAATTGTTAACCGTAAAAGCATTCGTATACATAATTTATGCCCACACCCATGCATCAGTCAGCCTCAGTGTTGTGTGTTTTTGTTGATTCGATCCCATCCTCCCTCCTCCCTTCTGGCTCCTCCTCCTGCTTCCGTTTTTGTTATTTCGTGTGGTGTTGTGTGCCTTATCATTAAATTCGGGAAAAATAAATTTGGCGACAAATTACTGCAGGCTGGCGCCAAAATGATGTTTACATTTCGCTTCTACATATATTATTTTTATTGTGGGTGCATTGCTTTTTCGTATCACTGTGTGTGCCTGTTGATTATGTTTTTTGATTGCCGCCCTATCGTGTAGAAATGTACCAAAATTGTTTCATTCATTCGCACTCCTCGTCATTCATGTTGTGACTTGCACGTGTGTTTTTGTGTGTGTGTGTATTTTCAAGCTCATCATTGTCATAATAATCGTTGTGTTGTTGTTGCCGGCATCGTATTTATTATTTGTTTTTGGTATGTATATGTATTTGTTGATTGTGCCGTGGCTGAACAAAAAAAAAAAAAGATTCTAAATAAATAAATAAGAGAGAGAAAGTCCATGATCGTGAGAACGCAATAGAGCCGCGAGAAGAGTCTCAATTTTAATCTGAACCTTGACCTCGGCCAGCCCACCAACACAGGAGAATTGTGTCATTCTTCAAAGTGGTTGTGAAATGTTTGCCTTTTTATGCCTATTCATATCACAGCCAGCTTTGAGGAGCGACGCAATGCTCAAGACAAAAAAATCAATCAAAAATTGTAAATTCCAATAGAAAATACGATAATTTTAATCAGTGATTTTTCAGAAATTTCAGCAACAAATTAACAAAGTGTTTAATTTATTTCACATCAGCATCTCACATCAGCATTGAAATCGAAATTGGAAATTGCGTAATCCCGCAGTCAATTATCCTGATTCCCGTATCTGCAAATTAAATATTGGCGCATTCCTGCTGGGCTCACAAAGTGGTTGTGAAATGCATTTCCGCTTTGCCCGCATATCACAGCCAGCTTTGATGAGCTTAGCGTTATGTATCGTACATCAATCATAATACTTCCCCCTCGCCCGACACTGACACCCCAACTCACCAGCACATTTTCTTGGGTCTTCTATTTATTTTACATTAATTTTTTTAGCCCATAAGAGATGGTATCTCAGACAGCCTTCCAGAGGTGTAAATTGCGGCGGTGTGGGGAGGAAAAAAAAGTGGATCTGCTGGAACGAAAAATACATCTGGTGCAATATCTACTAACCCCATTGATCTCAATAAATTATATCCTCATCGGCACGATGTTGCTTATCTAAGCCTCATCAAGTGGTTGTGATATGGATACCCAACGCATATCACAGCCAGCTTTGATGAGCTAGGATAATCAACGGGAAACAACGTAAATCCTATTTGAAAAAAAAAAACGAAAAACTAAAAAAACAAGTGAATTGGTTGTGAAACAAAATCAAAACAAGATATAAGATGTAAGGTGTTACAAAGGTCCTGCGGTATTTTTAAAGAATTTTTAATTATTCATAAGAGTTATACGAATTATACGACTCCTAAGCCTAATATGCGACTAGTTCTCCACGAGGTCGCTTCTTTTTTGGCCAAAATACTGAGTTGGGCTCTCTCGTGGCCAACTTCAGACTACCAAGTTCGTTCGCCTTCGACAGAGGCAGGTGGTAATCACTCCGGACTGTACAGTGGGTGCGAGCGAACCTCTCATCCGAGCTGGTGTTGTCCTGATTCGGGCTGGAAGAAAATTCGAACTCTGCTGCCTTCAAGGTGCGAGTTGAAAGTTTGGCTATAGCGTCCTCGCAACAATCACACTAGCCACGGTCTGGTTACTGTCTGGGCCACTAAAACGTGCTTCTTTTCATCACTTATCTACCATCCGACTCAGACTATGTCCAAGATGTTACGGCCAAAGACTTCTAACAAGCTATACCATGACCAGAACTACCGCAGAACTACCGCAGGACTCTTTCTGACACCTTTATGTAACCGACAAATTCCCAGATTCCCAGATTGTAAATTAATGGATCATACATACAATAACATTCCTTGTATACTCTATACTGACTATATGTAATTTTAATTATATAATTATGGTTTCATGCGATTTGATTTGATTTATTCCCCTTTTGTTGAGTACACAGTTGTAGAGTTACATCGAGCCATTTAGTTGCCGGCCACTAATTCAGTTTTGTCTCCCTCACAGATTCACATCTACTACCCTAATTCAACGTTTACGTTCCATATGCAGGAATTTATGTAGAGAGCCCCGATTCCAAAGAGATCTGACGACGCCCTAGCAGCGAACAACGAGAACACTATTTATTTATGTGATTAGTTTTAGTAGTTTTAGTCTCTACACCTGTAAGAAGCCAAAAGTTACAAACCAAAAACGAGAGCGCTGCATACAAATTTGAAATGCATTCCAAAATGATGTTGCTTGCCGTAGTGATAATTAACTGTCTGGCGTATCCACGCTTTGGGGAGGCCTGCTCCAGTCGCACGGTGCCCAAGCCGAGACCTTCGATCTCTTCATCCATGTCCGGGACAGCCCTGCCGCCGACCCAGGCGCCGGCCACTACAACCACCACCACAATGCGAACCACGACCACCACGCCGCGTCCCAACATCACATTCCCCACTTACAAATGCCCCAAGGACTTCGACGACTGGTACTGCCTGAACGATGCCCATTGCTTCTCGGTCAAGATCGCCGACTTGCCAGTCTACAGCTGTGAGTGCGCCATCGGGTTCATGGGCCTGCGCTGCGAGTACAAGGAGATCGACAACACCTACGTGCCTAAGCGGCCGCGTCCGATGCTGGAGAAGGCGAGCATCGCCAGCGGAGCGATGTGCGCTCTGGTCTTCATGCTCTTCGTCTGCCTAGCCTTCTACTTGCGCTTCGAGCAGCGGGCTGCTAAGAAGGCGTTCGAGTTGGAGCAGGAGCAGCTGGAGTACGAGGACGAGGACCAGTGCGAGTGCTGTCGCAATCAGTGCTGCTCGGCTAGTGATGAGCCCCCCGTGGTCGTTAAGCGTAAGCTTCCCTATCACATGCGGCTGGAGCACGCACTGATGTCCTTCGCCATCCGGCGCAGCAACAAACTGTGAGGACCTCCAGCATTCACAGAAAACCAAAAAACTACAGAATATGCCTTGTCTACAAAAAAGAAAACTGCATGCCACGAATTTTGAAGTGAGCCTTAGTCTGCCTGGAGTTTTAATTCCTATCTTCTACACGCTAAGAGCAAACACATTGAAACTACAAATCCTGGGATCAGCCTGGGATTTCCACTTTCTTTTAATGAAAGCATCACACAGAAGTGTTTCCATGTCCGGCTTTGTATTATCGAATTGATTGTATTTTGTACACCCTACGATAGCTATTTATTTTTATTTCCATCTGATCTTCGAATCAAACACAAACACAGCGCGAACAAAGCGTCAAGTATTATTTATTATGAGCGATGTAAGAAAAATGATATTTTTTAAAACATAACTTTTAAATAAACGAAATGAATGCACCAAGCTAACAACATTATTACTGGACTTGATTTAAATTATACTTTTTGCAGACTTGACAACTACATATAGAGGAGCTATATAGCCCCCACAATCAATTATGCGGCCCCCAAATGTCGTAGCTCTTCCTGTTAGGCCACTTTTTTTGGCTTTTATCACATGGGAGAAGTGTCAATGTCCGATATTAAATACAGCTTACTGGAGTTAGTTTTTATTGACTGTACTTAGGGGGGATTTCAATCATTATTTAATACTAAAATTAGCACATTTAATAAAGAGTTTTTAGGGGGATTTCAAGAAAAATATGCTAATGTATTCTACACCTACAAAATATTTTTTTTTAATTTCACAGAATTTCTGTACCCGGTACTCAAAGAAAGGGCTCCTCACAAAAAGTACATCTTTCTGTAGTTCAGTAAAGTGTTTTAGAAAATATTTTATTCTAAACTATTTTGAAAAATGTATATCTAAATAACAAAATTTTGGTAAATCGGGGGTATTTTAGAAGAGTTATGAAGTACATTGTTCTTTCTGAGGTTTGTTCCGAAGAACCCCAGAAGTATGCAATAAAATTTCCAGTTTGGAATATATTTTTCAAAAGGAACTTAAATTTAAAAAAAAATGTATAGAAAGAAATGAGGTGAAGGAGGACCGATATTATATAGAGGGTATTATAATTTTGGTCAAAAGTGTGCCACTCCAAAATTTGTGGGGAGACCCCTGCAAAATCCTGGATTTCGCTATATGGCACCTTGCGATGGCTATATCTTGGCCAATTCTCATCCGATTCTTGAGAGGAATACCTTAAACGATTTGTGGATCGATTTCCAGTAAATCTGCATCAAAATCTGAGAAGAAAATATTTTTCAGATTTTTTTCCAAAATTTGTGGGGAGACCCCTGCAAAATCCTGGATTTCGCTATATGGCACCTTCTGGTGGCTATATCTTGGCCAATTCTCATCCGATTCTTGAGAGGAATACCTTAAACGATTTGTGGGTCGATTTCCAGTAAATCAGCATCAAAATCTGAGAAGAAAATATTTTTCAGATTTTCTTCCAAAATTTGTAGGGAGACCCCTGCAAAATCCTGGATTTCGCTATATGGCACCTTCCGGTGGCTATATCTTGGCCAATTCTCATCCGATTCTTGAGAGGAATACCTTAAACGATTTGTGGATCGATTTCCAGTAAATCTGCATCAAAATCTGAGAAGAAAATATTTTTCAGATTTTTTTTCCAAAATTTGTGAGGAGACCCCTGCAAAATCCTGGATTTCGCTATATGGCACCTTCCGGTGGCTATATCTTGCCCAATTCGTATCCGATTCTTGAGAGGAATACCTTAAACGATTTGTGGTTCGATTTCCAGTAAGTCTGCATCAAAATCTGAGAAGAAAATATTTTTCAGATTTTTTTCCAAAATCCTGGATTTCGCTATATGGCACCTTCCGGTGGCTATATCTTGGCCAATTCTCATCCGATTCTTGAGAGGAATACCTTAAACGATTTGTGGATCGATTTCCAGGAAATCTGCATCAAAATCTGAGAAGAAAATATTTTTCAGATTTTTTTCCAAAATTTTTGGGGAGACCCCTGCAAAATCCTGGATTTTGCTATATGGCACCTTCCGATGGCTATATCTTGGCCAATTCTCATCCGATTCTTGAGAGGAATACCTTAAACGATTTGTGGATCGATTTCCAGGAAATCTGCATCAAAATCTGAGAAGAAAATATTTTTTAAGGAATACCTTCCAAAATTTGTGGGGAGACCCCTGCAAAATCCTGGATTTCGCTATATGGCACCTTCCGGTGGCTATATCTTGGCCAATTCTCATCCGATTCTTGAGAGGAATACCTTAAACGATTTGTGGATCGATTTCCAGGAAATCTGCTTCAAAATCTGAGAAGAAAATATTTTTCAGATTTTTTTCCAAAATCCTGGATTTCGCTATATGGCACCTTCCGGTGGCTATATCTTGGCCAATTCTCATCCGATTCTTGAGAGGAATACCTTAAACGATTTGTGGATCGATTTCCAGGAAATCTGCTTCAAAATCTGAGAAGAAAATATTTTTCAGATTTTTTTCCAAAATCCTGGATTTCGCTATATGGCACCTTCCGGTGGCTATATCTTGGCCAATTCTCATCCGATTCTTGAATACCTTAAACGATTTGTGGATCGATTTCCAGGAAATCTGCATCAAAATCTGAGAAGAAAATATTTTTCAGATTTTTTTCCAAAATTTTTGGGGAGACCCCTGCAAAATCCTGGATTTTGCTATATGGCACCTTCCGATGGCTATATCTTGGCCAATTCTCATCCGATTCTTGAGAGGAATACCTTAAACGATTTGTGGATCGATTTCCAGGAAATCTGCATCAAAATCTGAGAAGAAAATATTTTTCAGATTTTTTTCCAAAATTTGTGGGGAGACCCCTGCAAAATCCTGGATTTCGCTATATGGCACCTTCCGATGGCTATATCTTGGCCAATTCTCATCCGATTCTTGAGAGGAATACTTTAAACGATTTGTGGGTCGATTTCCAGTAAATCTGCATCAAAATCTGAGAAGAAAATATTTTTCAGATTTTTTTCCAAAATTTGTGGGGAGACCCCTGCAAAATCCTGGATTTCGCTATATGGCACCTTCCGGTGGCTATATCTTGGCCAATTCTCATCCGATTCTTGAGAGGAATACCTTAAACGATTTGTGGATCGATTTCCAGGAAATCTGCTTCAAAATCTGAGAAGAAAATATTTTTCAGATTTTTTTCCAAAATTTGTGGGGAGACCCCTGCAAAATCCTGGATTTCGCTATATGGCACCTTCCGGTGGCTATATCTTGGCCAATTCTCATCCGATTCTTGAGAGGAATACCTTAAACGATTTGTGGATCGATTTCCAGGAAATCTGCATCAAAATCTGAGAAGAAAATATTTTTCAGATTTTTTCCAAAATTTTGGGGAGACCCCTGCAAAATCCTGGATTTCGCTATATGGCACCTTCCGGTGGCTATATCTTGGCCAATTCTCATCCGATTCTTGAGAGGAATACCTTAAACGATTTGTGGATCGATTTCCAGGAAATCTGCATCAAAATCTGAGAAGAAAATATTTTTTAAGGAATACCTTCCAAAATTTGTGGGGAGACCCCTGCAAAATCCTGGATTTCGCTATATGGCACCTTCCGGTGGCTATATCTTGGCCAATTCTCATCCGATTCTTGAGAGGAATACCTTAAACTATTTGTGGATCGATTTCCAGGAAATCTGCATCAAAATCTGAGAAGAAAATATTTTTCAGATTTTTTTCCAAAATCTGTGGGGAGACCCCTGCAAAATCCTGGATTTCGCTATATGGCACCTTCCGGTGGCTATATCTTGGCCAATTCTCATCCGATTCTTGAGAGGAATACCTTAAACGATTTGTGGATCGATTTCCAGGAAACCTGCATCAAAATCTGAGAAGAAAATATTTTTCAGATTTTTTTTCCAAAATTTGTGGGGAGACCCCTGCAAAATCCTGGATTTCGCTATATGGCACCTTCCGATGGCTATATCTTGGCCAATTCTCATCCGATTCTTGAGAGGAATACCTTAAACGATTTGTGGATCGATTTCCAGGAAATCTGCTTCAAAATCTGAGAAGAAAATATTTTTCAGATTTTTTTCCAAAATTTGTGGGGAGACCCCTGCAAAATCCTGGATTTCGCTATATGGCACCTTCCGATGGCTATATCTTGGTCAATTCTCATCCGATTCTCCACAGACGATAGCATTTGTCAGACGACTTGGAAAACGTATCGCTAGGCCAATTTTTGAGTTCTCGTTATCAACTGTCAGTCAAAAGGGGAATTTTAGTGTGTCATTTTTTCAAATACAGCTATAGAGTAATTTTGTTCGGTGGCATAATAAATCAAAGGTTTTCCCCAGTCACAAACGAGTCACAGGTGAAGCACTTTATAACTTACGTGAGGGTTATAAATTTTTGTCCAATGTGGGAGCTGAGATAAGATTACCCATCTATAAAATCCGGCAAATTGTTAGATAGGTCAGAAAATGTCATTCAAATTCTTAAAAAAATAAATATATTTTTTATCTATATGTACATAATTCAAATTCGAAATAATTACAGTTTACAGCCGCCTAAAACTGCTGGGATATATTTAAAATTTTTTGATAGAGTGCTTTCATGGGCCCGTAGCTTGAGAGGACCAGGGATATGAGAGTGAGACACTTCATGAGGATTTGGAAGTCCGTCTCACTGCGACTCTTGAAGTAGCCCGTCTGATAGCCGTAATACTGGGTGACCAGGGCAATCACAAAGCAAGCAAATCCCAGAAAATTATGGAACGTTTTGTTCAGCAGTGGTGTTATCAGCTTCTTCACCCGAGCAGAGAATAGAGCAGATAATCCGGATGTCATGGCAAGAATGCAGAGTACAAACGCTGTCATCCCTAGGGGAAAAACACATTTTTTTGTTGTTTTTTATTACGTTTGGTGATTAAAGTTTTTATGTTTTAATTGCTGAAATAATTAAAACACTAATTGTAGTATTTAAAATAAAATCACACCTACCTAGTTTTCCGTGAATAGATTGCAGCAAAAAACCTTTTTGGATCATCTTGATAAGGGCACCAGCTGCTCCACAGCCTCCGCCCAGGGTCAGGAGCACCCAATGGATTGTGGTTTTCGTTTTCCGCTTATATCCATTGGTGAGAACATTTCCTCCATAGTGGATCATCACGCCCTCGGCCATAAAGAAGGAAAACTGAAAATAGTCACTTAGAATCCATGCGACTATGGTCATCCTAAGACCAAGCTTACTCCAATGGTAACCAGCCACGCGTGGAGTCCCGTTCCTGCTAATCCAGTTCGCAGGGTCAGATACGAGATGTAGATGGTGATGAATCCAATGCACATCTGGTTGAGAACATTGAGGAAGTACTCGAATCGCTGGAGGCGATCCTGGCCCTCGTGGTGGTGGCTCATTTTCGTATAGCTCCGCGGGGTTGCGATCAAAACAAATGAAGGTCGGCGCTGCGATTCCGTCCGCACTGTGCTGCCGTAGTCGACGATTCTCCGAGTTCTACTGACAACCGGCTGCTGGCTTTCGGACAATGTAGTTTCCATTTCAATTTCGGTTGGCCCGCGGGCTTATCAGTGCCTTCGAATAATGTTATTTTCGTGTTAACATTTATACAATTCTAGACTGATAAATACAGTCGGCCAATATTCACTGACAAATTTACGCCAATTTTTGTTGTTTTTTTAGTTGGAGAAACCAGCGTACGATGGCAATTAAACGGGGTAATAAGCAGCGGCTGATACGCCCATTGAACCTTTGCCGGTTGTTGCCGTTTTAAATCTACGGCTTGGGCTGTTAAGTGCGACTGACTGGATTTCCTGCAAAGTCATTTTCGCACACGCCGCTCTTGACCACAAAATGATTTAACGTTTTATTTGCCTATGCCTATTCATTTCGGTTACGTCCTGGAGAAGCTATTGAAGTGCAAGCCATATCGCCGCAGAAAACGCCAAACCGCAATTGGACCTTCGGCGATTTGAATTTTCGATAGCGGGCTGGCAATGATCAGTTTGCACTTATCAACACTGACATGACTCATCTTCCCTGCAACAGCTTTTCAGTGTTGGCATTTTAGCTTTTGACTTCTTTTTACATTGATACTTTTTACACTTTACTTACGTGTAAGTAAAAATAAAAGTTTATAACGTTGGCTTATTTTTGACAGGCTTATTTTCAGTCTATAGATGCAATTAGTGTTTCATATTTTGGGAGCAAATGTTGTTGGTAATTATGTACAAATTTTCAACAAAAAAAATTTGTTCTGAAGAATGACGCTTACGTTATTTTTGTAAATAGGGCTCGATATTGTTTAATAGCTTGCAGTCAGTGACTTACCTAATAACTTTAAAATATATTGTTTAATTGTCATATAAAACCGTTAAAATGGTTTCATTGGCAAGTATGCATAGCTTTTTATTAATGATTTGACAAAAAAAAACCTCTTGGTTTCAATTGGTACATATTTTGGTTTTCAATAGCTTTTTTGAAAGAGCAAAATGACTCGTCACAAAAAAATACATGCAAGTATATACATATGTATACATTGACAAAACCCATTTTGTTACAAAGGTACAAAATTAAAATTGAACATTTAATTTCATCAATTAGTCATTTTTAATTACTTTTTTTAAATAACTAGTAACTAGTATTTCACCAAAATTGGTAAGATAAAACAAAAACATTTCTCTTTTAAATGTTAATAATATCATGTTTTTTTTATTAAATCGTTTTTTGTTTTTATATTTATATTAATCTTATTTAGTTTTGTACAAATTCATTAAATAATAAATAGTCTTAATTTCTAGTCTATTTATATTCAACTAACTAGCCAAGCTCCCGAATTTTTGGTACAGGGATTTCATGGCTCCTATGCTTGTCAGGACCATGGCCACCATGGTGACGACCTGCATGAGGATTACAAAGTCCTGGCCTTGGCCACGGAAAATTCCAGTTTGGGTGTATCCGTAGAACTGAGCCATCATTGCGATCACAAATGCGGCAAAGCTCAGGACGACATGGAAGGTTTTGTTGATCAGTGGGGAAACCACCCGGTTTATGGACCTCGCCAGCACCGCTGCCAGTCCACTTAGCAGGGAAATCAGGCACAGGATGAAGGCGGCGAAGCCCAGACGGGCATGTAGTGTCACACTGACCGACCAATCGTCCCGAATCAGTTGAATGAGGCATCCGGCTACGCCCATGCCGCCGCCGAGCACTTGGAGCACCACATGGAATGCTGTCTTATATTTGCGGGAGTAGCGCAGGGTTAGCCAGCTGCCATCGTAGAAACACATCATGCCCTCGGCCATCAGGAACACAAATCCGAATGTAACCAGCCAAGCGTGGAGGCGAATGCCGGCGAGGTCCTGGCGAAGGCAGGTCCAACTAACCCAAATGGTCACGAATCCGATGCACAGCTGGTTGATCACGTACAGACCGGATTCGATGTGCTGCACCACGGAGGTGGATTCGGATTTTCCTGCAGTCATTTTATTTTTTATATTTATTTCAGTTGGCTTATATTTTATTTACTAAGATTTTATCACAATATTTTTTTTTTGGGATTTTAAAAATCACTTTATACTTTCAAAGGATAATTTTAAGGCACTACTAAATGTGATTTTTGATGGATTGCACTCTATAGTTCATTTATTAAGTTCTATTAAATTATCCTGGAAATTATTTGGAGCTTTGCCAGGCTTTGAAACATTCCGAGCCACCTTGCACCAAGTGTTACAGCCACCATCGCCAGCAAGGTTTTTATTGCCATTGAGTACCCTAAGACTTCACTTGGCTGCCAGAATATAATGTTTGTTATCGGTTTATCAGCCACGTTTCCGCAAATTTCATTTTTAATGCATTCGACTCAAAGGATTATACTATATAATTGAGTGGTGGTTCACGTTCGCATTATCATATGTTAAACGATTCAATGAAATGACATCTTATCGACATCCATGCATCCACTCATATGTACATATGTTTGTAAGTTTTTGGAATGGAGGAGGGATTACCGCAGCTTTTGCGGCTGTCTTATGCGCCGGGGCGCACGTTGGCCATTCCCCGAAAATGTCCAGAGCCGGGGTCTAAATTTAGAGGCGTTATTAATATTAATTAGGTTCTTGGCTGTCGAGTGACCCTCCACTTTGCTCCACTTATTGATACCTAATACACTTGTATTTCATGCCTGAACAACCTTATCAAAATGCAAAATCGCACGTACCAAGATAAAGTTAACCGGACATACGCCAGTAATATACTTATATATATACAAAAATACATATTTATAAGTATGTTTATACCCGGTACTAGTAGAAACAAAGGGTATATTGTGTTAGTTAACAGCGATATGATGTCCGCCCCTTTAAGTATACTACGTATTTTTTTGCAGACAAGTTTGAACTCCTATGGAATTCAGGCCGAAATATTTTGCTCCAAATTATTCTCAAGGTAGGATGTACTATAAGAAAGAGAACTACCGGGTATCATATAGTCGAGAGAGATTCTCCTCCCTCCAACTTATCAAGGCAGACGCCTTTTGCGGGATTTGTCAAGCAGTAATAGAATTTTACAATTTGTTGGCACTTGTTTGCGGCGAGATAAGTAATTTTTTAATGGAATAAACTTGTTTAATGTTTACCAATATCGTGAATGTGCAGATTATTATCTGCCATCTGACATTGAACCCGATTAGCCTCAATTGCTTTCTTGAACAATGACTATTAAAAGGCTCAATCCTTTGGTTCCCATGCCCAGATTGATATGCATGGATTGATTTACTAGACTTGGTACTTCAACTCTCGTGACTTGCTGAAAGTGGGGGAATGCATGATATTTTGGGATGTCTGCCGATTAGTAATACTCGGTACTCGAAAAGGGGAGGGTATGATGTATTTGGGAGGAGGTATGATTGGAAGTATAAATATTTTATAATTAGGCAATATTACATCATATAATAATGTTCCCTCAGATCTATCCCAAATGAAACAAATGCTAAGAATATATATTACAATTAGATAATTTTATTTTTCGTTTAGAAGGCCATAATTAATTAATTAGTTTTGGTTAATCTTAGTTTAGCACTTGCTCTTGCACTCGGCATCGTCGCAAATGTCGCACAGCTTCGAATCGATCGAGTAATATTCGGTGGCCTTCTTGTTGGTATCGTAATAGTCGTAAAGGACTACCGAGGATGGTTTCTGATTGGCCACAGCATGGGTCTTAAAGGCCTCGATCGGAATGCACTTCTTCTGGTTCTTTTCCAGGTTCTCGAAGTAGACCACAACTACAGAGTCTCCATTTTTGGTTTCCACGAGCTGAAAGGAAAGTGGAACGTTATTGCTTCATCCTGTAATCGAATGGTTTTGGTATAACTTACCCTCACTCGCTCGATCTCGCGGATTTCCTTGAAGCTTTCCTCGTCAGCAGTGTAGCCTGATGGCAGAGACACCTCCAGAATGGCCATGTTAGAGGTCTTTTCCTTACCTTCCTCAACAAAGTCCACGCACACGGCCAGGTCCAGTTTGGCCGGCGTGGTCTCGGGCTGCACAACAGTCTCCACCTTGAAACTGGGTTTGGGATCCTTTTCCACAATGTTGTATTGGTAGCTGATCTGGACGAGAGCAGCGCCGGTTCCCTTAGCTTCAAACTCCAGCGACTTGGTGCCCTGAGGGAACTCAACGGTCTGGAGCAGGAGATCGTTCTCATCTGATGTATTCAGCTTTTCAGTCTTTTCGCGTTTTCCCTTGTTGGCCACGGTGACCTCCCACTTGGATGCCTCGTAGCCAGATGTCTCGGCGAACTTGATGAGGGCCGTGAGACCGACGACTGTGTCTTGACTGGAGGCGAAGCCACCGAAGCTGTTTCGCTGGGCAACCAGCCAGCGGATTGTGTTCACCACCGTGTCGTCCGTCACCTTCTCACCAGATTCGAGGAGGGAAAGCAGAGCATAGGAAGTGATCTCCACATCGTTGCTCCACACCCAACACCACCAGCGCCCGCAACCATTGGTAGCACGCAATTTATCGAGGTCCTCCGTCCACCAGGTGCGGTCATCTTCCTTCTGAGCCAGGGACTTGAGGTTTTCCACCTCCTTAGCGGCGTTTGGGGCCTTGGCCTTCTGCAAAGCGTAGACGGCAATGGCCTTGGGCAGTATCGTCTCGGATTCCGCCGTGTTGGCAGCTAGGTATGCTACGGCTTTGTCGATGGCTTCCTGATGGGCTTCCGGTTTCTCCAGTTCGAGCAGTGCCAGAAGGGAGTTGGCTGTGAGAGTCAGACTTGAGCGCTGAGAGCCATAGAAGTACTCGCCATCCTCGGTGAAGCTGCCATTCTCGGCCTGACGACTTAGGAGGAAGCTGTAACCCTTCTCCAAAATCTGCTCATCCACATCCACGATATTCTTGATCTTGCTAAAGGACTTGAGGACGTAGGCCGTGAGCCAGGTGGATCCGTTGCGTTCGGGATCCTCTGGCCTCCATTTGTGAGGTCCAAAGGAACTGAAGCTGCCGTCATCGTGGCGGTAGTGCAGCATATTTTGGTAACCCTCCTGCAGGTTCCTCTTGATACGCGTTTCCAAAGCGGGGGTAAGTTTTTTGATGCTCTTCAGGTAGTCCCTGACCAGATAGTTTGGCACCAGCTTGGACATGGTCTGCTCGCCGCATCCACTAGGCAGGCGCAGCAGACTCTCAAGGTTCTTCACCACGGGGCCGAGCAGATCGCCAACTAGTCCGAACTCGACGCGCTCAGAATCGGGAACAATGTCCTCCGGCACCTCCAGCTCGAAATTGGTTTTAAACTCTCCGGTGTCCTTCAGGTTGATGAAGAAAGCCCTATTCTGGTACTTGGTGATGCCCTCCGGGATCACCTTCAGCGACCTGTGTACAGCATCGCCGGCCAGCGGCGAAATAGCTGAGAACTTGAGTAGAATATTGCCGATGACCTTCGGGCGAATCAGGAAGTTGGCGCCCGCCGCTTTGTTGGATCCAACTCGAATGTTTTGAGAGCGCTTCTGGTCACCGATTACTTCATTGGAGGCATCCACAAAGTCGTACTCGTCGTCTAGGTTTTCCAGGGTTAGCTCTACGTCCAGCTGCTTGGGCAGGTAGTTGAAGACCAGAGCAGGCACACTGATCACCTCGCCCCTTTTCACGGAATACGGCAGTCGGACAGACACGAAGAAAGGCTGGAAGGTCCTGATGTTCACCTTGTCGTCGGTGACGCCCAAGCCCTTCTCCGGATGCAGCGAGAAACCAGTGACCACCCAGTTGGTGATTGTGTCCGGAATGGTCTTCACCCACTTGAAAACCTCCTCTTGAGTGCTCTCAATATCGGCGAAGATCCAAGTCTCGGCAAAGTTCTTGCGCACGGTAGGGGTTGCCGCGGCACTTTCAGCGGAAAATCCGACCGCTTGAGGGGCAGCTGCACCCAGTGTAGCAGTTGTGGTTTGTAGGACGGCATCGTTGGCCACTGCCGTTTTTCTCATTGCGAAATTGACTCCACCAAAACCAGCAGCTTCTGTAATATTGGTAAAATGAAAGAAATTTAATAAGGTTACCCTGAGAAACTTATATTTTGTAAGACTTACGGGGATAAGCCACAGGCGCAGTTAGGTTATAGAAGAAGTTGGCATTTGTCAGTGTCACCACGCCGCTGCGTTCTCCGGGAAAGTAAGAGTAACCTCCCTGCCATGGGGTCGATGTGTCATAGCCATTTAGACGCCAATTAAAGGAGTCCTTGTTCAGGTCGTTGTTGCTTCCCAAAAGGAGCACGCTCTGATCCACGGCCAACAGGCCGACGAATGACTTGGCTGGAGTCTTGATTTCCAGCTCCACATCGGCTCCAGGCTTCACCTCCTCAGGTCCTTTAATTTCGATAGTATTCTGCAGCTCCACCTCCACGCTGAACGTCTCCTCGGCATAGCGGAACTCGCCGGTTTCGTCCACATAGTAGAAGTAGATACGACCATTCGGCGCGGTCAGGAAAGTTGGCTTCAAAGTGATATTGTAAACATTTTGGGGTTCCGAAAGCTCCACGCGCTTGGTCTCCAGGATGTTTCCACGTCCGACAATGTTATAGACAAAGTATTTGAGTGGCCGACTGGAGTTCAACGTCACCTGGTATTCCTTTCCGATCTTCAGGCTGGAAACGAGTTAGGGTGATGTTTACTAACGTGTACGAGGCTTTTCAAACAGTTACTTACTTCCAGGTATCTTTGGGCCTTTGCACCTGAGCTTTGAACCACTCCTTCTCCTTTTCCTCTTCGTCATCGGGCTTATCCAGCTTCTTGGGCTCCCTGTAGGGGTAGGTGGTGTAGAGCTCACGCTTCTCATCTACAAACTCTAGTTCAATAGCGTAATAGCGGGTGTAGTTCTCCATGTCGGGCAGGTCTGGGAGATTGACCTTGAAATTGGCCAGACTCGATTCATTCAGATGGCTCTCAAATACGAGCGTCTTCTTTTCGATCTTAGGCAGCTCCGGCACCTTTTCCTCTACACCGTGGTGATACCATCCATAGTTTCGTCGGATTCCCTCCGTGAACTTAGCCTGCAATTAAAAGTGCAGATTAGAAACCTATGATTCCCGGCTAACAAGGTTATCACCAATTATGACTTACCTTCACCACCGACTTGGTGTCTGTCAAAAGAGTCCCATCGACCAAGGTTATCTTGAAGGTTATCTCGTATTCCTTGTCCGGCTTAAACGAAAAGCAGCTGGAGTAGTCTACGCAGGACATTTCGTAGCGGTAAGGGTACAGTTGAACACCGGCGGTTTCGTTGAGCTTCACGCCAGTGAAGTCTTCCTCGAGGGTGGCCGTAATTGTGGCGTAGGACGAGGATGTTTTGTACGGCAAGTAGCTGGCAAACTCCTTGAGATCCAGGCTCAGTTTGGCCTTGCCGCCGACCATGTCGGTGGTTCCAATCACCGAGTGCCCCGGGAAGTCTTTGCGTTCGGTCTTGCCATTAATATTCTCCCAAGTGCTCGTGTCGTCCAAGTGAACATTGACCAAAACCTTGCCATTCACGGGTTTCCCATAGGTATAACTTAAAGAGAAAATTAAATTATTAAATAGAAATTAAGTACAAAGAGTTAATGAGCACTTACTTAGCCTTCAAGACCAAATTAAGTTCGCCATCCCGAACAGAAACCTGTTGGTTGGCTTCCATGTTCACAGAGTACTTCGGCAGGACATACTTCTCCACCTCGAAGTTAACCCGCTCATCGGAGCGACGCCAGAAATGTCCAAAACCACCAAAGGGTCTCGGAAAGATTCCGCCACCACTGCTCGACTGCTGTTCACTATTTTGGACTTGGAGGGACCACGAACCCAAGGTCGCGAACTCGGAGAGCTCAAATTTGCCAGTGTACACTCCACCAGTGGTCTTAATGTGCTTCTCCTGCTTAATCCTATTACGCTTGGAGTCCTCGAACCAGACCACCACTTCGTCCGAAGCGGATTCAGGCAGCAGGTTCTCGTTCAGAAAGATCACACGGTAGTTGATTGTATCACCGGGCTTGTACTTTCCCTTATCCGTCTGGATTTTGATGTAAGGCTTGAAGTCTTCATAGTTGAGCTTTGTTGAGTTCTTGAAGTCCAAGCCCTTGATGCCCTCAGCCGTTAGGTTATAGTCACCCGACTTCAGGGGCGGCAAATGGAAGGATATCTGCTTGAACTCATCGGAGTTGGCCAACTCCACGGTCTGAGTCTCATTGTAGGACGGGCCTGTGATTCCAATTTTCAGGGTGACCGGCTCCTTGGTCTGATGAACGGCAACGGACACGTTGTAGTCGCGGTGGGAGTGGATGGTTCCGGGACCCACAATGGTGTATTTGCTGCAATTAAATTTTTTATTAATAGGACCATTATTTTCAAGTGTACTTTTATATTCATATATGTATGTGTGTCATCTAACGAGGCTTCAACAAAATTTAAATGCTTTTTGCTAATCAGCATTGTTATTCTTTCGAAATCCCCCCGGCTATAAACTATGAAATCTTTTTAGCCGCCTTTAACCTTACATCATTATCAATTCTCCCAAAAAGTCATAAAATTCTGGTGACATTTTTTGACTTTTGATTTTTTTTTTAATATGTATACATGAATTTTTAATAGACTCGGGAGATAACGGTGAAAAGATCGAAAACATGGCCTGCATTAGAAAATTTCAAAACCGCCCTAGAATTGCTTTAATTCGGGATGTAATTTTTTTAGCATTTTAAGTTTTCAGGCACGTAGAATATTTATTTTACAATCATTCATTTGTAGAATTTTATGGACTATTTTTTTCGCTTCCATACAATAATTTACAATAAACTCTTGTTTAGAATGGAAACTTTCCCGCTTTAAACTTTTAAATTGTATTCAATCTTCGAGCTTTATAGTTTTCGTAATTAGTGACAATTACACATAGAAATGTTCAATGGTGTCACAGATTAATGAGCTATTCATAAAAAATTAACAACAAGCTCAATTAAGCCTGACGTGTGTATTTTTAAACAGAAAAAATGATTATCTGTAAAAATGGATAACTTCGAAAGTCAATTAGCATCACAGGTAGAATTTAGAAATAAACAAAAATCAAATATTGCACTGTTGAGAATCTATCGAGATGTTGAGTTTAACGATATACATGTATGTATGTGGGTATTTAATATTAAAAATTTTGTATTACCTGGCACGTACATATGTATGTATAATTTATATATATTTTTAATTTAGTTTGACTTTTCAAGGGCAAAAATATAAGGATTTCATACAGAGCTAAAAAAACATGTATATTAAAACTACCTTGAATAATTAAAAAACACGGTCTATATAAATGCATAAATTAAAAAGATAATTCATTACATCTATACGGCTAAACTCAGAAAAATAGTCCTAACTTTGCATCTTTTTATAATATACATATATATAATATATAATATTATAAAATATATATAATACGTATATTTGAATATGTATGAATATTAAATTACAACCCCTTGGAAATCAATTATAATGTAGTTTTTGCATAAATTTATGTAAATATATAAGAAATTTTAACATACAAAAGTTGAAAAAATGTAATTATTTATTTATTATATTAAACGTTATTTTATCACTTAATCATGTTATTTTCGTATATTGATTCTATTATTTCAGCCAACGCTGTGTGATTCGTTGGATCATTTAACACATTTTATTATATAGTAGCTCCACTTACCCCTCAGCCTTTACCGGTTCCATGGTCTGCAGAAGTGCCAGAGTCGCACAAACAGTGATCGCAAAAGCGTCTGCGCGACGCATTTTGTGTGCGTGTGATGATCCGAATCGATGAAAAAAAATAAAATAAAACCAAATTAGTACACCTGGGACGGTTTAAAATGTTGCGGAAAACTATTTCCAAGCCGCCACAACCGATGGGGCTCCAAGCTGGGCTCAGACTGGTTCAGTCCGACGGGCTCACGGAATTGTTATAGCACCGACAGCGACAAAAACAAAACCAAAAACAAAAACTAAAAAACCCAAAGCCAGGCCCGCGACGCCGGCATCGGCGGAGACTGAGCCGCGAGTCGTAAAAAACACTGATACTGATAAAATGTATAAGCAAATAATGTAAAGAGAGCTTTGTATATAATCGCGTACAAATATGTACACAAAACTGTGACGAATAGGGCAAGCAAACCAAAACAAAAAGCACAAAAAAAGCCGGCAATCGTAATAAAAGATATTGCTAGGCCAGCTCTCTCGTTGAAATCATTTAAAATCGGGTTGGTATAAGATTATTAAATATAAATTAAATGTTTTTTTCAATTTCGGTATCAAGTTATTTCGTTTATGATTAAAACATGATACTTTCAATCTAAAATAGAATCTATTAATTTCAGTCATTGCGATACAAATATTTACGTCATGTCTATAATGGTTCTTAAAAGCTTTGAGTAATTCAAAATTAATGGGCAGGGTCATATCTTGTTAAGAAATTGACTTTAATACATGAAAATAGATATGTATATAGAACACAAGGGAAATGGGTTTTCCCATTAATAATATTTGATGTTTGTCGCCGAACCTGAGTCATGCAAAACTCTAGTTAGTGATTTATTTTGTGGGTTTTTTTGTGCAATAATTAACACTTAATTGTCAGTATATATCATTCTATTCCTAGAAAAGTTTTCCATTTTAATATAAATTGTCTTTTTTGTACTAAAAGTCACACAAGGTCTACGTACATGAGATTAGGGAAATCAGGGAAGTCCACCAAATTCGTTCCAAGAAACACTTTGGGAACTGTTGTTGTTTGTTTTCTAAAGGCTCAAAAAACCCCAATAATTATTAATAAATATTTTTGATTTTTGGTTTGAGTTGGATCTGTTGAACTTGTTGATTAGCTAAAGCTAACTAACTGGTGACTTCTCAGTCGGGAATACTGCTACGAAATGGCTAGCCCATTTATATATCTCGTTTCCCTATTTATGTGTTGGTGCTCTCAGCTGTTTTCGCCAGTATTTTGTTTTTCTCTCCCAGTTCGCCGAAAAGTGACGTCACTTCGCTGTATTTCGTTTGCCTGTGCAAAGAGGCGTATACATAATGTCCAAATGACTAAGAAATGTTTGTATATAAGATTCGGTAAACCTGATTGTTGTTTGGTAGATCCCCTTTTGCTCTCTGTATATATTTTCATACATTTGTATGTATTTTGCCGTAATCTATAGCTGCTCCCGCTTGCTGTATACCCTGTAATTGATGTACTTCGTAAATACATTGGAGACATTCATGTAGGCATGTTCATATTCTTATATTTGTGATCAACAATTGTTAATATGTACTATATGTATGTATGCTTAATATAAAATTTGATTAAATATTTATGTATTGTATCTTATCTGATGAACACACGAACAGATACATATGATGTTCTAATGGTGTACACAAACACGGTTTGCGGTGTTCTTTATCAAACTCTGCCTATTATTTTTATTTTATTATTGTTATGAAAGGAAATTAACTTCGGGCGTAGCCGACAGTTATATACCCCTTGCCAATCCTAAGTTATAACATACTTAGGGTAAAAAGAAGTAAATAAATACAATATTAAAACACCTTTTGAAAGGGTACACAAATAGTCTTCCTAACAGCAGTTTTTTTTTCTAGGGTGTACCTCAACGCACAATATTTGTTTGAGTCGTATTAAGCTTTTTTTCTTTCTAAAGCTTTCTAATGCAAATGGACGTAGAACAGAAAACTAGAAAGGGATTAAACTACAAAATTAAATAAAATCCACACAATATAGTTGATACTTACATGCACAATATAGGTTCTTTTACTAATGACGATTATTTTAGGATATTGTACCTAAAAATCCCCCAATGTATTACATATTATTTTTAATGAACATGTATTGCACTAATGATTAATTCCGGATATTTGGCTTGGTCAATTACACAAACTGGTTTTAGAATGCTCCAAAAATAACAGTAATCGCAACAATCAGAGTCAGAGCCACCTGTGGGGGGCGCTGCCGCCTTTTTCGCGCCAAGGTAAAACACGTGAACGGGCCGGCCCGAATGCTGAGTCACCTTTCAAAAGCAAAACTGAGCGCCGTGCTCCACTTGATTTGAAAGTGGGATTTTTTTCTTTGCGGAATTCTCCGGAGAGGAGATATCGTTTGCTTTTCCCAGCTGTTTCATGCCGTCAAGCGCCAAACACATTCTAACATTCGTAGCGCTCGGACGCGATCTGTAGGTTCCAGTGGCAGTAAAGTTATCGCCCCAACGTGCGCATCTCACGTAGTAGATAAGAGCAATTCCATAAATGATAATGACGAGTGCCGAACAATTACAAGGCTGTCTGGACGAAGTCTGCGGACTTCCTGATCAGCGGAGTAGTGCCGCCAGCTCCTCCTACGAGGGATTCTACTTTGGCTTCTGTACGCTCGTCTCGCATATTCTGCTGGCCGGGATCACCGGAGCCATTGTCTACAAATGCCTGGTCCTCAAGCTGGTACACACAGCTGGACATGCATTCTACTGCACAATCGCCGTAAGTCGTCTAAAAAATATCCTTGAAGGGTCAATTGTTCCACCTTTCACTCAAAACTTCTGAGATCTTTTCCATCCCCGAACTAAAATCCGATAGATACATGGCCATACATAGATATATATGTAGATAAAAAACCAGAATATATCAGCATATCATTAGTTAACTTTGAGACATTGTTTTGGAAAGATCAAGGAAATGTTTCTCTTTATACCCTTCTGGGGGGTATTGTAAAGCAATAATACTCTACGGCCCAATTGCACAATTGTATAATTTTCAAACATTAAACATGGATTTCGCTGAGGGTCATACTTTAATATTTTGATTCCCATGGATAGTTAGAAAGTCATTTTGAGATTTTAATGATGATTTATATAAATTGTGTAATATATTTGCTTTGGAATCATTTGTTTATTGGCAAAGAATAGTTCTAGCTGAAGAATCTACAGTTGCCCGACCACCTATTGTAATTGTTAAAAAAAAAAAAACAAACTGGTTTGTGTCCCTATCTTGTATACAAATGTACTTATACAGCGTAATAAATCCACTTATTATCAATATTATTCGTAATTCTCATTCACAGTTTGTGTTCTTCATGGGGGAGGCTCTTTTGATCCGGAATAGCAAGTATCTTGAGTCGTGGATAGGGTCTCTAAATCTGAATCGCCTGCACGCCGTTCTTGGGCTGCTGGCCTTTTTCGTCGGGGTAGGAGGAATTGCCATCAAGACACTGCAGAAGCTGGAACGCAAACGTGAAGACCCAAACGCCACGGTTAGGCATTTCAAGAGTAACCACGGGTTTTATGGTGAGTACCTTTTCTACACTACACCCAAACACGATAGCAATTTTATCCTCCGAATTTCACCATCAGGCATAATCGGCTGCGGACTTCTGTTGGGGAGCGTAGTCACTGGCCTACCGTTGTATTTCGTCAATGCGGGCCTCACCTTGAAGCTGATCCATCGGTTCTTTGGTTTGGCCGGATTTCTCGCACTGATGGTTTCGCAAATGTTTGGCTATAACACCGGATTTGGCCGAAGGCAGTGGAAGCCTCAGCACCAGAAGCTTTTCAAGTTCTTCACTTTTATTGCCACTATATTGACGGTTAATTACGAGCTCCGTCGATTTGCCAAAGATGTGATTAGCCTGACAACCAACTATGTGTTTGCATCACAGTCGGCCCATACAAGGGATGATCTGTAAAGGATTTAACTGAATTGAGTAGAGCTACTCAGGGGAAATATCGGTACATTAGAGAATATGTGAGGTTCATATTCCACAAATAAGTATTGTAGGTTTATTAATTGCCAAATAAATACATACATTCGCTGACAAATAGGTGAAGGCACTGAAAACCAAAACAAAACGCAGTCTTATCTAGTCCAAAAAGGCTTCAAGAGGATTCAACGTCAACTATTATCTTGGGAAAAAGTAAGCTTCATTTCCCGAAAGAAATATCAAAGTACTTATAAAGTGAAACATTTTGGCATGCCTTTATATATATTGCATTTATTTATTCTTTGAATACATTGATAACATACTTTTGATTATTTGAAACATAAAATATATTTAAACATTTCTTTTTTGTTATTTGGTAGCGCGTTTTATCAATCACCAAGCGAAGAAAGCACCTACTAGTAGTACATAGTTAACTGATAAAAACAAAATACCGCATTGGGCTCACAAATATTGAAGATACAAGATAGATATACATTTTTATATAAAATAAGAACGCCAACTTAGTTGCGATTTTGCGAGAGGTGCATGACATCCAAAGCGGCTGGTATGTTTCCATTGACCGACTCGAGCAATTGGGTGAGCCAGGCTCCCTCGTTGCTGAAACCCATGGCCATCATAGCATGAATGGCCGAATTAATGCCCTCATCTGCGAATAGAATTAAATATTAGCAACATGTTTTTTAAATATGTCTTAAAGTCCAGGGACTTACTGGTGTGGTAGACGGGAACGCTGCGCTTCTCCTCTGGGGCTGTTGGTGACGTTCCGACGCTGTTGGTTGAGACAGATGTAGTGGAAGTCGACGTGCTTACAGTGTCCACTTGGGAGGTCTGTGTATTGGCTGTGGCTTGCTCAATACGAGCCTCTTCATTAATGTGTTGGCGGAGCATTTCGCTCAGCTCTCCAAAGTCACGCACCTGTTGCTGAGGAGCAGCCGGGGGACCGGTAGAATCAATATTAATCAAGGCGTCAGTGCTGGCCATTTTTGAACTCGAAGGCGAACCATTATCGTCGACCATTTGCCAGTCGTGGTCCAAACTATCCGAGCGACGCCTTTCCTGTACCTGCTCGCTGACGATCTTAGGAGAAGCTGTTTCCTTGGGCAGCAATGGCTCCGTATCAAGAGGTGCCTCAGAAAAGGAGCTTGAAACAGATGTGGCACCAGATTGGTTGACTGAAGAAGCGGTGGATTTTTCGGTCTGGGTAGGTTTGGGGACTTCTGTTCCGGAGGACATCGATGGAGCATAGCTTCCTGAAGGAGTAGACTCAGTGGGATCGATCATCTTGGCGAACATCTCACTAAAATTGTTCAAGATTTCAATACCGGCTTTCATGTACTCGGGTGGTACCATTTGTGACAGATTCTCAAGATTGATCACTGGAGTGGTTGGAACACTGCCTTGAGTCGGAGTGCCCTGAGTAGGAGTAGCTTCTGGTTCCTTGTCCATGGTAGAAGCCTCAGTTGAAACCGAGGAATTCTTCTTCTCCTCAGACGGTTTACCTTCCTTTTGAACATTTGCACTGTCCTCTGGCTTCGGAGTAACCGATTCTGGAGCTGGAGCCGTGGGAGTCTCGGCAGGTGCAGCAGTTTCCTTGGGCTTCGATTGAGCAGCTGTTGTAGCAGCAGAAGCCACAGTTGGTTCGTTTAAAGGCAAGTTTGCCATCACCTCCATAATTTGGGAAAAAACATTGCGACGGTTGTGGCGGCGCTCACGGCGGCCCTCCCGCGGGGCTTCACCCGACGGAGCAGCACTAGCTCCTTGGGTAGCCTCTGCGAAGGGGCAGTGACCCCTAGAACGGCGGCCGCATCGGCGGCCGTGTGGGTTCGATCCTGTAATATAGGCATCTATCAAGCTGGGACCGTCATTGGTAGGCATGCGAATCATCAAATGATCTGGATGCTTATGCTCCGTTTCACATTTCTGGCAGAGGTCGAAATTGCTGCACTGGACGCACTTGTAGCGGAACCCAACAATTGGTGCCAGTCCACAGCCGTCGCACTCAACGCGATCGTGGATGGTGAAATTGCTCAGATCGTCGGCCGAGGGAGCCGATGCCCCGGCGGAGGACGCTTCCTTCTTGATGACATTGGGAGTGAGGGGAGCTATTTGTACGTGCATATTCTGCTCGCATTTGGCCAGAAAAATGTCGTAGTCATTCTGGTTTACTATCTCGATTTCATCATGATCGGTATCTGAAAGGGAAGCCCAAATGAAAATAGACAAACATAATATTGTGAGTCATGAAGTTTGGTTATCAAATGGTTTGGTTTCAAAGGTGAATCACAAAGGCTGACCAGAGGCAAAATTAGCTACAGTTTTAGTTTTAAGTATAATTTATATGCATGGCGTTATAAATCTAATTTTAATGCCGTAAAGCCATTTCTTAATAAATACAACATTTTGCGTTTTATAAAGGTTCTAAAATTTGTTTAAAATATAAAGTTTAAGGACCTGCTGATTTCATTGTTTTTGGCGAGGAAGATTTTTTATGATTCATATTACTTTTTTTAAATAGCGAGAAAATTAGCGAAATCAAAGCTATTTTGCCAGCACGGCTGCATTTAATGTGGTTACAAAACCTTTTATGCGTTGTATGTAATTTAATTTTATATTTGTAACACTCACCGATCCAAAAGGTCCTGATCTCACATTGGGGAAGGTGGCGTTCAGTAAACAAGTATAGCTCGATTTCACGACGCAAAACGGAGTAGGTTTGCGACGGCATCCTCAAATACGCATTTATTTTCTTTTGGGCTCCATCGGCCTGGTAGGTGATTTTCAACAGTTTTTCCGGCATTTTTGTAAAATTAGTTTTAGTTCGTTCGTTAGTTCAGCTGTTGATTTGTTTATGATTGCAGGGAATTTTTTTCCTTGTTCGTAGGTTTTATTTGCTATCGCCTACTACGCCGTAGGTTTCTTCGAAGGTGGTACTTTGTGTGTGCACCAGTTCCGTCGGCAAGTCGTTTATATACCCTCTGCACCGAATGTTCCTGAAGGTTCGCGACTTTAATGTTGCAACTCACGCTCTGATCTAGGGTCTGTTCTATAGTTTTTAAGGGAAAATTTTGTTTAGTAATGCCAAAGCTGGACTTCAGAATATAAATATTTTGCTTATCGATTGGGGCTTCTGATAAAGTAGCAACATATATCGATATATTCTTTGTAGGAAAATACACATCGTGATAAGTTAATATCGTGATTTCGTGATTTTGTCTACAAATGAATAATATTTTTTATACATTTATACCTGGCTGTATTCGATTGAGTTAGCTTCGTTTCAACCGGTGATTTTCATAATTTTAATGACATTTATGTGGTTTTTTTAATCTTCTTTAAAAAGCGAGATAGAAAATAAGTTGCAGATATGATGTATACATTTTACATACAAATTTTACACAAATTCTACATAACTATATTACATTGGATTTCAAATTGTCCATCGTTTTTTAACTCCGTTACGAAAGTTGTAAAATTTTGTTTATAATTTATTATATTAAATATTTAAGCTTCCTATGGAATCTTCCACTAGAATCACAAAAATATTAACTAAACCAACATCTCTAGACATTCAGTAAAATGGAAATGAAATAAATAAATCACATTAAAATATTCGCTTTCGCAAAAACATTTAAACCAATAAATTAAAGATATGCATTTTATTGTGTAAAATTACAAAAATTTATCTATAAATTACTTCATTATACTTTAGACGTTTTCATCATTTTTAGCAATTGGAGCAGTTGCGAAGGCGTACTAAAACAAGATTTTAAATTTAAATTAAATTGGAAAACCATTTATCAAGATTGTATTAAATGTACCTACCGACTGGAGTTATGTGGGGCTATAATCTGATGTTGCCTGCTCTCCAAATCGTTTTTGGGAGGATCTGTCATTTTTGTTATGACCTCTACAGCTCCAGGATCCATCTCTGTAACTGGCTCCTTTTCGTAGATTTGATTTGTGTCCGGCTCTGGTGTGGATTGCCGAAGCATCATTTCACCTACGGAATAATACAATTGATAAAATTGAATTAATATTACAATATTTCTTTGTTTCTTTCGGTTCGTTATTTGAGAACATACTGAGATAATATTCGGCAATCGTGTAGAGCCAGTTGGAGCCCATCTGCGGGGCCATGCTTATGACAACTCCATCCACGCTTAGCTGAAGATTTTCCGACCCCTTCTGACGCTGATCATAAAAGATTTCCTCCTGCTGGTAGCTATTGTCGCTATAGTCGTCGTATAAAACCTCAAGCAGATCGCTGACCACATTTCTTTGTCTTCCCGGATGAGGCCTTCCACCTAGTGGCTGGGAAAGGACACCTCCAGAAGCTAGCAGTAATAGGGAGAATATAAACAGGCGATTGCTGAATTTGCACATCTTCCCAGCGGATTACAGATGAAAGCGTTGAGACCAGCGTGCTCCGATGGCGGGCATCGAATGAGTCAAGGTTCTTGGCTGCGACCAAGCCAGGCCCAGAATGCCTGGACCACTCTAAAACCAAGAAAACCCGATTGTTGGACCCCCAGTTCAATGGCCACATGTTTGGCCAAAGACTTCCGCATTGCAAGGGTACTGTGGGAATCTGCGATTGGTGCACTTCTAACGATTCTCGAGCAGCCATATAAAACACCACTTCTATTCAACCTGGGGCCGATCCTTGAAGATCAAGTCTATTCCCAAGAGGTTTCCGGTTACAATAATCTGATAAAACAAATCATTCATATAAAATTAAACAATTTACATTGGCGCATACTAGCAGCCCTTTCAGCTAAAATATATTTCAAAAAATAATAAAAATATATGTTTGAAATTTAATTAAAATTAAACACAGCTAAAAAAATATTTCTTCCTTTTAATAATTATAATTTTAATTAATTTTTTTTTTTTAATAATTAATTTTAAGCATAATTTTTTAATATATTTTTCTAAATAAAAATATACAAATAAATAAAAATGAACAACCAGATATATATATACGTATCGTATATTACTATAATATAGTGCTTAATTTGGTTTGTCCTAGTTTACTTGGAAGAACTAAGCACGGCTGAAAATGTAATTCCATTTATAAAAAATGCCAGTATTAACCCAATAGCCTTAATTTCGAGTAACCTTAAAAAAAATGATAAATCATTAACACCATACTAATATAGTGAATTGCAGTGGGTCACCGTCCGAAATATGTTTATTTTTTCATTTATCTAGTTGGGCTGCAGTTCTGGGCGCAGGTTCAATGACTTGGCCACAGGAAGAGGTCGGGAACTGGGTGCGTCCACCTGTAAACTGGTTTCGCTTAGAGACCCTACCCACAAATTACCGAGCAGCTGGCCTTTATCTCAGGTTGGTTACTGACGTTTGCTAGCCCCTGGCTGTCAAGATGTTAGCCTCATCCTTCAACGGATCATCATCATTATTGATGCCGGACCGTTAGCCTAGACCGCCACTTCCGCCTTTGGCCTAAGGTAAACCTCTCTATTGTGTTTTACAACTTTTTCAGCCAAAGCTTAAAAATTATGATGTTATGCTAAATATATCACACTAAAATAAGTAAAATAAGAAATATTTTAAGATTTGTTTCTATAATGGTATATTCAAAAAGCTCTATCAAGCCTCTTATGACCATCCCAAAAATAATATATGTAAATAAATATTTCATGTCAATAAATAAAAAATTTATTTTAATAGTAAAAAATAGTTTTAAGATCAATTAAAAATAATTTTTGTTTTTGTATTCATTTGCCAGACGGTTATTTCGGCTTAAGTCTAAGGTGTGCGAATACGAAGCTAATATTTAGGCTGGCAGTCTTGCAGTTCTTCTCTTCTTTTTCAGTAGCCTTCGATCTGGCGGCAGGTGCCGTAACTATCTCTACGTTCACCACGGGCACAGCGGGCCAGTCCATCCCGCAGCAGAGAGCGGGAATCGGCCAAATCGTCGTCGGCCAGCAGATCAAAACTAACAATCTCTGGCTCTGCAGCCTGAACACGGGTGGGCTCTTCGTCCAGGTGCCAGGTGCGAGCCTGATCTACAATATAGGATGGGGCATCGATTGGCGGATAAAGACCGGCGGCACCGTCGCCCACATCGCTGCGATAAATTGGAACACTAATGGATCGGGGGCTGGCTAAGTCATTGCCGCCCAGTCGATTGGTTTCCAAATAGCTATCACCTTGCAGGGAACGAGAGCCGCGGAAGTAGTGGGATCCCGAGTGGCTGTACCCATCCAGAAGGTTTGATCCGGCACTGCTGCTGCTGCCGCTACCAGCTGATACTGGGGGGAGGGCTTGGATCAGCTCTGGCTCCGCTTCCAAGTGGTAGGGTTTTATCAATTGCGGCATTGGAATCAATTGGGGCGGTAGGACATCCACTTGCTGGCGCTGTAAACGCTGCCCTTGTTCGGGATCACTGGCCGAGATGTCCACGTGATAGGGCGATCGACCTTCGATGAATTCTGGAAGCGCGCCTGCTGGTAGGGATGGTTGGTGTGGGTGCAAATGCTGAGGCTGTTGCAGCTTCTGAAGAGGGTTCTTTTGGTAGAAGGACTTCAGAGAATTTCCTTTAAGAGAGTGTTTCCGCTTCGAGGCACCGAGGTTACCTCTATTGGCTCCTCTTCCGAGCAGCTCCAGCAAGCTGATACCCTCCTGTGGACCAGGTGGAATCAGCAGGATCATAAAGTTCTCGAGGTCGGCACGAATATTGTACTGTCCTTCCTGCCGCTGGTCGTAGGTAACGGTTCGACGGCGCACTGGCTCATCCTCCGCTTCGTTCGAGGGTATTGGTGGAGGTGGTAGCAGAGCAGGCTGACCGCTGATTCCACCCGCCTCGAGGGCCTGGGGTGGAGCCACGGCCGGGAAATGCTCTTCTTTATTAGCCTGAGGCTTTGGAGAAGGAATATCTGTCGGTAGTTCCGTGGTAGAAAGCAAGGGACTCGAACTGACGAGCGAAACTGTTAACAGCACTATTGTGAAAGTCTTCCATGTCCAGGCCATTTTTCTCAATGGATCTTGGTCCCAATAAACACGTAAGGTTGCTCCGCTTGGCGTTCTTGACTCGGGCGCTTCTGCCTTGCAACTGATCCCCATTTCGAAGGGAGGGCTGCGATGTTAGCATCGAAGCTGTCGTCGGCGCAGGCGCAACTTTCATATTCCGACACAGTCAGCGTCGTTACAGTGACAAAAAAAAATAGGTGGGCTTACAATCGAATTATTATTATTATTTTTTTAATATACCTTTATATATATTTATACTTGTTTTTAGTATTTTTATTTTATATCATTTTAAATATGTCTTATATTTGGGATACTAGAAGCTAAAATTTAAATATATTTATTATTTATCTTAAAAATCTCTACTTTCTTACCTTTTTTCTACCTGTGTAGCTTTACTTCTGCTGCTGCGGTAGCTTTCTTCTCTCTTCTCAATGCTCGATTCTTGTTCTGGTTTTGCTTTTATTTATGCCACTTACTGGTCGACGCTTTTTGTTCGGCCGTGCCCATTTTGGCTGCGTGACTTGGTAGCCATCTCCGTTTGTTGATATTGCCCAGTCAGCCGTTGGGCTCTGATGTTCCGGAGTCGGTTAGAAGGGGTGTATGGGATCGGTTCTCACCGCCTGGCACAGTGGGGTCTGAATTCGATTTTCACGCCAATTAGCTAATGAGGAAGCGTTTTGTTCGCTCCCTGGTTAAAAAAAACAGACCTGGCACGCATATAATCAGCACCGCTGTCACCTGAGCAAACGATATCAATCCGATCATGAGAGTTATATTAATTTGATTTATGGATAAATCAAATATAGGTGCAGCATTAAAGTACAGGCGCGATCTTTCTAATAATTCATTCAAATTTTCATTAAAAAAATTGGTATTTTCGATTTACATTAATAGGGCTATAGATAAAATAATAACTTTATATTTAAAGCTATGTAAAAATGTAAAACAATTTAGAGAGTATTAAATTGCCCAATATTCCCCTAGATTGGCCTACAAACACTAGGTACATTTAACAACATTTGCAAAATGTTTACTTTGTGATCTGGAGAATCTTGATAAAAGTGGTCAGCGAATACACATAAATCAAAAGACGAATTCATCCCAAAACACGCCTGGCGATTTTTAAAACATGATTTTATTTGTATACTGTCGTTTAAGTAGTGGAAGGGGCAGGTGGGAACTCGGAAGGTTCTAGTGCAGGTGGGGGTACAAGAATATATCTATACAAGCGGGCGCTATGGACGACGTCACATTACAGTTGAATGACATTGAGTTTCGCTTAAATAATAAAAAATACGTTTATGTATTTAAATAATTAGAGGTTTTTGCGGTTATTTTTTTTTCTTGCTTAGTGACTGTGTGTATTTACTATTGTAGAACAGTTGAAAATAATACAATAAAAATAAATTAAGCGTAGCACATACAAATTATTCGATTAAGTCTAGACAAATATATATAACACTGAAAAAATGGTTGCCATTTAAGGTCAGAGGAAGCGAGCGTTGTCTTTTTTCGATTTGCGCTGTAGTTTAATCATTGGAGAAAAAGTGAAATTACTAATCTAAAGTTAGTTGTATACTGCTTTATGTTGTGTTGGCTTAAGCACTCGCATAATTGAGTTTGTGGACTGAATCTTATCTAGCCGCAATATTAGGATACTAATGTGATATCTTTGAAACAGATAATATCACTTGTCATGACTTGTACATGCATTTGATCTACGACGGGTCTTTAGCTTTTAAGTTCAATACAAATAACGTAGTCAAGTTAATGAATTATCATTGGAAGAGAGCATTTCGTAAATAGTCATTGGGGAAAGTCCATTATTACTGTATAACTAGTATAATTACTGTTGAAGTATATTCTAACTATTACAAATTATACATAATCTCACAAGAATAATTTAACTAAACAGCCTCCATGATGATAGAAGAACGTGGAAAATAGCACGCGGCTAAAACGATAATAGCGCCATGTCCGATAAAAGCATGCACATAAAAAACTGACGATGTCCTTTTTGCCAGCGGCCTAATCCTGTTTCTTTGCAGTTTGTTCGACCTCCTGTTCCTGCATATTTCTTTGGTCTTGTCCCAATGGAGTCTTTTGCTTTGGCGACTGTTCCTCCGGCACCCGCTTGTGTACTGTGAAGCACACTCGATTGAAATGTTCACACATCTGGTTGACCACACTGGATCCATAATGCCAGTGGCTCAGAGTCGTCACTATCAGGAGCATATACAGCAGAGGTCTTTCCAAAAACGGGATCCAGAGGCTGACAAATAATGAGAAAGCGTACATGGGCATTTGCCAGTGCCAGGCATCGCATCTCGTCACCGACATTTGGGACACAATCAGGCGGCACTGCAATCAAAAATGATTTATTAATATCACAAAACGGGGGAGGTTGGAATCCAATTTTATGGCTCAATAAATGCAGAGTTTCATACTGGAGTTGTCTGGATAACACTTTGTCTTTGTTAACACTTTCTTGCTAATTATAGAACCTAGGAAGGCTTAAAATTAAAAAAAAAACTTGACCTAATTAGTTGCGCCAATATCAGTACTATATTTAAACTAAGATGACTTTAATTTTTTCAACTTGTTTGAAGCAAAGAAAAACAAAATTAGAGATTTTAAGGACCGTTTGTTTGGTGCTTGCCCCTCAAAATCTGCTGAATCATTGGATCATTTTCGTGAGGAAAGACGAAGGTGCCTCGGTCCCGTTTAAGATAGCGGTGGGCCCGATCCGAATACCATCCGTAAATCTGGTTAACAGTCATCGGCTGCGGTGTGGCATGCTTCATCTCGTACTTCTGCCCCTCTCCATCGTCGAGCTTGGCCATTTTTGAGGCGTTTTTCAGGGACTCGGGATCCAGTTTCGCGCGCATGTGACGCACCTCTTGGTCATTGCAGTTGAAATATGGCCAGTCGTGGCGTGCGTAGAACTTGAGGGACAATGGTCGTTCATATTCCGGCATAGTAGTATAAATAGTTTCCCTTCCAGAATCGCGTCCGTCTTCGTTTTGTTTTTCCCACTCTAGGTCCTTTGCGCAGCGGCGTCCTCCGCAACAAAAGGGAGGCATTTTCAAGACTTTTTCAGATAAAGATTTTAACAAAAACAATTCTGGTATGGGGCAGACGAATGACTCAATGATTGTTTTAGCTTGTTTGGCAGGTAATTCCGAGCCAGGGGACTTACAATGAGGTTGACACACCCGGCTCTTATCTGTATTATACATATATGATTCTAATTCACACGCGACACAGTTTGATAAGGAAACCCTGAATTGGTTGGGAGTATTTTGGTTCTATACGTCGAATGTTCCCTATTTTTATCTAAGTCCCGCAATTATAACCTTTAGTAAGTCTTTCATTATAAAGACATAAAATATCTAACCAAATTAAATATTTTAGTAACATGTTTTGAAAATAGGAATGGATTGGAAGCTTGTTAGTTTTAAAAAGGATTACTTACACTGACGTTGGAGAAAATAGTGCCACTGAGCATAAAAATAGCACGTGGATCGGTTTCCATAATGTCATTTGGCGATAAAAATGGCCACGCTAGTAGGATAATAAAGTAGGTGAGGAAGGGCCATGCAGGCCGGACTGCTTCCCAGAAAGGCAGTAGACGACCGGTGCGATGCACATATGAGCTAAAACAAAACCATGTGTTAACATCTAAATATTTAAAAATAACTTTTAGACTCACTTGTAAACATTGAGGACCACCAACGGAAGATTAGCCATGGCGCTAATATGCAGAACCGCCTCCATAACATTTCCCAATGGCAGTGTTCCATAGGAGCCCAACGGTAATTCGAATTTCCAGCGTTCGAAGCCCATCCACCAGGTGACAAGGTACATGGCCGTGCTACCCCACATGCTCAAATCATAGCCCCAGGGCAGGTATAGAATTCCGGTGTTGTACTTCTCCCAGTGCGACACAAAGAAGTTGAAGTAAACCGTTAGACAGACGTAGTACATCCGCATCGGTCGCACCGAGTAAACTCGGCTTCTACCGAAAATGCTGTACAGGCACGTTGGGATCAGCATGGCCGTGTATGAGTCCAAACCATGGTCGAAGAGCTCGCCCAGCGGGCCGGAGAGTCCGATGCGTCGAGCCTGCTTGCCATCGATACCGTCCAACGTGTAGGCCACAAAAATGTTGATCCCAGTACACATCCAGACCCATGAAGGAATCGGAGTGGTACCCTCATCGCCGGAACTGGCCTCGAAGTTCCAGTCATAGTATGAAAGAAGCACCAGGTTCATGGCGCCAAACAGGAAGCCCAGGAACGTCATCAGGTTGGGCGCAAACCATCGCGGGAAGAACTGCAGATTGGGTGGGTTGGTTTCCCCCACATTATGAGTATTGATTTTTGCAAGCAATAAATTCTCGGAATACTAACCTTGACTAGCCAATCCCAGAAGGGATGCATAACATACTGACTCAGCGGTGAAGTGTCGATGGCACTGTACTGTAAAGAAAACAATGGATTAGAATGGAAAGTGAGGGCCAGATGTACTGATATTTGGCAATGTGGTTGCTAAAAATAGAATTTAATTGAAATAAAATACGAGTACTAAGAACTGGTTTGGCTTGGCTTCTTTGAAATTGAAGACCCGCCACCCTCACACCACCGTATTCCTTTTTTAACCGTGGTACAGCCACCCCTTGGGTTCCTGAAATAGGGATTATGAAGGGAATACCTTGTAGTTGTCAAACCCAGTGATTTGATCTGCGGTCAGGTATTTGTGATCCATCCATCGCCTCAGTAGCGTCTGCATTTTCTTCATGGTGGCTGCTCTCGAAATTTAAAGTAGTTTAATCTAAAACGGAAAAACACGCGACCGGCGAGTGGGCGGCGGGAGTTTGATATAAGCAACGCCTGATGTTGCCTTGCAGGTAATTCACGGCCAGTTCAGAACATGTTTGCAAACTGTTTCGACTTTCTAATGTAGACTACAAGTCGCGCCGGGAGCTCTGGTTTATTTTTATTGCAAAATTTTTTTCCGGTCTTATCGAAAATATATTAGTATGTCTGGCAGCACAGCGTGGTAGCGCTACCAAGGAAAACCCCGGAACATCCGGCAACCCTGTGTTTATCGGTTATTTAAATGGTTCAATTTTTAATATATGTATAGGAAAAATATTTAGATATTTATTTGTATTGTCTTTCTTCTGTTGATCCTATATTTTGGTATTGTGTTATAAGAGATTGAAATTCAATTTAATTCTCGCACACTATTATACTGCATTTTCGATAGCAATAATTCTGTCCCCAAAGCAATTAATATTAATTATTGCAATTAAAAGTTATTAACGTCAATACTTTTGTGCCTCGGAGATAAATGTACATTGAGAAGGAAAGGCATATACTCATAAAAGTTGGTTTAAAACTTTATGGATGGGCTTTATTTATTGTAAGGACGTTTCAAAAATTCTTGTAACTCTATTAACAAATCACATTTTGCACAAAACATACAATGGAATTCATTAAAATAAACCTTTAGTTAACTAATTGGCGTAACAAAATGTGTCTAAATTGAGTGTATAGTGTAAAAATAAATGTAGTTTAATAACGCTTATTTCTATTGTGACTGCAGTGGCTTCTTGACTAGTATAGTTGCTCTAATAAATTCGCTACGCTTGCAAATAGATCAGTTTATGTTAGGCCTCTTATAAGCTTATTTCTTCAGATTCTTTTTGCGAGAGTTCCCAGGACAGCCCCCGGCGCTTAGTAGGTGTAACTTCCAGCCACCATCCTGGGGAAGGTGCACATCATCGTGGCATAGTGGACAACGAGCAGCTCCCGTTTTTAATTCTGCAAATTTTACAAATTATTTTCTTTTTATAAACATTGATTGAAAATATTTAAAAAAGGCATTACCGCGACAATAGTCTTCCATTTGATGAAGCTCGTAGAGCTGCCTATGAACTGATTCAGTGCAGCGGGCGCAAACCACATAGCTATCCTTGGCATCACATTCAGCTGCAAAGTTTCATAAACGTTAGATATTTACCTTATAGAGAAAGATATTTAAAACTCACTAGTCAGGTGGTAGTTGAGTGCTGCTATCTCCAGCACTTGGCTGCATTGAGGGCACTTTGTGAGGAAGGGACACGATTTCCAATAGTGTCTATCCAACTGGCTAGTATCGCTTCCAGCACACGACCATTCACAAAAAGGACATCGTCTAAAAATCATACTTTGATGCTAATTGTTTTAATCTTTAAGGTATTTATACATACATTTTGGGCACATTTTCCTCGGTGGATTCCGAGTTAGTGGCGGAGCCCTTGCGGGAACTCGAGGCAGATAACATGGAACGCTTTAGTTGCTCATTGTATCGCTGCTTTCCGTTGCAGCTGGCGTACCCGTTGTTGGAGCTATTCAAATGGCCAGGACTTGTCCCATGTCCGCCATGACTTTGCAGCAGTCGCGACGCATCCGAACTGGTGGAGGCTTTGTCAGTCGGGGACGTAGCCGCCTCGAGTAGTTCCTGTTTCCGGTCTAGGTCTAGCTTGTCAAACTCCGTAAACAACTGACGATAAAGAAGGTTGCGCCTTGTGATGTCGTCGTCGGGTGGTAGCTGCTTGCGTACGAGACGTGGATTTACCTTATAAACTAGCAGAAGGATACGCTCCGCCACTTTGCGAACGGGCTCTGCCGGATGATGGATGCCGGAGCAACCGCACTCGGATAAAGCTCGACAAGTCAGTCCACTGTGCTTGTCCGTGCTGATGCCTTGAGTATGAACCAGCTGCTCCAGCATTTGTAGGCGACTCATGGCCAGCCGCTGGTGGGTGCCTGAACCAACGCTTCGCGATAGAGCCGGTGCGACCAAGTGCTGCTCCGTCACCTCAGGGCAGGCGGCAATGCTAAGAATAGTGTGCTGAGCCAGTGTGTGAAGACGAGCAGATGGATCACCGGATTTTGCTAGCAATTCAGGCAGAAGCCGATCAACGCAGCGGGCGACTTCACTAGGTGAAACCCGCCCGGGCACATATTCCAGGAACAAAACCCGCACCGTCTCTGTAGCTTGACCAAATACCGAGTAGACTGCATCTCGCACAGCCCTGTGAAGAAGCAAGGCTGCGCTTCGTGCCACTTTATTAGGGCTGGCGACCTGTTCGTTACCCGAGGCCTCCATCAGCTCCTGATCCTTGAGAAAATTCCGCAGGCGCATTAAGCCATCCTCTCGATCCTGAAATTGTCGCGAATAGAACTGCTCCACCTAAAAGGTCAGAAAATAGATTTAGCCAAGAAATGTTAGGTGATTCTAGAGCACTTACCAACTCACTGCCAAAGACCAGAATGGGTAAGGCTGCCTGGCGACGCTCGCGGTCGTTTAAACGCGAACGTCCCCGGTTTGGATCGGCCTCCAGCAGTGCATTTCCCTGACATTCCCTTAAAAATTCATTAGTATTCGAACTGTAAGCGGTTTGTATTTTCGGGTAACGGTACAGCAACGTTTACGTTTAAGATACGGGTTTACGGATTAAAGAAATAGTAAGAACAAATACACGAATAAGTATAAACTAACTAGAAATGAAATATATCTTCGGATACCGATGCTTTTTAATCATTACCACTACTATGTAGAGTGTTAATACCATATAATTACACAATGTAATACAGCTAGATAATATTTTACTTAACCTAAACTAATAAATTTTAAAATAAAAATGTATTTCGAATTCAAACAGCTAGTTGATCGTTATTTTCTATCGATTAATCGACTTCTATTGATCACAATCTAAGTGTGACCATGACTGGGACATGCAACACTGTTACTTTAAAAAATCAAAGCAATTAAATACTGCTACCAATTAAACAATTCCTTATCTATGCTGGTAAGGACAACGGAATAACGGCTACCCATGGTATGGTACTCACTGCCTCAACGTGGGAATGGCCCGCTCCTCGTAGTCCTCGTATGAGTTGCGCGGAACACTTTTGTTGCGCCTGCGGAGGGACCCTTGTCGGCTAGACATTGGTGAGCTGTGGCGCGAGGGTAGGCGTGGCGATTGTGGTAGTTCATCATGAGATTTTCGCCAACCGCCCAGGGCAGGACTGGGCGCTGCCTGCAACATGACCGGGACGGGTGCTACCACAACGTTGTCGTTACTCGCTTGTCCCTGGGAACCGTCTGTGGAGGATTTTTCATCCAAACTAAGGCTCGCCATACTCTTGGGACTGAAAGTGGCCTCGGCTAAGGCCTGCGCAACGTCCTGCAGGCTGGGAGCCGCCGGCAGACTGGGCTTCCCACCCGCGTAAATTTCGCAGCTTTTGTCGTTGGAGCTGAGTACGCCCTGCGTCTCCAGCAACTGCTGGACTTGGAGCTGTCGCAGTACCGCTGTTCGGTACATCTCGATCTGCTCCTTTCGAAGCTTGGCCGTTGTGAAGTCCTCCTGTTGCACAGCTTGCCGCTTGGCCAGTGCATATCGGCCCAGTCGTTCTCCCGCAGTCCTCAGAGCTGTCATGCACAACTTCAATTTTCGGGCGTACTCGAAACGCTCAGCACTCACAGCCAGGGCCTTTCGTTGCTCCAGTTCCCGGATGCATTGTACCACAGAGTCCTCCACGTACATCGAGAAGAGAAGGTCATCGCAAATGGACGCCAAAGCCAGCTCTCCGGTGGCCGTGTCCAGCGGTGGCACCTCGTTGCCCAAGTTGTCCTCTCCATTTCCATTTGCACTATTTGGGCCCAACTCCAAATCTTCGCCCAGCACATTAACCGCCATCAGAGAAATCTGACCCGCAGCGTTGTACTCGTTGCCCTGGACTCCGATCAGTCGCAATTTAAGGTGCGTTCCTCGTCGGGGACTCACTGTGACGCTCTGCAGCTCTCGCGATTTGTAGTTTGTGTTGGCGTTATCCGCTAGAGCGACAAATCCCAGAAAGTCAAAGTATTGGGACGACGGAGTGCTGGGCAAAGATTTGGGAGAATAGTGCAGCCAGAGCTCCACTTTCTCAGCTAGAAAGAGATGAGATTAGGATAGAATTAGACAATTCCTTCGACTGCATTTTCTTACGAATCAGATACTGGTGGGCTAAAAGTTGGATACGATAGATCTTGGCCGGTTGCTGGAATCGGAGGATAATATCATGCGTAGTGAGTCCGTTGTCCAAAGCACTTCTCCAGCCATGCACAGTGGGCCCGTGGGTATTCAGCTCGCTGGCCGGAAAGTTGGTGTCCTCATCTGAAAAAGGAATCATGATAGTCATCATTACTTGCACTGATTAAGAGTACATGTTTATGGATGACAAAGTACTCTTATGGAAAATTTTAAAAGAGAACTAACTTCCATTCATGTCGAATTTCACATACCCTTGAACTTATTTCATAGCCTAAAATTTGTAGATGTAAGCTGTCCACAAAATATCATTTACATTTAAATTGAATTTAATTCAATAGACATACACAGAAAGACGGACTTTGTGATTTGGACTCGTCATAACTTACAGATATATCCCTACATGGGATATCCGCATTTTTAACATCTAGTAAAACTATAATACCCCGAAAGGGTATAAAATTCTTATCATTTAAATTCTCTCTTTTAATCAAAAGTTCTTGGTAAAACTCTTTAACAAGTAGCGCCAACACAAAGTATATTATTTTAATTATTTTATAAATATTTTTATTTGTTATATATTTTTTATCAAAAACAAAAAGATGTATTCTAAATTGAAATACTTATATTTTATTTTTTATTTTTTAATACATCTACAACATGGAACTAATAATGCAACCTCGGTTGTAAAACTCTATCTCACTTGTGGCTCTCTCTCTAACACATTTTTTCCACGTTCTCTGTTTTGTATTTAAGCAACTGCGAGCTACACGTTACTTTAGTCGTGTCTCACCTAGTTCTTCAGTAACTTATTTATTCGTATTTACGTTATCTGGCTAGCATAAAAAATAGTGGACGAAATGCCGGAGTCTTATACGGGAAAACATGCTTGGTTGCAAATCCAGAGCTTACTAAATAGCATAAACCACCTGCTAATTTTCCTGGTGGCTGCCTTCTATTTCATCCTGGCCCGCAGCTTGGAGTTCAAGGATACCGCCATGCATATGTTTCTATGTGGAACCGGAGTGAGTGCAAAGCGATAATGCTATCAGAATTATTGATCTGGCTGCCAAAAAGCAACGTCATGGGTTATCTTATCATAAGCTAAAAGGCTTTTCTTATTACCGATAGTTCCACGTCCTAATGGCTCAAGCTATGATGTCACACTACAAGATAAATCCCCTCACTCGATGGTTGTCGCACCGCAACAAGTCGCGGTATCATGCTGTCCTGCAAATCGTGGGCAGTGCCATGATTCTTTTGGGGGCTGCCGGTAAATTCTCCAATAAGGATGTGCACTTTAACACTTGGCACGGACGTATAGGTGAGTGGATTTCGGATTCCACCTACTCATAATGATAAGCAAATGCTCATAATTAAACTAATTTGGTCTTGCAGGAGCTGTGGCTACCCTAGGCTGTGTGGCTGGCATCTTGGGCGGATTTGTGAATTATTTCCAGCCAAAGTTCGCTCTGAAGATTCATCCCGTCTCGGAACTGCGCTTTCGGCACAACGCAGGCGGCATAGTCACGTTTACTTTTGGTATGGCAGCAATATACCTGGGCTACTATTCAAAGTTCTTCACCAAGTATGTGGACAATGAGTTTATTCCGGCCATGATGCTGGTCACCGTTCTCGTCTACGTGCTGTCTGTCATTGCACCGGTAGCCTCCCTGTTACCAAAACTGCGGTACAGGAGGGCCAAAAAAGCGGAGTCGGCAAAGTAGTTCATAATTCGAGATGGAGCTAACACCCATAGAGGCTAACCCAATGAAGAGATTGGCTTGTCGCCAAACGCAATTTGTTGGCTGCATCTCTTAATTGGATATGCAGACAAAAAAAAACTGAGGCTGCCGGCAATATGTCAATGTTATAATGAAATATTATGGTCATCGCGGTTGCAGTGGTTTAGTTCCCCTCGGAGTAATGGCCCATGGAAAATTGAATTTACTGCAATTAAGTGCGAACGTAATTCGTTTTTGAATCCCAACGTCCTGGCGCACTAGGCGTATCCGTGTTTTATCGATTTCTCAAGTGCAGTTAGTTCTTAAAGGAGTAGTGCGCGTAAAACGGATGTTTTCACTTAAGACCAGAAAAAAACTAAAAAAAAATGTAACAGAAAAAGTAAACAAAATTAAAAAATAAAGAAACTATGAACTAAAAAATTGTTTATTTTTTTTTTTTTTTATTAATGGAGGTACCACAATGTTTGTTTACCTGAGGCAAACACCACGTTGAACGGAATTTTCTTGGCCATTCTGACGACGGTAAATACGAAGGCTCTGTCCACAACAGACTTATTTGAAGCTCTGGATTCCAAGATGGGACATTCCTAAAGGGAGGTCCTTTCACCACGTTGATTGACTGTCGTAGCCGTCAGTTAGTATGGCCACATAATCACATAATTATGACAACCAAGAGTCAACTCGGTGGATTTTTCACTTTTTATTGCATTTGTTCAGTTTTCGTTTTGGCTTTTATAGCAACCACCAACGGTTTCGTTCTATCCAATACAGATCTGGCCACTCTGATTCGTCTCAGTTTGTTAGATCTTTTGCAAATATTTTAATTTTAATTTTAAATAAATAAAAGATATATAATATCAAATCTATTATTTGGGAAAAATCTGGATGTTTATGACCTTTTATAGACTCTTTTCAGTTATAATCTATAAAAAGCCAAACATTTGACTTGAATTTTACCATACTGGCAACACTGTGGCAACCCAAGAGTGGCAACGTTGTACGAAATTAGACAAACTAAAAATTAGATATGCCAACAAATAGTCACAAATATAGCATTTTGCTACCCACCTACAACGAAAAGGACAACTTACCCATTATAATATGGCTGATTGTAAAATACATGAGTGCCAGGTGAGTAAGAGATGGTTAATAGCTAAAAACTACAATCGATGTTTACCTTCGCAGCGGGTACGACTACGAGGTGATTGTTATTGACGACGGCAGTCCGGATGGAACATTGGAGGTGGCAAAGGAATTGCAGAACATTTACGGAGAGGATAAGATTATCCTAAGGCCTCGCAAATCGAAGCTCGGTCTGGGAACTGCCTACATCCACGGAATTAAGCATGCCACTGGGGACTTTATACTAATTATCGACGCCGATTTAAGCCATCATGTAAGCATAGATAAGGTTGCAAAACTGACGTGTCGATGGTCTTAATTCCGGTATCTTTTGCCGTAGCCCAAATTCATTCCAGAATTCATCAAGCTGCAGGAGAAGGGTGACTACGACATTGTGTCTGGCACACGTTATGCAGGGGATGGCGGCGTTTACGGTTGGGACTTCAAACGCAAGCTAATCTCACGCGGCGCCAACTTCCTGTCCCAGGTGTTGCTCCGACCTAACGCCAGCGATTTGACTGGCTCATTCCGCCTGTACAAAAAAGATGTCCTTGAAAAGTGTATTGCCAGTTGTGTGTCTAAGGGCTACGTCTTTCAAATGGAGATGCTGGTACGTGCTCGCCAGCATGGGTATAGCATCGGCGAGGTGCCCATTACTTTTGTGGACCGTATCTATGGCAGCTCCAAGCTGGGCGGCACCGAGATCGTTCAGTTTGCCAAGAATCTATTGTACCTTTTTGCAACCACATAAAATTCTGATCGACTAATTAGATTTTTAAACTTTTAAATTTCTTTGGATTTTCTTCGCTTTTGTTTGTACATTTGGTAAGATTTGTTTAAAGAATTTTACATACAACTATGAATTATGTTTGAGAAATTTTTTGCCGTATTAATAATAATTCAGAGTTCCTCCCAGGGGCTTCCTCCGATAAGTTCATTTATAATTTGAATAATGATAACTAGCGTTAATTGATTTAATTACTCAAGTCGAAAACTTTGCGCTGGTTGTCCGGATTGCCGTACAGGGTGCCGCAATCATCCTCCAATACGTCACCCGAGCCGCCACCGTAATTCTTTAGAGCTAGGGTCAGCAGGGCGTTGCGGTCCTTAAGAGCTAGGACAACAAAAGCCCCGTTGGGCAGTATCTCACATGTGCTAACTTGAGCAGGTGGCTTAAAAACGGCAAGAGATTTGGCTGTGGAGAGAAATAAATAAAAATTCCATTTAGGTTTATAAAAACATCGAGGAGCTTCAGAAACTTACCGGAATTCAATTCCCACATTCGAATTGCAGTGTCTCGTCCCTCCTTGTCATAGGAAAGTAGAACTTTTCCCAGTGGGTCCAACTTCAGGAAGGTTACCGGTGCATTGTGACCGATGAGAGTGCTCTTGCAGTTGCCCGTGACCAGGTCCCATATTAAAATCTTTGAGTCCTCCAGACCGGCTATTACACAAGCGTTCACCTGGGAGATAGCCAGGGAAACGGTGTTGCAACTGGGCTTCCACTTCTTGAACAAAGTACCACTCTGAAGGTCGTAGACCACAATAAAGTTGGGAGTTGTCGGTTCATTCAGCTCCTTGGCCACTACGCAGACGTAGGATCCTTCGTGGGTGATGGCGGAGAGCGAGGTGATAAAGTCGTGGTGCGGGATGCGGAGATCATACAAAAGTTTTCGCTGCGACAGATGCCAGACAAGCAGAGGGAAGGGTTTTTGGGTCTCGTCACCACAGACCAGGATTCTAAAAGTTAATTAATTAAATTAATAAATTCCAAACTCAGCTATCTTTTTTAGATTTTACATACCGTCCATCTCCAGAGACTAATAAGGAGTTCAGAAAGCGATCCTCGCCGGCCTTAAAAGTGGTCACACAATCACCAGACTCCAGATTCATGAGATTGACATACATGCGGTTGCGGGAAAGGCAAACCAGATGATTCTGATCATGCAACCCAAAGTAGGGCATCTTCTGGTTCATAACACCCTTGAGTGTGACCTGGAGAAATTAAAACTATAACGATCCGAAATTCAAAGACGAAATATTAAATATATACCTTGAATTTTCCCTCGTCAAGGTTAATTACACGGATCTCACGGCGACACAGAACTGCGGCTTCATAATTGCCGACAGGACACATTGCCGTAGGCTGCTGGATGCCCTGAAGCTCACGAATGCGGCAACAATTTTTTACATCCCAGATACAGATCTCAGCGCGCTCCGTGCACAAAGAGGCCACATAGCACCCGGGCTGCGGAAGATTCATCAGCACATCATAGCCCTTAACTGGGTTGGTGCCTTGGGCATCACCCTCGACTTTGGCGTTCTCCTGTTCCGGTTCCGCCCGATTACCATTTTCCGCATCTATATCTGCATTCATGATCTCCAGAAAAGCAAACTCCAGCTCGTTGGTGCATTCCCACCAGGACCTTATCTTCTCATCGTCCTTGAGTTCTGGCGATTCCCGGAAGCGCGTCTTCAGGTAGTACTTCATTAGAGTGTAGAACTGCTTGCCATCGTAGCTTAGTTCGTGAAGATACTGCTCGAGGAATTCCTTAAGGAAGTTTATATGGACATAGCTAGAGGCAGAGTCATTGGCGTCCTTGGCTAGCCATTTCGCCTGAAGGATGTCATTAAGCAGGTGGTCTGGCCCTGTGGCATGTACCTTGTTGGCGATCCAGGGCAGGTCGGTAAAGTAAAAACAGTTGAAGTGTATGTCGATCTTGTGCGGCGCCGGCTTATCCTCGATGACGGCACAGAAGTGATGATAAGGCAGTTTTAAGTACTTTTGGTAATTGTAGCTATCATGGGGAATATATATACTTTAATTTTAGAAAAAAAAAAAACATTAAACGTTAAACTTACGTGTTAGCGCCCTGGATACCCTTGAACTCGCTGTCCTGCCGGTCGAAGTAGTCCCGCAGCGCTTCATGAACCAGCCATTGTTTCTGCGCGTACCTCGCTAGGACGGCACATCCAAAGCTCCTGTCTGCTATTCTAATATTCTTAAGACCTAACAGCATTGGTCCCATCAGCCAGCAGAACTTGGACCATATCTTAAAGGCGACCTGCGCCTCCAGCTGGGTCATTTTCTGAAACACACCCAGGCAGTCGCTTTCCCGGATTCCCCAAGGCGAAAGCCGCACAATCAACAGCAGCAGCTCCACCTGATCGGTGGCAAACTTGGACTCAAGCACCTGCAAGATCCTACCGGAGATATCCCCGATCTCGCTGATCGGTTGGGCCACATGACCCAGCCATGCGAGCCACCACAATGACTTTGCGTGGTATGGAGTCTTTCCGTGAAGGGTCTTCCATTCGTCGGGTAACTTGAGAGCCCCATTGGCCGCATAGAAGTCACCGCCACCGGAACTGAGGATATCGTGCCACTGACGTTCTGTGAATTGGCGAAGGCGCAGGAAACAGCGCTGTGGTATGCCCAGCTGCGCCAGCGCGGCAAGCATATCAACGGAGTTACCAGTCGTATCCGCATCTTCTATCCCCTCCCCTAGTTCGCTGACAGTCAGGATAAGCTTGGAGTTGCCCAGCTGCTGGGGTAGCCAGTCCAGTGTCTCCTCGCGCAGCAGCTCGTCCACGCCGTCCACGATCAGTACGAAGAAACGCTGCTGTCGCCCCAGGATCTCGCGAATCACTTCTGCGTAAGCCGCAAGGGTCTAGATATTTAAGACACGAAATGAGGGTAAGAGTTCAGGACCGGTATCATAATATTATCTTACATGTGGCACTTGACATTGGTGGCCTGTTTCCAGAACTGACATTTGATTGGCCATGGAACCTAGCAGCGAAGTGAGGTCCGAGGATCGGGCACTCAGGTTGGCATATCTGTAAAGAAAGGAATAGTTATGTAAAACAGTGTCTTGCTAAAATAGAGAGACTTTCTATACCTCAGTATGAGCTGTGCCTCTGGTTTCCAGCGATGCACGTTCTCCATGATTTTTGACACCAGGACACTCTTGCCGCACCCCCGAGCACCGGATATAACCAACGGTTGGACAGTGCTGTCCCGTATATACCTCTTCACGTCATTCATGATGTCGAAATTGGCTGAGTTTTGCGCCAGAAGTTTCGAATAATGGCCAATTAGATGCAGCTCCTCGAGCAGCACCCGGTCGACGCCCAGCGTGTTGTAGGGAATGCTGCTCTTTTGTTGGTGCTCCTCGAAGATACCGGCCATTGCCTTGTCCAGCAAGCTCTCGATTACGGCCGAAAGCTCCTCGTCCAAGATGCTCATAGTGGGCAGTAGCCGGATCAGGTTCTTCTCGCATAGTTGACTTTTGAGCTCCGAATAGACACGGCTAATCCTCCGCTGCACCTCCAGCTCCAGCTGGCTAGCATTATCCGGCGCGCGTGACAGCTGGGCGCCTGTCTGGATCCATATGCACCTCTTAGCAAGCTCTTGGCTCATCAGCACAGTGTTGTTGATTTCCTGTTCCACAACGGTGGTCAGATACGAGTCCTTGACGTCGTCGGAGAAGAGACGCAGCAGAACAGCAAGCAGCTCGTTGAGCTCGCCGTTAGCTTGGGCGGAGTATGGGTCCACCTGTTGGGCGTGGAGCCGGTGGCACATCGGTTGGTAGGAGTTGTCGATGGTGTACCACTTTTCAAGGAGAAGACGCTCCGTCTCGCTGGCGCTTCCCAGCACAGAGGTGAAGTCCTGGCTCTCGATGGTAAGTGGCAGCATCGGAGTGCCTAGCGTGGCACCCAAGAAGAGCACAGGCACAATGTAAGCTCCTGCCGAGTGGCGTGTGATTTCGCAAAGACAGTTGGCCGCCTCCTCGTGTCCGCCTTGGGCTTCCAATGGCGTTTGAGTCCAGCGCTTTACTTCCTGCAGACGCGAGAAGTCCTTTCGACCATTTCCATTGCCCAACTCCGCATCCGGCTCGCTGTCGTGCACATCCGAAATGATGAAGTCGAAGCCTCGGCTTTGGCACTTGCTCTTGAAGTGTTTGTACAAGCTGTGGACGACACGCTTATGTTTCTTGTACTCGGTGCTATTGTCCGCCAGGATGTAAACCACGATCTTCTTGTCCCGCTCGATCTTTCGGCTAGGCGGTGGCTTGCCCTGCAAGACGCTCAGGTTTCCAGATCCCGGATTTGCGTTTACCACGTCGCTGGGCGCCTGCGCCCCCTGAGGAGTGGTACTGCTGGAATCTGTAGGTGAATCAAAGAACTTCTCTTAAAAAAGAATCCTTCATGTCACTTTATTTAAAAAAAAATATTGAATCCCATGAAGATAGTGCATATTTGATTCAAGCGCATATCTTCAGAAACTACTCACCCTTGTCCGCTCCAGTGCCTTTTCCTTGGACTGTCGGTGGCTGCTGCTTCTGGGCTTGCAGCTGGTTGCCATTGGTCTCCGGCAATTGTGTCACCTCTGGCAGCGCCTCCACTGCTGCCAGGGGGGCACGCTTCATATCGCCGGCATTTGTATCGGTGGAGATCAGGGTGTCCTTCTGGTCAGCCTCCTGGTAGGGAGGTGAGCTAAAATTACAGACATGAAATCAATCTCTATCCGACAATCGACGTCATACAACGACACTCACTCGTCGGACTTTTCGGAGGCACTGTCTTTGTCCTTCTTTTTCTTCTGGCCGGAACTGCAAACGTTTCCCATGATGCAGCCTCTATTATTGATTCCCTCCTTTTTAAATTACAATTGACTCCTTATGTCCTGAAAGTGAAGACCAGAAATATGTTTTGTAGAACGTGAGGCACTGTTCAAAATTTAATTTAAAATTGTCGAATCTTTTAAGACTTTAATACCCTTTTAACGAACTTCACAGCTGTTGGAAGGGTATCCAATACTTGGGATAGTCTCTACCTCAACATATTATAAAAATAATGTTTCTTTTTGTGGAGGACAGTGCAATTAACTTTTATAATCGTTCCATAATCATTGCATTAAATTTTTTATGAATTCCCATGGCTATAATTTTTTTCCCCAACAGGTCAATGACAAAAACAAAGTGCTTAGGGACACTGAGCATATATCCTGTGTCGCAGCGAGAGAAAAAGCTCTGGGTGAACGCATGCTCTCTGCTGGAACTTTTATAGAGATTTTCTGCGTTTGAATTGGCATTGGCGTTAATCAAGTGGTTGACTGAGTTGGTTGTGGGGGTTTGGGGGTGGTGGGTGGTTATGTAGCTGGGTGGCTGGGTGGCTCGGTGGTGGGTTCTGGTGGGTCTGGGTCTGGGTCTCGTCTCGGATTTATTGCGGGCAATGCGCTTGGCTGGATTTTTGTGTACACGCTTGAAAATTGTTGACGCGCGAGCTGCCCACCGCCTCGCACTTGCTCCCCTTTATCTGCTGGCCCACTCGCTGGCCCAGCAAATCTCTATAGATGCAAAATATTGCTTTAGTTAAGTATTTATTGGATATCAAAATATTTTCAATCGCTCCGCCACCGCACACACACACTTTTCAGAATTTGTATTTGGGGGATACGCTAAAAATAAATTTCTCTATATACACAGAATATATGCTTTTGAATTTGTTAGTTCGACATTTTGTCGCAGCCGAATTTCGAAAATTTTCAATATTAATTAATTTGTCAAAGTCGCTCCGTTCCGTTTCCGTCTCTGCCCCATATCCGTGCTCCGTTCAATCGTATGTATATATCGTACAGAATAGGTGCGATTTGGTATCGGACTCTGACAATCCCCATGTTTGCTTTTTTCTGCAGTTTTTTCAGATGGGATATCGCTCTCGCAATGCCAGCGCACTGTGTGTATGCATCGTTTAGTGGTTATTTGATTTATTTTAATACACAATTTCTGGCACTTACTTTTCTTTACGCGCTTTTCACATGCGCCCCCCTACCGACCCTCGCTACCCGTAGTCCGTATCCTGCCCTTTCCCGTATCCGTTCCCGATTCCCGTTCCCGATTCCGAACCGCAAGCGACCCGAATCTAAAACATTTTCCACACACACTGCACTCTTGCACTTTGCTTTAATTAATTGCTTAATCAAAATGTTTGTTACACACTCGCCCCGAAAACATTCCGCCTAAAATGTGTGTATTCCGCTCCTCTCCTTTTTATCTACATATATATTTTTTGTTGGCGGTGCGCGCTTCTCGCTTAGTCGGATACGGATTCGGATTCGGATCGGAATCGGATGGGATAGTTTTCCCGCAGCTGTGCGTTTTCACTTCTGCCCTGCCGAGGAGAGCTTTGGGAAATGGCTCGTCGCGGCAGCGAGTGCGTACAGCGAAAGCTTTTATCACGTTGCGAGGGCTGCATTCCACTTTCTAAATTACCGTTACAAGCAAACAGGAAATAGCGCCACTTTGAATCGTTGGATGTACAAACGATATAAATGAAACCCTTTTTTTATATTAATTTATTTGCAATTTTAATATTACTGCGATTAATGTAGTGTTTATTTAGTACAAGACGCTAGATACCTCGACTTTATTTATTTAATAGCAATATTTTTATTTTTTTTTAAGACGCTGGAGCCCTCGACTTTATTCATTTAATAGCAATATTTTTATTTTTAAGAAAGAAATATTACATGTATTTGAAATTGTTTCATTTAATAATTGATATTTTATTCCAAAATTCGTTTCATAATGTATCATGCTTCAATAAAAACGCATTTAAATGAATTTTTACTTATTATTAATGGTCCGATATAAATATATGGAATATTATATTTAACATTACTAAAGTTTTATTTTTGTAGGTTAAGATATTGTAAGCGGTTTTTGTATTTTTCCCGCACACTTTAATATTGGATACACCAAACAATTTGTCACCACCCATTATCTATTTCTAAGTTGATAAGGTATTCTTCCTGAACTCTTAAAAATCTATCCCATATTAGTATCACGCACTTTTTGTAAATTTAAGTTTGTTGAGTGAATAAATTGAATTGAATTGAATTATATTTAACAGTTCGTAATTGGTTGATAGGATTTGAACTTTTGTTGCACCAAACCATTTATTTAGTAAGCAAATCCCATAAGCAATAAAATAAAAATCCATTTATAATGCATTTTAAGCCCCAAGATATGGGCTATTCTTTTGTAACACATTTCCAATATCCTGGCAGCCTCGCTTCATTTTCGAGGGACCAACCACCATTGAAAGCTGTCAAATTGGCTGCTGTTCGCTTGATCTGTCAAAATCTCTTGCCTGAAAAAGACGAAAGCAGCTGGCCTGGGTGCAATTCGTTTCTTAACCCCAGAGTGAGAAGTTCCGGAGCCCGTAGAGCTGCAGGAAAAATTCCAATAAGCTTGTATTCTGCAAGCAGCTAATAGTATCTAAAATGCTATAAAGCACTGGCAACAACTTGTCCACCAGAATAATAATCAAAAAGAAAAATCTACACCAAGAAACAATCAAAATGAATCGTCTGCTGCTGCAGTGTCTAGTGACCACCATCCTGGTCTACAAAGGTCAATACCAACCAGACAGTCTACTTCACACGAATCATTATTACTTAACTTGTATTACTCCTAAGAGAAGGATTATTCGGAAAATGACAATGAAATCTACATTGAATTTTGGCCATCCGCAAAAAGTGCCAAGATGAAAAATGTATATGCTGCTGGGTTATATAAGTTTGGCGACCAGTGCGCAGGCTCCAAAAGAGTCTGGGACGAAGCCGTCTGACATCTGGTCCAGGCATCGAGGGAAATAGGTCAATGTTTTTGCCAGCACGCGCGCCCAAGCAAAATAGACGCGAATCCGAGACCAAAACAGAAGCCCCAACAAGGGGTGGCTTTAGTAACTTGCATCCTCCCACCACCGTCGAATAACAGCTGGTTTCCTTCCTATCTTCCACAGTGATTTCCGTGCCAACCACTAGCACGATGAGCACCAGCATACAGACGACCTCGGAGATACCACAGCAGGACGATGACGACGACGACTGGGATGAGGATGATGACTCCCTGGAATCGGACGACGATGGACGCGTCTACAAGAATCCCCGAAACTCTCCCTCTACCGAGTGCCCCCGCGACGAGGAGCAGGCCACTCTCCTGGGTCAAAAGTGTCTGAGGAAGTGTTCCTCCGATGAGGACTGCAAAAGCAAAAAGAAGAAGTGCCTGTGCGACGGCGTTTGTGGCAACTCCTGTATCAAGCCAGGTAATGATGGACAATAATATATAAGGGAATTAATTTTAAAAACTATAACTAACACAGATCGCGAATGCCCGGAGCTAGCACAGCCCACCTTAGGCCAAGTCACTGTTGCTGGTCGTCACTTCGGAGCTCGTGCGTCCTATGCCTGCCCCCATGGCTACCATGTGGTGGGTTTGCAGAGTCGCCTTTGCCAGGCGGACGGGAATTGGGCCGGTGCCGAGCCAGCCTGTAAGCAGAACAGTAAGTATCTCCAAAAAGAAAACCAAATGAATGCTAATTACATTTTAAATGGATCCAGTTTATTGCCTGAAGCCGCCACAGATTGAACATGCCCGGAATTCAGCCCTGCCGGAGCAGGAGACCTTTGACCTGGACTCCACAGTGCAGTATCATTGCCACACCGGGTACGTGACCAACGGATTTCCCAGGGCCAAGTGCCTGGCCATTGACAACCAGGCTAGCTGGTATGGTCCGGATATTCAGTGCGAACGTGAGTGAATCATTAACGATGTTGGAGAATGATTCCCTATAACGATTTTTGTTCTGACTTAAGCTCGCACATGTGGACAGCCTCCGGATCCGGCCTATGGATGGCATGCCGGCGAATGCTATACGTACGGATGCAAGATCACATACAATTGCGGAACAGGGTACGAGCTGGTGGGAAAACACGAGCGTTATTGTCAGTCGGATGGATCGTGGACCCCCAAGGAGCTGCCCACCTGTGTCTGTGAGTATCCAATGCGATTAGAGCGATGTAGTGCCTAGTAACCGAACCTCTGACCTCTGACCTTTGAAGCGGATAGCGCAAATGTAACCACCACCCAAGCGCCGTTGTCCTAGACGAGGCGACCTGTTGAGTTACCAACTAATTAAAGCTGGCCGATCCGAAATCGCGAATCAGAATCCGAACAGAAACACTGAAACTGAAACTGAGATACTATTAAGCGTAATTTTGGTCAGGGCTCATGGCTGTCCTGTTAACCACAAACACTCTCTCCTTAATCTATCTATCCATCTATCTGATTGATTGATTGATCTAGCGTTACCAACAGATTGTTCAAATTTTATGCAATACCTTGTTGTTGTTGTTGTTGGCCAATTAATGTTGAATGAATAAATAAAAGTTACCGCAAATCTTAAGCAAAAACAAAAAACTTATTGAAACATTTGAAAAAGAAACTCGAAGTTGTTTTATTTGGTGGATCGATTGCCAGCGGCTTTCAAAGATTTGTGGTAACTTTTAGCATAGCCTTCCTCCATCCCAGCCACCCAATGCTAACACGCTTCTCCTGCTTCCCCCTCCCCGCTGCCCAGTGGTCACCTCGGTGGTGTGCCCCACCCCGGAGAACCCCAAGAACGGTAAGGCCACCTACACCACCCTGGCCTACAATTCGGTGGTGAGCTACGAGTGCCGCTACGGCTATACCCTCGTGGGCGAGAGCTCCAGTCGATGTGGTGCAGATCGAAAGTGGAGTGGCACGCTGCCCACCTGCAAGGGTGAGTATCTGACAAAAGACTTAATTTGGGAACGAAATAAAATTAATATTTTAACTAACGTTCAAATTAAGAAATTAATTGCGGTCATCCTGGAGTGCTGTACAATGGATGGATTGAGAACATTGAGGCCGGTACTGGCCTGGGGGCGAGCATCATTTTTAGATGCCAGCCGGAAATGACGATCAACGGCTTGGGATCGAGTGTCTGTCAGATTGACGGTCGGTGGCGGAACGCACTTCCCGAGTGTCTGGCTCCTTGTGTGGTGCCCACCATTTCGCAAGGCATCGTCATCCCCATCGAGATAACTACGGATGAGAACGGGACAACTATCATCACGCCTACCACCACGACGACCCAGTCGCCTACTCAGACCCAGACTATCGGGGGCGGCGGGGTGGAAAAGGTGAAACATGGCACGGCCTTGGAGGTGAAGTGCGATGAAAACTACGAGTTTCCTGTCTCAGTGCTAAGTCCACCCACCTGCAACAACGGCACCTGGAGCATCATACCTCGCTGCGTTCCAGCCAGATGCAAGAGCATGCCCCGGCCCCCGAAGCATGGAATGGTAATGGCGCCCAAGACGGAGCACGGGATGAAGGCACGATTCAAATGCAAGGATGGCTTTAAGCTGGTCAGTCCCGAGGGAAAGGATGTGACTGATCCTCATGACTATGTCCTGACCTGCTCATTCGGCAACTGGACGGGGGAGACGCCCAAGTGCGACGAGGTCTTTTGCTCCTTCCCCGGATATATCAAAAACGGAAAGGTGCTTCTAGTGGGCAACATGGGGTTATATGACTACAGGCCCTATGTGAAGAAAATAGTGAACAATAAGCAGATTATGTACGATTGCGAAAAGGGCTATGTCCTAGAGGTAATTCAAGCAACTCGAGTCATTCAAGTAATTCAATGATATCCTTCAATATTCAACAGATTGGTCCGCCGGGAGCCACCTGCGTGGGTGGTAAGTGGCGTCCCCTAGAGCTGCCTCAATGTCTTCTGGGGCAGCATCCCCGTCTTCGCTGGAATCGTCGTCGTCGTCGTTCTCTTCAGATCCGGCAGCTTAGATCGGTGTACCTGCTGAGGCGGCAGCGTCAGCTCCAAAGACAGCTACTTGAGAATCAGAAATATCTTCAAACTGGTGGGTGCATTTTATAGATATAGTAGCATTTAAAATAATCATCTGAATGTTTTTCTTTTCAGAAAATCTTCCCATTCAACCGTCAGGTCACCACCGCGTCAAAAGGAGCCCCCAGCCAAAGCCGAAACCACATCCTTCCGACATCGACCTTGCCTACTCAAAGTATTACCAGAAAATCAAGGAACGCTACCAGCGCTACGTAGCCAAAATGCTGAGCCATGATCAGATCTATCGAAAAATTTATGACCACGACCCCAGGAGTCAGAATCTGTATGCCTACGACCATGGAGAGATGATCTTGCACAGCAAGACCAACTATAAGGACGTAGATCGTGGAAACAACTACGGAAACAGTGGGAACACCGGAAACAGAGGAGTGGTACCTCTACCCAATATTAACCAGCGGACGGGGTCTCGACCGAAGGGCAGAGGCAATCATGTGTCCAATGATCCGCCCTTGGCTAACCATTCGCCGCCAATGGATGCGCGCATTAACCACGTAAACGCAACTCGGTCCTACATCGAGCAACTAAAGGCTCAAATGGTCCGGAGGCGGCGTAAACGAAACTCCAGCCAGGCGCCTCCTCCGTCAGCGGCCACGCTTCCTGAAGTGGATGTAGACAGCAGCGACGGTGGCGAGGCCGGCGGTAAAGGGGGCAACGGAAAGAGACTGCGCGGACCTTGCGAAGATCTCGACTGGGATAGCTTTGCCAATGTTACCACAGTGCGTCCGGGCAAGGCTCCGGGCAGAAATGCCGTCGGAATTATGCTTCAGCTGGAGTGCAACGCCGGATTCAAGCTAAACATCAAGGGCGAGAACGCCACGGCAAGGTGCATCCGGGGTATCTGGAAGCCGGAGACGCCGAAGTGCCTCTCTGCGCCTTGTTTGGTCCCAGCCGTGGAACATGGACAATATTACAAAGTGGAACCGCATACGAAGCAGCTTAGCGACAAGCCCTCCCTTACGCCGCTGTCCACATACGAGGAGATCCAGTCCAACGAGTTCATTACCCTGGAGTGCGAGGATGGGTTTAACATTCAGGTCGACCATAAAAAATAATCTATTTGTTAAAGTTAAATGATAAAACTTTTGTTTACCTTAATTTAATCCTACTTTAAGAATTCTATATATTTAATTTCCCCTATAACCTAATAACCTCTTTATTTGTAGGGCTCCGCTCAACTCCGTTGTGCTCATGGTTCGTGGTCGGTGAATGCCTTCTCCGAGTGCACCTCGGTGCCCTGCACCTTGCCCAATATTCCGGGAGTGATTTACGACGTAAGATATCAAAAGCTAAAAAATGTATCCTAACTAAATTACAAGGTTCCTTCAGGGAGGCTATCGAGCGGGATTAACCATAGGTCATGGCAGTACTGTTAGTGTTCGCTGTGACCTCTCCACCAATAACAATCCCATCGAAATGTCGTGCCACAAGGGGGTCCTTACCCCGCCAAGTATTCACTGCGAGTCCGGATTAAGGAAGTCACGCGAGGAAGTGGAACATGCCACGCCCACACCCACGACTCACAAGGTGGACTCTAAGGTGGAGCACAATGAGCTGGAAAACGATCACGATCACCACCACGACAACGGGACAGATGACCACGACGATCTGAAGATGTGCGGGCCGCCCAGCCTTACTGACGGAGCCCTGGTCTACAAGTGAGTTATGGAGTTGGCAGAGGGAGTCACCCTTTAAAGTGCTTTGATCTCCAAAGGAATGCCGACCACCCCGAGCTGGATGGCGCCTACGAAAGCGGCACTGAGATCTTCTTCAACTGCATCCCCAATGCGGCCGGAGATCGGCAGACATGGCGCATAATCTGCGACAATGGCCAGTGGATAGGACGGTCCTATAATTGCGGTTAGTGTTTAATTATAGAGACAATTATAGGCTAATACAGATCATGAAAAATAATAGTTTTAATTCGCAGAGAATGGAACTTGTGTGTTCAAGAACAACGAGCCCAATGTGGTTAGTTTTTACAATGACCTGGAGATTCGCGAAGATGTAGTGGATTTCCCACCAGGGGCCAGTATCATCTCTAGGTAAAAATTTCTTCAAAACTAAATTTTTTTTAGTTCTCTTGGTAATGCTGCTCTCTGTCAGGTGTGTGGACATTGGAAAATTCTCTATGACCGGTAGCCATGAAAGGACCTGCATACATTCCGAGTGGACCAATACCAAGCCCATCTGCTCTGGTCTCAATCAGGAAAATGACTATGCAAGTGAGTGGTTTGGCCAGAAGACAGAATAGATAATCTTACCTGATCCATTAATCTAGTGGAGAAAGCTCCGACTATCCTGTTTCGCCATCAGAACGGACCTATTGCCCAAAGCAATGATGGCAAGCTGATCGTTTATCCGGGTACTACTCTTCATATGGAGTGTCTGTGGATGCGGCGTTTTGGAAATCCCAAGTGGAACGTCAGTCATACACACAAGTGGGTATCGGGGAGTTATCTTTTCCAACTAAATAGTTTGATTTGTGTTACTGAATTTTATTTTTGCAAATTAATAAATTTCAGCTGGAATGTGTTTCACCAACTACTTAATCAATCTTGAAAGAATAATCATTCAATCTATAGGGTTCTTAATTATTATAAAATAGAGAGACATATTTTTTTATTAAGCTGAGTTTTCCTATTTTAGTAAATGGCTCAGGAGGTTTTAACACATCTATGCATTTTCTTCCAGGAACTACACGGAGGGCTGGGTAACCGAAGCCGACGAGGGCAGGGACTCGACTCTTGAGTACCGGCTGAGCATCTTCGACGCAGCTAGCGAGGACACCGGCTTCTACTCCTGCATGACACCGGCGAGGCACGAGCACACCGTCGAGGTGGTTGTGCTGGCAATCAACTGCCCCGAGATACCGATGCGGCGAGGACTGATTGTAAACACCAACGACACTAAACTGAGCACCCGCGCCCTGTTGTCCTGCGCCAATGGGAACTCGCTGATCGGGGCCTCGGAGCTTTTCTGCCTGCCGAGTGGCAATTGGAGCGCTCCGTTGCCGGTTTGCGAGAGCGTCGAGTGTGGCGACATCCCGTTGGGGAGCAACGCGAGCTCGCCGCGCGTCTCTGTGCTGTCGCGCGAGGTGGGCGGCCGAGCGGCCTTCTCGTGCGCATCTGGATATGGATTGCGCGGCCCAGCAGAGGCCATTTGCAATCCGACGGGCGAGTGGTCAGCACCGCTGCCCACCTGCGTTGAGGTGCAATGCGACAACCCGGGGGCGCCGCAAAACGGTTACGCCCAAGGCTCGGCCCCTTATCGGGCCGGCGATGTGGTCCAGTTCAATTGCAACCCGGAGTACATGATGCAGGGCCAACCGATCATAGCCTGCCAGGACAACGGGCGCTGGTCGGGTGGGCTACCCAAGTGCGTCCAGGCCTGCTCCTACCCGGGCACGGTCATCAGCGGTCGGATGTCCTCCGTCAAGTTTTACTACGCCATCGGCGAGAGCATCACATTCACCTGCGACGCTGGCCTCGAGCTGCGCGGTTCCAAGGTACTCAAGTGCCTGAAGAACGGAAAATGGTCCAGCGCTATTCCCACATGTGTCGCCAACGATGGCCCTGCGCCCGGATCCGTCAGCTCCACCAAGCACCTGGCCACCACCATGGGATAAGTTCCTGATCGGTCCGGATCATAATCAAACAACGAGTGCTTGGGAACTTGATGCGTTATACCAGAGTGATAATAAAACATATTGCGTACTAACTAGAGCACATTCGAGCGCATAGTCACGCCTCTACTATATTAACTTGCGATTCAATTAAATGACAATTTGCAATTGTAATTGTACCCGTATTGCACGCTCATCATTTTACTATTAATAAATGTTCGTCGCATGAATGAATTTTAATATCTTTTCGGAGTACTTTAAAATACAGATATGAGTAACTGTAAACCAATAAAATGATAAACAATACCCAAAGTTTGTTAAGAAGTGAAGAAGTACTATCGATTCCAGTACTCAGGAGGCATATATCTCCTCCAAAAATCGGCCAATTTAGATGATTTTTTTTTTTCAGATATATATTAACAAAAGAAATAGTGTACTGGCGCTACAGAAATGGGCAATTTACGGAGTCGGAAGGCAAAAATTGGAAATATGTTTGAAATGCATGGGCAATATAGGAGTCTTCATGCCAAATCCTATAGCTCTATCTCTTCCAGTCTCTGAGATCCACGCGTTTATACGGAACGACGGACATGGTTATATCTTCTGGGCTGTAGATCAAGAATATACATACTTTATGGGGTCGGACTTTTATCTCTACAGCATTTTCGATCGTTCAGTTACATGCCAGCTATGGGATATACTGCAGTGATCCTGGCAGTGGCGGATTTAACAGGTGGACAAAGGCGCGCTTGCCCACTGGGCCCCCCCGACGAAAGGCTTTCAGGGCCCCTCGTGCTGAAAGTTACACCTTCGATTTCTTTTCCACAAATCTGCATCAAAATCTGGGAACAAAATATTTTAAAGATTTGTTGTCAAATTTTCTGGGCTGTCCCCTTCAAAATGTGCAAAATGCATGGGAAGCCCCGTATGACCCACTGCGAAGGCCATATCTTAGGAAATATTTATTCGATTCTTGAACGGAATACCTTAAACGATTTGTGGATCGCTTCTTTATAAATCTGCATCAAAATTTGGAAACAAAATATTTTTAAGATTTTTTGTCAAATTTTCTGGGCTGTCCCCTTCAAAATGTGCAAAATGCATGGGGAGCCCCATATGACCCACTGCGTAGGCCATATCTTAGGAAATATTCATCCGATTCTTGAGCGGAATACTTTAAACGATTTGTGGATCGATTCTCCATAAATCTGCATCAAAATCTGGGAACAAAATATTTTTAAGATTTTTTGTCAAATTTTCTGGTCTGTCCCCTTCAAAATGTGCAAAATGCATGGGGAGCCCCATATGACCCACTGCGTAGGCCATATCTTAGGAAATATTCATCCGATTCTTGAACGGAATACCTTAAACGATTTGTGGATCGATTCTCCATAAATCTGCATCAAAATCTGGGAACAAAATATTTTTAAGATTTTTTGTCAAATTTTCTGGTCTGTCCCCTTCAAAATGTGCAAAATGCATGGGGAGCCCCGTATGACCCACTGCGAAGGCCATATCTTAGGAAATATTTATTCGATTCTTGAACGGAATACCTTAAACGATTTGTGGATCGCTTCTTTATAAATCTGCATCAAAATCTGGGAACAAAATATTTTTAAGATTTTTTGTCAAATTTTCTGGGCTGTCCCCTTCAAAATGTGCAAAATGCATGGGGAGCCCTGTAACACCCCTGCGAAGGCCATATCTTAGGGAAATATTCATCCGGTTCTTGAACGGAATACCTTAAACGATGTGTGGATCGATTCTCCATAAATCTGCATCAAAATCTGGGAACAAAATATTTTAAAGATTTTTTGTCAAATTTTCTGGGCTGTCCCCTTCAAAATGTGCAGAATGCATGGGGAGCCCCATATGACCCACTGCGAAAGCCATATCTTAGGAAATATTCATCCGATTCTTGAGCGGAATACCTTAAACGATTTGTGGATCGATTCTCCATAAATCTGCATCAAAATCTGGGAACAAAATATTTTAAAGATTTTTTGTCAAATTTTCTGGGCTGTCCCCTTCAAAATGTGCAGAATGCATGGGAAGCCCCATATGACCCACTGCGAAGACCATATCTTAGGAAATATTCATCCGATTCTTGAACGGAATACCTTAAACGATTTGTGGATCGATTCTCCATAAATCTGCATCAAAATCTGGGAACAAAATATTTTTAAGATTTTTGTCAAATTTTCTGGTCTGTCCCCTTCAAAATGTGCAAAATGCATGGGGAGCCCCGTATGACCCACTGCGAAGGCCATATCTTAGGAAATATTCATCCGATTCTTGAACGGAATACCTTAAACGATTTGTGGATCGATTCTCCATAAATCTGCATCAAAATCTGGGAACAAAATATTTTAAAGATTTTTTGTCAAATTTTCTGGGCTGTCCCCTTCAAAATGTGCAAAATGCATGGGGAGCCCGTATGACCCACTGCGAAGGCCATATCTTAGGAAATATTCATCCGATTCTTGAACGGAATACCTTAAACGATTTGTGGATCGATTCTCCATAAATCTGCATCAAAATCTGGGAACAAAATATTTTTAAGATTTTTTGTCAAATTTTCTGGTCTGTCCCCTTCAAAATGTGCAAAATGCATGGGGAGCCCCGTATGACCCACTGCGAAGGCCATATCTTAGGAAATATTCATCCGATTCTTGAACGGAATACCTTAAACGATTTGTGGATCGATTCTCCATAAATCTGCATCAAAATCTGGAAACAAAATATTTTTAAGATTTTTTGTCAAATTTTCTGGGCTGTCCCCTTCAAAATGTGCAGAATGCATGGGAAGCCCCATATGACCCACTGCGAAGACCATATCTTAGGAAATATTCATCCGATTCTTGAACGGAATACCTTAAACGATTTGTGGATCGATTCTCCATAAATCTGCATCAAAATCTGGGAACAAAATATTTTTAAGATTTTTTGTCAAATTTTCTGGGCTGTCCCCTTCAAAATGTGCAAAATGCATGGGAAGCCCCATATGACCCACTGCGAAGACCATATCTTAGGAAATATTCATCCGATTCTTGAACGGAATACCTTAAACGATTTGTGGATCGATTCTCCATAAATCTGCATCAAAATCTGGGAACAAAATATTTTTAAGATTTTTTGTCAAATTTTCTGGTCTGTCCCCTTCAAAATGTGCAAAATGCATGGGGAGCCCCGTATGACCCACTGCGAAAGCCATATCTTAGGAAATATTCATCCGATTCTTGAGCGGAATACTTTAATTGCTAATATTTGCTATTTGCTAATATGTGAATACCCCTTTGAAATAATAGTTCAGAATCTCTGTTGAAGAAATACGCTGGTTTTTTGTAAATCTTTACGAGTACTGTGTAAAGCTAACTCAATTCACCAAAAAGGCTTGATTAGATCGCGATGAAAGACACGATACCTTTCTATTTAAACCAGGGGTGCTCAAATTCGTCTTATGGCAGTGCGTTTACTAACACAGAAACAAGAAAACGTGTACATATGTAGCGGCGCTTTAGTGTTGGGGCGCAACTGTGCACTGAGAGAAAAAAAAACAGTTTTAAATATTTATTTATTTTTTTTTTTTTTTATATTTGGCTTAAAAAGATTCAATATTTATATTAATTTTAGTGGTTGATAATTTTAATTGAGCTTCCAGATTATTATTATTTAGTCCCACGAAATAAATCAAAAGCCAAAGCAGACAGAAGAATAAGTTCCAGTGCATGTGCTCGAGGAAAAAACAAAAACAAAATACACGCGTTCAGCCACTAACCATACAGCATATAGACAACCCATTTCATACAACGAAAATGGACGCAAAATTTCTTGCGACAGGCCCCAGCGGCCCCAGAGCGGTTTCTTACGCTCTCATACGCTCATGGTTCGTTCATCTTCGCTCATTCTCTCATTAAATGTTTTCTGTTTCTCAGTCTCTAAACGGAGCGCGATGAAGAAGGTTGGCCTGCGCTTGGTTGATCTTCGTATGTAGCGTGTCACACATTCACATACATGGGTGTATGTGTGCGTGCGATTTCGTTTCGAAGCCAGCGCACAAAATTTTGATTTTTCTTACTTTTCAGGCTTGCTACCCTAACAAAATTCGGGTATTCGTTATTTGATGAAATGACGAAAGAAATTATATTATTTTTTATATTATATTTTTATTATTTCAGCATACATTTTTAATTTATTTACGAATAAGATTAAGTGTTAGTAGTAAAATATTTTCTGTATATATATTTTTACGAATCATTAAAAATCAATATACTGAGAATATGTCAGAGTATATTTCGGTCGGAGTCACTTAAACAAATTCGAGCGGCGACTTTTAAAGTTCCAAAATATATAGGAAATTATTAAATTAACGACAATAATTTAATTAAATCTCACAATAACCCAAAATAATAACAAGTGCCTGAAAAATTGTAAACAAAAAGGTAAACAAGTCCATGAGCTGTTTTCGGTTCTTCACCCTCCCTAAAAATCATTCCATCGTTAGAGTAGGCATGCACAAGCCTCTTGCAAAACAACAAAACTTAAAAGCAATCGGCGTTTTAAGTGACTCCGACTGAAATATACTCTGACACTTTCTCAGTATATTGATTTTAATGATTCGTAAAAATATATATACAGAAAATATTTTACTACTAACACTTAATCTTATTCGTAAATAAATTAAAAATGTATGCTGAAATAATAAAAAATATAATATAAAAAATAATATAATTTCTTTCGTCATTTCATCAAATAACGAATACCCGAATTTTGTTAGGGTAGCAAGCCTGAAAAGTAAGAAAAATCAAAATTTTGTGCGCTGGCTTCGAAACGAAATCGCACGAACACATACACCCATGTATGTGAATGTGTGACACGCATACATACGAAGATCAACCAAGCGCAGGCCAACCTTCTTCATCGCGCTCCGTTTAGAGACTGAGAAACAGAAAACATTTAATGAGAGAATGAGCGTAAGATGAACGAACCATGAGCGTATGAGAGCGTAAGAAATCCGCTCTGGGGCCTGCTGGGGCCTGTCGCAAGAAATTTTTGCGTCCATTTTCGTTGTATGAAATGGGTTGTCTATATGCTGTATGGTTAGTGGTTCAGCGAAGCGTGACGATGGATAGATATGTAATGAAGAAACAAGCAAAATTGTTTTTGTTTCGCATGGTAATCGAAGCCCATATGCACGGTGCTTATGGGCGCACTAGCCATAAGCACAGAGCATCTACAAAAACAAAAGTGCACTCAGTGTATAGGCGTTGAGCACCACTGATTTAAACCATGTACTTATAAATATAATTTTTTCAACTTTTATAATGTATTAAAGCATCATTGTATAAATTTGTACAATTTTTTCTTGAATTTTATAACCATTATTCCAAAATATGTTATGGAAAGCATATTTCTTGACCCATTAAGATGTGGCTGTATAAATAAGTATGGCAACCTTGGACCACTAACAGAGAAACATAAGCTAACAGAATGTTAACAGCAGTAATTCAGAATTTTAGAAGACCGTTTTTGTTATTGTAATAAATACCAATTTAGAACTATGGAGCTCTGAGCTCTGGATGTGTCTCAAACGAAATTAAAATAAAAACATAAAATAAAATCATTTACCAGCACGTACCGCCAAGACTTCTCGAACGAGTGCAACGTACTAATTTTTCCCCTGCCCCACTTGACCTCCGCTGCAGCCTTCGTTCGATTTGCATTGTTTTCGTCTCCCACGCACTACTGCGAGGTGTTGTTGTGTTGTTGTTTTAGGCTGAGCTGAAGTAGTGCAAGGACAAGTGACAAAGTCCTGGAAAAGGCGCAACAATTTCCCCGCGCAACAAGGTGTCGCAGGGGTTGGAGGAAAATCGATAGAGGAGAGGAAAATCGGAGAACAAGTGCATACGCGAGTTTGTTGTACGTGGTTCGTTTGTGAGTCTGGCTGTGTGGGTGTGAGAGTGTGTCGTATCACTAACCATACAGCATATAGACAACCCATTTATACAACGAAAATGGACGCAAAATTTCTGCGACAGGCCCCAGAGGCCCCAGAGCGGTTTCTTACGCTCTCTACGCTCATGGTTCGTTCATCTTACGCTCATTCTCTCATTAAATGTTTTTGTTTCTCAGTCTCTAAACGGAGCGCGATGAAGAAGGTTGGCCTGCGCTTGGTTGATCTTCGTATGTATGGTGTACACATTCACATACATGGGTGTATGTGTGCGTGCGATTTCGTTTCAAGCCAGCGCACAAAATTTTGTTTTTTACTTTTCAGGCTTGCTACCCTAACAAATTGGGTATTCGTTATTTGATGAAATGACGAAAGAAATTATATTATTTTTATATTATATTTTTATTATTTCAGCATACATTTTTAATTTATTTACGAATAAGATTAAGTGTTAGTAGTAAAATATTTTCTGTATATATATTTTTACGAATCATTAAAAATCAATATACTGAGAATATGTCAGAGTATATTTCGGTCGGAGTCACTTAAACAAATTCGAGCGGCGACTTTTTAAAGTTCCAAAATATATAAGGAAATTATTAAATTAACGACAATAATTTAATTAAATCTCACAATAACCCAAAATAATAACAAGTGCCTGAAAAATTGTAAACAAAAAGGTAAACAAGTCCATGAGCTGTTTTCGGTTCTTCACCCTCCCTAAAAATCATTCCATCGTTAGAGTAGGCATGCACAAGCCTCTTGCAAAACAACAAAAACTTAAAAGCAATCGGCGTTTTAAGTGACTCCGACTGAAATATACTCTGACACTTTCTCAGTATATTGATTTTAATGATTCGTAAAAATATATATACAGAAAATATTTTACTACTAACACTTAATCTTATTCGTAAATAAATTAAAAATGTATGCTGAAATAATAAAAATATAATATAAAATAATATAATTTCTTTCGTATTTCATCAAATAACGAACGTTTTGTTAGGGTGCAGCCTAAAAGTAAGAAAACAAAATTTGTGCGCTGGCTTCGAAAAAAAAACCCAAAAAAAAAAAAACCCATATATGTTAATATGTACAACATAAATACGAAGATCAACCAAGCGCAGCCACTTGCCGTTTAGAGACTAGAAACGAAAACATTTAATGAGAGAATGAGCGTAAGATGAAGAATGAGCGTATGAGAGCGAAAAAAATCCCCTCGGGCCTTTGGGGTGTTTTATTAAATTTTTTTTGCTATTTTTGTTGAAATGGGTGTTTTGTGGTTAGTGGTCGTATACTAAACTTTCTTTTTCTAGGGTTCCAGCTGCCAAACAAAAGAGATCGGCAATAAAGCTGTGTGCAAGCTAGGGGATTATGGATAACGCAGGCGATGACAGTGATGGCGATGTAGTCACCGATTTTCTTAACTCAAACTGCAGCGATCCTAATACTTCCCCCTCTTCGGCTGTAAACGGTGTCCAGCGGGTGACCGTTGAGAGCCAGAACTACTGCATACCCGTCATAAACGCTCCTGTTCCAGCTCCAGTCGAGTCGGCTTCAGCTCCTGTTCCCGCTTCAGTGATCACTCCTGCACCTCAGCAAAACAACATCAACAACAACATGATACCCACCATTAATGTGACACCACACAGTCCGGCTCTCGCCTCCAAATACAACAACATATTTGAAGACACACTTAGTCAGCTGCAGAGCATCCGCGAGACTGTTGTCCAAATGAAAAACTCCTCCACTTCCAGCCACCCCATGCAAGATGGTCTGGGAAACCACAACATGCTTAACGCCGCCCTTCTCAGCTCCTCGTTACCAGATCTAACAGGTGCAGGTACGGGCTCGGGAGCACACGGTCCTCATTCTTCACAATATGCAATGTGGACATCGAATGCGCCGCAGCAGTGTCTACTGCTGCACACCGATCGCCGGAAGTCGTGGACAGCGGTGGATGACGGCGGCGGCGACTGCACCAACAAAAGCGTCAGTCTATCCAGCCTGGACAGCGAGGAGCAGGAGACGATCCGAGTCACCGAACAGCGGCGGAGGTCGGCAAGAAATAGCACCGGAGGTAAATATTTTTATTTATTACGAAGAGCGTTGAAATATTAAATATTTTTATTCATTCGATCTGAGTTTTAGGAAGTGAGTTAGGAATTCTGCCTTAAAATATTTAAAAATACATAAAAAATTGCACTGTTTCTATTTTTTTGTTTATGTCCGTTGCGTTTGTTTTATGGCCAGCCATAAAGGTAAAAAAAGTAATTATAGAAAAGGCTTTGTGTATGTCTCAAAGTCTTCGACACAAGTCACACCCTACAAAATCTCACAAATTAACAATTTACTTATGGCCAATGTAGGGAATAAAGAAATGGCTATAACCAAATTGAAAAATAATAGTAATTTGAATATATATTGTCACCATCGCGCTGTCTCTTGCTTGTTTGAAGTTGATATGCCGATAATGAAAAGTGTAGGGACCGGGGGGCCAAGTTAGTTTCAATTTCGATAAGAAATTCCACAAAGGCCCGTTATCTGAGGCTCTCTGACATTGGCAGCTCCGAATCGAAACCTTTACGATTAGTAATTACTAACCAAGTCGACCGTTTTCAGGCATTTCCACTCACTCGCTAAACGAGGCAGAGTTGGCGCGGGATTTCGAGCGCATTGCAGCTAAGAGGAGTCTGGCCACGGAGATAATTAGCCGAATACCCCTGCAGAAGAGCATCTCCACCAGCTCGATCATCGCCAAGGAGGACATTAAGGCGATCGCCCGCCACCTGACGGACAGCGAAGATGAGAACCAGAGTCTGTTGCGCTCTCACGCCTCCCACAAGATCGAAGTCTACGACAACGCAGAGAAGCGCCCCAAGCGCGGCTCCCTCTTCTTCCGCAAAAAGAAGCCCAAGACAAAGTCAAAGTCCTTAGTCGGGGGTCAGCTGAGTGCCTGCGACGTGTGCGGAGCAAACATCACACTGGCCCAGATCAAGGAGCATCACCTGGAGTGCAAGGTTCGAAAGATGGCCTCCGGTCAGGACTTTTACGATGGTCCCGACGCTGGCGCCTTCAGCAATCCAGAGGATCAGCCGCTCATCCGATCCGATCTTCAATTTCTCAATGAGCCGCCTATTGAGGCCCAGGATCTTGGCGCCGACCCGTCCCTTGGTATCGTCCTCAAGGAGCACGACTCCTGGACTCCCGGCGTGCCAAAGGAGCTGCTCAAATCACTCAAAGAGCTGCAGATCAAACGGCAGGAGCACATCTACGAATTCATCATGACCGAAAAGCACCACTGCCAAACGCTGATTGTCATGCAGAAGGTGTTTGTCGAGAGTCTAGAACGGCACTTTCCGTCCCTCAACCTGAACAGTATGTTCCCGAGGCTGCAGCAGCTCACCGATCTGCACACGTGCTTTCTACGTCAACTGCGCGTCAAGCAGCGCGAGCAGCCGATGGTGGACAGCATTGCGGACATTCTGTTGGACTTCTTCTCCCTCGAGCAGGCCCAGTGCCTGAGGCTGGCCTACGGTGAGTTCTGTGCAAATCATCGCAGTGCGCTGGAGCAGTTTAAGTTGTGTCTAACTGAGCAGAACTTTGCCGAGTGGTACAAACACTGTCTTCAGAATCCGCTTCTAAAAAAAAAAGGCATCCCGGAGTGCATTCTGTTTGTGACGCAGCGACTCACCAAGTACCCCCTATTAATTGAACCCCTTCTGAAGAGCGCTCGGGATAACAAGTTGGAGACTGACAAACTGCAGCACGCTTTGAACTTGGTTAAATCTCTCCTAGTGGATGTGGATGCTTGCGTGGCGGAGAAGGAGTTGCGTGAACGGCAGTTGGAGATTTACGGGCGTGTTGACCCAAAATCCTTTGCTATATACAAGAACAAACCCTTCCGTAAAACGGAACTCGGCGTGGAATCGAGGCGACGACTGAAATTTGATGGCTTGGCTACTTTGATGCAGGGCCGGGCCAAGACGCAGCTGGTCCTCGTGGTGGTACTTACCGATTGCCTATGCTTTCTTAGTGAAAACTCTGGGCACAACAAATATTCGTTTTTCACTCCGGAACACAAGGCCGGAGTGGTGCCGCTTCAAAAATTGCTCATTCGCGAAAAGGCTGGCACCGAATCCCGAGGCATATACATCATTAGCTCCAATCCGGACTTTCCTGAGATGTACGAGCTGAAGGTGCAAACTCCAAAAGACAAAAACACATGGATCCAGACCATCCGACAAGCTGTACTCGATTGTCCGGCCACGGACATCATTGAGGCGGAAGATCTCACAGCAGAAGAAAAGCTGAGAATCGGGGTCAACAGGCGTGAAACCATCGAGAAGATGCGACAGAAGGATATCGAGCAGGCGTTGCTGCTCGAGGAGAAGCTTATGCTGCAGCTGAACCTGCTCAAGGAGCAGCAACCCTTCGGGGATGTGTGTGGCACCGCCAATGGTGGTAGTGCAGCGAGCTTTTTGGCCGCCTTCGGTTCTTATAAGGATCTTGTTACAGCTGATTGCGATACAAACGAGCTTTGGCGACGAGTCCTTAATACAGTGCAGGACATAAGCCAACTGGCATCAACCATTTACTCGGCGGTAACGGGTCAGCCAGTGCCCCGGACACTAAGCACCGTAAGCGAGAAGCAAAGTGAGCAGTTCGCATCGCCCACTCTACCGAAACGGGCGGAGACCTTTGCGGGGTTCGACGAAAAGCGGGGCAAACTCGGTGCTAAGCTAGTGCTTACACCTCGACTACAGGAGCTTGAGGAGAAGCGCGAGACAAAGCAGCCGGAGCAGCCCCTGGAGAATAACTATGCAGTGCTGCAGGTGTCGCACCATCTGCAGACGTTGCTTTGCATCATCTCGCAGCAGATGACCAGCATCCACAGTCTCCAGTTGCAGCTAGCTCTCTATAGGGAGAGTCCCCGGTCAAGCGCATACACACACAAGGATCAGTTGGAGGAGCTGCGCAATCTGCAGGACAAGTTGCAGGAGGAGAAGACAGCGTGGCAGCGCCAGCAAAAGCAGCAGCAGGACGAGATTAACGAGTTGCGGGCTCAGCAGTTGAAACTGCAGCAACAGATCAAGGCCGAGCAAGAGGATGTGCGCCAGCAACGCGAGCAACTCTACCGGAAAATGGAGTTGCTCTCAAGCCAAGGCTTGCTTCTTTCGCCCAGCACTCCCCTACCCCCGGTCAACACCAATCATTCTCAGCATCCTGTCCAACTGGCTCCGATTGCCTCCCTAGAAGATGGCCACGAACTCGACAATAGCACCTCAGGATCAGGCAGCACAACGCCAAGCGTGACCGGAACGGTCGAACGTGGGAAAGACAAGTGGTTGAGTGGCCCTTCCAGTTGCAAGACTCCGCCAGTGAATTTACTCAGCGCCAACAATGCGCCAAAGGCTAATGCAACTCTAGTTAAGCAGAAGATCCCCATGAAGCTTTCCTCGCTGTCCTCCGCTGGCAGCTCCAGCTCTCGGGTGGACAAATCCGCCAGCTTTAACAGCGCCTCGCCGTCTGTGTCTTCGGGCAGTGTGCAGCAAATGTTCCCCCTCAAATTGGCGGACAGGAGAACTGTTACATCCGCAAATAGTGCAACGACTCCATCGGGCATAGTCCCGCAACATTCGCGTACGGGCAGCTCCCCGGCGATTATCCAGCAGACAACGACAGCGGCCACGCCCACTACGAGTGCAGTAACTCGGACGGAGTCGGCCGTTCATTATATGCAACGGACACCGACGAGTAGTCGGACGGGAATCGCCCGATCGGCCGGCATTGGAGTAGGCGGCGGTGGGACAGCCCCGCGGGCCAAGGCCGAAGAGGAGGAGATTTACTTTTGACGCCAATTCACGCCAGAAGTCGAAATCTAAGAACTGCATGTTTCCGAGCTAAACTGAAAACTGATTTCGTGATTTAATCTCAAATAACATATTGAACTGGTGTCAATTGCAACTCAAGCAATAAGCTTCCAATATCAAAAACTGCTTCAAGATTCGTTTTCCTGACTGCATTTTGTGAGTTTTATTTTGCAAAAATTGATGTTCAGTTGCTTAATTATGAACCTATAATTATTCCACTCCAAAAACGAATCCAACCTGTCCATTCCAGACCGAACATCGCATATATTTAGTTTAAGAATTACATATTTACTGTACTTAATGGTATTTTTCGCCGACTCGCTACCAATCCAATGCATCTCAAACTGTTCAGTAACTCCCTAGGTAACCTATTTATTAACTTTTATTTATATATATATATTTTTAAACGAAATTCGACGACTACATAGCTATTGAAACCAATTATATGTGTGGGTGTTTCCTAACAAATTCTACTTCTTCCATTACAGAAAACGTATTTAATGTTATAAATTTCAAACAAAACCAAATAAAATGTAAAAAAATTTTAATTCTTTGATTATATACGCAACATATCGTTGTTCAAATACGATTTTAAATGATGTCCATTGGGAAGGATTAATTAACATTTTTTTCCAATCCATTAATTTTTTTGTATATATTGTATGTGTGTTTTAAATATTGGTATCCTTTCATATGTGTGTATGTAACATATAAATAGGACTTTAACGTCTTTGAAATGTGTTAAACTCTCTCCAATAAATGTCTAAATTTTGAAAACATACCTTACGATTTTATTGGTTTCCTAGCTTCAGATATAAGCTGACAACAAGAAAAATATTTTAAAAATAATATCCATAAAATACCAAATTTAAATAACTCATATTATTTTAAAAATATAATTGCCGGAGTCGAATGAAAATTACGAATCACACCTGTACCAACAATATTGTAGGATCTAAGAGGATAGTTTATAAATTTTAAAACAAAAAAAGGTATTCAGTCCCGAATTCCTATTTCGAAAACTTCCTTTGGAATCCAGAATATGATTTGATATACCCATTGCCTTTTGGACCTTATGATTGATCGACCCATGAAGGTATAGGGATATGAACGGATCAGGTGCTCATGACTTATAGTCCAGAACTATAGAAGCTGTAGAACCAATCCGATTTACGTATTTTTTAAACTTTATTTACATAATTACAAGTACCTGTAGACCTCTACAGATATATAAATTAGCTTCATAGAAGTTACTTTTAAACATAATTAAAAATATTTACATATCAAAATCATTCTTACGGGGACACTTGTTTCGAGTATGTCCTTCTTTGCGACAAAGACCACACTTGCGCGACTTTGATCCTTCGGATTTGTTTGCAGCTTTGGAAGGAGCATTCCGATTGCCAGTTCCAGATCCCCATGAGTATCCTCCGCTGGAACCACCTTTAAGAATAAATTGTTTAGTCTAGCTCTTCTAAGTAAATTGCGGTTTCAACTTTTACCTTGACTCTGATCCTCGTCGCCCCACTTGAAGAAACCACAAGAAGATTCCCGGGTGGGGCAGGCGAAGAAAGGCCGGCCCTGGTTGGGTCCATCTCTTCGAACAGTCAGGCTACTTGCCAGTTTCCCGCAATTACACTTGATCTCCTCTCCCTCATCGTGGGACGTCGAAGTCGCAGTCGTTTTTGTTTTGGTTATTGTGACAGTGCTGCTCGAATTGGACCGCATTGATCCTTGGTTACGAGACTGGGAACTGTTGGTTTGTAAATGGTTCGACAGAGTGGTCACACGGTTGGTTCCCCAAGAAGACGAAGTGGTAGGCAAGGAAGAATTGTTGGTGGGTGGTTTTTTGGGAGCTGCCTGCTCATCAGCCCATTGAAAGAACTTGCACTCGTCGCCTGGCTTTGGACATTTATAAAATAGCTTCCCCTTGTTGGGCCCATCGCGACGCACGGTAAGTTGAATCGCTGCCTGTTGACATCCCGTGCACAGCACCACCTGAGTTTCTGAATTCGGAGCTGACGAGGAAGGTTCATCCCAGTCTGTGCTGTCCCATCTCGCTCTCTTGGGTGCTGGTTTTGGGGGCGGTGTAGAAGCCACATTGGAGGATGCTCGTGCTCGACTTCCCCACACCATGGGACGCTCGTTCGCATCTTCCTGCTCTTGTACCCAGGCAGAAAGACTCATATCCAGCTGGTCTTCATCCTTAGTACCGCCATTCACTAAAGCCTCAAACTCAGCATCATCGTCTGCAGCAAAGGCAGCGGCTATATCGTCATCTAGTTCAACCACGTTTGAGGATTGCGATTGCACTCCATTCGTGTCCAGCGTGTCGGCAGCCATTAACATGGCCTCTTCAAAACCATCATTACTATCGAAGAATCCATCCAACTCGTTTGCGGGTGAGCTTGATGCAGCACTGAAGTAGTTACGAATATTGCTTGTCGATTTACTGACAGTGTTTTTATTTTCAGTGCTTTTAGATGCCTTTTTTGGCTTCGGTATGCTTGGTGGTTTCTTGGGTTTCGTTTCTCCAGTGCCAGGTTTTTTTCCTTTCTGTGTCGAAGGATTCACAGTGCTCCTACCTTGAGAGCCCCAGGCATCACCACCGCCTGGTCTACCATCCGATCCTCCTCCTCCTCCACCTGGTCTCCTTCCACCGCTTCCACTTCCACTTCCTCCTCCGCCTCCTCCTCCACCTCCACCAGGTCCCGGCCCTGGTCCCCAGCTATCACCTCCGCCTCTTGCCTCACCGACAATACCCCCCACACGCTTCACAGATTCTAAATTGATGTTAAATGTCGACCGAAACAGATTGTCGCAGGGCAGGCATGTTTTATACCAGCCATGGGGCGTGTTGAAGACTCCACGATAATAAGGCGTGGCAAAACGGAATTTCAGCAAGCGGTGACTGTCACCACAACTGGAGCAGCTTTCATTGGTCACCGTGACATCCTTGCACTCTGACGGTAACCAAACAGCGTTTTTGCAATCTGGAAAGTTTGTGCAGCCGATGTACCAGCCTTGCTGATTCTTCTTGGCCTTCAGAGCCAGCGGAGCCTGGTTGCACTTGGGGCACTGAAAAAGAGTCTGCATGACAGGCTGATTCTGTTCACTGCCATCCCCTCCTTCTTGGCCTTGTGTATTGGCTGCTGGCGTCTCATTGATACGTGCAGCTATTTTTTCATCCATGGCGGTGATTTTGTCGGTGATTTGCTGATATGACTGTTTATATTTGGCAATTTGGTCGGAGAGCACTGCTTTTGGATTCTTTTGCCCTTGGCATATTAGTTTGAGGTCCAACTCGAATTCCGCTCTTAGCTGAGGCTTGGCTAGAGCCAACTCCATGGCACCATAGCCTTCGTAAAGACCCATGCCAATCACACCTGGTACTAAGGCACCCTTGTCAACCATTCCGATGTAACCGCGCTCCTTAATAGTGTTGATATGCTCCGCATGTGTCGCATCAGTTCCGATTCCATGCTTCTCCATTAGAGCGATCAGGTCGGCTTCAGTTAGCAGAGGCGGAGCAGTCGTGGCACCCTCATGAAGTGACACCTCCGTCGGTTCAAAGCGCTGATTTTGCTCGTAGTGATGAATTTGCTTGGCACTCCACTTATCGTACACATAAACGTCCAGGTAGTTTCGTTCGTGAATCACTAGCCCGTTGGCCGTAAACTTCTCCCCGGCAATGTCAATGTTTACTAGAGTTTCAGAGCCAACAGCGTCTTTACTGACACAGGCAAGAAAGTGGCGGACAACCAGTTCGTAAACCCTGGCCTCGTTTCCCTGAAGATCTATTAAAAAAAGTTTAAAGTTTAAAATTATTGGAGATACATTATTTTTACTGCTACTTACTATCCACAGCCTTAGTGGGATGAATGGGGGGATGCGCCTGATCAGATTTACTTCCATTTCGTGGATTTGGGCCCCATTCCACCACTCGCTGGGCAAATGCTCCCCATGCAGCGTTGCCCGTTTGCATTTCCACCAGCGGCTTCAGCTCGAATTCCTTCGAGAACTGGTTAGTCTCTGTGCGGGGATAGCTAATAAAACCCTTGCTGTACAATTTCTCGGCTATAGTCATAGTTTCTTTCGCAGAGAGCTTCAGTTTTCGTGAGCCCAGTTTCTCCATTTCCACAGTGTCCATAGGTGTGGGTCGCCATTTGTGCTTAGGCTTTACGGTTACACTTTCAACAAGGGCACGCGGAGCGGGCTCCGCTAGGCAAAGCAGTAGGTAGTTTTCACAGGCCTCTTTGTCAAAGAGCCTGTTTCTAGCCCAGTTGAACTCGACGGTTAGGTCGTCGATTGTATGGATAACTGAAAAGAAAAACTATGCATGTTAACATATATTTTAATCTGCGATAAAGGGTTTGAATACCTTTCACTTTCCAGAATGGTTCCGATACGAAAGCCTCAACTTCCTTGTACCGCTCTGCCACGAATCCCAGGGTGGGAATCTGACAGCTACCATAAGAGATGAGCTTGTCGGCAATCTTCGCGGGAAAGAGTCGTTGAAATCGCATGGTCTGGAACCGAGTAATGGCGGCGCCCGTGCGAAGATCCAGCTCCGAGCGAACGTCCACCGCATCGCTCTGGCGCTTGTCTGGCTGACCAAGCTGCTGCAGTGCCCTGCGAACTGCTGCCGATGTAATTTCCGAGAAATTAGCCCGGTACACAGTAAGATTCGGTTTAATGGCACGACAGACGTCGATGATCTCGTAGCCGATGTTCTCGCCTTCGCGATCGCAATCCGTCCAGATAATCAGTCCCTGACATCCCCGTACCTCGCGTTCCAGTGTGCGCTTTATTGGCTCGTAGTCCTGACCGACAGACTTCCGAACAGGAGCATCGAAAAGAGAGCCGGGATCCACATTGCGCCAATTACGATATGAAACAGCAAACTCCAGCTGCATCAGATGGCCGGACACGGAGGTCATCACCATCTTAGAATTGTTGCCTCGCACAACAGCCTCAAAGTCAAACACCTTGTTGTACACAGAGTAGCCCTCACGCTTATTAAAAATGGGTAGAAGTGCTTAACAAGTTGGACCAAAGATTCGTATATGTGCATTGGCTTACCCGCCGCGCTGTTCCATTGGACAGGAGTCCGGCAATAGTTTTGGCGGCGTCGTTTTTTTCGGCTACGTTTAGGAACTTCATTTCAGCGTTCTTTCCCGTTTTAGTGCAGTAGGAACGTTGTAAGTTGATTTGGGCACGCCGTAGACATTTTAAAAGTGCCGTCATTCATGAGTTTATTAGAAATAAACAAACGTTTAATCGCGCCACGGTCAAAATAGAGACAACATAGATTTGTGTTATCGATATATTCAAAACTATCGATAACAGGCACGCAACTTTAAAAGAAGGTGCTCTGGTGGTAACGACGTCACATTTGAGACCCCGATAATTTGTGGAATAAAAATACATATATGTACATATGTATGATCTTTCTAATATATCTAATCTACAGATATATCTTTCGAATATGCACCTGTAGAATGAATTTTCTATAAAATGAATTTTTCTATATATATATATATGCATATACATATAATATATATATTCTGTTTCTAATTCCGGAGCTAATTTTTAAAAAATGTAGAGGAACTGGGGAATTAAAAATATTTTTTAAATTTGAATAGAGATTTTGACCGCTGATTGATACTTGTACGGGTATCAGTGCTATAGGTTAATACCGCTGTGGTATTATAGCCTCAGAAGGGCATATTCGATTTTTTCCCAATACCCATTTTGAAAATTTAAAAAACTTGTTATTATCCTGAAATACGAAACTATTTACTTTATTATATCTCTCTATATAACTTGCTGTTTTGCTTTTTCGTTTCTACGATGTTTTTCTCTTTTTTTTACTTTTGACTTTTCATTGCGCTTGTTTTTGGGGATTTTTGTTTTGCAATTTTTTTTTTTTTTTTTTTTAGTGTTTTATAGCTTTAACTCAACATAAAATCTTAACAATTATATATATGTATATATATATTTGTATTTAAGAAAAGGATAGAGTGAAAAATGTGTAAATACAAAGGATTACGACTCTTAACCAATGTTTCGTCTCTAGCAGAGATATGGATTTGGTTGAATTTCGCGTTTAAAATTGTAGTTTATGTGTTGTTATTTCGGACTTAGGCTTAGCTATAAACTCATTCGTATTTGTATGCATTTCATAACTTATTTTCAGTAAAATATTAGTAATATTTAGAGCGTTTAATTATGGCGGAAGTGTGCAAAGTGCATCGCCGTTCTTCTCCTCCTCATCACGCCCGCACACACCGCAGTTAGATATAGAATAACAACAAATACATGTTAAGGGTTTCCTAACACTTCTGAGCCACATGGAGCTTGCTTGGACGCTTTAGTAGCGAAGGGCAGTGCATCAACGACGCCAGGAACGATCCTCGGACTCCTCATCCTCCTCTTCATCCTCCAATCGCAGCTCCGGTAACGTGTCACTGCCCAGAAGACTTTCACTCTCGCTGACGGACTGAATTAACTCTTTAGGGTTCTCAAGGCCGGTGCCACCGGCAGCTGCTGAGGGGGTTTTGTCGACAGGCGCCACCGTTGGGGCAGGCGTCGGTGTCACCACCGGAGCCCATGAAATCTGAAGAAACGTAGAAAAATAATAGTTGTTTTTTACTTCCTGAATAACATTATTTCATTTATTTACTAACCTGAAGACGCTTGTCTTTGTACATTTTGCCTCGGAGCACGGCCTGCTCTGCATTGAGGCGGGTAGCATACGAGAGTATTAGCTGCGGAATCTCACGGTCTACATCATGTTTGGAAATCTCACCAAAGTTCTGCGGATAATAAAATTGTGTATATTTATTTTGGATGTTTAATGTAAGTTGCATACCTTGAAGTGGCCCAGGACAAAGTCCGCCTCTTCGGCCGCAAATCCGGTAACTACAATGGCTTTTGGTCGACGGTCTACACGGGTGGGTCCTTCGGGAAGGTTTGGTCGTTTTCGTCCAACGCCACCCGCGGCACCAGGTGCGGACGCAAAGTGTGCCGCCTTGGAGTTCATTCCGGCCTGGCCACCACCGACACCTAGATTTCGTTGCAGTTCTTCGAGTCGCTTCTGTATGGCCGTCGTATCATTCCCTTCTTGTTGCTGGGCGATCAGCTCAAGCTCCATGTCCAGCAGTTCTTTTTTTTGTTGTTCCTTAGTCTTCTTAATAGGCGGTAATTGTTGCTGCTGTTGTTGAATCTGGGCTTGAAGTTGGTCCTGGTCCGCATGGACGTCCTTGCGCATTTTATCGATAGTCTGCTGCAGTACTTTGATAGTTTCCAATGTTGGAGCCCTCTGAGGATCTTGCGGATCCATCCGCTCCACCAACTCCAGAGCGGTTTTCATCTGCTTGACGTAGCTCTGAAGCAATTCCTGTTTGCGCTTCCGCAGCCCGTTGGCAAGTTGGTGTACGGCCTTCTGCTGCTCTTCTTGCTTTTTACGCAGTGTGGCAGGATTAATGGGGCGGCCAGCAGCTCCGGGCGCTCCTCCCGCTGCTCCTGCATTTGGCGCTGCCGCATTGAGCTTGAGGCGCATGGAGGCTGGGGCCGCTGTGCTGGCTTGCTCCGCTAATGGCGTTGCATTGTTTGCCGCTCCGGCTTCAGTCAGTGGATTTGCATTGCTAATCTTGGCACTATCAGCGTTGGGAGTTGGCATTGCAGGCACGTTATGCAAATGGTACTGGCTGGTGTTCTTCCTTCCGCCGCCTCCTCCTCCGACGCCACCGCCCATAGGATTCAGTTGACCCACCTCAACTCCGCTGCTATCGTTGTGCCAGAAGACTTTAATGAAACGATTGTTCAACACCGCCTCGGTGCTTCTATAAGCGACATTCGCCTCCGCGTGCGTGGAAAACGTGACAATAGCTGCCTCCGGATCACCTTCGTAAGACACCTGGATGTTCACTATCTTGCCGAACTTGGCAAAGTGGTTGTTCAGATGAGCAATGGTGTTGAGTCCGCGGGGCACCTTTCGCAACTCCAAGGAACTGTTGTGTTGCTGCATATTTGGGTTGACCCTTGGACCCAATCGGCTGTTAATAGGCACCTTTCGCTTGGATGGAACGTCTGCAATAGCCACAGTGTCTTCCAGTTCGAAGCGCCGCTTCCCGAGCTCTGCCACCCCACCTGAGGGGGCGCCATCAACGACGGGTATGGGTATAAGCTGGCGTTGAAGCGGTGTAGTCACGGCCGTTGGGTTGAAAGGGAATGGCATCATGGAAGGCGGTGGTGGTGGTGCTCCCGAGTTGCGGGCATAGTCAGCGGGGTTGGGCACACCCAGCGGATTGGGTCCCGATCCACTCATCAACGCATTAGGACGCACACTACCACTAAACGGATTAATGTTAGCCGGACCCGCCTGTGCAGGCGGTGGCACTGGTCCCTGACCAGCTCCTGGAGGGGGTCCTCCTCCACGGGCCCAAATTTCTGGTGCATCTGGATTGTACTCGCGCATGGACATCATCAGTGCAGAGTTGTTGATACCCTCAAAGACAACAGGGTTAACTCCATGGTCCCAGGGGCATGTTTCGCCTCTCACGCAATAGCCCTTCTCGTCAAAATCACGACACCTTTGACGGGGATGGGCGGCAGGATGCTCGACGGGCGTTGGTGGTGCCACCGGAGCTGGAGGTTGGTTGCCTTGTCCAGCTGCAGCTCGATCGGGGGAGTTTTGGTTACGCCGCATGTTTCGCTCTGGGGACATTGATCGGCTATGCGACCTCCGGCCCTTATTGTTGCCAAAGCGTGGACGATCATCCGTATTTCCACCGATGCGCCGTCGGTCAAAGTTGCGTCGCCCATGATGACGGTTGTCTGTCTGCGATCCTGGCGGTGATTTGTTACGGAACTGGCGCTGAGTTTTCTCACGTTCGTTTACCCGGCGATCGCGGGATCGGGAACGTCGGAAGGTTCGTTCGTTAGATCTTGACCGAGATCGGGACCGCGAACGCAAGGAGGCGCGCCGCCGTCGACTGTCCCGAGGTTGGTTTTCCTTATCGGCATATCCAGTTGCCAAACCTCCACCGCCCGCTGTACCTCCGTTTCCACTTACCCCGCTGCTCCTGCCTGGTGGGCTAGCGCTGCGAACGTGGTGATGATGATAGTGGGAGGCGGACTGTGAGTTGTGTGATTCTTTGGTTTTGTGCTGCAAAGAGTATGACAAGTCATTATAATGTTAATAGAAGGCATCAAGTAGTGTGCTCACATCAAAGGCGGACTTGGCGTCTGTTGCGGGATTCGAGGCAATGCTGGCTTCCTGGCTGGTAAACGATAAGGCCGCTGCCTCGTTGGCGTTTTGGCTTGCCTTATCCTGTTGTGTCGCATTGCTCTCGGGGATTATCACATTCTCTTTTGGTAGTGGCGGAGGGGAGTCGGCAGCCAGCACGGCCTCGATTTCATCCTGGGCCCCGTCGATAGCCAGAGCCAGTTCTTGGTCGAGATCCAGCTCAGAGGCAGCTCCAGTAACTGTCGGAACTGGGGCGGGCAGCGTCAGGTACTCCTCGCTGGCAATGGCATCGAAAAGGCGCTCTACAAAGCGCGTTGTCTCCTCCGATAAAAAGACATCCAGTTGTTCGATCATAATCCGCTTAAGATCCTTATCCGATTTGTCTTTCTTTAATAGCGCGATAACATAGCGCGCCAAGGCCGAAGAGTCCGCATCGCAGCTGTTGTAAGAAATAATTATTTTATTAAAAATGAATATCTAAATGTAAGAAGAACTTGAACTTACAGAGGCTCCAGGACCACACTCAACCAGTCCTTGAGCTTGTCCGAATTCTCCAGTATCATCCTGAGGCGGGCTGTTACTATTGGTTGTGTTTGATTGTTGATTTATTTGATTGTTGGCTGCGTTGGTCTAGGCAGATTCGGTCTGGGTGGGGGTTAAACGAGCTCGGGGGCACTCACATGCACACACGCCCGAAAATGTATTTTTAAGATGACCTCTGTCGCTCAGGCGACAATTCTACACGGCTTTCTAGGCTCTCCTGCCTTCTTAACAACGATTTGGTTCCGCTTAGGTTTTCTGAAATCAAATGACTGCAATTACTTCACTTTCAGCCGCTTTTCTCTGCCTTTTAATTAAATGTCACAGTTGAACTGCTTCTTCTTCCCCAGCTATCGTCAATAAGAAAGTTTCTCGATTTTGCTACCCGATACTTTTTGCTTGCGTACGAGACGAGCACACATATAGGCAGTCGTACGCACACAAACACATTTCACATATGTACCAGCAGCACCCAGTTTTTTGCGCCCAAATTTAGGACGCTTGGAATATGGTTTTTCCGACACAATCACTTTACGCACCTACCTTACGCCTTAAATTAAACTTATGATTAAGTCTTGTACAACAAAATAAAGTTTTAAACTGCTATTTTTGTATTTTTCACTGCACTTTTTCTGTTGCAAGGTTGCTTCAGATGAGAGTCAGTTATCGTTATCGGTAGTACTGCCGATTCCCTCGAATCGCAGTGTTGTCAGCAACTACTAAAAAGAAGCTGAAAACGGAAATATTAAAACTTTTGTCTTGCCACTTTTAGATTCCAGGTGAAGTATGTTATATTTTTGATTAAAAATTCCGATCCTAATGTTTTTTTTTTTATTAAAATATGTATGTTGCCTTTAATATTCCAATTAAAGCCACAAATGCACTACCTAGCTTGAAATCGGCCTTGTTAACACCACAGGCTAAATTATATATCCGCCCTGGTTCGTTTCATATATCTGTGAAATTCGCGTAAATAATTGCCATGTGCAGCATTGGAGAAGACGATTTCGGGGATGAGGGTGGTACCCATTCAATGGTTGCGGGATCACAGCCTTCGGGTATCGCTTTAAGCCCAGGGGAATGCAGCAAGTGTGACATCTCCTCCGATGAGCTCTTTAAAATCAATTTTCGAACCCCGGAGTGTCGCGACTGTTTCTTAGCGTATGCGAGGCACAAATTCCGTGCCGCTCTGGGCGCCGCAAAGGTCCTTCCCAGAAACGCTGAGGTTCTTCTTGTTCTCGACGGCTCAGCTCAGTCCCTAGTTCTTTTAGACATGCTATACTACGCTCAGACCCAGAACACATTTAAAAGACTGCATTGCAATGCACGTTTGGTGTACATCGAGGATCAACCGCTTCAGGGCAATGAACCCGCGGATTTGAAATCTCTTGAGGCGCTGTCCAGACGATATGAGGCATTTGAGTTCCATGTGATTACACTCGGATCGCCGGTTGACTCCCTAAAACTGCTTAAGGACTACTGCCCCGGTGCCGAGGGATCGAATGAGCTCATCCAAAAACTTAGTCATCTGCGGAGCCTTACAAGTCGCCAGGATTATCTCAAACAGCAGCGGAAAAACCTTATTGCCGCCGTAGCCAAAAAACTGCAATGCAATCATGTTTTCGACTCTAGCATAAGCGTGGATTTGGCCACTCAGCTACTGACTTCGATCGCCTTGGGCCGTGGTGGAAGTGCCGCACTGGACGTATCTCTTTTGGACGACAGACTAGCTGCTGGAATTAAGCTGCTGAGACCACTTAAAGATTTGACCCAGCAGGAGGTGCTGTTCTATGTGCATGCACAACGTCTGGAACCACTTATCAAGACAAACTCTCGGTATGGTCAAGAGCAAGGGGAAGCCGCCAGCCTGCAAAATCTCACATCTGCATTTGTGGCCAACCTGCAGAAAAACTTTTCGTCAACGGTGTCTACAGTGTTCCGAACTGGTGGAAAAATTTCCGAGGTTACGCAACCTGAGCAGGCTAAATGCAGCCACTGCCAGTCAGCACTGGACACGGAGCTCTCCGATACATTGCTCGCCATTGAATATTCCCGGTCTGTTTCAGAGGCCGGCGTGCGTCTGTACGAAAACAGCGAAGACCCAGAAATAGTTTCCAAGAGGAGAATGGAACTAGGCGATGGACTGTGTCACGCTTGCCGCAGAATAGAAGCTGAATTTGAAAACAAAAGCTTGTCATAGGAATCAAAAATATATTTATACCTAAACGTTACAAAATCTTCGGCTTTTCACTACAACTTTGCCAGCTTTGTGTTAACATGCGGCTGCAACTGAAGATGACCATCATTGGGTGGGACATTGGAAGCCAAGACTACCTTGTGAAAGTTAAACACAATGTATCGATTGTATTGATTGGCCTTTAAATTAATTTCTTCAATAGATTGAGGTAGAATAATTGATTGCGTGCAGCTTTCAGGCTCACTTGGATAGAGTTCGTCTCCTGGTAGCACCCCGAAGATGCAGTCGCTGCAACGGTAGTAGACGGGCTGCACCAAGGTGCTACCATAAATGACTCTCTCCTGTGCGAAGTCTAGGAGCTCTTGCCGTTTTCGAAAGTTCATTAGGCGCGCCGTATCGTAAAGAAGAGTAAATGGTAGCCAAATAGATCCATCCTGAGAACTACACCAAGCTTCTGCCGGTGTCATCCAGTGGGCCGAGTCTACCTCCTCTGGCTCCAAGAGAAGGGTTACTTTCTCTGACCGCTCTTCCAAGGCAGTTATGTAGTAGACTGTATCGTATTTACGGGAAGCAGTGGCTGATGTTCTCCACGCAGACCATTCCTGCAGAGTCCACAGATTGGGAATGACATTGAAGTGGCGGCAGAGGTTTAGAAATTCACTGGGTTTGTTGTGAACTAGTCGTTGCCATGAGGAACGATCGCTTGGCTCTAGGAGCAAAGTCCTTGGATGCCCAGTTTTGTAATCCCAGTTGTTGAAAATCTCTTGGTTGGTGCATATTAAGAGGCCGACCTCCTCAAAAGTTTCTCTGAGAGCTGTCAGCCTCAGTGCAATATCTTTGGAAAAATTATCTCCGCCAGTTAGGAACTCTGGCCTGGGAGTTTGTTGGTCTCGGGTAAGCAACTTTAGGTGTTCATCGGTGACACCAAATGATCGAAAATAGTTCAGCCAATCTGGAGATTCATCCTCAGAATCAAGCACCCCACCTGGGAAGACACAGTGATTTAATGCATACGAAGTGCGCTCCGTCCGTTTAATCAGCAGTAACTTAAACGAAAAGTTATCAGAGATGCATTCATAGGTACATTTTAATAGTTTACATACATTATAGTCATATTCAGCGGAGGGGTCCCCCCTGGCAGCTAATATTAGGCTGGCAGAGGGTCTATATATTTCACTTTTTGTAGGAGCAACCATCGTCTAAAGTCCGGTCCAAAAATATTCCATGATAGATTTCCACAACCTTCGTACTGGCGTTTCGAACCAAAAATAAAGAATTCCCAAAGAGCTGATAGATGGTTTCGAGTAGCAGATACCCTAGCCGAAAAAACTATTTAAATACTCTACAAAAATTACGGAGACGAAAAATAATAATATATACATTTTTTTTTTGATTATTTTTAATTATAGGAAGATCGCATATAAGACGGAAAAGAAAATAAATGGCTTGCTGTTATAAATGGTATGGTTCCGTGAAGGTAACCCATTGCGATAGAAACCTAATGGGTACTAAGTAAATCAGCTGTCCGGCAATAAAAACCTATCGATATCAACTTATTTTGACGATCATGTCCAAGCAGGTGTTGGCTAAAATCCGGCCATCCTCGAGCCTTATCCTGCTAGCCAAGGACGAGGCGCCGAAACAAAAACTCTTTGATTACAATGTAAGTTGACATTTCCATCCTCTTGATATTAAGTAATTAATTAATCCTTGTTTTAGGCTTTGTTGCTGACGCGTACTCAAAAGTCCAGCTTTATGCCGGAGTCGTCAGTTTTTCCAGGAGGAGTTTGCGATGTCACGGACAGTTCACCAGCCTGGTTGGAGCTCTTTCATCGTAGCAACATTAACTCTGCCAAGTTACGTGATTTGAGCCACGTGAATGGTCCACGGCCAGATATTTTCCAGCCAAAGGAGACCGATAAAGAAATAGACCCGTAAGATGAGACTATATTTTTAAGCCAAACATATTTTATGTCTATGTATCCCATTTAAGGAATCTGTCTCTTCGGTTGACGGCTATTCGGGAAACCTTCGAAGAGCTTGGCATTTTATTGTGCCGGGACAAAAAGTCATTATCTTCCACCAGCGGATACGGAAAATTCTACGATCAATTTGATCGCGCCCGTTGGCAACATGTGGTCCACAATGACGCCAGCCAGTTCCTGGAATTGTGCAACCATCTTGATGTTGTTCCGGATGTCTGGTCACTTTTCGAGTGGTCCGTCTGGCGAACGCCCTCAACATTTAAAAAACGTTTTGAGACGGCCTTCTTTTTAACGGCTTTGGAGGAGCAGCCTGAGGTTCAAATCGAACCCAATGAAGTGAAAGATTGTGCGGTGAGAAAACCATAATATAAGTATAAAATAAGTAATCAGTCTTGGCAAAGCACGAATGCGTAAATATGAACAGTAGTATGTATTGTGTATTTGTATTATAAATTAATTCATAGATTGAATCTTTTTCATATTCTAGTGGCGATCCCCATTGGATTACCTTAAAGCATGCCTAAGGAAAGAGCTGTGGCTACCACCACCCCAGTTCTATGAGCTCAGTCGTTTTCTGAACTTTAGCTCTCTGGAAGGACTTCGAACGTTCGCTGAGGAGCGATCTGCCAAAGGCACGGATCTGATCCACCCAGTTATGTTCAAATGCACAGATGGCACTGTGCATCTCTTACCTGGGGACGCTTTATATCCCACTGATGCGGATGTTACCTCAGACAAAATCGAGACTGGTTTGTCAGTCGAGGATTTCCGGTTGCTGGCCAAGGGAAAATTGCACAGATCAGAGCATTGGAACCAGTATCAGTCGAAGCTGTTAATTAATTTTGAGCGGGGCGATGGTCAGGTTCACCCCTTAGACCCAAGTAAACTGTAATGGATAACCATATTTGTTTACAAATTTTCATTAAATGTTATTACTGTTTTGTAAATTCTTTTTTCTTTGGCTGGTTCAAATTTATGTTTCTAAAAATTAATAATTGAAATTCCTGGTAGTCGGAGAAGTGACAGAGAAAGATTATGTGAATTTAGAGTCTAAATGGTCTTAGACTCTAAATTTTAGACAATAAAACTATAAATTTTACAAGTTTTGTAGCACATACAAAGGTTTTATTAAAAAAATTTATAGAAAATAATATTTATTAGGTCGTTTTTGTTTGAATTGGAATAATGTAAGCTTTAAAGATATAATTTTCTATTTTTTGTCTAAAAGCCATTGGTTTTATTCTGGTCCCTTTCCATACCAAAGCTTGTATAGGTAGGAGGATTCCCCCTCAGATGGATATGTGGTCTCAAATTTTGGTTTATGTTCATGGTGGGACCTAAAGGAAATAATGAAGTTTAAATATCTGCTTCATTAGTTAAAAAAACTGTACTTACTGATAGCCCGAGACGTGTTCTGGGTGAGTCCACACTTCGTGGGCTTTATCGGTTTTTGGCTCATAAGGCCGCCACTTTGAGCATCCACCCAGGGACTTTTCAATATTTTTTTGGTTATCCAAGAGGATACCGATTTTCTGGTCGATCTGCGAAGAGGCTATCTGGATACCTATGACGGATCCCTTGATGGTGTTAAGGCTTTCCGACTGGGAACTGTTCAGCTTGGTAAGTCCACATTCCAGTTGCTGCAGCTTGTAGTTGGCTTGTCCTGCCAGATCATTTAGCTCCTGTATATTACCAACCTGGCCATTGATTTCCTGCTGTTGTTGCTGCAGGATCAATGCCTTGTGGTCCAGTCCAACAAGATCACCGACAATGGCCTCTCGCAGAACTTGTTCAATCTCACTCAGGTGTGTGTTAATCGATGCTGCCAACTGGTCCAGATCCTTTTCGTATTTGTTTTGGTTGGTTTCTACATCGCCCACAAGGTTTCGGATTTCACCGTCCACCTTGGTGAGGTTCTGAATGGCCTGGTCATTTTGGGCTTGGGCAGCCGCAATAAAAGATGTCAAATTCCCAACACCCGCAGCGGTGATATTGATGCTGTCCAGAACGCCAGTCTCCAGCTTAACCAGAGTAGCTTCGAGTCCTTCAATTCGTTCGATCTCATCTCGCTGATGACGGAACTTCTCCTCTATGCCTTTTGTTTGGAAGCTCAGATCAAGAACCAGTCGGAGAAGCTCCCCTACTTGTTCCAGTAATTCTTTTTCTTGTGATACCACATCCTGTGCTGAGGTAGCACTCAGGAAGACGCAGATGGTGGCCAAGATCAGTTGGGTTCTCATGGTGTTTTTCGCTTGGGAGCTACTTCTCATGTGTCTTCAGTAGGTCCAAGCTTCAGCTTATGTAGTGCAAGTGACGGTCTAAAACGTGTCTCCGAACAAGTTAAGTTCTATCAAACTACAAAATACCACGTGGGTGCAGCTGCAAACTCTGCTCTAATCTTAATCTGAGTTGACCTCCCAAGGGCGTTCTGCAAAATCGATATAATCTTCAGATTTAAGCAACTGTGATATTCATAAATGTTGGATTACGGTGGAAAGACAAAACTGAAGTCACAAACCATGCTTCATGTTTTTTGTGCTAGTTAGAATATTAAACACAATTTTGAGAGTTTAAAATAATTAAGAGATTGGCACGTTTTGGCATTTCTTCTTTGTTTTCAAATGGGTCTCTTATGATAGGGTAGCTGACCGGCTTTTTTGTGGGTAACAGGTAATAAGATTACACAGAAAACGTGTCATATTGTCACTTTTATGAGTTTCATTCAGAAAATAGGTCTACGATGTTTCTGATACCATGAGAATCAGAAAGTTCTCGTGTATACATGTGTTTTTATTTTTACTGTGAAACAGAACAAAGTTTCGATAGCTTTTCTTTTTGTACCTCTGCAGAGGTTTTTTGAGTTCTAGGCTCTCATGTTTAAAGCTATGTTCCCAGATTTGTGAAGAATCGATCCACAAATCGTTTAAGGTATTCCGTTCAAGAATCGGATGAATATTTCCTAATATATGGCCTTCGCAGTGGGTCATATGGGGCTCCCCATGCATTTTGCACATTTTGAAGGGGACAGCCCAGAAAATTTGACAAAAATTCTTTAAAATATTTTATTCTCAGATTTTGATGCAGATTTATGGAGAATCGATCCACAAATCGTTTAAGGTATTCTGTTCAAGAATCGGATGAATATTTCCTAAGATATGGCCTTCGCAGTGGGTCATATGGGGCTCCCCATGCATTTTGCACATTTTGAAGGGGACAGCCCAGAAAATTTGACAAAAAATCTTTAAAATATTTTATTCTCAGATTTTGATGCAGATTTATAGAGAATCGATCCACAAATCGTTTAAGGTATTCCGTTCAAGAATCGGATGAATATTTCCTAATATATGGCCTTCGCAGTGGGTCATATGGGGCTCCCCATGCATTTTGCACATTTTGAAGGGGACAGCCCAGAAAATTTGACAAAATATCTTAAAAATATTTTGTTCCCAGATTTTGATGCAGATTTATGAAGAATCGATCCACAAATCGTTCAAGGTATTCCGTTCAAGAATCGGATGAATATTTCCTAAGATATGGCCTTCGCAGTGGGTCATATGGGGCTCCCCATGCATTTTGCACATTTTGAAGGGGACAGCCCAGAAAATTTGACAAAATATCTTAAAAATATTTTGTTCCCAGATTTTGATGCAGATTTATGGAGAATCGATCCACAAATCGTTTAAGGTATTCCGTTCAAGAATCGGATGAATATTTCCTAAGATATGGCCTACGCAGTGGGTCATACGGGGCTCCCCATGCATTTTGCACATTTTGAAGGGGACAGCCCAGAAAATTTGACAAAAAATCTTAAAAATATTTTGTTCCCTGATTTTGATGCAGATTTATGAAGAATCGATCCACAAATCGTTTAAGGTATTCCGTTCAAGAATCGGATGAATATTTCCTAAGATATGGCCTTCGCAGTGGGTCATATGGGGCTCCCCATGCATTTTGCACATTTTGAAGGGGACAGCCCAGAAAATTTGACAAAAAATCTTAAAAATATTTTGTTCCCAGATTTTGATGCAGATTTATGGAGAATCGATCCACAAATCGTTTAAGGTATTCCGTTCAAGAATCGGATGAATATTTCCTAAGATATGGCCTACGCAGTGGGTCATACGGGGCTCCCCATGCATTTTGCACATTTTGAAGGGGACAGCCCAGAAAATTTGACAAAAAATCTTAAAAATATTTTGTTCCCAGATTTTGATGCAGATTTATGGAGAATCGATCCACAAATCGTTTAAGGTATTCCGTTCAAGAATCGGATGAATATTTCCTAAGATATGGCCTTCGCAGTGGGTCATATGGGGCTCCCCATGCATTTTGCACATTTTGAAGGGGACAGCCCAGAAAATTTGACAAAAATTCTTTAAAATATTTTATTCTCAGATTTTGATGCAGATTTATAGAGAATCGATCCACAAATCGTTTAAGGTATTCTGTTCAAGAATCGGATGAATATTTCCTAAGATATGGCCTTCGCAGTGGGTCATATGGGGCTCCCCATGCATTTTGCACATTTTGAAGGGGACAGCCCAGAAAATTTGACAAAAAATCTTTAAAATATTTTATTCTCAGATTTTGATGCAGATTTATAGAGAATCGATCCACAAATCGTTTAAGGTATTCCGTTCAAGAATCGGATGAATATTTCCTAAAATATGGCCTTCGCAGTGGGTCATATGGGGCTCCCCATGCATTTTGCACATTTTGAAGGGGACAGCCCAGAAAATTTGACAAAAAATCTTAAAAATATTTTATTCTCAAATTTTGATTCAGATTTATGAAGAATCGATCCACAAATCGTTCAAGGTATTCCGTTCAAGAATCGGATGAATATTTCCTAAGATATGGCCTTCGCAGTGGGTCATATGGGGCTCCCCATGCATTTTGCACATTTTGAAGGGGACAGCCCAGAAAATTTGACTAAAAAACCTTTAAAATATTTTATTCTCAAATTTTGATGCAGATTTATGGAGAATCGATCTACAAATCGTTTAAGGTATTCCGTTCAAGAATCGGATGAATATTTCCTAAAATATGGCCTTCGCAGTGGGTCATATGGGGCTCCCCATGCATTTTGCACATTTTGAAGGGGACAGCCCAGAAAATTTGACAAAATATCTTTAAAATATTTTGTTCCCAGATTTTGATGCAGATTTATGAAGAATCGATCCACAAATCGTTCAAGGTATTCCGTTCAAGAATCGGATGAATATTTCCTAAGATATGGCCTTCGCAGTGGGTCATATGGGGCTCCCCATGCATTTTGCACATTTTGAAGGGGACAGAAAATTTGACAAAAAATCTTAAAAATATTTTGGTCCCAGATTTTGATGCAGATTTGTGGAAAAGAAATCGAAGGTGTAACTTTCACTTTCACCGGGGGGGCCCAGTGGGCAAGCGCGCCTTTGCCCACCTGTTAAATCCGCCACTGATAAAAGGTAAAACATACGAACAAAATATATATAAAATACTTCTATATATTTTTCCAGCCATCAGCCAATTTTAGTCATTTTAGCCTTACTTTCCATAATATGCCTTTATGTTATTTAATTTTTTCACACTATTTTAGTCAATAATATAAACACTTTTAGTTCCAATGCATAATTATTTATTCTTTAAATTTATAAATATTGTGTAAGAGGTTTAGAATTTGCTATATGTGGAATATTTCTAAAGTTTGTATCGTTTGGGAGATCATTTTCACACAATTCGAGTTTAGAATCCTTTGGGTAAAGACTCGTCGCCGTACCAAATCCTGTAAGACTCTCCAGGTTGGACAGGCGAAGGTCTATAGGTTTTTCCATGATGAGATTGCGGTTTAAAGGGTTCCTGTGGCTTATAGGATGGATCTTGGTGGTTTTCTTGTTTATGCGACTCTGGTACGGTCTCTTGCTTGTAGGATTGTGGTTGGTATGGTTCCAGCTTGTGGGGCCCTTGGGGTTCAGGCTTATAAGATTCCTGGGGAATTAATACTTGTCCGTAAGATGGTGCAGGTGATTGCTGTTCTTTTGGACAAGGCTTTCGCCTGGGCTTTGCAGTGGTAGCGTAAACTGGGGCTGGGTTCCAATCCTCATAGTGATGGTTGGCAGCAGACTGATGATGGGAAACCTGAGCTGGTCTGTGGGCCACGGATGGGGCAGTATTGTATTGTTGTACAGCCTCCCAAGGCAAGGGTTCCCGCCGAGATACAGGGTGATGCTTTTTTGGTTCCGGCGACTGCGCATAGGCCCTAACTTGTTGGTATGAAGGCTGTTTTCCTATGAGGAATTATACGGAATGATCGTTACTTTATAGTTCATATTTTATTGGAATTGTTAACAAACTCACCCTGTTTTTGTGGCTCATTTATGTTCCACACCTGTACTAAATCCACTGGTTTGGGCTTGGGTGGTGAATATTGGGGCTCAGGTGGTGCGTATGAGGGCACATAGCCATAACTTGGAGCGTAGGTTTCTTCATGATGACCTTGGTGCGGGTAGTGGGAGGGCCGGCTGCACTGCTCCAGATCTAGTTCGATACGTTTCTGCGAGATGATCAGTTCACGGAGGGCACCTTCTACCTTCCAGGTGTTCAAAGGCTGCAGGTGGCTGACGGCTGCGATCAGTCCGTCCAAGCGAACCTCTTGGGTGTGATTTAGCTGCTTTAATTGTTTCTCCAAGACGTCCAACTTTCGGTTGGTGCTTTCGCTAATGTGCCGGATTCCAGCCAGGTTCTTCAGTTCAACTTCAACATTAATTTGTGAGGTTTCCAGGTTGTCAAAGGAGCACTTCAGGCCATTTAACTGGGGCAGAACCGTTCGGGTAATCAGCTTGGCAAGGTTGTTGATGTCCAGGTCGATTTTGCGTGAGTTGTCGAGCACGTGTTGCTGGTAGGCTTCCAGTTTGATCGTCAACTGGTTGATCAAAAGGGCGGTGCCTTCCTGAAGCCGGGCCAGGAGCAGTAGCTCTGCTTCCGTGCGGCTGGCGTACTGCTCGCCTTCCTTAGAAATGTTAAGAAGTGCTGCAGCAGTCTCCCGGGACTTAACATCCAAGGCGGTCGAAAGCTTTTCCACAAGCGTATTGATGAGATCCAGGACCTTTAAGGACTCCTGCTGCTCGGTCAGAGCAACCTGGGTTTTTATGGAAACCTCGTTAATATTTATGAGGAGGTCCTTTGCCTCCTTGGCGTCTTTGGCAGTTTCCTCCAAGGCCTCAAGAATCGGATCCTCTGCTTGGACTCGAGCCAAGCAGACGATGGCAAAAAGAAGCGCTACAAAAACCTTCATTTCTGTGGGTTGCTCTCAAGTGGGTTTGCAATATGCAAGTGTCTCAGTTAGACTAAAGCATACGCTTAAATATGTTTCGAAACACGTGTGCCAGCCTCTAATCTATGTGTTCTTTTTTGTTTCTTTCAGTCTTTCAGTTTTTCTTTATTTTTTGTAATTCTTTATGCTTTAATCTAGCTACCACCGAAAGTTATGATTCCGCACGAAATTCAAATATTCCGTATTCATAGCTTATAGGAGAATGAGTATTGTTTTTGTTCGGTATGTTGCATACATACGGTATTCTATGAACCCTTTCAAATGTTTAATATTTTCGCGCAATTCCGCGCTTTCCAACCCTAAAGAAAGGGATCATCAAGATCAACACACTCCGGCAACGCCGGTGGGGATTTTTATCGCAGTTATCAATCGAATTGCCATCATCACCCCCATCAGCTGTTGGGGAGCAAAACAAAACAGAAAAGAGGAGCTGGTTTATTTACTGATCTCCAGTCATGAAGGCGGCTAATAGAAGAACCTCGGCCAGCTTAATTCTTGTGGCTCCAAATGAAGGAAAAAGCAATGACTACAACGCACGTAATTATTTAGCGAACATATAGAATTTAGAGTCTTATTGCTCCAAATATTTTAGTTGCTGATGCTGAAACGTAGTGACAACACGGCAGTAGTGCCTAATCAAACCGTTTTCCCCGGTGGCCTTTTGGACTCTGAAGCCGATGAGAGCGTGGACTGGTTGCAATACTTCGAGGAGTTCGGTGTCCCCCAGAAGGAACTGCGTCGACTTGTACTTATAAGTAATGATCGACCTGCTATTTTGGCTCCACAGGGCAACGGTTGTTATGATCGTTTCTTCAAAAACTCGGTTATTTGGTCGAGGTAGGTCCAAAGGTTACGGGTACTCCAATTATATTGCCAAACTGATCTTTGCTCTGTGTGGTTTTCAAGAGAGATTACGTTACGTCTCAATGCTCTACGGGAATGCTTTGAAGAGGTGGGTGTGTTGCTCGGCCGAAGTATCAAGGATCTTAAGGACTTTGGTCCGGTGGCCTGCGTTCAGAATGTGCCTAATCTTCAAAATTGGCAGCAACGAGTGCACAACAAACCCAGTGAGTTTCTTACCATGTGCCGGGAGCTAAAGGTTGTGCCTGATCTGTGGGCTCTGCATGAATGGTCTGCTTGGGCCAGTCCTGGATTTTTGCGAAAAGGGTAGGTATTATACTCAGGGCCGGATTAAGAGTAGGCTTCGAAGCATGGAATCCTAAAAAAAAGTCATTATAAATATGACAAATACGTACGTATGTACACTTTTTTTACTTCTTAATCCCGCCCTGATAAATCTACAAGTTAAAAAGCAAAAAATCCAAAACTTAAGATGTAATCCTATAGTTATGAAACTGTCTTCTTCATGGCTTTTGTGACCTCGCAACCTAAATTACTAGCTGAGCGCTCTGAAGTTAAGGAGACACTGGTGAGAATGTTCATTTTCCTCTGTTTTTTTCTCTATAGTCTCTTTTTATTTCAAATTAAATAGTGGTCCACCCCGATTGAGTTTTTACAAATGACTAATCTCGGAGAAATTTGGCTTCTTCCTCCTCAAATTTATGAATTATCCCGTCTAATGGGAGTAAAAACCTATAAGAGCCTTTTGGATTTTGCTGTAAAACGCAGTGCACTAGGCACCACAATGTTTGTCCCGGTGACCTATGAATGCGAGGGACGGATGGTGTTTGTGTTGCCAGGCAAGTTTCATTTTAAAAATGCCTGCAACTCTTATAAAAAACATGATTTATTCCTTAGGTGACGACTTTTATGTTCCAGAACCGCATTTGGTGCGAGAAATTATTAATTTTCCTGGAACTTTGGAGGAGTTTCAAAGCCGTTCGAAATGCATACACCGCTATACTTCTAATGCCTCTATTTTTGATGTAGAACTTAATTTTTCGCCACCAAACAATCACTTGAAACCGCTAAAATTCCATCAAGAGCGGCAAAAGTTGTAATCACATTCCCTGGCTGCCTGGATGACCATTAATGACAGTGGTGACCCCAGCTGCTAAGCTCTGATAAGATGCTTAACGTGACCCCGGCAATGGAGCCATCACAAATTGTTGTTTTGAAATTATTTTAAGCGGCTTTACCAGACCAAATTATCAAGAGGATGTGCCCAAAAATGGAATTAATTATAATTTTATATACAATTTTTAATTAAAAGCGTACAATTTAAGGTTAGCGGGTGTTTAAAGTTATCTTACGGTCAAGCTGACGCCTTTTATAATCCATCCCTCTTGAGGAAAAAGTGACACATCAAAAGCGCAACTCCTTGCATATTCATTCTCCCCAACCGCAAATTGGAATGCGTTTGAAGAGGAGGTAGCGAGTCCAGACAGTACATAATTTCATCCCATTAGGAATGCATTTAAATCACTTTATGTGTAGATCCTTCCAACCACATTTGGGCTGTTTAATGCCACCTGCCGTGTTGAATTGTGCGCATTACAGCTTCAACTTTTGAATACCCCAGCCAGACTCAAGCCCACATCCATACCCACTACTGCCACCCTGGCGAGCCGTTTAAAAATCAAAATCTCAACGAGCTTCGTGTCCCCACTTTTGTTTGCTCCGTGCTTGCTCAACTGTTTATTATGCATTGTGAAGTACCCAGCCAGGACTATCTTTTGAGAAGGGACGATCTGAAGAAGTTCGAGATGGGGTGGAACTCCGCCCCAGGGGTAGCGGCCAAGGCTGTGTAACAATTACTTCGTTTAATTTAACCTTTTGTGGCTGGTTTCCGGCGTTTATTGTTTTGTTGCTGTTCATTTAATATCGATTAATTATGCTATTATGCGACCCCAATGAAGTTAACCATCATGGAGAAAGCACGCAATGGGTAGGCGAGTATTATAAAGACTGTGATTTATAATTAAAATTTTTAAATGATGCCTAAATTTAGAAAAAGGTTTTTTTATTGGAAAGTCAAACTTAGGTTAATAAAAAAATATAGTTTTTGTAATAATAATTTTAATAATTAACCCCCGACAATAACTTTCCAATTAGGTGTTTCTCAACGGTGGCGGAGGTTGACAAAGCCGCCCATAAATTACCCATTAAATTTTAAATGAATAATGTGACAAAGTGCCCTGTGAGTTATGAGCGCCAAAGCCGCTTAGCATCTACATCTACTAAGACGTTACAGGTCTCGGGTAAATTAGAATTTTAAGCCCGGGCAGACTGGCTGGAAGGACATCTTGATTTATGCGGGAGAGAGGACCCCTTGAGGCGAGGAGGCTAAGAACGATGAAGACATGGCATGTAATTGAATTTAGAGCTCATTTTCATTGCGGCGACATAATGCTGATTTACGTGGACGCCGATAAGTCGGAATGGGGTTTATTAATTGCCCTGCCAGGTGGAAATGCATATCACGTACTTTTCGCCCAATTAGGGCGATTATTCGAGGATGTCCCTGGTATCTGGTGGTGACATGAATGCCAAAGCGGAGTGGACCATCGGTTGGATCGATTCACAAGTAATTGACAACTTCTCACCCGGACTTCCCACGGGTGTAACAAAATTCACGCACACACTTGTTCTACCAGGAGAGATTTATTTTTATTGTGTGCATTGTTTGCACTAGACTCCACATTCTCCTTGCCACACCACCCCCTGGGAGCAGGTCGTCTAAATGAGTATTACCGCAATAAATCGCCGCAATTCATTTAAGGGCGGACCGGCTGGCCTGCTGGCCGGATTGGCAACCCTTGGAGCACCAGTAAAAGCTGCTAACTGTTGATGAGAGCAGGCCCTTCCACCCTTCCATCTTTCACCCGCAGGGCACCACCCACTATTCGTCAGACCGTGAACCTGTTACGGCATGTCAGATTGTCACTGGGGAAATTGCTCCGGCATTCTGGCTCTCTAGCCCTCCGTCTCCGGCTGGTCGAACAAATTGCATCAATTGACTTGCGTGTTCAACATAATGGCAATTGCGGCTGCCTCCCGGAGAGGGAGTGGGAGCTGTTGCGGCCGGGGGTGTGGCGACGACAGTTCTACTAATGCGCTACATGATTTTCTAATGATGTCTTTATTTGGTGGTTCCTTTTTCTTCCCACAGGTATAATGTCTGTGGGGTTGCAGGTGAAAACCTAAATGGACATATGTACACACCATACATATAATAAAAGTATGATAAACGAAGTCAATGTTTAAGCTTTGAGCTCGTTGGATTAAATGGTAATATATAAATTGCTTTACCATTACAAAAATGTAAAATAAACATTCTCAAATCAAGGGATTATTTTAAGAGTTAAATCTCTTTGATAGGATTTCTTAAATTATCATTATTTTAATGATATAAAGTTTCTTATATTATAGATTTACATTGTTACTATTTAAAATATAATTTTCTGGATTAGCTCTTGAATTTCAAACATGAAAGGACGGCTGTAGTAGAATTACCCGACTATATGATACCCGGTACTTATCTTTTTCACCAACAATTAAACCTTTAACTAAGTAACGGTATAAATATTCAGCAAAAAAGTAAAAGTTTTCTGATCTGATTAATTTTTGATTTAGCCATTGGAACAGTTTGGCATTAAAACATTTTCCAAAAACATTAATGAACTGGCGCTACAACGAAGTAAAATTTGGACGCAAACAATTTGAATCAAACTTGAACTTCGTGGGCATTATACGAGTCTCCATGCCAAATCCTCAGTGGCGGATTTAAGGAAAAAGGCCCACTGGGCAAAATTTTTTCAGGGTACATTGAAGGTTATTTTGAAGGGTACAGCACAGAAAATTTGACAAAAAATCTTAAAAATATTTTGTTCCCAAATTTTGATGCAGATTTATGGAGAATCGATCCACAAATCGTTTAAGGTATTCCGTTCAAGAATCGGATAAATATTTCCTAAGATATGGCCTTCGCAGTGGATCATATGGGGCTTCCATGCATTTTGCACATTTTGAAGGGGACAGCCCAGAAAATTTGACAAGCAATCTTAAAAATATTTTGTTCCCAGATTTTGATGAAGATTTGTGGAGAATCAATCCACAAATCGTTTTAGGTATTCCGCTCAAGAATCGGATGAATATTTCCTAAGATATGGCCTACGCAGTGGGTCATATGGGGCTTCCATGCATTTTGCACATTTTGAAGGGGACAGCCCAGAAAATTTGACAAGCAATCTTAAAAATATTTTGTTCCCAGATTTTGATGAAGATTTGTGGAGAATCAATCCACAAATCGTTTAAGGTATTCCGTTCAAGAATCGGATGAATATTTCCTAAGATATGGCCTTCGCAGTGGGTCATATGGGGCTCCCCATGCATTTTGCACATTTTGAAGGGGACAGCCCAGAAAATTTGACAAAAAATCTTAAAAATATTTTGTTCCCAAATTTTGATGCAGATTTATGGAGAATCGATCCACAAATCGTTTAAGGTATTCCGTTCAAGAATCGGATAAATATTTCCTAAGATATGGCCTTCGCAGTGGATCATATGGGGCTTCCATGCATTTTGCACATTTTGAAGGGGACAGCCCAGAAAATTTGACAAGCAATCTTAAAAATATTTTGTTCCCAGATTTTGATGAAGATTTGTGGAGAATCAATCCACAAATCGTTTTAGGTATTCCGCTCAAGAATCGGATGAATATTTCCTAAGATATGGCCTACGCAGTGGGTCATATGGGGCTTCCATGCATGTTGGACATTTTGAAGGGGACAAGCCCAGAAAATTTGACAAAAAATCTTAAAAATATTTTGTTCCCAGATTTTGATGCAGATTTATGGAGAATCGATCCACAAATCGTTTAAGGTATTCCGCTCAAGAATCGGATGAATATTTCCTAAGATATGGCCTACGCAGTGGGTCATATGGGGCTTCCATGCATGTTGGACATTTTGAAGGGGACAAGCCCAGAAAATTTGACAAAAAATCTTAAAAATATTTTCTTCCCAGATTTTGATGCAGATTTATGGAGAATCGATCCACAAATCGTTTAAGGTATTCCGTTCAAGAATCGGATGAATATTTCCTAAGATATGGCCTACGCAGTGGGTCATATGGGGCTTCCATGCATTTTTCACATTTTGAAGGGGACAGCCCAGAAAATTTGACAAAAAATCTTAAAAATATTTTCTTCCCAAATTTTGATGCAGATTTATGGAGAATCGATCCACAAATCGTTTAAAGTATTCCGCTCAAGAATCGGAGTAATATTTCCTAAGATATGGCCTTCGCAGTGGGTCATATGGGGCTCCAAATGCATTTTGCACATTTTGAAGGGGACTGCCCAGAAAATTTGACAAAAAATCTTTAAAATATTTTGTTCCCAGGTTTTGATGCAGATTTGTGGAATTTCAAGGTAAGCTTTTAGATAAGGTAAGGAATTATTCCTTTAATTTTAAGGTAAGGAATTTATAATATTTTTAAAATGCCTAGAATAGAAAAATAGTTTTTTTTTAAAAACAAGACTTTGACTATTTAGATTTTAGAATTCTAAAACGGAATAGAATTTTATTCGTATAGAATATTGGTACATTTTTATATTTAAAAAGTCCTAGAGGTCAAAAAATATTATAAAATAGAATAGAAGACTTAACCGTCTAAAATATAAAACATTTTATAAGGTATACATTAAAAATGTAAACATTTTATTTATTTTACATATGTCTGTAAGTATAAATAGTTTAATATTTGGTTTTTAATTGAAAACCCTGTAACATCAAATTAAGCTTTATTTAAACATACATTTTGGGGGCCATTTTAAATTATACCTGTTTGTATGTTTACATACGAAAACCACCTGAATATAGCCCACTCTCATCAAAATAGGCAACGCACACTTACGCACTGTGGGCGTAGCGTTTCTGTGAAATATGAATTATGCGCTTGCTCCAAACCTGTATTGTTGATGTTGTAGCTCCACTTGCTCCCGTTAATTTCTATTTAGCTGTTGGCTGGCTTTGTCACTCTCACTGCCTATATGTCGTTCTCTTTCAGGCTCCTTGCAGGTTTCACACCTAAGTCACCATTACGCACCCAAGCTTAACACATACATACGTACACCGCCGAAGGATGGGCCCTCTGGCTCTCCCTCTCGGACATTTTCCCTCTAAACTGGAGGACTCTTCGTAATTCATTTTCCAGTGTCGGACCTGCGCAAAGGCCACACTGGGAAATGGAGCTTTCCCTGCCTTTGCAGTTGTTGTTGC